CATAGATGAGATTTGCACACTTGGTGTCCTCCACAGACCTGTTTTTCGTATTTTAGTTGTTAAAAATGAAAACTTATTCTTCAAATGTTTATTTTATTTCCTTTCTGAAATTTACTGCAAAAAAAAAACGGTTTGATTATTTCAATAACGCTGACATAAAAACAGGTAATGTCAAATACTGAAGAACTAGTGAATTGTTTTACGTTGCTTGCTCAAGAAAAATATACAACCTTTCAGTGACGCTGATTCCTCTAAAAAAAAAATGTGTTTTACAAAATTGTCAAATACTCGAAACAGTTGAGAAGAGTATTATTTAGGATAGAGGAATAAACAGCAAGGAAAACACTTGAACAGTAAGCACAGGAGTTGTGCTAACCCCCAAGCGTGTTCGTCCAATAGACCCAAGTCTAACAAGCCCTCTTCTAAAGTTGATTATCTCTTTTTTATTTTTTTTATTTTCAGGAGAAGCGTAACATCCACTGTTACTTGGATGAAGATTCTGGGATGTGGGTGAAAATGCCGGTATCATGGGAGCAACACACCGACTTCATTAAACCACTGATTGCAGAGACCCAGGTAAAGACATTTTGACCAATGTGTTAAGGCATGCATCTGAGTCAGTAGCTTTTTGGGTAGAATTTATAAAGTCTTGAGGGACCTAACTTTTAAAGAAATTAACTGTGACATTTGGCCCCAAGATCTTGCCCCAAGCCACAATGCCAGCAACAGGAGTTATGTTTTAAAACTGACTTCGATCTGAAAATTCCCAGCAATCCGTGCCAATGTGGAAAGGACAAGTACGACATCGTCGCAGCGCTGCGGGCAGAGCAAACTACGATCCGGATGACGCCATCTCCACGTTCTTTGCTGTCGGGATACGGGAGTGATGGACAGCCCCGACCGACTGACCGGCGTCAGCACCAAGCTCATCAAGGAGAAGGACGAAAAGATCTCTGTGCTGCAGGAAAAGTATACAAAAGTGGTGAGTGTCGTGGCAACTATCGAGGGCGCTGTTTGCGGTGATGAGCGTACGCCTGAGGGCAAAGTGGGAGAATAAATGCGCTGATGTGTAAAAGAGTTAGCACACACCAATTGGCAAGTGTCGGTGTAGGTTGTGCAGAGCACTGTTCACACTGTGAGGGCTTTTCACGAGTATGTCAGGAGTGTACATTTCACTGAAGGAAAATTGTGCTCATCACTGTCGAGTCTTTTCTCATCAGTACACAGTTTTTTACAGATCTTTATCAAATTAGGTTTTGCCTTTCACCGACGCATTAACACTGTATACTCAGTGTGTTACCTCCCGAGTGAAAGTTGGAAAAAAATGACTCGGGTGGGACTCGAACCCACGACCTCCTGCTTTCTAGTGCAGATGTCTTACCACTCGAAACACGAGCTAACGGGATTGGTGGGCCAGTTCGAATCTATTGTGCATAGCAGTGGGTACCGCATTGAACTATTCATAAGATGAATTTTTTTTTCGCAGATCTTTTAAATTTGCAAAAGCTACAAAAATTCAATCTTGAAGGTTTAAGTATTAGGATAAGCTATTTCATTTCGTTTACAATGGTAGACCCCATTGTTTTCACTGTGTTTTTGTTTAATTTATTTCCAATTGCCAGCAAAAATCCCACAAGGATATTGGCACCAGAATAAAAAGCTGCAAGGAGAAGTGGACAAAATGAAAAGCCGAGGTAAGCTAAAATAATTATTTTCAAAGTTCAAAATACTGTGAAATTAGGAGCTTGAATTGTGGAAAAAAAGCAGGATCTGCAATTAAATGTGACGTTGAAGGCAAGAATAGATGAAGGCCCAAAATATGATAGTGCTGCTTCCGATTACATGGCATTTGAAAATAGGGTAGGTAGATAGGTAGGGACAATTTTTTTTGGCAATTTTTTTTGTTTTGTGTACAATATATGGAGGCGTCTGCATGTAGTCTAGGGTAAAAGGCAGTAATTGATGGGTTTTTCAAGGTTTTTTTTCCACATTTCCAACCCCCCCCCCCCCAGAAAAAATAGGGTAGGGGCTGTCAAATAAGGGTAGGTAGGGTAACCGAAGCAGAACTAATTTTTTTTGGCCTAATGTGAGGTTAAGGGTATTAGGGATAATCCCTGAAAATGCAGGCTGTTAATTATTGTAACATGATTGTGTCTGCGTGAAACTTAAATAGTTTGTCAGCCTGGAAATGGAGACTAAGACTGCAAGCCTTAGACTTCCAACAAAATGCATTATTCATCTTTTTTGTTTTACGTAAGAAGCTACACATTGCTCTGCTTGAGGTAGAGGATAATGAAGCAAGCCACAGACTAGCCTCCACACAGCCTCTTATTTCACTCATCCAGAGATTATTCTATTGTTTTGTCACAGTTGGAACAGCTTCGTGAGCAGTGCTCTACGCTGGAGGTGGAGGCTAAGGAAGACGGCAAGCCTTAGACTGGCCGCCATGCAGCAGGAGAGACCGCGGACTGGCAGGCCGGTCACAGCCAGACGCAGGGCTCCTACTCCGGTAAGATTTGGACCAAGACGAGAGACTTGCCCTGAAGTTATTTGTCAAGACACAATCCAACAGCTCAACTAAATTTGAACAAAACACTTCATTGTTGAAAAGCAATTTAGCTAAGAAATATACAGTAAGCAGAAATATACTAGTTAACAGAGAAGTATACTATTAAGTAGCGGGGAAATAGCAGAAATTCCGTGTGAGCATGAGTAAAAAAGTAAGCGAAATAGACTTGCATGTAGAAATAGACTAGTAAGCAGAACTATGCTTGTAAGCAGAAGAATCTAATTTTACAGAAGTTGAAGGATCATCGGCATTTCATGCATTTTGTTCGTTTCCAATAATAGCACCCCTCAAAATTCAAAGAAAAATTGTTCAAAATCTAACCTGTTGAAGTTTCCTCAGTGGAGTACACTTTTTTGAGAAAACTTTGAAAGACCATGCATAACTTTTGATCATCAAAACAAAACACAATTTCCTCAGTAGCACTCTTTATTCCAAAAATCTATCAATAGACTGATACATGTACTGGAAGGCACCTACATTGCTTGATTTCTCTCTAAGTGACAGCAAGCCAGATGGAATAATTTCACAAAGGTGTTAATATACCAGTACAATCTTAAATAAAAGTAATCTTTTTTGATAATAATTTTGTTGATCAGTGATTGTCAGTCTTTAGATAAATGCAAATGATCCTATGTGCCTTACTTTAAAGATTTGAATGTTGCCTAAGCAGACCGAAGAAGTTTGTTCATGGACGTTTGAGTGCAGTCAGCTTACACTGATCATACAACACAATTGAAGAACAAACCCTGCTTTGGAAACTCTTCTTAATCCTTCACTGCCTATTTTATTCATCTTTTGGTGGATAAGATGGAAAAAAAACTTTGTCCTGTAAACCTGACTGAGTTTTTCAGATTTCAAGCGTCAATTTTTCATTAATATTTTGTTCAGGATATTGAAACAGCTGAGCCAGACACAGATCCCGACTCCACTTTTGACGATTCCCCTCAGCATGCCCTGTCTCACCCCGCAGCCAACAATAGTGGTAGAGCCCCAGGGTCCTACCATTGATACAGACCTATTGATCAGTGTGAATCGGGCTGCCAAGGAGCTGAGACAAGTCCAAGTTGACACTGAAGAAGGTGGTGAAGCAGGGCTTTGAGGGTGAGTGACTAGGAGGACATGGCTGCCCATCTTCGATTTAAAGACCACAAAGGATCATTTGAAATTATTAAGAAACTCTTTTTGAAAATTATTGCTAAAAAAATCTTGTTCAACTTTGTGGAATAATTTTGTGTAGCATGTTGTCTTTCAGTTAAAACAGTCAATCAATATATTTCAAATTTGCCAGAATGCAAATTTCCAATAATGGTCATTCTAAGGCTGGATTTAGTTCCTCTTGCAAGAAAACACTTCACTCATGTTTTTATCAAATTTTGTTTCCCCTGTTGAGTAAGAAAGGCATGTTTGTGTTATTCTTTTCTTTAGATAGAGAGGGTCGAATTTTCATAGCGTTTTAGCCAAAAGATTCCTAGTTTTAACCCGTGAAATAGGCGAACTGTTAGTGCACAAGTGTCTGCTGTATTAACCCTTTCCTTACTATGGGCGACTTTACCAGAAAACCACACACAGAACACACTCACACACAGATATATTTACTACTTTTCAGAAAGGCGGCATGTTGATATTTTTGGCCGTCCATACATCAACTATATACCAGCTGAAAGAGTGTTTTCGAATTGTTCTAATGGTGTAGTTTATTCATAGTGTTACCATTACAAAAAAATGAGAAAAAGTGCTTCAGAAGTATCCACGCACAATTTGAGGTATGGAGTGCCATTTGGTCATGTGGTGAAATGGCTTGCAGTTTGATAATTGGGACCAGATGAACAAAAAGGCATAACTTTCTTATATTTGCACATATGGACTTCAGTTTTAAATCAAAGAGTAAGGTTCAAGGAACAAACTTTACACACAACACCTATGATTTTAATCACTCCTTGGCAGTGAAAGTCGGGTTGAAAAAAGTGAGTTTAGACTTGCGGTCATTTTTTCACGCTCTAGTGATTTCCGCATGACTGAGCAAACAATTTGGTCCTGGGGAGAGCCAAGTCAATAAACAATGTGGTAATGAAAGGGTTAAGAAGATATTCTTAATTTCTGAGCAGAAAAATTTGTTTTTCAAAGTTCTTTTACTTACAAGCTTAGCTATGTATAATTTGCTCCAGAGATAAATTTCATGGTCAATTTGGGAATCCGCTAAGTATTGAAAATGTAGTAGCTAAGTAAAAGCGGGTTACCAGTTAAAGCGTCATTGTTTCATGTTGTGCTTGTGACTGCTTCACGTCAGTATTTTCTGCTTACCAGCTCCAAGAAATTGGGCCCTTGTCTTAGCAAACCAATCAAATATAATTCTTCTTTATTTCAGATTTGAAGGACCTGGTTGCAGCCGCCTTGTCGGGCCTGTCCAAGATGAAGAACATGGACTCCAGCACATCACAGGAGCTACAGGATCTCAAGGTGCTATACAAGAAGGAGTGTCTACAGAGGAAATTACTCTACAACCAGGTAGGTGGCAACAAAGGTTCTCCACTTGCCTTCTGATTCTGGTGACCCTGGTTCGATTCCTGCCAGGAGAGCAATGCAGATTTTAGCAGTTTCTATGTGTGCACGATTGCATAAAGTAGACCTGAGATTATTTTCTGTAGTGTTCGGGGTTAAAATCAGGATTTTGTAAGTGGGCGTCCAACTTTGTTTTAAGGGCTCATGCAATGTACTTTTTTAAATGCAATCCTTGAAATGCAACTTTGCGTCCCATTTAACCTTATTTTTAATTTTTGTTCTGCCATTTTCAGGGTATTTCGGCACCTTTTGGGTTTTTATGCTAATGCAAATTTCCGTATTCATGAGTAACAGTGTGATGTCATCTTAGGCAGAAACCTCTGTGTTACAGCTATTTCCAGCACCTAAACTTTGGATAGTGTGCTGTCGTAAATTTCACTTTTTGTGGCGATTCGTCGTCGTGTCAGTACATGGCAATAAGCCAGTGAGCAAACTTTTTCACAGGTGTTTTCAATGAGCACATTTTTGGGTTGGCAATTTGAACAAAAAAACCATAAAGTGAACAGTGTCTTCCTGAAATGACATCACAGCAACAGTGCCGCATCAGTTGTCCGAAAATCATGGGAAATTTTTCAATGTTTAAAGAAGTGCACTTTTCAATAAAATGAACCAAAAAGGGATGTCACATAGGTTTTTATACATTTAAGAGGAGTAGAAAGTTGCACCCAAAATGTTCCTGAGAAAATGTCAATTTTCATGAACCCTTTAAAAAAAGTGATATATGTGGGATAAGGTGAAGAGAGAATCGGAGCAAGGGATTTGACATTGTACAGATTGAATCAGAATGACAGTTTACTTCTCATAACAAAATATATCACATTTGGGTCATCCTATAAATTTAGGATCCAAAGTGTGACATTTCTCCCATCCCTGTTACCTTGGTGCTTTGTAATTTGCCATTCAAGCATCATTAAGAATGACTTCAAATGATTGTTTATTTGTTGGGTAGGTAGTTTGCTATTCATAATCACTCTTGGAGGATGACTGCATTAAGGAGTGCATCAGAATTATACAATCATAGATGTCAGATGTAACAGGGACAGGAAAAAAAGTGGACCCCAAATTTATAGAATGACCCATTTGGGCAATTTCAGCATATGAAAGGAAGTGTAATGTCTGTGACAGAGCCCATGAACCAGGATATCTAATCAATGATTCAGAGAAATTATCCAAAACTCCTAGTCTGTAATCTCCTTGACTATTACTAGATGATGGATGAATACGATTTGAAAAATATATTTTTAGGTTTATTCACTGAGCTCATACAAGCTCTGTCACGGACAATGCATAACACTTGAATTGCTCACTTGCATACTTAATTTATAGTGAGATGACAGTCTTTAAGCTTTATGGAATGAAACTTCTACAGGATGAAAATATGTCAAATTTTCAAAAGAATAATTGAAACAGTTCTCTGTCTTTCTCAACTGTTGGATTTAAAAGTCCCTTTCAACTGCTTTGTTGTCACTGATTTGGATTTTTTACCTTTCGGGCTTCTACGTACCTGCCAGTGTTGTGTTGGAATCTCCAAGTGTTCTGCAAACAGAGGTAAGATGGAGTTTTAAACAATATTTCTAAACGTGTCTTGGTTTTTCTCTCTATTTGTTTACCCTGTGTGCATTTAGCTGCAAGAGCTGCGTGGGAACATCCGTGTGTTCTGCAGGGTGCGCTACGACTCCCGCACCGATTGCTGCGTGGACTTCCCTGATGATCAGAAAATCTGCGGCACCAACCCAGCCGGCAAGAAGATGATGTACAGCTTTGATAAAGTCTTCACTCCAACCTCCAAGCAAACAGAGGTGAGGTGAAGGCCCCAGTATTTCTTAAAAAAAGGCTATCTACTGTCGAGTTCTTGTCACCCACTATAATGAGTGTTATGCATCGTCTACAAACACTTTTTTACTTTTCCCCATGATACCAAAAACATGCTTGTTCTTAATAAATGTGAAAAGTCGGAAATTGCCATGTTGCTGTACAGTGGGACAAAGCCAAAATTTGAAAGGTTGGTCAATATTTGGTTTTCAGATGAACCTTAATCTGTAAGTCCTGTGCTACCTTTCTCAAATTTGTTTGTTCCATCCAAAATCTTGAAAACCTATTTCATCTTGTTTTTAAGAGTTGACTGTGCATTCACTCTAACACAACTGCAAGATTTTTCAATGCCTTTTCTCAAGAATTAGTTTCACAACTTCCAGTAAGTTAGTGGTCTATATTTCAGTTACTGAGCTCAGTACCCTTAATGTTGTATACCATTGGAAAGCTCTTAATCTGCAGAATCCAGAGAAGTGAATATCTCAATTCTTAAAAAGTCTGACTTTAAGCTCATTTTTGTGATGACAGGTCATAAATGCATCATAAGAGCTTTTATTTCTTAAAATTTGTCAAATTAAAAAAAAAAAATTTAGCTAGAAATTCTAACATGTTTTATGTGATGCACAATATATGTAACAAAATAATAACATCAGTACTGTGTTTCGGTCTTTGTTGAAATAATTTCAAAAACGCTGTATTCTCTGTACTGTCCGAAAGCTTGAAAGAAAAAAATCACAAGCTCGGTGGGACTCGAACCCTCAACCACCTGCTTACTAGTGCATTCATCTTACCACTCGGCCACCCAGCTTGCTGGGTTGGCTGGCTGGTTCACATCTGACATATCGAGGAAAGAATGTAGTATCCAGACGCCACTTCTTTCATTGTTTACAAAGTCTATGGAGAGTCAAGTGCATTTTCAAAGTATTTTCCAACAAAATTGGAAATGTTTCTCAGTCCAAGATTCAAGGCTTTTCAACATTTTTGCAATGACTGATTTTCATTGAGATAATATATGATGAAAAAAAGTGGCATTAGGATGCAAAGTATTTCCCATATCAGTGGGTACAAAAATCAATTCCTATATTTGTATGATTATTTTTTCCCACACCCCCCCCCCCCCCCCCCCCCCCCCCACCCACCAACAGGTCTTTGAATTGGCCCTGCCTATCATCACTTCCTGCGTGGACGGTTACAACATCTGCATCATGGCTTACGGCCAGACAGGCTCCGGGAAGACCTTCACCATGATGGGGACCAAGGATGACCCGGGGGTCAACGTACGCTCCATCCGAGAACTGCTGAAGATCTGCAAGGAGAGAGACCAGGTGTCCTACACACTGAAGGTGAGCAGAGAAGTCGGGGCACCAGATTGTTGTCTAGGGTGCAGTTGGCTAAAGCTTCAATCCGTTTAGGACACTGATATGCCATAGTGAATATTTGAGCCATAATAAAAGACATGTCAGTTTCAGACATAACCCTAAATCTGGAATTTTGATTTCCTTAAGGACCAGTTTTATGGCTTTGCAAAACCAAGAATGTTTGCTCACTGTAGCATAAAAATACTTGTGAACAGTAAGGATATATTTCTGGGATGGTAAGGAGTGTTGGCTTTTGCATATGTGTACATCCAGTAGTAACTGAGGATTCTGTCCTTACAAGATTAGTGCATAATTTCTTTGCCAGCATCTGTAAGGATATAACGGTGACCATGATGCAGAAGTCTGTGGTTAGCAGAGCCGAGAAATTTGGTCTATGGCTCTAGTTCATGAAGCTGATAGTTACCCTCTGGCATATAAACTCTGTATTCAACAAGTAAACAATACATATTAATACAGAGTGTTTCTGCCCTTTGATTTTAGAACGTGATGAAACAGTTTAAAAGTTCCACACTAAAGTAATGGATGGATTTTTTGCGCCGGGGTGATATAAATCAAATTAGGTTTTGCCCTTCACCAACGTTTAAGCACTGTATACTCAGTGTGTTACCTCCCGAATGAAAGTTAGAAAAAATCACTCGGGTGGGACTCGAACCCACGACCTCCTGCTTTCTATTGCAGATGTCTTACCACTCGACCACCGAACTAACGGGATTGGTTGGCCGGTTCGAATCTGATGTACATAGCAGCGGGTACCGCATAAACTATTATAAGATGTAATTTTTGCGCCGGGGTGATATAAATCAAATTAGGTTTTGCCCTTCACCGACTTTTAAACACTGTATACTCGGTGTGTTACCTCCCGAATGAAAGTTGGGGAAAAAAAGCTGCTATGTACATCAGATTCGAACCGGCCAACCGATCCCGTTAGCTCGGTGGTCGAGTGGTAAGACATCTGCACTACAAAGCAGGAGGTCGTGGGTTCGAGTCCCACCCGAGTGATTTTTTCCAACTTTCACTCGGGAGGTAACACACTGAGTATACAGTGTTTAAACGTCGGTGAAGGGCAAAACCTAATTTGATTTAAAGTAATGGAGATCTTACAGTTTTTCAAAGTCAAATTTTTGGGTGTATTTCACTTAGGTAAATGATACAAACTTTTGTCAACATTCACAAGAACTTTCCCTTAAAATTTTCAATAAGATGGAGTCACAAGCTTATTTGACTGGGACTTGAACCCATTACCTCATGCATTACTAGCTGAGATGTCTTAAGCACTTGTCCACTGAGTATGCTGTGGTCTGCTGGCTGCCTTTGACTCTGATATAGCAGCGGGTACCACAATCAATGTGTTTTATAATGAAATTTTGCATCAAGAAGCTTTGAATTCAATGTCGGGTTTCACCTCCCCCTGGTGAAGTTTGTGTAACACTTTGTAACCTCTGACCTTTGACTAGGTGTCAATGCTGGAGGTTTACAACGAGGCACTGCAGGACCTCCTGTGCGAGGAAGGCGACAGGAAGAAACTGGACATCAAGATGCAAGGCAAGAGGCTGCTGGTCCAGGACCTGACGGAGTTCGAAGTCCGGGAGGAAGGGGACATCACAAGGGTCATGGAGATGGGAGATGCCAATCGGACCGTTGCCGCGACCAAGATGAACTCAACAAGGTTGGTTTGAATCACGCTGAAAGTTATGTGAGGGTGGCATCTTTGTGGAACTCATTGCCCGAGACATGCTTTACTCAAATCTCTGCTCTGCTGTCCTTAGAGATTCCGTTGATGCAGTTGTTTTTTTCCTCGCCTTCCATGCACCTCTGTGGCCTGAGTTCCATTTCTGCTCCCGGTCTGCATGCGGATCGGGTTTTCAGTTCTGGCTTACCGTTAGCGAACAAATCCCTGCTTACTGTAGCAGAAAATTCTGTGCTTAAGATAAGCGTATTTCGTGCGTTAGCAAGCAAGTTCGGCTTCTGCACATGTGTACATCCTGGAACTATGGATTCTGTGCTTACAGGGTTAGCACATAATTTTTCTGCTAGCATGGTAAACACAAAATGGTGATTGTAAGCACGGAATTCTGTGGTTAGGTAAGCCAAAAATTTAGACACTAATTCCATGGGTTTCGATCCCCAGAACATTATTTACAATCTTATAACAGAATATTATTCCGGGTCTTAACAGAATTTGCATGCAGTGCTTGGTTTATAGTTAATGAGGTATTGAATGATGTCTGAATGTTTCAAAGCTACAAATATTTCTCTTCCCTCATTGACCAATCACAGCTCTCGTTCCCACTTGCTGCTGATCCTGAACGTGGAGGGCGTGGACAAGGTTTCCAAGGCAACCAGCTACGGCTCCCTCATGCTGGTTGACCTGGCCGGTTCTGAGCGAATCGCCAAGACCGGGGCCACAGGACAAACTCTTGTTGAAGCGGCTGCTATCAACAAATCCCTCACCTCATTGGGCCAGGTACTTTTTGAGTTGGAGAATAAACATCAATTTTACTTATAAGTTTCAATTTTGCAGGGAAGCAGGTACATTGAGAGCCATGTTTACCTTTCCATGAATGAAGAGGTTCTTTTACACGGAGGTCAAATATATATAATTAATTGGGTCCTCGGTTTCTGAATACAAGTTTTCAAAGTACCATCTCACCTTTCTCATCTTTAACCATAATATGGATTTATAAACATGAATTACAGCGTGGTATATCATTATTACTCCTGCTCATCGGGCAAATGAAAACATTCCAAAGACCATCTCAAAAAGGTCCGATAACTAAAAACAAAAGGAAAATTAACGATGCTACCTCCGCCTTCACAGGTACCATTTACTTTTAGGTGGGGAGAAGTAATGAGTACAAAGTGTCTTGCCCAAGGACACACGCACTGCAACCCCAGGCTGGACTCGAACCCACAGTCTGCAGGATTGCCCACAGGATTTTGAGTTCAATTTGCCAGACCACAAGGCCTTGGCTTTCCACTGATCACAGTGATTTGTCCTTGTTTGCCTCAGGTGTTTAATGGACTCAGAACGAGCGCTCTGCACATCCCCTATAGGAACTCCAAGCTGACTCACTTGCTGCAACAAGCCCTGGGCGGAGACGCCAAGGTAGGGTTGTCTAAAAAAAAATCTTTTGAGGGGAGGCGGGGGGGGGGGGGGGGGAGTTTGGAGGTTAACTTGATTTTAGTACATTTCTGAGTTACAGTATAAATAACTATACTGAGTCTAGGTCACAGAATCAGGACATGGCACCAGACTGAGTCAGGGGTAAGATTAGACATTTAAAAATTCAGAGCATTTTGGATCAAGTTCAGTCATCGATTGGAGATAGGTCTTTTTAAAGTGGTAGGACAGGGTAGTTTGTGCCAATATCGGAGTTTAGCCAACTGTGATGGACTCATATTTAGCCCGTGTACATTTCTGAGTTACAGTACTAGACTAGGTCTTGGTCCTAGAGTTGGGCCCCAGTCTGAGCCTGTGGTAAATTTGGACCATTTAGGAGTCCAGTGCACCAGCAAGTGAGACATCCAAGTAGACCTATGGTCAGCAAGTGGCTAAGTTGTGACAGATACTTGTGCCTGTGCTGTAAGCCTCCAAACTTGTACAAATGATCCCTTCTTGATTTACAGCCATCAGGAAACACAATCTTGGCTCCTTTCTGTAGAGTGTGACACACACACAGCTACTGAGAACCAGTAGAGCTACCAACCTCAGACGGGTGGTCCTAAACATCAACTAATAATCCAGACATCATTGACTAACGTGCATTCAGTGCAACAAAATGCCTGTTTGCGCACGCTAGTGGGTTCATTTTAAAAACTAATAACCCTAAAGGCAAGTTTACTTTTGTTATTGTATCCAACAAAATAACTGATGAGAGTAAATTGAACATTATTTTTCCATCAGTTTATGATAAGAGTTCCGTTTTATCCATATTTTTTATGACAAACAGGCCTGTCTTTTTGTCAACGTGAGCCCCGACGTCAACAACATCAGCGAGACACTGAGCACGCTCCAGTTTGGCGCCAACGCTAAGCAGGTGTCACTAGGACAGGCCACAAAGAACGTCTCCAAAGGCGGACCGAAGAAATGAGCCAGAGGTCATGGGACTTCTCTTGGACTTGCTAGGAGAAAAATTGTGAGGCAAAAAAAGTGTGACATTGGTTTTAGAACCAAACTTTAGGAGGCTTAAAAAATATGGGTGGTTATAAGCTGTAATGGACCTGATTTTAGAAATCCTATTTTGAAAATTGTAAGCAAATTTGTTTTCAGAGATTTTCACTCCTTTGGTGCAATTTTTCTAAATTATATCTTGGAGCAACCCATTTACTTTTTTTGGGGGGGGGATGGGTTAAACCATTTTATTTCTGGGAGGGGGTATTATAGAGCGCCCTGAGCCCCCAGAACCATCCCTGATTAGCATCTTTACAAATGCTGAACATTGCTGCAAAGTTAAGTTTCTATTTTTTTAAATGATACCTCGCAACAAAAAAATAGGTGATACAAAAATTTCACTCTCATCTTCATCGGTACCTGTTGCAATAAGGCTCTGTACTGATGACGTCACACTTTGTTTACATGTTTGCTTTCCTATGGTGCTCAGTGGACCCCCACTGGCTCCATAGGAAAGTGCACATGTGAACAAAGTGTGACGTCATCAGTACAGAGGCTTATTTAGTGAACATTTTACCTACTATAGGAAATTGTGTAAGAATTATCAATCATAATTTGTAATCCAAACCAACAAAATCAGCACAGTTCTTGTTACCAAAAGTAAGTTTCTGTGAGACACTTGTTATTATGTTTGTTGTGAAATTGTATGAAATATGTGTCAGAATATATATATGCTGAAATTATCTCAATGTAATAATGCATATCTATGCATGTTCGTAGAACACTCAGGATACTGGTTCCCCTTTTGTTGTTCACTATGCCCGATCAAAACAAAAAATATTCTTGGTTTTCCTCAAGAAAAAGAGTAAGACAATCAAATACTAAAAAAATGGGGCTTCGACATAAGAATTCTTTAATTTCTTTAAATCAAGAATAAAGCTATCTTTACAAAGAACATGCCAAAGATTAAAGTTTTTATTGGCCAATATATGCCAAAAGTTGTAAAATAGAAGTTCTATATATCATAAATGTAATATTTATGCATGACAGTTATACTGCTCTGTTTTATGTGTATATATAGATTTGTATAAAATAATTTTTCACATATCTTTCCAACGATATTTTTGTACAGTATAAGATTGAACTATGCACGTGTGGCACCTGAAGTGGTATTCGATATTCTTATATTTATGTATGCGTATTTTTGTATTCATAGCAATTATTATTAACAAATACCATTGGTGAAAACTGGAAAGACATCATGATCAAAATTTACAAGTCGTTTAGATAAAGCCTTTAATAGTGACGGATGCGGTGAGCAGTTTGCTTCACTTAAAGCAAACGAAAGTTCTCAAAGTTTCCATTTTACATTTCTCAAAATGTCCATTTACCATTTACTGGAATAGTTACTTTAAGGCTCGGGAAACATTCGTTATTAAGTAACAAGATGTTATATAATGTACACAAGAAATCTACAGCACGTCCCAAAATACTCGCAACTTTTTTTGCAAGGCTCTAGCGTCGGTAGTCGGTACAGAAACACGTACCGCCATTATTTGTATACCATTTTAAAGCTTGTAATTAAAACTTTATCCCTGAGTAATTGGTTTGATATTTAAAAGAGTTTTAAAATTATGCATGTTCAAATAAAGGCATGTCAAAAACAAACACAACTGATTTCAAGGAAAATCACTGATTCGGTACATCAGATACAAACTCGAGTCACACTTTCAGCACGCTTTTTGACAAGGTACCTACAGGTGAATTTCAAAATTGAACTTGAAATGGAGAACAACATTGTGTATTCATTTAAGGTGTAGTCAACGTGGATCAAAAACAATAGGAAACACAGAAAGTAAAAGGCAACGAGATCATCACATCATGAACATGATGAACCATTTTCACATTAGAAAAAAATGCGCATGATTGATTTTACTTGAAATCGGTTGAGTTTGTTTTATTTGAACACGAATCATTTCAGAACACTTTTGAAAATCTAACCAATACTTACAAGGGATAAAGTTAAGATTCCAAGCTTTAAAGTTATATAACAATAATGGCGGTATGTGTTTCCTTGGCGACGCTAGAGCCTCTTAAAAAAAAGTTGCAGGTATTTTGGGACACACTGTAGAGAAGGGAAGAGAGACATTTGATGTTTTATTCACTAGTATTGATTGTGAGGTGAGACCTGAATTATGTGATAACAATAATTATAATTAGAAACAGACACAAAACTTTACATATTATCAGAAAAAAACTTGACCACTTTATTGTCACATGTTTGATATGTTTGGATTGGCACTACATTATTGCAGATTAAAAAACAAAACAAAGCAATGCAAAACAAAACATACATTCAGTTGTTTACGGTTGACGTGCACGATAACCGGATGTTTCGTTTTTCCAAATGCGACATACTACACATTTCACCACCATGATTAAGTTAACTTGTATTGAGAGTGAAAGATAAATTGTTTACTGTTCTAAATGTGGTTTGCAAAACTCAGCTACTCTTTATGAACACAAGTGTAGTTTTTTTTTAAAAATGCGGTATCACTTTTATTTTAATGACTTTTTTTTCTGTCACTTGATATCCTGGGAAACTTTCAATTCAGCAGGGCTTTCAGATTGCAGAGAAATCTATGTTTTATATTACGTGGATGTTTGTGCCAGACTGTGCTTGATCACCCTGCGCAGGAGCCAGTTTCGTGGGGCTACTCTGGGAAGAAGTAGGCAGAGTGTGGCCTAGTGGTTAGGGTTTGTGACGCATGATCAGAGGGTCAGGGGTTCGAAACAAGCTGCTGGCCATATGTGTCCTTGGGCAAGCCACTTTACCCCACTTGTCTCTCTCCACCCAGGAGCATTAGAGGGTACTGGCATTAGCTGGGGAGTAACCTGCCAAGGACTGGCGTCCCATCCAGGGGGGATAGAAATATCACTCGTCGTTTCGTTTCATGCCTAGGAAACCGGAGGTAAACCCCGGCCTGATCATGATGAGCTATATTGGCGTGTTTGTTTTGTTTGTTTGTTTGTTTGTTTGTTTTACATTTGTCACAACATGATATAATGCTAATGCAACAATTAATTTATACAATATCTCAACGTAATAGAATGTTAATGCAACAATTTGATTAGTTAACATAAATGGTGAGGGATGGGGGAACCAGGAAGAACCCTAAGCTTATTCAGAGCCTGGTCCCGTTCATGAAAAACTAAAAGGTAGGGGGAAAAACTGATTTACAATATAAGACTTGATTGACATGCAATGTAACTTTTACACATGTGTAACATGGATACACGTCTTACAATACCGGAAATAAGTAGATTTTTTGATATCTTTTGAATCTATGCACAGTCCGAAAGAAGGGTATAGGGATAAGCTGACTTCACAGAAGGGGGCCTTGGTGTCTAACTGTTTTCATCATGAATGATGCGGTCCTACAATCCTGGCCAAATCTCGCTGGGCCCCCAACCCCCCGGCCCAAACTCAATGTTGTCTCTCATTGCGCAGTGTGCACTCCATCAGCTGGAGAGAACAACATTGACCAGGGGAGCGGGGGAGTGGGTGACCATGGCAGGCTCAGGAAGTGTCCCAACCGTTTTGGCTTGGATTGCAGCCTTACTAATTTGAATTTTTTGGCTGATCTTGTGTTATGTAAATGGACGTCTAGATTCCTCAGACTAGACTTGACTTTACTCTGGCAAGAATAATTGCTTAAATGAGAATGAACCAGTCACACACAACAAACATGCATGTTGGCTGGTAAACTTGCACTAAGAAAAATGTTTGCATGCTTAGCATCTCCAGGGTGCACCCTCTATGGGGGAAAGTTTATTGTACTTTTTGTTTTCATAGCCTACTGAAATGAAACACACAGGAAAAAGCTAGTCAAAAGTTATAATAAATGAGATATCTACCCAAGTTTTTTTTTTATATTTCAGTCAAAATTCTCTGATCAACAAAAATAGAAAGGTGTGACAGGTAGTAGAATGTATGTATGCTGATGGAATGTTATCAATTTGTGTGTGCTTATCATATTCACAGTTTTCTGAAATTATCAGCATTGTTAAACTACAAGAAATTATTATTTACGTGTAAAAGTTGGCAGCATTAATTATAATTTGCTTATTCCGAGCCTTAAAAAATGACACAATTTATTTTCTAACATTATTGACAACAACAATTTATTTTAAAAGGAAATATTATACTACTATTCTCGTGTATGACAGGTAAGAAGAAGATTTTTAAAGTTTTATTTGTGACTATGTAAGTATGGTTGAATGATTGAAGTGATATCTATAGCACTTAGTGTTTTCTTGACAATAAATGGACTACATGGTAAGTCCAAAAAACTGAAATTAAAACATTGGGTCAGTTTTTTCCATGGAGTGAAAGACTGATGTTCACCTTTATGAGAAGCTATTAGAGTGGCAAAAACTTATTCATTTGTCTGAAACAAAACGTGTAAGATTTTTCCCATATGCAAGATTTTACCTTTATTTTTTTTTTTTTTTGAGGGAACAAGACCTGTATGTCTCTGGGTATATAAGGCTGTACATGGCTTTCATTTACCGCCACAATAATAGTATGACCCATAATATGAGCCATACAGCCCTGTTTGTACTTTCCCTTTATTTAGCCTAGGTGTCCCAACAACATTGCATAACTCTGCCAATTTTGGGGGAATTTTTCGGGGGGGATTTTGTTCTGGGGGTGCACATAATTTTCTGTCTATTTCAACTATTATTTGGGAAATTGGTTTTTGGGTGCACACATTTTCTGTCTATTTTAAGTCATTAATTAGTATGTGGTGATATTTTCTGTACTTTCAGTCTACAATATATCTGAATATGATAGAAATTCTTAGTATCTGTGTAAGGCATAGGTTATGACGTGTCAAACCGATCGAAATGTCGAGGACATCACTTAAAATCTTAGACTTGCCCATTCATACTATAGGGGTTAGATGTTTTTTATAATCACGTATAAATAAACGACCGACGTTATTGGTACCACCAATTCAAAAACAACAAATTTATTGAAGTAATACCGTACGTCAATTCTTAGTTTACCTACCAGAGATAGATTACATGTTACTGAAATTTACAAATTTGGCAAAGAAGTATAAACAACACCCCTAAATTATTTTTGGTTGAGTCGAACCGGAACTTTAAAATGGCGTCATTAATTCTGGGATTTCCCCTAGAAAAACCGCATCTACTGCACGTACGAAAGTGTGACGATACTGTACGTACATGATTGTGTCCAGTGTAGCACATAGTACATACGCAACTTCCCGTCTTTGAGTAGTTTCATTTTGATCGTCATGAAATAGCACTTTTTCTGCATTCTTTGCCCTCATATAGACAATTCAAGCTTCGCTGGAACTTTCACAAGTTCGGTATATATAAGATTATCTGGTTGAAATCGGTGAAACTCAAGGTATTTCAGTCGCATTCGGTGAGGAAATTTGAGAAGAGACAAAGCACGGAGAACAACATGACCGCCGTGTCCGGGTGTTCTGGTCGCGGGCAAATGACGGCCATGCAACGGCCCGCTGGCGGGTCCGCACGACGCCCAATCACCTACGCCCGTGACATTCCGCTAACAATTAGGAACGACATATGTCGGATGCTGGACGTTTCACACGCTTGGATAAATCTAGGTGAGTGGAAGTCACGGTTTTCCGACACAGTTAGGCCACAAGCTGGAGCATAGTAAACTCAGTTTTCATAGAAAAGGGACAATAAAGGAAAAACCTTGACTGTCGACGGCGTTAAATTTTCAGTGCCAGTGGTTTTTTGTCTTCTGTTTGTTGTAATTTGTATAGAGGAAATTAAAGTCCGGTTTGCCAATGTGTATGTTTCCTGGAGTATTAAAATCCTTATGAAAAGAAACGACATTTCAGTGAGTCACCAATAAGCCACACTTTCAATGGTCAAATCTAGTAATATAATCGGTTCATTTTTATCCCTAAAACTTTCCGGGTCTGTAAGGTTTTTTTTTCCAGGAAATCGACCGTGAAGTGCGTGCTCTCAGTTTGGTTTTAGCATGGAGGTAGGAATAGATCGTGTTTGATGTTTGATAAAAAGCTCATGTAGGGAAACAACATCGATCATGTGTAACGTGTGAATTTGGACATGGAGGAATACAAAATCCATGATTTGGATAACGTTTGACTGTCAACCGACACACAAGGGAAAGTTTAAAGGAACGGTTTATTCCTGTATTGGATTTGTCTGGATTTTTGGGCTATAAACAATGGATTATTTACGGAGCAATGATAGAGTGATTTCCTGCCATGATAGATCAGTGCACTCAAACGGTAGCAGGAAACCTATTCATAAAGTCGAATATGTTGGAGATTTACCTCTTCAAACCCGTCTAAATCTTATGCATGCACTTGATCATGTCGACGAAGAAGACGACCAAAGCAATTGGAGGAACCTAGGTAAGGAAAAGTGTAATAATATCTGCTCATGTGTGCGCACCAAGATTGCGAACTGAAAATTTGTCAAAACTATTTCCTGACTATATGCGCTTGTCAATTGATAAGGACTTTAAAAAGGACTTTAAAAATTGCACCTTTAAGATGAAGTCATGTGACCAATGATGACATCACTTGTCAATGCACACATTTGATATGTGGTCTTTGAGTGTGCTAAGTTTGGAGTCGATCTGATTAAAGACGGTGTCAATTTTATAAGTGAAATAAAAGTTTAATAATTTATAAAAGATCAGTTGATGACGTCACTGTGATGTCATTTTGGAATCGGCATACATGTATTAATAACATTATCTAGCTACCCACCAAGTTTAATGACGATCGAACCTTCCCTTCCATGTGTTTTTTAAAAATTTGCAATTTTGATGACGTCATGATGACGTCATACAGTTTTTCAAAATTGTGTGCATACATACCAAACAAACCTAATTATACAAAAAGAATTTTGATATTAGCATGTTCTGTTTGTGAATATGACTTGAAGGTTCAAAAATTCAAAAAGCCATTCTAAATCACATGATGACGTCATAATGATGTCAGTCACCTCATCTATACCACGTCCCTGTCTATGTACATACAAAAAATCAACCCAACCCGACTTATAGTTCTCTTGATACAGGCCATTAAAAAATGTACCTTTGAGATAACGTCACACAACCCATGATGACGTCATGATGACGTCACTCTTCTATAGGTCTTATCTATAAGGTCTTTGTCTACGTTAAGTTTCGCTGGGATATGACTTTGTTTTATGTCAAAAGTGCCGGCTGGAATAAAACATGTACAAAGTCTATGGGATTTGGGGTGGAACAAAAAGAAGGAGAAGAAAGAAAAAAAATTAGAACAAAAACAAAGACTTTTCCGCAACTTATGAGGAAAAAAGCCAGTTTTCTCCAAAGCCGACCAGCGTTGGAAAAATACAATTTTTCTTTAAAATGTTGACACACCAGGAGCCACGATTTACAGGATGCTTATTTTAGACTGTCATTCCCTAACAGTCCAGTAAGGTATTTTGTGATAATTTGATCATTTTGTTTTGAGATGTTTGCAAATGTTGTATCTTCCCTTCAAGTTCATGAGAGATTCTTTATCACAGGTTGTCTGGCTTAATGTTTGCCATGATGCTTCAGACAAATGATGGATGATAATTTCAACATTTTGGGGAGAACAAGTGTTTAAGCCCTTGTACGGAAAATTTAGGTCTCATATTTGCTGGACATGCATACATGTATGTATGCCAGATTCATGCTCCAGAGGTTTCATTTTCAATCTCCACTGTTGTGAACCTTAAACTGTTTCAGATCACAGCACATGTACATGTACATGAATGTCGGTAGGAAATGAATTGTTGCGATAAGCTTGTCCCTAGTTATCTAAACAATTTCTCAACCATCATCCTAAAATGCCTTCATACACTGTGTTGTCTTTATGTGGAGATTTATTTATGTATTCCATTTCTTTATCCAGGGTTTGCCCAAACAGTAAAGTGAAATTCACAGGGAAAAAGTGCATCGGTGAAACTAACTACGAACATTAATACGCACAATATTTTAAAAAAATATTTACACAAAGAAAGCTATCTACACAAATTCATTTTAAACAGTAAAGTATAAGGCTTGAATTGTCAATTACGGGTTGGGTGATAACCCTTCGAAAAACCTCTTAGGGGAAAAACACAGGGAAATTCCCAATCCGAGATTGACACACGTATGGTTAAATTTCTAGGAATCCATACATGTACATTGCACATAAGATAGTTGTGGTTTCCGGGCCATGTATGCCATTTTGGTTATTTATTGGAGTATAGAAACAAGGGGGGACAAACTTGAAAAACACTTGTTTCTGAAGTTAAGAGGTACATGTAAGCATGCCTTCGTTGTGTTCATGTTGAAAAAAATCATGTTACTGTTGGAGAAACTCTTGTTACCTTGATTAGTGCCACACCTGATATCGTAAGCTGTTTAAGTCCTGGCTAGCCTGAACAGTGCCTCCTGGTGTCGATGTCTAGCAGCTTGTAACTCCCCCACCCACTCCATCACACCCCCATACAACTTGAGTGACATCCTTTTTTTGGGGGGGGGGACAAAAAAGATACAAGATAATGAGACAAGGCTATATTTGCCGTTTACTGTGTATTTTTTTCTTCATGATATTAGGATGTACTTTTGACCTTTGAATGCATATACATCTTATTGAGAGTAGCAGCACGTCAGCCATGTGAGCTGATGTGTGTCCCTGGACTAAGTATTACCAATGCTCAGTTTCTTAATTGTCATCCTCCGTTAACCTGCAATATACCATGCATCCCCGTTTTCTATTTCCCATGTTTGCAGCATTGCTAATGTTGCTAGCAACATGACTTTTGGCGTGATCCCTGGTTATATGGCAAACAGGTTTATGACGCTGACAAATTGGGGAACCGCCAACTTAGAGTTGGATAGCTCAGTTGGTAGAGCTTATTGGAACGGCAATCCGGAAGTCACCATGGTCACAGGTTCAAACCCTGCTCCAGTAAATTTCTTTGTTCAACTTTGTTCAAAAAATTATGATTATGCATGTATAGTCAGTTTCCCTTTTCATTTGAAGAAGAAAAAGATCAAACCAAAACATTTTAAGATGGAAGTCACAGGTTCAAACCAAAACAAAACAACAAAAAATAAAACAGGTTTTTTTTTTCACATCTGAACAATCTGCTTGTGTATTTACTGTCTCCAGCTGGTCGCCTTGGCTTCAGCAATGATGAAGTACAGAGCTTCAAGCAGGCCTTGTACCGCATGGCCGGCAGCCCGACAGACGAGATGCTGACGGTATGGGATTACGGGTGCCACACCATCACCGAACTCTATCGCAAACTGTTTGAAATGAAGCATGCTAGGTGCATGATGCTTCTCAAGGACTTTGGTAAGCGATCCAGACACATTTTTTTAGTATTCGCTTAGCGTAACCGTGACGTCACTCAGAGGTCAGCTCGGTGCAGATATGTGACCTGTTCTGTCAAAATCAGACTTTTCTGGGCATAAGGTCGAAACTGATATTTTTACATATTGTTAACATATGTTCTTTTTCCTTTTAATAGGTGGTTTAATTTTTGAAACCGGTCATTCCTGGGCAGAGTTATGCTATTTTGAAGTTCATTTTGTCGAAAAGTAGAAAACGGAGAAAATGGCCACAAACGTCACAAAACAGTTATTTCTTTAACTGATAGGCCTATACCTTATCAAAATCATCAAAAATAGTATATGTAGAGTTCAAATTAGGCTTTCAAAGTTTTAAAATATATTTTAGACACGTTCGGGATTACAAATATGCAAAAATTTGAAAATCCATAAAAATCACCCCCACAGCTTTTTTTGGCCCTATCTCAATTTCAACCTCTGCCCAGAAGCGTCTGCTTTTGACAGAACAGGTCACATATGGTTACGTGTTCACGTGCAGTCGCACACAGCAACAGCCCAGTAAACACCGTGGTTTCGCTACAGCTGTTGTGAATCCGTTCCATAATTTGCTTGATTCTCCTCATGGAAGCAAAAACTAAGCACAACTGTGGTTATAACTGGTGTGGTGTATGTTAAACGTATGGGTACTGTAATGTGTCGTTATTAAAGAAATGCACGTGAACCGTTGTCAAGGAAGTGAGCCATGACCCGGGAAGGAGACGTCACACTTTCTCAGCGTGTTACAATCAGGGTTGGATGCAGAATTCGAAATCCTCTTTAGTTTTGTGTCTCAAATCTGGGGGAAAACTTCATGAAAACAAAACTTCACAAAACTCTGCTAAGCACCAAAATAACTTGCTGAGCAAAAACAGGCTACCAGCTGAATTAGTGTCATGCAATGTGCATTGCTTGTGACTGGTTTCCAGCTGATTGATGCTTAGCAGACAAAATTGCGAAGCACACTTTTCTGTGTAGCAGCTCCAGTTCATATTGTATGATTGTAATGATGTTTTTTTGGTTTTTTTCCGGGTTCCTCTTCAGTTGATCCTAGCCTACATCACTTGATCAAGGAAGTACAAGGAGTGCAGCCGACCGACAACGATAACGACTCGGCATCCAATGTGCACCAAGGGCACTCCCAGATACCTCCAGTTGTCTATGTCCCTGGTAAGTCTAGCAAAATTGTCCAAAATAAAATATAAAAAACTTTGTTTGCCAGCTGTTTTGTTATTTTTGATGGTTCTAGGTGACCCATTAGTCTGAGTGAGAAGTGGGGACTGACAAAAATTCATAGGTGCTTGTTGTGACAAGTAGACAAACTTGATGTCCCGTTGAACTTGATGCAGAAGACCACAAAGTTAGTTGTTATTTTTTCCCAAGCCTTTCAATTTTGGTGACCATTATTGGTCTGGTTTGAATCTGAATTGGTGCTCCGAGTCGGTTAATTTACTTGATCTCGTGGATTATCCTCTGTGATAATCTTAAGGTTTTCCTTTCAGACTTGTCAAAGGGGATTTTTCAAACATGCCCATTCTCAAACATGCCCACGACTGTTGAATTCTGGATGCTTAAAAAAAAATCAATCAATTGCACTTTTGTTTGATGTATCCATCAGATTTTAGCATGCACATATTTTCCCCTCATCAGGTGCAGGAGGCCAACCTCCGTATACAGCAGACGGGCCGAAATCATCACAGGATTCCACGGCCACTGGGGGCCACCAACCACATCACCGCAAGCCTGGCCAACCCCAGGCCACTCAGGGATCCTGGAACGGTGGACCTGATGAGCATCAAGCTGGGTCCTTGGCCGTCAAGAATCAAGGAAGGAGAAGCGAGGGTCTGACTGCCAACATGAACAAGGACTCCTCGGAGAAGGTCATCGGGCTGGGCTCACCGTTCCAAGGCTGGGAGGGGGGCTCCAGCAGTGCCAACAACAAGAGCGGGAACCGAGGGGAGCTGATCAGCGGTGGCAGCGATGGGATTGGCAGCAGCCAGGTGATGGGAGAGAAGGAGAGACTGGAAAACTGTAAGTTGTGGCGAGGTTTTAATGTCCATCAGTGCCTTCCAGTGCTATCCTGGTACTGTGATTGTTTGCTCAGTCATAGCCAGAGTTGTGGTCAATGGTGTAGCCAGGGGGCTGCAGAGTGACAGAGCACAGTGGGTTAGAGATTTTAAAAGCAAAATCGGGACGCTGATAGAAGCAAAATCAGGATGGCGAAAATGGATCATAAATGCAAAATCGGAACTAAAACCCTGGCTAGGCATCTGGTTGTGGTCCAGTCCATCTGATCATCCATCTGAAAAAAAGATATATTCTTAGTAAATTTCAATCCATGGTTTCAGTCTTGGCTGAAAACAATACACACAATGTGTGGGTTTTGACTTGGGCCCTAGTCAATTTCGGTAGCGGTACATATCTGGAGATCATAGACTGGAATCTTGCTTCAGAGACATCAGAGATTGACCGAAAGTGTACCTAGTCAGTTTGCGTCTGTGGATAATTTTAATGTCAGATTTTATAACTGATGAATCAGCATGACAAAATAGAATAAAAAACAAGGCTTGTTGTAATTCATTGTTGCATTGGTCCCTGTCAGTTAAATCCACCGGTTTCATGAAACTGTCCTCCCATATTTACTGTTTACACCCTTTGTTTTGTCAACAGATCAGGACCAGTCTGCGTTGAGTTTGACAATCCATATCCCTTATGATGATATCGTCAAGGCAACCAACAACTTTAACGGCACCTACAGGCTGGGGGAGGGTGCGTTCGGCACAGTGTACCATGCTGTTATTAATCTGACGAACTACGCCGTGAAACGAATGAAACAGGTGGGTGTGTTTGTATGTGGCAGAGGAAGGCGTGTGCATTATTGGTTTTTCAGAGTTTATAGTGTACCACCACAAAAATATGGCAGTATTCGGTATTAAAGTGTACTTTTCTGGGCAGACTCTTATGTTGTCAAAATACAATAAGGCACGTGGTGTTAGGGAAACTGCAATCAGGCAGCGTGGGCAGAACATCAAAGGCCCTGCTGGATATAGCGCAGTTTTCACCTTAGAGATATCATGACCACAATGAATTTAACTAACTATCCATATATACATGTACAATGTTGTGCGGGGCCCAATTTCTTGGCTCTGCTTAACTTTACCGAAAAATACCTGCTTACTATAGCAGAAAATTCTGTGCTTACGGTAAGCGTGTTTCACACCTTAGCGAGGAATTTTTGCTTCTGTGCATACGTATATCCAGTAACTAAGGATTCTGTGCTTACGGGTTAGCACAGAATGTTTCTGCTAGCGCGGTTACTACAAAATTTGTGGTCATAAGCACGAAATTCTGTGGTTAGCAGAGCCAAGAAATTGGGCCCAGATCTGACCAAGTTGTTTCTGCACCTTTTTAAGAAGGGCTTTTGCACACATCTTGTCTACTTTAAAGAGGCAAAATTGCAGCAGTGAAATTTCAATACAGGGGTTGTCGGTATTTCAGTATTTTGACATCATTCGGTATTGTTCGGTAACAAACAAATACTGTCACTATACCATATTATTGCAATATAGTCCAAGCCTACTTTCAATTTGGAGTGTTTTAATAACTGCAGAATTTTCTTCGCAGTAATTTTGATATTCATATTTGTTCTGCAGAATGAGCACATGGGGTTTGAGACTAACAAGATCGCTCGGGCCGACCAGATGAAGGAACTGCGGGCACTCGTCACGTAAGTATATCAGCTTCTTTTTCCTGATTTGTTAGAGACTTTTCCTTTGGTACAATACGAGTGTATAATTTGGCAAATCTATGACCCAAGCAAAACTCGTCTGTGAACTAGTCGCAGCAATATTAATGAATGGGGCAATACCATATGCTGACTCACGTTACATTTGGAGGGGATGTTCAGTCAAGTCTGTGCTGTTAATCTATAAGTCAACGAACTGAGGGTGGATTTTTCTAACAGAAGATCCTTTGAAGTTAAGTTACTTTAACTACCATGACTACAGCAAAGAGGCCGACAAAATAAACTTCTGTTGGTTTGGCAATAAGTTTTTTATTGGTCACTCGATATTACAAGCAAACAATATGGCAAAAAATGTCAAAACCCTACATTTGAAAGTTTCCTCGATCATACTGTGCATTATGGAAACAAAATCTTGTTACTGGCTTTAGTGTAAGTCACACGCTACCATTTTAGTTGTTAAAAAGTATCAGTTATGAAATCTCTAGAGGGATATATTTCGGTGACTCACGTTACAGTTGGTCTGCTTATCTGTGGTACAAGTTAAAACATAGAAAAAAAACAGAAAATGAAACCAAAAAACTCTTCTTGCATCAAATATGAACCTTTCTCTCTGCCTTAAAGACAAAACCTCTCAACACTTGCAATTTGCATGTAAAAACAAGATGCCAAAATGAATTCTTAAATTCCATAATTTGAGCCATCTGTCGATGGGGGCACTGTTCAAAACCGACGATTATGCACACAAACGGCCAATATATGATGCTTTTCAGGGCGGTACATGTGCGAAATTCAGAAAAAGGCACCCACAACGGCAGATGCAACAAATAAGGCAACCACTTCTTTTAAAAAAGGGCACTTGTTCCGAAAAAATCGCACTTCTTAAAAAAAATGGCACTCTTTACAAATTATTGGGGGGTGAGCCCAAAAAAGGGCATTTGAATGCCGCTGGCCTCAGATTTGAATAAGAAGCGGGACACTCCTAATTTTTAAGTTGAAATTATTTAGTTAATTGGTTACTTATCTATTTTTTCAGACACTTATCTCATTATTACCCTTCACCATGCAAACCTTCAAATCAAATCTAGTTACTTATCGTCGGCCGATTCTTTTGCGCGATATCTCATTGGAAAGCTCATAACCAATGTAATGCTAGAAAATTATCAATTCAATTTGAAAATCTATTTTTCGTGGTGCCACACCCAAAAAACATATACCAACTTTAATATAACAATATCCGAACTGTAGTTGTTAAATAATAATCCTCTTGTTACTGATTTCTGTATCATTTTGCCCTTCCCAGTGTAACTACTTATGTAAAAGTCTATAAATAAGCACGTATTTATGAAAAAATTTAAATAGTTTCAATGAAATTTGTGACATGTTTAGGAGTTTCACTTTCTGTTTCCACGTGTGCGATAAGGCATGCCACACAAGTGTGTGAACAGGAAGTACAGTGGAATTCAACAGGAATTGCCCTAATGCATTTTTCCCAAAATAGCCTTTTGTGTATGCTGTATGGTTGAATGGTTACTGGGTGATATGTCCAAAAAAGAGACAATTCTACCACAAAACTCCCTGAATTCCAGTTTCTTGTAATGACATACCAAAGTTAGTTACCCCTTTCCACCTCCCCCCCCCCCCCCCTATTTTTGGGGGTTTTTTTTAAGGTAATATACAGCATTTGCTTTTGCTGTAATTTTCAGAAATTGATGGATTTTGGGATTACTGTTTTTAAGGCAAATATCTTTCCACTAACCCTTTTAAAGTTTGTGTTCATGGATGCCGGGACCCCCCCCCCCCCCAAAAAAAATTTCTGTTGTAGTCTGGTTCCCAACCCGACACTTCAGACGAAACGGAACAATGTATAGACATCAGGGAATTGTTAGGTCAGGGAACCAGACTTTATTTGCAATCAAAATGTGGACTTACTAAATTCAGTCAGTTGGGTAGTATTTGAAAAATGCCGTTTTTTTCCAACCATGGTTTAATTGGCTGAACCATCGTTGGAAAATGATACAAAATTCCACTTTTCTTGAAAATGACAGCATAGCAGGTGCAGTGATTTCACACAATGCTTTCTATTTAGTTACAGTCAAGTAAGGTATTTCATAATAATTTGGTAGTTTCATTTTATAATGTTTGCAAATGTTGTACAATTAACCTTTTTGCTGTAGAATCGCATCAGCTTGTGAAATATTGTCCAATTACATAATATACAAATGGACACGAAACGTGCAAAATCTGAGACAAACAAAATGTAACATACAAAATTCCATAGGGTTGTCTAAGAGGCGTGGCTAAGTCGTAAACAGCAATAGGTCAATTACCTTTAACTTTAAATTCCACATTGTGTTATTAATATAATAATGTTATAGTCGGTGCTGTTAATTTGTGATGGATCCCAAGTACATCACAAGTCTGTTCACAAGTAATCAAGAGAATCTATTCACAAGGGGATTAAAAAAATTAAAAAAACAAAAACCAAAGGAATTTTTTTGTTGCTGGTCATTGGCATAGCTTTTGAATTGACTTGGGACTGTATGACTTGTGATGCATAATTATCACCCCGACTACGACACTGCATTTGATATTTTCTCATTGTTTATTTTTTTTGTATTTCATTGTAGTTACCGCAACCCTTACATCGTGGCCTTGTGTGCCTTCTGTTTTGATGGCCCCTCCCCATGTCTGGTCTATGAATTCATGGAGAACGGATCCCTCGAAGACAACCTGCTATGCAAGGTGAATTCACTCAGTAACCTATACTAAGATTTTTAGCACAGCACAAAGCCGTTCTTGAAAATAATTTTATCCTATCAAAAAAATTAACAGGTGTTATCGAGTCAGTCACAAGTCTATGACCACCAAATCAATAGTAAAATTGTGAATAAGGTCACAAGTAGATAGGGATGAACAACAACTAAGGACTGCATTTGTCACTGTTCATTTGATTAGCTTGTGAGGTGAGTAGAGACTGTAGGACTTGCGATTGATTAATAATGAGCTTACATGTGATTGACTTGTGATGTGTCTTGTGATTGACTTGTGATTGACTTGTGCTTGACTTGTGCTTGACTTGTGCTTGACTTGTGATGGACTTGTGCTTGACTTGTGATTGACTTGTGATTGACTTGTGATTGGCTTGTGATTGGCTTGTGATTGACTTGTGATGTGTCTTGTGATTGACTTGTGATTGACTTGTGCTTGACTTGTGATTGACTTGTGATTGACTTGTGATTGACTTGTGATATGTATTGTGATTGACTTGTGATTGACTTGTGATTGACTTGTGATATGTAGTGTGATTGGCTTGTGATTGACTTGTGATGTGTCTTGTGATTGACTTGTGATTGACTTGTGCTTGACTTGTGATTGACTTGTGATTGACTTGTGATTGACTTGTGATATGTATTGTGATTGACTTGTGATTGACTTGTGATTGACTTGTGATATGTATTGTGATTGGCTTGTGATTGACTTGTGATGTGTCTTGTGATTTATAATTGAATTGTGATTGACATCATTTTAACTCTTACAGATGTTGAAACAAAAAACTTGCATTGATTGTAACTGTGTACTTAATGTATTCATGATTACAACTCTTAAAAAAAAATACTTGGAATGAATAATAATGAGGAAAGTAAAGTTTTCCATTTCCTGTCTGGACTCTATGCACCTTGTAGGCACAGCGTGGTCCCTTAGACTGGCGAACAAGGCACAGGATTGCTGAAGGTGCTGCATTGGGAATCAACTTCCTTCACAAGGCCCAGGAAAAACCACTGATCCATGGTGACATCAAGAGGTATGGATACCTGTCATGATTGTTTTAATTGGGCCTTTCTTTATGACATTGTAGTATTTGTGCAGAGCTGAAAGGGAAGGGCAGGCCCTTGCCAAGGGGGGGGGGCCTGGCAGGCAATTGGCCCCCCATCGGCAACAACCATGCAACCATGTATTTATGTATTTTGTTTCTTGTAGTGTGCCCCTCCTCCCCCCCCAAAAAAAAAAATGCCCGGAGCTGGCGACGGCGCTGGGGAAGGGTGTTTTACTCAGCGTTTTAAGACATTTGACCAAAACAGTGACAAAAATTCCACCCAAATGTGAATTTCCTTCATAATTCCCAAAATAAGGATTGCCATTTTGAGCAATAGACATTTTTCAAAACATGTGTTAAATGGTAGACAAATTAGGTCTCATAATTATGCTGGGGACATTTTCGCAAATCAGGTACGCCAAAAATATTGCTTGGGGGTTAGCATGCTGAGTGAAAATCAGCAGAGAACTTGTCGTAACCTTTTTTGTTGTTGTTTATTTGACATACCCTGGTTTTTCTTGTTTAAGTTAGTTATATAACAACTAAACATGTACTCTTGTAGTTAAACAGAACAAAATAATATTTCTCATAGATCGTATTTTCGCATTTTGTTTTGAATCTTTTTGGTTTTCTCAACAACAGTGCCAACATACTTCTAGGAAAACACATGGAGCCGAAGATAGCAGACTTTGGCTTGGCCAGGTTTGGCCCAGAGGACGGCAAGACCTACTGCTACCTGAAGACCAAGAACGCCCACGGAACCTTGCCGTATCTCCCTGAGGAGTTCAAGCGAAGCTTCAAGCTCTCGACCAAGGTGGACGTCTTCAGCTTTGGCGTGGTGAGTGTCAACAACATAAACAACAACAAACAACAACAACACATTGGATCAGGTTCAACCCTTGAACCAAATTAATGCATTTCCAATTTTGAAAATTTTCTACATCGAGGCCGCACATTCAGTTTTAATTTGATAGTAACATGTGTAACCCAAACAAACAATCATGTTTTTATTGGCAAAGATTATTAATCCCAAATTTTGACGCAATCTTAACATTCATTTAACTTTGCCGAAGTCACTATTAATTGGTACGTTAATGCAACATCACAATTACAAAGATCACGTGGTAATGTCTTCCATGGACAAGAGACATTATGATGATCTCATCACCATCAGCTTATCTGATACATGTACATCAGCTTAAAGGGCCCATGTAAAGCAATGTCTCTAGCTGCAACCCTTGAAATGTACCTTTGTGTCCCATTTAAAGGGAATGTACATCATTGGCTTTTGCTGTAATTTTCAGAAATGAACTATTTTGAGTGGTTAGTATAATAGATCAAAATATTGTTACACTGACCAAGGGCGTATCCAGGGGGGTGCCAAAGGGGGCCATGGCCCCCCCCCCCCCCCAAAAACGAAACCAATTTTTTTTTTTTTTTATGTGGCATCGCAATAAAGGCAGGCAATAAGTACACCACCATCTTTTCCTCAAAAGAACATTGGTAAAGTGGTCAGAAATTGCCTCAGATCGCACCACAGAGCATCTAGAATCCAAAAAAATTTTTGGGGGACCAAAATTTTTGTTGGCCCCCCCCCCAAAAAAATTGTGATCTGGATCCGCCCTTGACACTGACATGTTTGAAGTTTTGTGTCCGAAAATGCTCGAAAAAACCAAGAAAAACAAAAATGTTCAAGTAGTCTGGTTCCCTGACTCCACTAAAGATGAAATGGATCAATTTATAGATGCCGGAAAATTGTAAGGTAAGGGAACCAGTCTAGCTGGCCTGCACCCATTCATGAACATGTAACCAATAGCAAACACAATTTGAACTGAAACAAATGGTAAATATGGAGCAGTAGTTGAACAATAGTTAGGTTTTTCCAACGGTGGTCGGCCGACCACCGTTGGAAATGTATACAAAAATACCATTTTCTTGAAAATGACTTCACACCAGGTGCCGCAATTTTACAGAATGCGGCTTGTGACTGTCATTTACCAACATCCTAGTAAGGTATTTCGTAAAAACTTGGTAGTTTTATTTTTCGATGTTTGCAAATGTTGTATATTCCCTTTAACTCAATTGTAAGCTTCATCATATTGGCATTTTCCAGGGCATTTTGGTGCCTGTTTTGTTTTTATTGTAATGAAGATTTCCATATTCATGAGCAAAACATGTGATGTCATTTAAGGCAGAAACTTCAGAGTCACATCTGCATTAGCATGCAAAGTCCCTAGAACTTTTGGGGGTTTGCTGTGGTTACTTTTCTGCTTTCAGTCATTCATTGTTGTTTAAGAACATTAAGACAATGAGAAAACTTTATGCATAAATGTTTTCAAAAAGCAGAATTTTGAATTACAAACCCTAATCTGAAGAGTGTGTGTTAGAAAAAGCATGAAACATTTTAAATGTTTTTTTAAAAAATGCACTTCGCAATTTTTTTACCAAAAAACAAATGTCTCAAAGTTTTCATACATTTCAGAGGAATGGATATTTGCTTCAGTGTGAAATTTGTTTAATGGACTCCTTACTGGCGCATCAACATTTTAGAAAAATTGGATGACATCATTATGACATCTTGAAAATATATTTTCTTTTCTAAACACATGCGATACAAGGTTCAATCGTCATGAGATTTAGTCGTGCAAAGTATGCAAATTAAAAGTGATGTCATGATATAATCTGTTGCTCTTTAGATTGTTAAGTGTTTAAATTTGGATTATTCTATACAACACATTTAATCGTTCAGAAAAAACAACTGAAATACTTTCAAAAATAAACAGAGTATGAGAAATTAATAATAGTAAAACATATTAATCATTTATCACTGCAATGAGAATGGATACAATTTGTTAAGTAATACATGTTGAATTAACCCAAACTCTTATGCATTTTTGTTGTGGAAGCTTCGCGAATCCAGAAAGTATAAATGAACCAACTCTTTTCTTTTATTGACCTACCTTTCAGGTTCTGATGGAAATCCTTGCCGGGGAACGAGTATCAGACAGCAGACGTGAACCCAACAAACTATTGGTAAAAAGAACATCCCTTACTAGAACCGGGAACCTTCATTAAGAACTGATAACCTTAAATCTTTAAGAAATGAGAACCAAAAAACTAAATTAAGAAATGTGAACCTTAAATTAATAAGAGATAAGAACCTGAATCCTTATTAAGCACTAAGACCTTGGTCCTTTTAGAACTAAGAACTTAAAACCTTAAGTAAGAATTAAAAACCCTGACACCTTAATTAAGAACTAAGAACATGAAACCTTTATTAAGAACTAAAAATAACTTTGTCCTTTTACAACTAAGAACTTAAAACCTTAAGTTAGAATTAAAAACCCCGACACCTTAATTAAGAACTAAGAACCTGAAACCTTTGTTAAGAACTACAACCTTTGTCCTTTTAGAACTAAGGATGTAAAACCTTAAGTAAGAATTAATAAGCATGACACCTTAGTTAAGAACTATGAACCTGAAACCTTAATTAAGAACTAGGAAACTTAAAGAATAAAAGACCCGGAACCTTTTTTTTGTCTACTAAGAACCCTAAACCTTTAATAACTAAGAACCTGAAAACCTTTAAGAGCTAAGAACCTGAAACCTTTGAGAAGTAAGAACTTGAAAAGTTTTAAGAACTAAGAACTTGAAATCTGTAAGAACTAAGAACCTGAAACCTTCAAGAACTAAGAACCTGAAACACTTACATATTTTTTAAGAACTAAGAATCTTAATCATTTGGGGAAAAAAACCTGAAACTACTTGTAAGAAAAAAAACAAAAGCTATATTTATAAAAACTAAAAATATTTGCTAAAGTTTGCTTTTTGAAAATTTGCATCCCTTATTTTGATTATTTCAGACCGACATTGTAGAAGAGGCCATGGAACTGGAGAAGCAGCAAAAAGGTGTGATAGAGAGGATCCGAGACCGACGCTGTCCAGACTGGCCCTGGGACATCGCCTGGTACCTGCTGGATCTAGCCCTCAAATGCACCAGGTCAAAGTTCACACAGCGGCCAGAAATAGTTGAGGTACAAGACCTTTAACCAGTTCACGCCGAGATTATTTTGACATGACCGGACCCAGGCGCGGGATTGTTTTTCACGAACCTCGATGCAAGACAGGTTCAGGCCTTCATCTGCGGGTAGCACACCCTGATATTTCCAGCCTCGCTTGCTGCAGGTCGCAGACAGATAGGCCTCGTTTGCGTGAAAGTTATCCATCATCCGTTATGAATGCCGCAAAAATTTGCGTGTATACATGTCATCCGACGATGTTTTTATCGTCTTGCTGTTTTTGTACCCGTTGGGTTTTCGGTTTGTACGGTCTTTCAATTTTTCTGTCCTTTTTACGACACTGTTAATCAGTGTCATAATTTGTTCTTTTTGCTCTTTTTGAGTTTTTTTGCTTTTAGTGTGTTGGCAAATTTCTGTGTTTTTTTTTAATTTCACCAGTTTGCATGCAGCACACTTGTTTACTTAACGCATTTTTGTTTGTTAAAAATGATTGAACATATTTGGAGTCGTGAACTTGAGTGCTGTAACAATCACTATCATGTAAGACTGTATTGCAAATTTTCATTGTCATTTTTTTTTCATCCAAATCATTTTCAGGCTGTCAACACTTTGAGAGACATCGCTGCTGAAATTGCTAGACGTGATGAAATGCAGAAACGCAGAGAAGGTAGCCTCTTCTATTTTGTTAAAGATATTCTGTGAGCATCTTTCCCCTACCCCTCCTGTTTTTTGTTTTTTTTACTTAACAACAAACACTGGTATCTAATAAACTATACTTGTTACAGACATCCTCTTTCGTTCACAAAGTATTATTTTTATCGAACGATACTTGGGGGAAATCCCCTTTTCTTCCTTTTGTTTTACTGTCTTAATTGTATAGCCTCTGAATCTTAATGAAATCAAAAGAGTATTCCCTAGGGAATTCAGAAAAAAGTACACACATCACTTTAATATTGTTCAAGAAAATGTATTCTAAGTTTTTGTGAAATGTGATTTCCTTATCGTAAACATTTGTCTTTTTCGATTTTGACAGAATATCCTGTGCAGGATACCAAGCGCCGAAGCCCCGAAGGTTTCCAGGATCAGTACTACACACCCCAACCCCAGAGGTACAGCCCGCCCTCACATGAGGCATCGGTGAGATACGCATCGCAAACCGGGCCAGGCGGGGTACCAGTCAGACGGGACTTGAGCATAGAGTCCAACACTGCGGTGACACGGCCGGGGCCGGTTCCCGATCCAAGGTACGAGGCGAGCTATCAGCGGCACCCAATGCAGCAAACAGGGATGGGATATAATCAAGGTCGCTACCCAGCACCTCAGGGGTACGGAGATCCGAGGCTCAGCTATCAGCAGCCGGGTATCAGGAGGCACACATCATCGGAGACGTCAGATGACAACAACCTCTTCAGCGAAGACAAGCTTGATTTCTCATCTATGTCATCCTCACTGACATCTTACGACATGTCCAGGGTGGGGGATCCATCAATGTGCCAACCACTTCTGTATCAGAGTCAGTCATCTGTGCCCTCCTCGGTCAGCTATCAGCACCAGCAGTCAAATCCTTACAGTCCTCCTGTCTACGACGTGAGGCACCCGGACCCAAGGCAGCTTTACCCAAGCCATCAGAATCCGGCCGGTTACCATACCCAGACCTCCCAGGGCTACCCAGTGTCACAGCAAGGTGGGTCCCAATACCAAAACCCCCTGTGCTCCTCTATGGTTGGTAACGTCAGCCCCTACCAGGATTCCAGGTACCAGACTACCGAATCCAGTTACTACGCGACTCAGAATCCTGCCGTCCACTCAACATCAGAGAGCCAGCGACGCCAGGAGAGTCTGACCCTCCAGGATCACATGAGGCAGCTTGACATCTCACAGCTGCCTACCAAGCCACTGGGAGGTCCGACACAGCAAGATGCCCCTCCAAAACTCCCAACAGACCGTCCATCCCAGCAGCCTGCCTTGGTCTCAGCGGGGATCCCCAGGAGAGAACCAGAGCAGAACACAGACATCATCCCTGGATACAAGCCTGGAATGAAGGAGAAGTCGTTCAAACCTCCCCTGGTGGCAACGATTAGCGAGGAGAGTGATGAAGAAGCCACCCCACTGCGTACCTCCCTCACCACCGCCGAGATGCAGCAGTATCTGGCAGGCAAGCCTCGCGAACCAAGCCAGCAGACGGAGAAAATGTCAGAAAGTCCAGCCAAAGTGGCTTCAGCTGCCCCAAAGGAAAACACTACCGCAGCAACAGGAGAGGAAGCATCTCCACTTAAATCGTCCCTGACCACAGTCCAGATGAGGCAATACCTACCCAGCAAGCGAGAACCTACCGAGGAAACAGAAGGAGAATCGGCCACCAACAGATTGGAGGAAGCCTTAGTGTCTGCCTCGCATCATCGAGACAGGAGCTCACCCAGGCCAGCATCTGCCACCGAAACACCAGACACAGGCCCCCTTGGGACCAGCGATGACTGTATGTATGAAAAATCCGATCTGCAGTCTTCCCTCACCACTCAACAGATGCGACAGTTTTTACCAGGTCGGCGGGAACCCAGCCAAGAGACAGAAACGGGACCGTCAGTCAACGACAGAACAACCGTTCCTCCAAGTCAGAGATCTGTTGAAGAATCGGAGGTTTGCTACTCAGCTCCACCCAACATGGCGGCACCCTTAGCCCAGAGAGCTGACTTCGCTACAAGAAGGGAGCCACAACAATTGACAGAGCCACTGAATGGTAGCCACTAAAAGGGTACGGTGCATGCCAGAAATATGTCACCAACTTCAAATACCACGTGCCAATTTCAATAGCATAGCTTCATACGGCCGTGAAGGGCAAAACCTAATATGGCCTTAAAATCAACCCGACAAAAAAATTCCATCTTATGAATAGCATAGCTTGTGCTAGCAAAACAGCTGCACACTTGCACACACGTGGAGATTTCTGTTGTGTCTGTTTTTTATAGGCTGCTCTGAAGTTTTTGAGCTCTTTGCTGGCTTGTTGCCCATGGTGCCCTTGAAATGGATAGTGGTCTTCCAAGCAGAAAATGGTGTCCGTAGTAGCGCAATGACATCGTGCTCAGATCATTTTGATAAGTGTACAACATATTCAACTCTCAACTCTGTATTATAAACTAAAAGTTTGGTGCTCAATACAATAAATGTAAAAAGTAGGACTGTCTTTAACCTATACATCTTTTCACACATTTTGCACAAGAAAACATTTAGTTTTTATTTTAATTTCAGGGATTTAGCAGTATTAATGAAAGTTTTCTTTGTGTGACTTTTTTTTTGTTAAGTAAAAGTTTGCATGAATTAAAGATATCGCCTTATGTCATCTTACAATTGGTTGGTCTATACTGTGAACATATATATGCATTTCAGTGGTTAGATTGTTCTAAATAGGAACAGCTTGTAAACACTGAAAATTGTCACTTGTTTGATTTCATGAATCTTTGAAAGTTGACTAGTTTCTTTTAAACCTGATAACGTGTCATAGAACGACGGCAACTTTGCAAATGAAGTTATATTTGTGGAGGGACACAGTTTATACACATTGTATATAAAGTGATTATTAACAGAATTTTGGGTAACAAATTTCATTTTTTGGGGTCAATCTAAGAATGTTCAAGATAGATGCTTAGCTGCTTTGTAAAAATATTTAGTCAAGACCTTGTATAGTGCAAAATTCCTTAAGTGCATTTGTAAAAAGAAAAATAATTTGTAATTTAATATCACTATATTAAAACTTTCAATAAATAAATTCGAAATTTATACTACTGTTAGGGTTTTTCCCTATTTTTATTTTTATTATTATTTTTTTTTTGGGGGGGGGGGGAGGGTAGGGTTGGGGGGGGGGGAGTAGTGACCGATTGTTGGAATTTGGCCAAGTGGTAACTATTTCTATCTTTGCGTGTAATACTAATTTGCTGAGCTCTCTCCACTTTTAACATTTTGAAATTTTAAGGGTATTAGAATTATACTTCTAATCTATTGTCAGCAAAGAATAAAGCATGTGTCAAACAATAAATATAAACTGGAATTAGTCATATTTTGTTTCTTTCTCTCAGTGTACACAATCGTATGCCGATGATTTCATTCCAAAGGAAGTGGTTTATATATTTTTTAAACATTATCATACTTTGAGGAACAAATACTTATTCGCTGGAAAGAAAGGGAAACATACTGAAGTGCCTAAAAAAAAGCTTAACCCACTAGAACGTGTACTACATTGAACTACATTGTGTATATTCACTGAAGAATCAATAAAACCATAGAATGCTCGGGCGGTTTGGGGTGCTACAGCGAGTGAGGCAGGGCGGTTTGGGGTGCTACAGCGAGTGAGGCAGGGCGGTTTGGGGTGCTACAGCGAGTGAGGCAGGGCGGTTTGGGGTGCTACAGCGAGTGAGGCAGGGCGGTTTGGAGTGCTACAGTGAGTGAGGCAGGGCGGTTTTGGGGCGCTACAGTGAGTGAGGCAGGGCGGTTTGGAGTGCTACAGTGAGTGAGGCAGGGCGGTTTGGGGTGCTACAGTGAGTGAGGCAGGGCGGTTTGGGGGCGCTACCAGTACATTGACTATAGGGTTTAAAAAGCCATCTCTTAATCAGGCAAAAATACACAACCAAACCAATCTCCTACATTTTCCTCAATTTATTGACAAAAAATTGACGAGCTTTAATTTAGAGTAATAAAGCACACAAGTAAAACGTCAACATTTTTGGAAACTTGTTTTATTGTGGATGCCATTTCCAATATTATGGTCTTGCATTTGTTAAACAATTTCCATATTAATGGTATGGAAATCACATATCGGTATGCATGATGCCAAAAAAAAAAACACCAAAATAAATAATTTATAACCAAGAACGGAAAGGTTTCTAATAAGCTATCATTGAAGTTGGGAATTGACGAAAATAAGATGCTAATATAACAGAATACACCAAGATATTCTTGGCCTCAAAGGCTATGAGATTGTTATGGGGGAAAATCTGTCCAATCATATATCTTAATAGTAGCAAGATAAAAATAAGGGTTTTATAACTAATCTTAAGATGTCTGGGAATTAAAAAAAAAACAGCTAAATTTTCATTCATGGTACATTAGGGGTGGTTCTGGTACTCGACAAAATTAAAAATACATCGCTGCAGATCATTACATCATCCTTAAAACTTCTGTGAAACATATTCCTGAGGCTTTGGTATCTTACTGTGAATATTTATCCAGATGTCACACTTGTGCCAATTTTCAGTTAAAAATAAGGTACCCAAAATATGCACCACATCAGAAATTGGAATCTAAAGTCTGCAAATAAAACATACTGAGAAATTGCAAATAACATTGGTTTTATTTTTTACCTTTCAAATGGTACAGATTTAAAAGTTATGGATAGAGTTTATGCAAGCTGGGGTCAAAGGTCACATTACAGACAATAGGCTTTTTTCAATCTTTGGACGTGTCTCCAGCTTTGACTTTCCATAATGTTAACCGTAACTCCCTAGCCTTTTTTGCTAGGTTGCAACCCTAATCCTGCAAAATCCTCCGTTTTTCAACGAGGATTTGGGAAGATTTGGGAAGGTTAGGGTTAAAGTGCATTGTGCTTAAAATCCAATGTTCATACTCTAACAATTATAAATCCACATATAATGAAAAGATGATCTGCAGAAGAGATAGGAGCTGATACTCCACCTGTATCTCCCACATCATGGACCTAAAAATAATGAAACTCGAGCATGAGGCGCTGGACACGAGGTTTGACAACACCTATTGTCTTGGGGGAGGGATGCTCTGAGAAAATTCTGCCAACTCTCAAGTCGGTACCACAACTGCCTCTGGAAAATCCTTTAATACACCATGAACCCAAACCCAGGAAAGTTTTCCTTTCAAAAGTACTAGGTTACAGCACGGATCCTCTACACAAGGATAAATGACTTCCCCAAATTTCTGGTTACATGTGTGATACATGGTTACATGCGGCCCATGCACATCATGCGTGCGCGTATGCGAGACTCGGCACACGACTGCAGTCAAACTACTGACGGGTTTCAATGAGATTTCATGTAGGCCGGCACTAGCTGTTGGGGATTCATGGCGCGCACACATTGTTCTACATGTTCTTTTCGTTGTTCTATGCGCGGACATGGCATATCACGCATGTAGACAATCCGTTCCGTGCGTTTTGTACAAAATGAGTCATTTATCCTCGTGTAGAGGATCCGTGCTTACAGGAAGCCACAAACTGACATATGTTGGTAACTAGTAAAACTATTTTTCATAGATGTATATTCACACTGATTTTAAAAGTTGATTGCCTTGCCGATGTACGCCGCCATGTTAGCCTCTCTGAAAGCCTCCGAAACCGTCTGCAGAAAGAGAAACAAAGAACTTGTCACAACTCACACCAAAAGACAGTTTAGCGGAGGATCTCTCTCGAGTTTCTTCCGTCTACTAAATTGCTGTGTGTTCCTTTGTATTGTATAATTTAGTTGGCCATGTAAAGCAAAAGCAATCAACAACAAAAAAACGACAAGCCCACCCAACATTGTTTCTTATTATTCTTATTTAACAACCAGCCAGCTACCCAGTTTTATCACAAGTACATCACAAGTCCAGTCACAAGTACATCACAAGTCCAGTCACGAGTAAATCACATGTCCAGTCACAAGTGACAGCAGATGAACAATAACAAAGGAATGTCTTTTGTCACAGTTTATTTGAATAGCTTGTGACTTGACTTGAGACTGAAAGACTTGTGATGGACTTGATTACAACGCTGCAGCTAACTTACAAGCTGAACAGCAATTCTTATTGCAAAACATTTTGGAATTGATAATTATTCTATTGAAGCACACCCTCTATAAGACAGCAAAGCTACATTTACCTGGGCTTGCAAATGAAAAACTTGCATAGTATGCTTATAAAAAGTAGGTCGTGCGGTAGATTATAGCACTGATGTTATCGCTCAAGCCATGGACCAAATGTAATTGCTCAAGACAGGAGGAGCATAAAACGCAGTAAAAGATGGTTTGATGTTTAGGGGAGCTTACCGGATGGGCATGGCAGACCCTAGCTACATCTTCACATGATGCTCCATATTCCATGGCCAATGCTGCTTCATTGATAAGTTCTCCAGCGTTGGGGCCCATGATGTGAGCTCCAAGCATTCTATCTGTGGTTGCATCGCTCAGGATCTTGACTAGTCCATCAGTGTCAGCTGTAAAGAGTTGACACAAAACGTTCAACAAAAGTTTGCTTGGATGTAGTGCACCAGTACCTCCTTAAAAGGCATATAGGATCATTTGCATTGATCTCAAATTAACCTACCAAATTATAATCAAAAAGCCTACTTAGATTAAAAACTGTACTCTGGCTTGCTGTCACTTAAAAGAAATCAGCAAATGTAGGTGATTTCCAACGATCAGTCAACTGACAGATTTTTCGGAAATATCGAGTACTAATATAATGAAATTGTGTTTCGTTATCACAAAGTTGTGCATGGTGTTTCACTGTTTTCTCGAAAAAGTGTAAAATCAACTAAGCTGAAACTTCAACAGGTTAGGTTTTGAACATTCTTCGTTGGATTTTGAGTGGTGTTATTATTGGAAACGAACACAATGCATGAAAAGCAAGTGATCCTATATGCCCTTGAGGGCAAGTCACATGAGGCAACTTGGAGGCAACCAAACGCACTGCAATAGTAAAGATACTTTGGGAAGAATAGATGTATGATTCCAACAGGTTTGTTGGAATTCCAGAGAACGGTACATGGAATAAAAAAATGTGTCAGTCAAAAATCAGGTCAATAAAAACAGAGGATGAACAATTCACTCTCCATTTGAACAACTTGTTGCTTGACTCAAGACGGGATGACTTGTGATTGACTTGCTGATAATAACATCTCAATACAAACCATGTCAAACATAACAGAGCAACTACCATCGCCTTCTGACTATGTGACCCACATTAGAATCCCATCCAAGTCTACATGTGGTTTTCAGTTTTCATTTCTTGCCTAATTCCATGTTTTTTCCCCCGTCATTCATATCATTCGAGGGGTTTCCTCTAAAACCTCTCAAAATGAACATGTGAGGCATTCTGGCAAAATGAGAGTGAACTGAGCACAAGCCATAGTGGAAAAAAAATGCAAAAATGAATTTTCAGATTTATCAACTTTGTAAATTTTTATGTGTCTACTACACATTTTTAAAAAAATTATTATATAAAATTGTGTGATAAAAGAGCTTTTAAGGAAAAACAATTGGCGCCTTTCATTTTCATGACTACAATACAGTTGAAATTTTACAGGCCTTTTTCTCAGTATTTTACTTTTTTGACAAGTTGATCAATGGGAACTTTAAACAGCCAAAAGTTGTAAACTGAATGTCCGATTGAAGTGCAACAAACAGTACTGTAAAGAAACTCTCATTTCAACGTCTGAGGCGTGGGCGTGCTCCCTGGCTACATGGCATATACAGGTTTATGGCTCCTGACTAGCGCCCCTTGAACAAAGACATGTCAATGGGAACTGCCAACATAGGGCTGGATACCTCACTTGGTAGAGTGTTGGAACGGAAATCCAGGGGTCGCAGGTTCAAACCCTGCTCTACTCAATTTCTTCATTTAACTTCGAAAAAATTATTTCCAGAAAAAAATGTGTTCTCACCGTTGGTTTTAGCTCTGCTGTTTGCAGCGAAGGGGAACTTGCCCACTTTGTAAGCCACGCCTTCCTCCTTCAGCTGCTCCTCCGTCTTGCCCACCCAGGCCACCTCCGGGTGCGTGTAGACCACCGACGGTACGCAGTTGTAGTCAATGTGAACAGCGCCCCCAGCGATACCTTCTATGCAGATGATGCCCTCGTCTTCAGCCTTGTGGGCCAGCATGGGTCCGTGGATGCAGTCACCGATGGCAAAGATGCTGCAATGTAAAGGAGTGAGTCCGGTAACAGACCGTTGGTTCACTAAGGGTCGATTTGTGATGTATACTTGATGTCATGCCTTTTGATTACTGATTGCCTATCAGTAATTAAAAGTTATGGTCATATGATGCCACCAAAACATTTATTTCTTTTTTTTTCAGCATTGTTTTATAGCGGCTTCCAATGCTTTTTAACAAGCAATGTTTTTTTCAATAGACAAATTGCTTCCTCTCACCCATACACTCTAGCTGTGTCGAGATGTAGAACAAAGAGCTATTCTACTAGCTTTTTCCCGCGTTCTGTATCTCTTTGGAACTCCTTGCCTAGTGGCTGTTTCCCTCCATTCTATGATCTGGCCTCTTTTAAGAGGAATATCAATTCCTACCTCCCTCTTTCCTGATTATTATTTTCTTTTCATCATATTTTTCTTCTTTCTAGCCCTTTGACAAGAGTGGTTTTTACAGCTTTGCTTAGGGCGGTTTTCCATTAAATATTAATAAATAAATACAGTGTAGAATAGAGCAGGTTACTTTAAAGTTGGCATCATATGACCAAAACATCTAATTTTGGAATAAGTGGATGATGATCTATGTTGTGCCTGCGCTGCGAATGTCTCTTGTCAATGATCAAACATTACAATACTTCACAGTACTGGTTCCCTGCTGCAGATTGTGATACACATGGCTAATATTAGTGACCAGCGATATGATCAACCTCCGTCGGCTGGCCCAAACAAAGTCAAATACACTAGTCCAGCCATTATTGACTGGCGTGCATTCTAACAGAAGTACTGCGAATTGTGGCCAACCATATTTCTTGATCAAAATCTGCTCTTAAAAAAGACAGTCAACTTAGTGATCTAACACAACAAGACAGATGGCTAAAAAAGTCATTAAACAAAGATCTTACCTGGGCACTTTACTGGCAAACCTGTCATTGACTGGTACCCTGCCTCTCTCATCCAGTTCAATACCAACATCCTATCAAATAAATGAAAGGGTACCAGTGTTTTTGTGCAAAACGCTAGGGAAAAAGCCCAGGAAGGTGACTGGGTGAATCTAATTATAGGGTGAAAAGATTCTCTCCGTGCCGTTACGGTGCCTTTACATGCTCTTGATAAAGTAACAGAGACACTCTGGAAAACTGATGGTCACCAACTTCCCAAAATCAATTATTTTGGAAGTCAGATTGTCGCGGAGGTACATTCCTCGCCTTCCACCGCTGTGACCTGGGTTCAAATCCCGCCTGGGCCAATATGTGGATTGGGTTTTCAGTCCTTGCCTGATTCTGTGGGTTTTTCCTGGAACATCCTCCCACCTCTAAAACTGAATATTTCATCTTCTTTTCCCTCTACCTTTCTTCAGGATTAAGAACACATTTGAAGAAGCCTATGTTCTGGGACATACTCCTCTTTTTACCCCATCCTTATTTGTGTCCTCTTTACCCAAACAAAAAACAAAAAATATGATATTTTGAGAGAGTCTCCTACCTCTAGTCCCAGGTTCTGGGTATACGGCCGTCGACCGATGCAGACCAGTAGTGAGTCACACTCTAGCTCCTCCTTCTTGCTGGGATCGGAGACAGACTCCACGGTGACCGTGATGCCCGCATCCGTCTTGGTGGCACCCGTCACCTTGGTGTTCATCTTGAAGCTCATGCCTTGCTTCTTCAGGGTCCTCTGGAAATTCTTCCTGTGGAGAATGAAAACAAAAGGCTAATGAATTTGTTTTTCTTTTTAAAATGCAACAGCGTGGATCTTTAAGTTTAGATCCCAAAGTTTCTCGCTTAAAATTTTTGACATATTTTTTTTACAGCAGTGCCTCCTGCCCAAGGACCAATTTCACGGCAGTGCTTACACAAAAAGTGTGATAAAAATTAAGCAGAAACTTATGCTAACCTTCGGCAATATTTAATGGCGTAAATGGAAAATTCTATTATTACCCCACTATTTAAGCAATTTTTCCTCCGAGGTAAGCATGCATTTTGCTGTGCTTACTGCTTACAATCTCCTTGAAATAGATGGAGGTTCTGTTAGCAGAAAATTATGTGCTTAGCAGTGCCACAAAATTAGGTCCAAGCCTAAAAATATCATCTCTTTTAATGTAGTCTTCATAGTAGACCCATTTTCTATCCATCCACAAGTTACTTTTCTAAGCGCAACTCTCAAAGCTTTTGATGGCAAGCAATGATCAAATTGCAAAACAATGCAAGTCATGGCAGAACTCTTAATGGCCAGCGTTGCAAATTAAGCACAAATCCAAGAAACCAAAAAGGGTTAATTAAGATTTTCACTGCCGATATCATGCTCCAACTTACGATATCTCCATGTCGATTCCCAGGCCACCCACATGTCCAAGGAATTCTACCGCTGTGACTTTGGCCCCTAGCCTCTGCCATACAGATCCCTGGAGGAATAAAAAATGGAAAGATAGGTTACTCAAAATATCAACTACTGGCAGTGTGGTCAGAGCAGAGAACAACCTTTGAATTTTAAAAATTCAAAAATCATGAAATCACGACACATGGTGCACTGTCATTTTCAAGAAAAGTTGAATTTTTGTATCAGCTGACCATCGTTGGGAAAAAAAATGTCTTTTTTCAAATAATGCCCCCAATTTTTACCATATTTAGTTAGTCCACATTTTGTTTGCAATCAGTTACACATCCATAAACGGTGCAAGCCAGCTAGTCTGGTTCCCTGACCTGACAATTCTCTGACGTCTATAAATTGCTCAGTTTCATCTGAACATGCTGAAGTAGGGTCAGGGAACCAGGCTACAAGAACATCACTTTTTTCAGCATCTAATTCCCCCAATCAATCCATTTCTGAAAATTACGGCAAAATGCAAATGTTGTATGTTACCTTTAAGCACTAACTAGAGCCCCAAAAGTTGGTTTCAGACGCACTGCACTTACCAGTTCCAGTCCGATGACCCCGGCCCCTATAAGCACCATGTGTTCAGGAACCTTCTCTAATGACAGTGCACCGGTGGATGATACAACTGTCTTTTCATCTACCTATAAATGAAAAAAAAATTATAATAATAATAATTTAAAAAAAATTTTAAAAAGGACATTTCCATGAAAAATCTCCAAATTAAAAGCAGGAGGTTGTGGGTTCGACTCCCACCTAATTATTTGTTCTCACACAATAATGAAGTGTTCAGTCAAAGTAAAGTTGTTTAAATGTTGCATCCCTGTGTTTTTTTCAAGTTTCATTCAGATTCCTTTTCTAAATGGTTGTTTTTCTAGCAAAACAAAAGTTATTCTCTTTGAATGAGACAACAACCGAAAACAAATCAGCCTTTGTTTAGTTACAATTTCGAATTATCCGCTGCCAGACAATCATTCTGTTCTCACGGGTTAGGCTGGTTCCCGCCCCACAACCAGTATTGATAATGAAGGTACTAGGAGTCAGGCCGCTCGCAAAATAGATCTGTTTGTAGTGCCCAAAACAAAACAAAACTCTTTTCAAAGGAAAAAGGTTTTTTGGTTGGAATAAAACAGACAAAATGAAAAATTTTTAATGGAAAAAAAGATCAAATTTGGTGCAGAGTACAGGGAATGCAAGTTTAAACTACGTCGAGTAATTAAATAAGTCTGACCTCTATTCCAGGAAATGGCATGACCTCTGACCCGGTTGCTATGAGGATGTTCTTTGTCTTGATGACCTCTTTGACCTTTCCGTCTGGGTGCAGTACAGCCACTTCGTTGGGGGTGGTAATCTTACCGTGGCCCTCGAGTCTTGTTACCTACAAATTTGGAGAGAAAAAAAATTCAATGTTATTAGCACAGCAGATGTTTTCTTGCATTGTGTCTCGGATCTCAGAATTCCATTGGTATCCCTACCCCCCCCCCCCCCCCCCCCCCCAGGGTTCCTCAGGACTACCCTGCTAAATCCAACAGAGTCCAACGGTTACTTCCTGCTCAATCCAACAGAATCCAACTGTACCTAATTTTTAGTTGTCTGCTGGATCCAACAGAGTCCAACTTGGCATTATTTATCAGTACCCTACAGAATCCGACTCTGAATATGTACATGTACATTTGCACAAGGGGTTTACTGCTCAATCCAACAGGCTCCAACGGGTATATGACATAGTTGGATCCTGTTGGATTCAGCAGGGTTAGAATGATAAGATTCCAGCTGAAAATTTGTTAAGAAGTACTTTCAGCTCCACAGACTGGTTCCAGCTTTTTTACCTTGTTCTGTTTGAAGAGGTGTGCAATGCCGTTAGTCAGGGCCTTGACTGCTCCAGATTTCTGCTCCATCATCTTGGGTAGGTTCAGCTGCAGGTCACCAACTTAAACAAAATACATAAATAAGTAAATAAATAAATGTACAATACAGCACACAAGGAAGAGCATGACAGACCAGAGTTGTATGGAAGTTGTGACAAGTCGATTGAGACTATAAAAATGTCAAATCAAAAAGTCAATCACAAAATAATCATGGGTTGCAAGTAATAAAGGATTAATGTATCATTTTTCACAGCAAAACAAAATAAGATCAGCTTTTTTGATGCACTATCTTGCCCCGTCTCTCAACACTTTTTGGAGTCATCTTGACTTCAGTGTTGTCTGGCTCACTTGCAGTCATCATGAATATTTAAGACTAATTCCGTTATTCATCGATATCATACCAGACAGTCCAGGGATTTCCATATCCCATACATACGTACTGCTAAAGCTAAACAGTTCATTGTCTATCAGGGCCTCAAATTCGGAAACTCACTAAATCAAACTCTTAGAAGTGTTAGTAATTGACCTTTATTTAAGAAAAAGCTCAAGTGTCTGCTAATGGAGAAATACTGTAGTGCTTAATCTTTACTATTCTTGTTTGCTTTGTATAGATTCTGTTAATGATGTCCCGTGTAAGTTCCGCTCTTTATATTGTACTGGATTTTTTGTCTTGTCCTGTTTGTGTTGGTCCCTTGTCTCTGCATATGCAACTTAACGTTTACTTTGTGTGGCTTAACCCTTACTCTCTGAGGGTAGTTTACTGCATGTCAGTTGGTTATGCCAATGCCCTCCAGCTGCAGTTTATTGGAGGATACTTTGATGTAGCAGTGAAGGCTCCAATTGGCAGGAGTTGGAGGCCCTGGAGGGTGCCTGATACTGACCAGCTGGGGGCACTTGATTGTTATCAGAGGACTCTCATTGTTCTCTGTGGCATGTATTGGAGTGCCTGTCCAGTTACCCTTGAAATGACATGGCAGATATTGGAGGGCCATGCAAAAAACATAGGAGATTTTCTTGAGGCACATATTGGCATACGTTGGAGGGTCTAGTAGGGTAAGGGTTAAAGGGCTTAATGTTAGTATTTACCATGATGTATTTCATTTCTACACATAATGGGCGTCTCCACTTGACAAGCTTCCTTTTTGGAGAAGCCCACCACTTATTCTCATCTGTTTATTTAAATTATTGTCTAATCCTTTTCTGCTCAAATTGATTAAGCGGAAATAAATATGAATGAATGAATGAATGAATGAATGAATAGGAACAAGATTTTGCTATCGATCACTCACTCTCAAAAAAAAAAGGAGTGGTCCGAGTCAGAATTCAGATTTTGCAAGTGATTCTATTCAATCCCTAGTTGCCCGAGCCTACTGCTAGAGATGAAATGTGATAGGTTCTTGCCAATAAGTACAAAAAAACACTGTTTTTTGTGTTTTTGTGCGTCTTACTGTCTATGCCTCTGTTCTTGAAGTCATTGGACTTGGCCAAGTGATAGTAGTGGGAGTTGTTGAGCAGTGCCTTGGAGGGGATGCAGCCCACGTTGAGACAGGTTCCTCCCAGGGTAGGGTTCTTCTCAATACACACCGTCTGAGACAGACAGAGATCAATAAGAAAACAACAACAATTACATTGAATTATGGTGTATTGGAATGTAAACTGAAATCTGGAAACTTTGTTGGAAGCATTTTATTTAAGGTATAAAAAAAAATCAGGTGTGGTTTTTTTTTTTTTTCAAGTTTAAAGTGAAAGCATACCTTTGGACTAGCAAATGTAAACAATTTTTTGAAAAGATGGATACTTCATCTGAGTGGTATTAAGGGTACATGGAATATTTGCATTTTATGGATAATTTTTCATTAGAAGTTACACCATTCGGGCGATTAACAATGCCGTGCGCCACCAAGAGCTTGCCATGGAGAGTCCATTTTTCAAGTTTACAGTCGTCAAAACATGGCCAACTTGAATGAGTGTCAGTAAACAACTTGAGCTAATATGTTATACATTGGGGCATAGCGTTCTGCTGCCTTACAAAAAACACCAAAGAAAACAAAAAGGCAAACAGATCCTCGATTCATACGCTTGCAAACTACTGACTGGACAAACTTAACAATTTCAAATAGCACGCACTGCGAATTTGTCGACCATCTCCCACAATGCACTGGGAAAAAATTAACTCTCTGTGGCAAACTCTTGGTGGTGCACTGCATTGTGAATCGCCCAAATTGCTCGCAGTCCTTAGAAGGGTGCATAACAGCTAACTTGTTGAAGTTTCAGCTCAGTGGATACTTTACATTTTAAGAAAACAGAGAAAACTTATGCACAATTTTGGGAGTCTTGCAACTAAACTGGATTCCGTTGCTAACGCATGTAAACACGGTGCCCATGGACACATTTTCTAAACCACATTCAATGGTTGTTTTCTTCCGAAAGATACCATTTCAGACGGAATTATTTAAGAGGGTATTTGGTACCAGGTCTATCTTCACTTAGAGCAAGAATTTTCTCATTAAATAGGTACATACATTTCCGAGTAATCACAAATATTGGAAGATAATGATTGAGAGTAAAAAATATGCATAGTCAGATGAATGCCACTCCTACCTTCATGCCAAGCTGGGCAGCTTTAATGGCAGCAACATACCCACCAGGTCCTGACCCAATCACGACCACATCCTGCTCCTCGGCCCCCTCCGAGTAATATCGCCTCTGGCCAACAAGAGAGGGCGCTGTCCGCCTCGTCAGACTGTGCAAATGCCCTGTCTGTAAAACCACAAAAAAATAAAAATAAAAAAAAAATAGGAAATGTTATATCCATTTGACACTATTTCAGTATTTTGAACAACAGCAATTTGAGCTTGTCTTCGTTTCTTTTAATTCTATCATGTCTATGACGATTCTATCGGGCCCTATAATGTTTCTTTTAATTTTAAGATTGTAAGGCCTAATTTTAAAATGGCAGTGGATATTTAGCCAGATGCGGCTTTCTTTTAGTAACCAGTATTTTGCCAGATAGGCACTGAACACGTGCGCAGTCACTGTTTTTTGGGACTTAGAAACTTTTACCTTGACAAATCTTAGTCTGAATCCATGCAAACATTGCTGTTGTTGATTTGCTATTCATGAGATGAGAGTCAGACCATTTTACAATTGTGGACTTAATTTCCCATAAAAAAAAAATTCACCAGAGCCATGGGAAAAAATGTTGCAACCTGATGCCACTTCTGCGATTGTGTACAAAGTCTATGGAGAGTCAAGAAAATTTGCTAAGTTACTTTCGTAACAAAATTGGAAATATTTCTCAATCCCAGACTCATGTCTTATCATCATTTTTGCAATGAATGACGCTCATTGAGATGATATATGAAGCTGGAAAAATGCGGCGTCAGGTTGCAACATCTTTTCCCAAGCTGTGAATCAAAATAGGGAACTATCACAGTAGGCTATCACAGTATCAGTATCACACTCTTCATTTAAATGTTTGACTCGAGCCAATTTAATAAGAAGAGAAGAATATTATTAATTCGGCGATCGTGTAGTGTAGGGCCCGGTTTTTGAGGAAAATTTGGGGGTAAAATGACGATGACAGCGCAGCAACAACACGCTACCCCGAAAATAAAGATGGCGATCACCACGCGATGTACCGTGAGCATGCACGGCGTGCTGAATCGCAAGGCACAATTCACAAACCACACAGGAAAATCGTGATTTCTACCCCAAGAATCTGTTCAAAATTGCAAAAAGGGTGTCATTAGAATTGAGAAAAGTCTGCTTTTGATTTTAAAGGTGATTTTTGAGAAATAAAAAAACATAAAATTTTTGACTCTTAGTCTTATTTGATCAAAACAAAACAGGGGCCCTACACTTCACGATCGCCCTTAATTCTTTTGAGATGAAAACAACAAAATATCCACTATCTTTTAAAATACTCGGAAACAATATAGTATCCAGACGCCACTTCAACGTGTACAGTGTCTATGGAGTATGGAAAGTCAAGAATATTTTCAGAGGGGCCTAGCCCTAGGCCTAGGCTGAGTATTGGGAACGGTCAAACAAATCACGGATCAACACTGATCAATGATGATATGAATTATGATGTAATTCAGCTGGAAATCAGGGAACGATTTTCAACCCTTTTTAATACTCTAAATCAACTTGTGTAGATATCACCACATGCTAGAATTACTCAGCTATATAAATATTGTCATTATCCCACAAAAGGTGAACGAATTACCTTGGAAATCGCAGCCGAAGCACGGCCCAAAGTAGGTAAAAGAGCCATCATTTCTGTCTGTGCGGTGGAAAAGTGGTGTCATGTCAGTAGAGGGCGCTGTTCTCATTATAAGCGCTAGCTATAGCTTGACGCGCCGGTTGACGTTGCTTACCTTGCTTGCCGAATTTCTTTCTCCTTTCTCTTCTTTATTTTTGTCCAATTTTTCTTGATCGAACTCCCCCTCCCCCCCCAAAAAAAAATGCTGTTTCTTGCATATGTACAGTACTCAAATCATCTGTGGTTTTTTTTTAAGCCAACTCTAGTGAGATGAGAGCGATCCTAATTTGGTTTCTGTGAGATATATTGGTAAAAAAAATATATATATGAACTGAGTAATTACCTTCAGAATTTTCAAAATTGAAAGCCAAGACTGTTTCTTAATTGGGCTGTAATCATGTTTATCAAGATTTTTTTTTTTGGGGGGGCGGGTATTTATTTTATTCATGCCTCTGCTGTGATAGACTCTTAATTCAGTGAAGGTAAATTCATTCGTGAAATATTTCACTATTTTCTGTTTTTGAAAGAGCTATTCAATTTTTTTTTTTAGAATACTTTATTGTCACTCATGTGACAACGCCCAGACAGATTGGACCAAACTAAACCAAGGATTTTTTTCTTGGAGCATTCTAGCATTCGATCATCGGCAAGCGGAAATAGTGCAGACGACGCCACATATTTTGTTTGCAAACATATTAGCCTCTTGGTGGCGCTATAGTGTACAGAGTTTTGTAGCCCATCTTTGCGGTTTAAAGCGCCCAGATATGGCCAATTTGGCTGCAGGTGTCGTGTGTAGCAAGCCAGACATTTGGGCTTCATGTGTAATTTAATGGTATTTTCATTAAAAATTCCCGCTGTCATGGAGGTTCAAATGGCTGGAGGTTTGGCCGCTAAAAGAGGCGGTGGCTTACCTAAACTACGAGAACTGCTCCGGAGACAAAGGAGAGATTCAGATGTAAGGAATTTTGCTTCTTTTGCTGGCCTTTTTTTTTTGGGGGGGGGGAGGGGGAAGACTTCGGGGGGCGGGGGACGGGTACCATCAAGATCATGTCGATCGCCCCTGTTTTTGTTTTGGTAATCCTTACTTTTAGGACCCCGTTCCTATATAGGAAGGGAAAGACTCACCAAAACAGTTGACTAAAATGACACTCAAAATTGACATTCTGATACTTCTTGGCACATCTGAACAATTGGCAATGACACCTTCTTGAATATCAGCAGGTTTAATTTTGTGGAAAGAGGGCAGGGCTTTGATTTATGAGGGAAATCCAGGGGTAAAAGACGACGATAACAACCAAAAAACAGACTAAAAAACCAAGATGGCAAACGTGAAAGCTTGATGCGATGAAAGCTCAATGCTGATTGGCTGATAAAAAATAAACATCTTATTTATTTTTACTTTTAGTCTGGTTCCCAGACCAAAAGATTCAGGAATAGTCAGAATCTTTTGGTCTGAGAACCAGACTAACTTATTTATTTTTAGTCTGGTTCCCAGACCAAAAGATTCAGGAGTAGTTAGAATCTTTTGGTCTGGGAACCAGACTAATTAATTTTTTAGCAGCCAATCAGCATCGGGCTTTCATTATGTAGGGCTTTCATTATGTAGGGCTTTCACGCGTGTGAGAACGGGAAAAGTTCCATACTCGGATGTCAATTTATCTGCTGCCAAACATATTTATTGTCACCTCACCTTGTCATTTGAACCAAAAGAAATCCAGGAAGCTGTGTAAAGGTGAAAAAAATGTACTCAAAATGTGTTTTTAGAGCACATTTTGGATGCATACGTTGTGCAGAACTAACTTGAAGCAGCCGGTCAAAACTGATTGTAGTGGCTGAAAAGACATGGGTACGTTATACACGTGACATCAACAACCATGACGTCGCATGAGCCTGCCAATGATAGTTCAATACGTCATTATGAATGTTTATTTTCTCATGAATATTTAGTTTATTTCAATGGATACTTCAAATACGTCCAAAGATTGATGATTGCAACAGCGATCGTGCGCGGCCTAGCGGTTAAAAGTCTCGTGTATCAAGCAAGCGCCAGAGGTTCGAATCCCGATGAAGTAACTGACTGATTAATAAATAGAAATTAAGGAAAGGAGAGGGTGAGAGTAGAGGAGGGAAAGTGGAGGAATAACCATAAAAGATGTAACTTTTGGCGCTAGAAAATTAATTGAAAAAAGTGACGTCCGAGTATGGAATTTTTTCCGTGAGAACTACAACATGCACGTCTGACTGCGAAAAAAGGTAGGAAAGTCACATTTTCCTCGAAAGTGCTTTCAAAACTACAACTAACATGAGTTTATATGAAGAAAAAAGACTGCTTTAGCCTGCAAAAGTCACTTTGGTACTGGACAGTCATCTGCAAAAGTCAGTTTTGAACAGAACTTGTAAAAAATAGAGGTGTCCTAAAAGTAAGGATTACCTTTGTTTTGATCAAATTAGTATTAGAGTCAAAAGTGTTTTTTTATTGCTCAAAAATCACCTTTACAATCAAAAGCAGACTTTTCTCAATTCTAAAGACACCCGTTTTGCAATTTTGAACAGTTTTCCTGCGCGGTTTGTGCCTTGCGATTCAGCGTGCTGTGCATGCTCATGGTACATCACGCAGTGATGATCGCCATCTTTATTAATCGGTCGCGTGTTGTCGCCACGCCGTCATCGTCATTTTACCCCCCAAATTTCCCTAAAAAAATCAAACCCTGCCCTCTATCTATGGCATACCTTTAATATTGAGAATGTCGCCAACTAGTTTGGTAGGTCTAATAATTGTAAAGTGGATTTTGTTCCCTCATACTAGGAACCGGGCCCTACACTACACGATCGCCAAAATCATGGCAATCGTGTAGTGTAGGGCCTAGGGGGTAACCGGTAGGGCCCCTGTATTGTTTCGATCAAATTAGAATCAATTTTTTTTTTATTACTAAAAATTGACATTGTCAACCTAAAGCAGACTTCTCTCAATGGAATGACACCTTTTTGGTAATTTTTGTTTGTTGGGGTAGGAAGTACGATTTTCCTACGCGGTTTACGGGCTGGTTGATGCCATGCAGTGCGACTTGCGTCCTCACGGAACACCGCGCGATGATCACCGTCTCTAACTGTAATTTTCGTGTAGCTTTCTGTCATTGTCATCGTCATTTTACCCCAAAATTTTCCTCAAAAATTTGAAACCCTGCCCTTTATCTATGACATACCTGTATGTTCTTAATGTCACCAACTAATTAGTTTGGTACGTCGAATAATTAAAAGTGGATTTTGTTGTAAAAAGTTCTACATTTCTGGAGATCGTGTATCTATGGGCCTGGTTCTAATATAAGTTATAGGAACCGGGCCCGTAGATACACGATCGCCAAAACTAAAAGTTCTACATTTTTGGCGATCGTGTATCTACGGGCCCGGTTCCTATAAGTTATAGGAACCGGGGCCTGTAGATACACGATCGCCAAAAATGTAGAACTTAACTCAACCCATCAAACCCCAACAGCATGTATTGTTGGAATCTGTCTGGATGGGTACCGTACAGTACCCCTAAACTGACAGTCTTTTACATTGGGTTGGCACACCTCCAGAAACTAAGTCAGAAATATGTGTGCACAGTTTCCCATATGGTGTTGGAATTTGCCAGGGTGGGTATGGTTCCTAGTAAATCATGCTAGGGACTTAGGGTTAACGTTAGACTTTGTATGTAGTTCTAGTAGTAGTACGCTTTAGAAGCAAACATCATCCTCTTTATAGCGATAGAAAAGAAGGTCTCAGACGTCTAGTTTCCAGGATTGTTTGCACACATTTGTGTATCTAATTTTCAACATCGAAAAGATCACGCGCGTGCTGGATCGTTTCTGCTGTCAGTCATGTAGACTTGAGTCGAGGCCATGTAGTAACCCGGACACGAAAAGAGACCATGCGAGGAAAGGGATGATTGATATTTCAACCTCACAACTTAGCTTGGGAAACCTTAGACCAGTAAACATGGCGGTATTCGACTTGAGACATTACGTTCTTCACTTGTACATCCGCAACATTTTGTGAAGTGAAATTGCACCTGTATATTAAGTACTTAAGTACATTTGACGCTATCCCTGATTGCCATTAGTGCCAATTAATTCACTTAATTAACCCTTACTCTCTGAGGGTAGTTTACTGCATGTCAGTTGGTTATGCCAATGCCCTCCAGCTGCAGTTTATTGGCAGATAGTTTGTCTTAACAGTGAAGGCTCCAATTGGCAGGAGTTGGAGGCCCTGGAGGGTGCCTGATACTGACCAGCTGGGGGCACTCACTTTGTTATCAGAGGACTCTCATTGTTCTCTGTGGCATATATTGGAGTGCCTGTCCAGTTACCCTTGAAATGACATGGCAGATATTGGAGGGCCATGCAAAAAACATAGGAGATTTTCTTGAGGCACATATTGGCATGCGTTGGAGGGTCTAGTAGGGTAAGGGTTAATGGCTGAATTACCACTGGATAAATTCATATTATTAATATTTCATTTTCCAGAGCCAGAACGACAGCCCAGATCTTGAGTTTGAGTATGATGATGCCAACAAGTACACACAGGAGATTGCAGGTAAGTACCTCAAAATTGAACTGTGGCCTATGCACTCCTAGGTGCCACAACATTGCCTGATCACAAGAGCCAACTAGGAAACAAAGTGTGAGCAAATTGTCTTACATGGACTCTGCTGACCAAAGAATTCCACTCATGTGATCACCATTCTGTGCTAACAGTGATAGCAGAAAGAAAATTTCTGCGCTAACCTTGTAAAGACAGAGTGACAGGGTGTATGCATGCACATGAGCGCATATTCCTTGCTACTAAACACATGACATGTGCTAAGCCTAAGCACATAGTTTCTTGCTACAATAAAGCAAGATTTTTGTGAGGAATGCGCCTAAGCATCGGTGCAAATACAAAATCACAGCACAGCGTCTGTCAGTAACCCTTTTGTTTTGCATTTTGCATTTTTACTGCTAGGGTGTAGTATTGATACATTCTGCATCAGGCTGTTACACAGCGTCTCTTTTTTAATACCCACAGAGTTGTATAGTTACACAGAGGAGCCAGAGTTTGCGCTTTGTCAGAAGTGCTTCGAAGAGGACTTCCATTCCTACAGTAAGCTATTGTTTTCCTTGATCCACTTAGCATTTATATTTTTGTTTTCTCTAAGTCTGCTTGAAAGAGCACCTTCAAAAATGATCTGAATATAACCATAGAACAGAAACAAACAAGAAAAAGACATTAAATGAAAAAAATGTAACCAAAATGATTAAAAATGCAAAACCGACAATTTATAATCAGTTAAACGTGATGTCACTGCAAGATATCAACCTACAAATTCACAAGTTGAATACATTACAAACTTGATGACTTTATTTTGAATGTTTGTTGACATCGAATTTGCTCGTCATTTGCATTTGTGTGTGAAGTATTAACCATTCTTTGCTTACTTTGTAATTCCTGATTGGTTTAATCCTACAGTCAAGGAGAAATGGACACAGCTCAGTCCCGACCGCCAGCGGATGCACATCCTACGTCTGCTGAACAGCGTGGAGAGTGCCAAGCGAGAACAGAGAATGAAATCTGCAAGAGCAGTCCTCTACTTGGCTCAAGGTATGACGGCAACATCTAGACCCTAAGGCCCAAAAAAAAAAGTCTCCGGTTTCTGGTATGGAGCTTGCCCCAAAAGTGGTGCGGCGACGCGGCTTTTTTTTTTTTTTTTTTAACCTGTTTTTTTTTTTTTTTTTGCTTCAAATGTCGGCTGATGACTGCAAATGGTGCCTGACTAAACTTACTAGTGCAAATATATGGGAGTCCAGAGAGGCCACATAAAGCTTATTCTCGATCATAACCCCATCTAAAAACACGTTAAAATTGTGCAGCAGCAGGATTCCAGTCAAACCAGTGAGTTTGGCGGTTTTGAGACATCATCTTGTATTGAAAAAAAAAACTTTTTCATTTTGCCGGCGGGCATGGCTACGGCGACGCGCGCGCATACCAGAAACCGGAGACTTTTTTGGGGGGCTTACCTTCCCAAATCCTCAAAATCCTCTTTGCAGAATGGAGGATTTTGCAGGTTTGAGGCTACATGGCAAACGTGTGTTGCTGATTTCAGAGAATGCACTGTGTCAAGGTCTTGGGCCGGACCTTGTGTTGTTTATGCTCAGCCATGCATAAATTAAGGCCTATATTATACTTGAAATCCTCCGCACTGCTCTAGGATGTCATTGGCTCTGCCTCAACATATTGGTTGCCAGAGGATTTTGCAGGATTGAGGAAGTGGTCACCCCTCCAAGGACCACATTCAAGAAATAACGGAGGATTTGGCAGGATTGAGGCTGTATACTATTTTTACATGGAGGCAGTTGGAGGATTTTGCAGGATTTAGGTTACATCCTAGCAAAAATGCCTAGGGAGTTAGGGTTGATTCAATTTTTACTCAGTGGCAATTTGAGGATTTTGCAGGATTGAGAACGTTTCCAAGCTCAAAGAGCCTAGGCGGTTACAGTTAAAGGACTAATATTCACAAATGGATAGCCACTATAAACCACCTCACAAACAACTAGAAAACATTTCTCTTTTTTTTTTGAGATTCCGCAAAGTGTTGACATTGCAATGCATTATTTGGACGCAGGTTGTTTCAGTGAATGTTCAAGCGAAGAGGAACAAGTGAAACGAGCTAGGGAGAACTGCTTCCTCTTGTATGAGTGCTCAGTCTTCAACACCTTTGTGGAACTCCTCAGTATGGAGGCCGAGTGAGTAACCAAATATTTAACCTGCTTTTTGTGACTAATATTTCATGGAGCACTTAGAAAAAGACATTTCCACAAAATGTGCTCGATAAGCCAGTGGGAAGTTCCACGGTGTCAAACATACATTTTGGACAATTCAACAGTGTACATAATAAAAGTTATAATCCTAAAGTGGATATTTAATTCTGATAAAACCTGCCAGTTACAACAATTTAACAAAGAAATTATTCAGCTAACTTTTTTGCTGTAGTGGAAATTGGCTCCAAACACTAAGGTGCCGGACGTTCTCAGACAAATTGATTTTTTATTGTGTACTCAGTAAATTTTTCAGTTAAAGTAACAGCTGAACTGTTGAACATATAATAAAATGCATGTAATAAGCTTCAAAATGATATACTTTTTTAATTTGTGGCATTTCTTTCGTTTTTTAAGTTTTTACACTGAGGTTTATAATTCCTTGGAGTTGCCCCAAAACAAAAATATGTTACCAGCTAAATTTCAGATGGTAGATCTCATGACTGGTTTTTGAATTGATTGTTCTCAACTCAAGCTGTGGTTAAAACTTTGCAGTCTCCATAAAATGATCAATGTTTCTGTAAGCAAGGGTCTTGACCACAAAAATTGTATTATGAATGCCTAAAGTAATTGAGACTTTAAATTGTTTGTGTTCTTTCATGTGTTTACAGAAACTCTGTAGCAGCATCAACAGCCCTGAGGAAGCCAGCAGTGTCAATAGTGGACAGCACAGACCTAAGGTACTTTGTTTTTATGTTTTCAAAGATTGCAATTCACATCCTGTCTGTTAGAGCAAATTTTGTGCTAAGTGCTAAGGGCGCAAACATGCTTAGCACACTTCAATACTGAAATTTGTATCCTTGTGGAGACATTTCTTTGTTCTTGTGATCTGATACACCGTGCCCTCTGGAGACATGCACACAATAGGGAACAAAAGATTATATACGTCTCCACAGGGCAATTTCTATTGATGAATACGTCTCCACAAGGTTTTCATGAAATAGATATATGGATTTTACTTAAAAAATAGGAATTTCCAAGGTATGTTGATCCGTCGCAAATGGTAGAGTTTTAGAAAAGGGATTTTAAGTCCAAATTTCAGCCAAGGAAATTAATTCTGGTTAAAATAAAAGCATTTTGAAACTGTACTTTCAAACTCGAAAACTTTAGTACACACATACACACGCATAAAAGTGTGTTTTTGCCTGCAATCAGGGACCCCCTATTTGTTTGTACTTAAACTTTTTAGGAAGACCTCCCATATGTTTTGTACACGATCGCCAAATTGGGGACCTTCGGGAATTGGGGACCCTATTGTCCTCTATTGTTCAACGCCTCCTATTGAATGCAGAAACAAATTCACACACACACAATAAATTAGGGGAAAAAAAGATGTTCCTCAATTTACCGCGCTCAGCTCTGAAGTGGAAATCTGTGATAGATCTCTTTACATGGGACACCAATCAACAAAACTACCATATATGATTTCACTTTAGACACTAACAAACAGAAATGGCAAAAATACGATATGGACTGTTGTTTCTTTTAATAACAAAAAGAAGAAGTTCATATTGAGAATTGATTAGTAATTGCTTAATGTGCATTCCTTGTCCCTAAGGATTGTGTTGAGTGTGTTGTACATCATGATCGAGACCCTGAGAATGGATTCAGACCAGGATTCTGACAAACAGAAACACCAGAGGGAAATCTTCAAGACAGAATTAGGTGAGTTTGAAGACAATTTCAACAATTTGGGGGGTTCAGTTTGAAACTTGTATTTTTCATGCGAGAGAAATGTTTTCCCCAAGATGTATGGTAAGGATACCCTTTGTTATGATTCACCATTAGCGGTATCCCCTGACTGTTTATGACATAAATTTTTTGGTCGTCCAAAATGAAGTCATTAAGAGTCCATCGTTACAATTTTGCTGATGCTTAAATAGATTAAAAGTAAACTTTACTCTGTAGAAACTAAGCCCTTTTTGTGAGAGATTGTGTAAAATATTAACATTTTCTGTCCTTATATCACCGCGACGCAGAATTCCATCTATCAATAATAGCTTATGCGGTACCCGCTGCTATGAACATCAGATTCGAACCAGCCAACCGATCCCGTTAGCTCGGTGGTCGAGTGGTAAGACGTTTGCACTAGAAAGCAGGAGGTCGTGGGTTCGAGTCCCACCCAAGTGATTTTTTCCAACTTTCACTCGGGAGGTAACACACTGAGTATACAGTGTTTAAATGTCTGCGAAGGGCAAAACCTAATTTGATCAACATTTTTGTCCCGTAATTTGCCAAAAGAATGATAATTTTTTATAGTTGAAACAAGTGTTACATGTCAAACAGAGGTAAATATAAGACAAAGATGTGATATAATCATGTACATTAGTCTCTTTTGGAAGTTGTATTTGGTTCTGAAAAGAATGAGTTACGTCTATTTCATTCAAACAGTGTGCTCTGTTCATCTTAGGAAGAAACAAATATGCCATATATATACTGTACGATATGCTTTTATCAATTTCACAGACTTGGTCAAAGTTCAACGACAGTCCTCTCGAAATAAGTGGTTGTGTTTTGACATTCAGTGTGTGGTTTTTTGTTTTTTAAGATTTAGAAAATAAGTGAAACGTTGCATTTTTTTCCCACAAGGTCAACCAGTGTGTGGGGAAGACTCCCTTGCGATTGTCCTTTTCAACATGGTGACTAAGTTTTGCAGTGGCCACGCCCCTCATTTCCCGATCAAGAAAATCCTCCTCCTGTTATGGAAGACGCTGCTGGTGAGTCGGAGAATTCAACCTTGCAAAATAGACAATAATAATTCTTTGTTTAAAAAAAAAGATGGAATTTGCGTCGGGGGAAATGTTATATTTACATCGCCCCAATGCAAATTCCATCTAATAAGAAGTTTGGTTGCAGTACCCGCTGCTACATCACACACGAACCAGCCAGCCAACCCCGGCAAGATTAGTGGTCGAGTGATAAGACGTCTGCACTAGTAAGTAGGAGGTCATGGGTTCGAGTCCCACCGAGTAAACTTGTGAATTATATTCTCGAAAGCCCTTGGACAACACTGAGTATACAGTTTATATAACATACATCAGCAATGGGCGAAACTCAATGTAAGTCTTTTTTGTGTGAACTGTTGGGAGATTGTGAATTTTGGCAAATTTAGTTTGTGTGAGCATTATTCTATGGACACTTATAACAAGTACATTTGAAGAGACATTTGAATGCATTGCTGACCAATTGACCCTCATATGAAGACGCCTCAAGTTTTTGCGAACAAGTGCATGCACACACCCAGTGAGCTCCTGGGAGTTGTGATGAACTGCCATCTACTCTCCATGCACAGAGTTCCTTTAGTCATATATCCAACCTTGAACTTTTCCCCTTTTGTTTGTAGTTTTCCTTGGGTGGTATCAACGAGTACAAGCTGATGAAGCAGCAGGCTCGGAAAGCGGCAGACTTGGACGCAGTCAAGGAGGACACCATCCAGGTTACCAAGACGATGAGGGCGTCCTCCCCTCCCGCCTCCTCGGGGGATGGGCTGCAGGAGAGGCGGACCAGAGGCTCTCTCCGCAGGGTAAGCTAACAACACAAAAAACATCCTCTCTATTGAGGAAGTTAGGGTAGGCTTCAATATTGACAGTTAGCGAAGTCTGCATGGTCAGTAGTGTTTTAACAGTTTGCAGAGTCTGCAGGGTCTACAGAGTCTGTAGTCTTGATGTATATGTGGATTTGGTTTATATTCCCGTAATACAGCTGGTCCCTTACATTTAAGGTCAAGCTGCCGTATTGGTAGAGGGCGCTATTCACAAGATTGAATCAAATCCAATCTTGAGAACTTCGGCAGTGCTATCCAGTAAATTCTGAGCATACCTCATGTGAGAGGTATACTCAAATTTCCTGGGTAACGCTGCCAAATTTTTAAAGACTAGATTAGATTCATCGTGTTGATGGCGAACTCTACCTCTGCGGTGGCATTACCACATTTGTCAGGGACAGACTGCTTTAGGGACATGAAAACCAAGTCCAGTCTTGTGCCAAGACTACAGAGTCTGCAGTCTCCTGAATCTTATAGTTATGACGTTGTTAGTGAATGTAACGTCTGTTGCAGACTTATACTTTATTTTTAATTATTGAAAGAGTGCCCATGATAATTTTGTTCCAGAATATAAGAATGAGATAACACATGCATGAAGACAGCTTGAGTTCTTGTGTGGTAGGGTCTGGAACCAGCTTCATAGTACCGTTAAGCAGAAATTACACTGGGGAAAACTTATATGCTAAGCACATTTTGGATGGGAACCAGCCACAAGCAGTGTCATTATATGATATTTGGTCGGTGACCAGTTCTTCTGCTTAGCAAATTGTGTGAGCAGCAGCTCTGCGACACTGACTGCCACATATATACAAAACATGGGAAGCTCAAAATCTAAGGAGAAATTCCTCGCCTTATCTTTGAATGTGTTTTGTCATTAATCAACCAGAGATTAACTCGATTTGGCCTTGCTTGTTTTCATTGCATGAAAAAATGATGTGTACAATTTCTTTTAGGTGCCTTGAAACAAGAATCCATTCTAACATACCTTGATTACTATAGATTGCTCAAATTCAAGTTTCGTAATTGGAAAAATTCTGAAAAATTCTCAATTTTGGGGGAGAAATCTTGCCAAACATTTATTCCAAGTTATTTGTTTTGTTGTTGCATAGGTTGGCAAAACAGCTTGCTGTTTAGATTCTGAAATTCTCAAGATATCAATAACCTGTTGATTCTATTTTTTGCAAGTTCTGTGTATAATTATTCAAAAAAAAGGTGGCAGTGGCATTTCTATGCTAGATATTTAAGTAACCTACCTGAAAAAAGTCCAAAAAGGTTTTCTGAAATTGTGCACATTTTTATAGTTGTTTTGTGACAGAAGCTTTTGCATTTCTTATGCAAATCTTAAAGGGAATATACAACATTTGCAAACATGTTATGAAATACCTTACTGGTCTGTTAGTGAATGCGGTCTAAAGCATCCTGTAAAATCGTGGTACCTGGTGCGCTGTCATTTTCAAGAAAAGTGGTATTTTTGTATCAATTTCCAACGTTGGTCAGCCGACCAAAGTTGGAAAAAACTGTTTTTTCTTCAAATACTGCCCCCAATTTACCATACTTAGTTAGTCCGCATTTTGTTTGCAATCGATTACACACCTATGAGCGGGTACAAGTCAGCTAGACTGGTTCCCTGACCTTACAATTCCCTAACATCTATAAATTGCTCCAGGAAGTTCATCTTAAGTGGGGTCAGGGAACCAGACCACAGGAACATGATTGTTTTTCAAACGAGTCAGTGTAACAATATTTGCTATAAATTAATAACCCCCAAATCCATCCATTTCTGCAAATTACAGCAAAAGCAAATGTTGTATATTCCCTTTAACTTAAAACATTTTCATTATCATTGATTGCATTGATCTTGCGTTAATTTGTTAAGATATCATAAAAATCAAAGAACGATGAAATTTTTTTTTGGTAACAAAACTACTGGAAGAAAAACCTGAAACCAATCAATGTGTCTGATGTTTAACATTACATTTCCAAATGTTTTTTTCTTTTTCTCCCGTCTTTCTTTCTCTGTATGTATAAATTGGCCGGTCGTTTATTTTCACGATATTAAATCTCGGGCGAATGATGTTCTGACCGTGGTCCTCCTCTCTCCGTATTTCGTCATGCTCATCTGTTTACATGACCCCCTTCATCCTCTGGCCCCGCCCATCCGTGTCTGTCCACCAACCAACCTTCCCCCATGGTGTACGAGAGAAGTAGAACAAAATGCCAAACGTAGCGGTAGATTAGAGACCTTTGCTCTAGTCTTACTGTTTACTTTTATTTATGAATTTGATTTATTTATTTACTGTTGTGTATGTGTTTATTTATTTATTTGTTTTTGGACTTGAAAGGAGGAGGGACTGTTTTCAAGTCTATTGTGTGTAGTAAAATAAGTGCATTGACCTTGGGTTAATTTTGTGAAGATGATTTAAGTTGAGTTTAACACCAAACAAAAAGATTCTGCTTTTCAAATGCTAGTTTTTTTCCAGCAAAACAAAAGTTATTTACATTTGAATGAAACAGCAAACATAAAAATCTGCCCACATTCAGTCATGGAATATTCACTGTATATATTCATAATTATTTGCGGCATAATAATTCAGGCGCATCTTTTTGAGTACTATGGGCCAAAACCAAAAACAAAGTGTATTTTCAGAAGGTTTAAAAGTCCAAAATAGAAGAAAAAGAAGCTTTTTCCATTTGAATAAAACTTACCAATTGAATATTCGTTTAAAGAAAAATTTGAATACAGAGTCTGTCAAAAAAAGTGCAACCTTCAGAAAACAAATAATAAATACTGTTTAATGTTTTTTTCTTCAATGAAATTATGCATTACATTAAAGCCTGACTATTTCTCAATCCACTCCTTTTTACCCCATTCCATTTGGGTTCCTAGATCCAGAATTACAATCAATTGAGTGAAAGGGTGTAAATTATACTTGGGCCACTCTCACCTGTGACGTCACTAACTTCAATGCCTATTCAATGCATATGCAATGCTTAACCCAGATTCAGCATGTCCAGGTGAGAGTGGCCCAAGTAAAATGTACACCTTTCACTTAATTGATTGTATTTCTGGATCTAGGGACCCAAACGGAATGGGGTAAAAAAAAGAGTGCATTGAGAAATAGTCAGGCTTTAATGTAATATATAATTTCATTGAAAAAAAGAAACATCGAACAGTTTTCATTATTTGTTATCTGAATGTTGCACTTTTTTTGGCACACTCCGTGTGTTGAAGAGCATGGGTAGAGCAGCTTCAATATGTAAACTTTGCTGAATGCGGAGGATTTTGGCTTTATTAAAATGTAACCACTGTAAGCCAAAAGCATCTGAAGCATATGGCTTTAGAGTGACTTTCAGCTGAATTTTACAAGGCTGTACTACAAAATTGCTTTGGATGGCTAGTTGGAAATTGTTGGAGTTGATCAATTGATGCGAAAGCAACCTCTCCTTCTTTCATTAATTTGTTTTTATTGTATATTTGTTGATGTTTTGCACTTTGGTTTTTTTTTTGCTTGCTTGCCTGCATGTTATGTTGTTGCACTATTGTATTAACCCTCCTGCTGAGCAGTCACAGACAGTTAAAAACTTGATCCTCTTCCCCTGCCTTGCCTTTTTACACAGGCTAGTCACCAACCCAACAGTCGGATCATATTTCTTGTAGGCACTGTGACTAGTCAAATTCCATCAACAGACAACAGCAGGTGTCTGGTCAGCACAGCTGGCTTATCAATCTCCTACAGTCAAAGCACAGCTATATCAGATTTCATAACAGTCGCAGCCAGTTAGTCCTGCTTTATGAAGGCAGGCAACACTCAACTGTTAAAAACAGTCACTTGATTAATTTGACTAATGGCGTTGTTCAATTTGCCAGCAATAGAGGGAGGGTTAATTTAGAAGTAGTTACATTGGTGTAATGCAAAAAAAGTTGGCCATTCTTTGGTGTTAGAAGTAGCTTCTCTTGAAGCAATCAGTGCCAATTTTCATGGATCTGTTAAGCAGAGAGATATTGCTTAGAGTGCTCTTATAGCAAAAAAAATAAGCAATTTAAGCTTCTAAGCAAATATGTTAAGCAGAATTCTGTGGTTAGCATCTTCATGAAATGGCCCCAGTTAATATTTTATGGCTAACGTCATTTTACGAACATGCGGAATTGTAACCGAGTCAATCACAAGTCAGTTCACAAGTCAATTTAAAACTCAAGTTAGAAGCAGCAAGAGATGAACAATGACAAAGAGATGCCTTTGCCACAGTTCATTTAAATAGCTTGTGAGTTGACTAGGGACTGGAGGACTTGTGACTGACTTGTGATGACTTGTGACTGACTTGTGACCGACTTGTGACTGACTTGTGACTGATTCTGTTACTAGAAGCAACAAGAGATGGACAATGACAAAGGAATGCCTTTGTCATAGTTCATTTAAATAGCTTGTGAGTTGACCTAGGGACTGGATGTCTTGTGACTGACTTGTGATGACTTGTGATAACTTGTGACTGACTTGTGATGACTTGTGATGACTTGTGACTGACTTGTGATGACTTGTGACAGATTCGACTATAACTCTGCCAATATGAACTGAAGTGCAGTTGAAATGCCAGTCCTCGCAATGGTTCCTTCTTGAGAAGTTTTGGCCGAGTTGTATTCAAGTCAATCACAAGTCATTCACAATTCATACACTAGTCTTCACAAGTTATCCATGAAGTGATATTCAATGTTAAAGGCATTCCTTTGTCACTGTTCATCCGTTGTTACTTGTGGCCCGACTCGTGGTTTGAATTGCAATCAACTCAGTTACTTCTCTTAGATTTGGCTGTCTCAGTTTGGGTGTTCACCATTTCAAATGCTGTGATGTTGTTAAATACGCACCATGCAGCACTCTTTTGCTATAGGAAGTTACTCTTGGTGGCTGTGTTGTCTTTCCATCACTTAAATATGGTGAGGTTTTATGAATGACTTAAAGAAAGTGTGTGCGAGGGAGGCGCAAAATTACTACATCCTGGGTAGAATTTAATGGATCTGAAACAAGAAATATTGCCGTGTGAAGCAACCAAAAAAAAAAAAAAACCAATCACAGGTAATGCACAACATATGATATATTTTGTGTAAACCTGTTTTCATTTAGCAAAACTGTTTCATGCTAAGTGAAAATTATCTGCTTACTAGCTAGATGGAATCCAGCAGATCGATTCTGCATCTGCAGGTGTCATCCTCGCTAGCCACGGAAGTCTCAAGGCCATGTCTGAATCACTTGGCTACGGCTGGGAATAACACACACACCTATGGAAGCCACTGGCTAGCCGCTGCAGCCACTTGCCATAGACTTGTGTGTTATTTCCAGCTATGTCAGAAGCCGCTCTGCCAAACCGAAGGCAAATTTAGACACTCATCTTCAGTCAATCAGACTCTCTGCTAAGACTTTGGGACATTTCCTACACACTGAATATTCAGGTCTGGAATTACAGGGTCAACTTTGCTAGCCAATAGCAGAGCACTTTTCAGGACGGCACAGCTGCCAGTTTATTTGGTAGGCGGTCAATTCTGTGTCAGCAAATCTGATTGGTCAAAGTTATGTCAGTCCGTATATGGAAGTGGTTCATGAATCATTTTTATCTCACGAGGTCAATTTAGGAAAGATATGGACCCGGTTTGCCAGGGAACCGTCTTACGATGTACATGAGTAAGACTAACATGGCTAGCGAGGATAGAAGACATTAGCGTTGCCATTTTGATTCCCAAAGAGAGTTTCTGCTTGTCTGAGAAATACAGCTGTGGATCTTTACAGCACTGGCAGTGTGCATAAAACGACAGCACTTTGATATTTTGGTTAAGCGGGTACAGTAAATGCTGAATCTGTGATGAAGTGAACTTGGTAACGCAGTGGTGTGCAGTCTTAGATGCGTAGGTGTTCATGTCAATGTTTTGTAGCTTTGTTGGTCCTGCCTATGGTTAGTGGATTAGTTTTTGTTGTTGGGTCCAAAGGCATTATGATGCAGGTGGTGGTCAAAGACACTGGGAAATTCCAATTGAATTTTGGTTTTTCTTTTGGGGTGTAGACTGTAGAGTATTTTTGTGCTTTGTGATGGAAATGTGTTTATGTTTTATGTATGGTGCTGCACTGATGCTGTAGAGGTTACAAATGGGAGCACTGTATTGGTGGTTAGAAGCTAATGTTTCGTTTGCCCTGTGTCCCCCCCCCCCCCCCCGGGCCCCCCCTTCCTACACCCCTCCCCACCTCCCACCTCTACCTACCCTATTAGCCATACACTTACCCCTGCACCACTCTCAACGCTTTCAATCCCCTTACTTCCATGTTCCCACTTTCCCCTCTGACATACTGATTACATCTTCCCTCTTTGTACCCCTTCATCTCTCTTTCCTCCCCCCTACTCCAACCCCCACCCTTCCCCACTCCTTGCCACACCCCACCCTTTCCCACACCCCACCCCTTCCCCCACCCCACCCCACCCCTGTTTTCCCCCATTTTCTATTTCGTACAGTGCCCGCCTTCTCTGGCATATTCTGGAAAGTAATTTTTTTTAATTTAAAAAGAAGATCACTCTTGTTTCACTGTGTTCCTTTTGGATCACGAGGAGATCTAGCCAAGACAATTTTAGAGGGAGCAAAACCAAATACTTGTACTTGTTAAAGTAATTTTTGAGACCCTATTTGTTGGAAAGTGCAAATAAAAAATTTTAAGATAAAAAAAATGAAAGTTTATGGAATTTTGGGGAAGTGTTACTTCATTACAACAGAAACCGTTCCCTAAGAACATTTTTACAGGGAGTGCAATTTTTTTTTTAATTTGAGAATCCACATAAAATTTATCAATTTCGGTTCAAATTCCATAATAATACATGTTCTCCACCCAACCCCCCCATTCTTCCTGTCACACCTCCTGTCCTGTCCCTACTCCATCCTAATCCTTCCATTATCTACTGTGCCTCATTTCTAAACCCTCTGTCTTTCCGTCACCCTCTGTCCAACTCCTTCCCCTCCCTACCAACCATAACCCCCACACCCTGACCGCTCACCTAACCCCTAACTACCTCAACTCCGTATGTCATTCCACTTCTGTTGTGTTTCAAGTTTCTGATGGTTCTTGTCTTTCAATAATTCCAGCACTTGGCTTTTGACAGCTTTTAAAAAAAAAACACTAATTCACCTCAATTTTGCTTATTCTCATTTTTCAATGTACAACCTGTAACCTAATTTCAAATAATTATAATAATAGTTCATCATTTTTACAACCACAGGGCCTCGTAAAACAGAATGGCATCGATGAACCGATGCCAGAGGATCCAGACCGGAGGGAGGAGGAGAGTAAGGAAGAACAGCTGAACGGAGGGAGTGAGGAGGAAGAAGAGAACAGCAGCCAGCCGCCGCCCACTCCAAGGGAACATAAGGCATTGCCATGGACACCAAAAGTCAGGTGTGAACTCACAAAATTATAATTATTTTTACTCGTCAGATTTTTTTCCCAGAATATCTGATGGTGATTTTTGTTTCTTTACTTAGGAGTTTAAATTAACCTTTTGGTTTCTTTGTGGTTTTTCTTCATCAGGCAAAAGGATCTGGATGTCTTCTTGGACCACACCAGAAGAAAATTTGTAGGTTTCCAAGTGCAGAGGTAAATACAAATGAAACAAGGTCTTTAGTCAAATTCAACATTCCAACATTCAACACATTGTAAATTCCCAGCACATTTGAGTTTGTGTTAAACTTTTCATGTCAGGTATTGCAGAACCTCCATCAAATGAGCTCAAAGTTTGCATGGTTAGACAGCTCCCGTTTTTAATAAAAGTCACGTTTAATATCATATTCAACTGGCTAATGGTTAGCTTTTGTCGATTTTTCAGTGAAAAAAAACAAAGTAAACTATTCACAACTTGAGATCATATTTTGTAGTTAACTTCTTCAACGATTGTCAACATAAACTGTAGATATTTGCACAGCCAGTGTTATCTATGGTTGTATTTTTTCTCCTTTATTAATTTTTGTTTTTCTCTCTTTTAAAGTGATAGTGACACTCTGGCAGGACTACCCCAACCCATCCATGAAGGCGTACACGTCTTGAAGAAGGTAAATATTTTACAGCAGTTTTTGAATTTTTTTCTCATGAACTTTGAAACAGCATTGAGTATAAAGTGCTTATAACATAATGTTTGCAAACGGCAAAACCCAATATAAAAGGTGTTACTCCAATCTCCTCAATGCAGAAATTCAATTGAACGTTATTGGTATATATTAAACCAGCTACCATATCAGAATCGAAATTCCATCCAACCTAGTTAAAGCTTGGTGGTTGAGTGCTTATGACATCTGCACTAGTAAGAAGGAGGGCATGGGTTCAAGTCCTTCCAAAACAGAGTCTTTCTTGCAAGCTCTCGGACAGCACCTAATGAACGGTGCATAGTGAGTGGTAGAACTTAACATTTAATGCACACAGAAACATTGGCAATTACCCAAAGAATACCTACCTATATAAAGAGAAACAAGCGAGAGTGCACAATAAGCTCTGGTTCGGTTTATGAATATCTCACTTATATGCAAAATAGACGCGCGCATGCACATTGATCAAAACAAAGCTGGTCTTTCGAAAACTTTCAACAAGAGTGTATTTTTATGACCACGGCATGGCATTTAGTCAATTTTTGGTCAAACAATTTCGGTCAATTTTCGGGGACAGATAGACAGACAGACCGACAGACAAACAGACAGACAACACAGACACCACGACAGACAGACAGACAGACCACCAAGTGACATGTAGAAGCTCCTGCCAGAGCTTAAAAAGCTCACTCAAAGTGACGAAAGGATTGGCACCAACTACCCTGTGAAATTACTCCACCTGGAAAGGTATTGTTCGAAAGAAAATCATTGAAGGATTCTTTTGACATTTTTCTTTTCAGCACGTGTATGTGTCTCTGGCTGAGATACAGATTAAGCAGGAGGAGCAAATCAACAAGAATCCAATCTCTAAGGTAAGCTCCAGCAGTCAACATTTTGCCATGTTGAACTTTTGATCTAGAATGTCTTAGAATTTCCCCAGGGCCCAATATCAACAAAAAATTTGCTTACCAAATTACTTGCTATGCAAAAAGATTCAGTTGAGCAACAATAGAGTAATTTATCACTTGAACCTTTGGCAAAAAAACTTTTGAGCTAGACTTTGCTTTGGTGGCCCCTTGAAAAGTCTCCAAAAATATTGTAACTGCAAAATCTTCAAGAAAGGAATGAAAGACATCTTTACTATATTTTTAAGCGCGAAAGTTTTCACGGTCACGAATGATCCAGTGCGAAGCACGCAATTGCCCGTGAAGCCACCTCCCCTGCAGAGCAGACAAATGAGGCCACTTTGTTGTGATTAAGTGAAATCTCCAATGTTTTTGTGATGTTTCCCCACATTTATTTCAGATTTGTAAAACGTTTTTCCCTTGCCTGATGTTCTTATTGTTTCCCAAATATTCAAAGAGAAATTAGCTCTCACTAGATTTGAAGAAAATGCCTGGTTTTTAGCTGCGGGCAGCAGCTCAACAAATGGTCGTGTCTCTCTGCTAGTTGGTTAGTTGGTTAGTTAGTAACAAATGTCAGCAACAGCCTTGCATGGCTATCAACCACCTCATCCCTCAGGCCCGGGTACATATCAACTCCTCCCTCAGTTCACTTTAATGGGTCTCCACTCACCGCCTACCAATTTATGCAGTCCTGGAAAATTTTGTCACTAGGGTCAAAAACCTGATGTTTGTACTGAAAACACTACTCCTTCCAGAAATTACACGGCACAATCACGTCACACATGCGTGAGTACAAATGCGTTGGCCCGCTGCTACCAAAATCATTTTAAGCATGTTATTTTATCCAATCAGCTTAAATAAAAACTGATTTTTTTACCCCTAGGGAGAGGAGAACATCCCAGCCACAGCAACCGAGCTCCTTTACCAAGCCGTGCTACCTAACCTGCCACAGTATATGGTCAGTAGACTTCTCACTAAAATCTGTTTAAATTTTAGCCAAAAAAAATGCATGTCATTTGTATCTTTACATTATAACTTACAAACAGCAGATGAAAATTTGGTGATCCATAAATCATTTTAATTGAGAAATAGTATTTGAAAAGAGCTTTTCTTTTCAAAACAAATGACAGATGTGAACACATTTTGAAAGCAAGAACTGGTGCTTTTTATTTAATTTATTATTGTTTACTTTTTATTTTGTTTGCATTTCAGAAATCTCACTTAAAGGCACATAGTTTTGTAGGAGCTTAATACCTAATAATGTAAAGTATTGGATGTGAACCAAGGCCACAAATAAAAAGACAGACAAGAAAAGACCTCCTCAGTACGAGGTTGGCACTGCATCAATTAAGGGCCTTTCACACTGTCCAAAGTTTCGTGTTGGACCCATGTCTAGCACGGAAATTTCAGGAACCCCTTTTACATGTACACTAGCAAAGAATCTGACACATCTTCTACACGGATCCTATGCCTTACCGACCCGTGTTCAATGGAACCTGATTCTGCTGACTGTGAACCTATGTTGATTTCAGCATGGGTAGGCAAGACGCTAGTGTGGAAAGGCCTCTAGATGCTTTAAAGTGAAGAAACTTGAACTTACGTCAGAGCATTAACATAATTAGGACAGCAGTGGAATACGCTTGTTTTCCATGTTTTCTTTCCCAGATTTCCTTACTGAAGATCCTCCTGGCCGCTGCACCCACCTCCAAGGCCAAGACAGACTCCATCAACATCCTGGCTGACGTGCTTCCCGAGGAAATGCCGTAAGTGTCTCGGACAAAAGTTCTCCTTGAGGACAAATTGGTTGTTTTTACATTATCAATCTTCCTGCTTTATCGTAGCATTTGAAGGAAAACATTTGCCCCCTCATCGTAAAATGTTTCTTCTGGCAATTAAGTAGCGCGACCAAACAATTATCCCAAATCTGACTCAAAATGTAACCCCTCCCCTATCCCCACCCCTTAGCTTAGTTCATGTTCTCAATCTTGCTGATCCTAGCCACCTCTTTCATCTATGTTTTACCGACGGTGTAAAATTTACCGTCTTTCAGTGTCAGACTTTGTTGTTGTCCCAACTATTGATTATTATATGGTCTGCCATTGAAGCCTTCCTCTTTAGCCTAACCCAAAGGGATCTGGGTTTCTATCCACATACCATACCTGTGGGGCCATGTCCTATAATGTCGCACGGACACCAGCATCACTGTCCATACGTCACAGCCAGCAGTCTCACAGACCATGCAGACAAACCGCTTACAAATTTACAATTTACAATTTTTTTGTTCATTTCCGTTTGTAGAATCACTGTCTTACAGTCCATGAAACTTGGAGTGGACGTCAATCGACACAAGGAGGTCATCGTCAAGTCCATATCAGCCCTGTTGCTGCTACTGCTGAAACACTTCAAGCTCAATCACGTCTACCAGGTACCCAGAAACATTTAGTTTGATAAAAAGTCTCTTTCATAAATATTAATACTGATTCAGATAAAGTGTAATAGTTTTCATGGTAGTCATTTTCATTTCATAAAATGTGAAGGTTGGTTATTCTCTGACATAGATGAAAATTTGAAATATTGTGTGTTAACATTGCAATATAAGGTTGGACAAAGAATTTTAAGTGAATGCTGTACCAGAGGTCACTGGTTAAAATCTAGTCCGTGTTCAAGACTGAATTAATTTTTTTCTCTTTTAAGGCTGGTGCCTGCTAAGTGCTGCCAAGTTGCCGCGATGGTAGAGGTCACTGTCAACAAGATGAATCATATCCAATCTTGGGAACTTCGACAGGGCTACCCAAAATAATCTGAGCATACCTTACTTACGCTGTATTCAAGCTCATGCACGCGTGTGAGATATGCTCTGAATTTTCTGGATAGCAGTGCCAGAGTTCCCAAGATTGAATTTTACTGCACTTGTCTGGGACTGGCTGTATTAGGGGAATAAAAACCCAAATACAGTCTTGGATAAAGACTAGTTTAAATCTCACGCCACTTGTTCAATTAACATAAGACTTGTCTTATTAGTCTCATTGTGGTGTTTAACCGTTTTGTGTCCCCCTTTTCTTTTGCTAGTTTGAGTTTATGAGTCAGCACCTGGTCTTTGCCAACTGCATCCCGCTGGTCCTCAAGTTCTTCAATCAGAACATCATGGCCTACATCAGCACCAAAAACAGGTACATTGCAATAGACCAATCTTTTAAGCTCTGTCCCATGATGATTTGACATATTACAGCCCTGACTGCGCAACCAACATTCAACTATACTCTGACATGCTTGCAATTATATATGACACCCGAGGCTGGAACGTACAATCTTAAAAATGCAATGAATGATAAAAATATAAATAAACAAGTTGACATCAACTTATCATCAGTTGATCATTGGTTGTCGGTAAAGACAAATCGAACAGTGCGTAGATGTACTAAACATTGTTAGGAACAAGAAAATCACATAAAAATTGAATGTGAAATCAAGCGAATTATGTTGGACTGGTTGACTTCTCTTTTCACATTTGCAGCATCAATGTGATTGACTTTCCTCTGTGTGTGATTGGAGATCAGCCAGAACTCACAGCAGAAAGTTTGGTAAGTTGATACGACGACAGAGTTTTTAAAACATTTGTTATGCTGCTTATTGCAATTTAAATATTTCATATCTATGAGAAATGGTTGCACCAAACCAAAAAAAATGACCAAGGCAGGCTTTGAAGCTACGACCTTTGGAATCCTTATACAGCACCCTACGAACAGAGCTATCCTGTCCTATGTTGGAAGTCTCCCTATTTTGTTAATGTCTTTGTTTTTTTTACCGCGACTCAAAAACCACAATGTCATGGATTACCCCCAAAAGTCACAGTAGGAAAAAACGCTGAGTTTCTCTCTCTAACTGAATGTATGTTGTTTCGTCACTTTTATTTCTTCATTCTTCACCATTAGGAGGCTGGTGACACCATCCCCTACTGCTGGCGCAATCTCTTCTCCTGTATCAATCTCTTGAGGATACTGAACAAACTCACCAAGTGGAAACACTCCAGAACAATGGTAAGACACAAGCCAGGATTTTGTTTAAGAAATTGGTAGTCTTCGATGACAAGAGTTGAAGCTACGGAGCCAATCAAGATAGGGGTTTTTCTGCTTGAAGTGCTGGTGTGATGTAGTAATACTACTGTAATATTGACTGAATGTGAACAAGTACAAGTAAACTTCACGCACTGCTAGTCACACGAAAGAGAGCTATACGCATTTGCACTTTCTCACATCATCGACACTACACCGCACCCCTTTTCACTCATCTATGCACTTAGAACATTACTGAACTGAACAAAATGCAAACTGGCATATTCATGTATAAATTTGTCAACAATCTTCTGTCTGACATCTTTTCTGCATATATCTCACCTGTCCGACAAATACATGATCATTTATTGGAGAGTTCAAAATAAATGTCTATTGAATTGAATTGAATTTAAAAGTGTTACAAGCTAGATGAACTCACCAGAGCTACAAAAAAGTCAGCCGTCTCTGGATTTGCTCTTTGAAAAGTGAGCAGGGCCACGTTTAATGGCCCTTTTTACCATAAGCGAACAATCTTCTCTAAACTACAGAAGAACATTTTGTGCTAACCGCAAGTATTTTGAAAACGTTGGCAAGGAATCTTGTGTGCATGCGTACATGGTTTAACAAACAGCTTTCGATTGTGCTAGCATTGTATGCATAGAATGGCAATCATATTGAGAAGAACATCTTTTGTCCTAAGGGGGGGTGTCTGAATCAGATTTTTTTTTATGGCTACAGCTTTGGCTCTTTGCCATTCATGTGCTATGGGGAATAGCTGTAGCCATAGACACAGTGCCAACACATCTAAATTACTTGGCCACAGCTGGAAATTGCACATGCTAATATGGAAATGGTCGAATCAACTTCCCATCGACTCATGTGTTACTGCCGGCCAAGTCATTCAAATACAACCTCAAGACTTTTGTCTGTCTCACTTTTCGTCCCAGATGTTAGTGGTCTTCAAGTCGGCCCCCATACTGAAGCGAGCCCTGAAGGTCAAGCAGGCGATGATGCAGGTCTACGTGCTCAAACTCCTCAAGGTACAGACCAAGTACCTGGGCAGGCAGTGGCGCAAGAGCAACATGAAGACCATGTCGGCCATCTACCAGAAGGTGCGACACCGGCTCAACGACGACTGGGCGTATGGAAATGGTGAGCAGAACAGCGCCACCTAGTGTCAGATGGTGTCTAAACCCTGACACCCCCCCACCCCCTTCAAATATTCCTTAGCCGGAAAATCTATATTAAGATAAATTCAGGGAAAATCCAGCCATGGCATATTTTGTAGTATTCTATTGTCTTTGAAGAGAAAAGCACACTAGAGTGTGGGTTCCTTACAAAAAAGATGACATCAAATCTCAGTAAGAGTACTATTTTCGATTTTTATCTTCAGCAGCGTATTTTTGTGGGAATTTCGCACAAAATAAACTTCCATATTTTAGTTCTTTTAAGTGACTGAACCTTATTTAAAGCTAATGCCTGCTTAAGTTGTTGAACCCTTTAATGATTACACATTTCCAATGTACATTGCATTATGCTCGAGCATTTTAATGAAGCAAAGTCTGTGACTAAATGGAAATGCTGTGCTAAACAATAAACATTACTGTACTACCTGGAATCCACCCTGCCTATTACTCACTGTAGTGCACCAAACCGCCCCAGCACTCTATGGTTTTATTGATTCTTCAGTGAATAAACACAATGTAATACAATGCAGTACAGGTGCTAATGGTTTAAAGTGCTGCTTTTTTTAACTGTATACCTGACATGAACTGAAATGTATGGTGTGATTTAAAAAAAAAAACGCTCTACTTTTCATTGGCTGTTAAAAGAAACAGATGGTTGAGAATGCTAGCTATATATGGTCGCTACGGTTCGTAAAGGGTTTAATACTGATTCATGTGCTTGTTTTCAGATATGGATGCGCGCCCGTGGGATTTCCAAGCAGAGGAGTGCGCCCTCCGTGCCTGCGTGGACCGCTTCAACACGCGACGTTACGACCAGTGCACGCCCAAGGACCCAGAGTACCAGCCCGTGGACAACAACCCACAGAGCGTGCTCAGCCAGAAGATGGAGCTGAGTGAGGAGTTCCAGCGCTTCTACGAGGTCTGGCTGGACCGGGAGGTCTTCACCACGCAGATCAACTGGGACCTCCTGCTCAAGGATAAAATCTGCACCTAGGAGGGTGGGGGAGGGGGGTTGGGGAGGGGAGGGGGTATTTGGAGAGCAAGCCACTGATCGTGTTCAGTCAGAAAATGGGATGAGCGAGGATTTTCAGCAATTCCACCAAGTTCAGCTGGACAAGGAGGTAGTCATTACACAGATAAACTGCTGCTCAGTGATAAAATCTGCACCTAGGAGGATGGGGGAAGGGTTGGGGGGGATGAGGATGGAATTTCTTGTAACTTTGAATTAATCGAATAATATCTTAAATTTAAAGATGACAATCACACCTATCCACCCTCCATATTTGCACTCAAAGTTATATTACTAAAGCAAATGGGCAAGACTACGTCACCCGATGAAAACATCTATTTATTTGCACATCAGTTTTCATTGGTTCCCATGTGTGACCATTCAGCACCCTAGACTCGGGTACCATTGAGTCTCAAGAAAATGGGTCTGGGAGCCACAATCCTGGCCAAATCTCGCTGGGCCCCCAACCTCCCGGTCCCTGCTCAATGTTGTCTCTCATTGCGCAGTGTGTGCTCCATCAGCTGGAGAGACCAACATTGACCGGGGGAGCGGGGAGTGGGTGACTGTGGGAGGCTAAGGAAGTGTCCCAACCATTTTTGCCGGGATTGTAGATAAGCCAATGTAAACAAATCCTGGATGTCCGAGCCCGCCTATACATGCTAGAAAAATCATGAAGTAAACGATGCAAATCAATTGCTTGTTTAGTGCTAACCAATCAGATATCGCTCACTCCAGGGGCAGACTATTTGAATTTGAATAACCTGGACCTGGGAATGAGGTTCGGATGGTCATTAATCACCCTATCAGCTAATCACAAAAGTTATTAAGGTTCAGTGAGACTGGTTTAACTTGAATGCTCTCAGATGTAACCCTTGTGTCTAGCCCACTTGTATAATTCTAACCCTTATTTAAGACGTGTATGTAGCAATCCACCAGGGGCTTTATAGTAACTTCTTGTGTGCAATTAATTTTGAAGAGGTTTGTTCCAAGATTATCAAGCAAGTTTTGGAAGCACTTCGTAGATGTCGTCTTTAGAAGTGTTTAAATAAAGAAAACATGAATAAGGAGTTATAAAAGTCGTGTTACATCCGCTTGAAATCAACAGGCAATTAATTTGAATTGTGTACAAGTGTTAGGGAGGTAAACCTCTTGTAAACCATGTACATAGACTGTATGTAATAAAGCGGCTAGTATTTAAAAGAAGTTATATCACTGTTGTAACGTTTGATTTATTAGCTGTTCCCAATTTCAATTGGGAACAGCTATTGTTTTCGTTAAAGTTTTTTTTTTCCCTTTTTTTTTTTTTTTTTTTTTTTTTTCTTTTTCCACTTTTTCCCATAGGTTTTGTACACGTTTTTATTCTACAAGCCACTTTGGCAATTATTTTAAATCCGATCAACCTTAAACTCAGCATAGTTATTAACCATCATCTGAGGATGTGTGCCGAAACTTTTCGTCATGCTGACGTCATCACGTGATTTATTATAGAATTTTGAATATTTAATTTTTCCCATAGACTTTGTACACAGAAATTTAAAAAAAAATGTCAATTTTCAGAGGGCATTTTCGACTCTTTGCCAGTAATTCATTTACACCAATCTTTGTCCAAGCAAAGACCCTAGTTCAAACAACATTGTGTAATGATGACGTCATCCGGTGTTTATTTATAGGCAATTAAATTGTGACACTTTTAATATTAAAAAATGCATAAGAAATCAACCGTACGCGTCCGCAGCATTCTGTTGCCGGCAAGTGGTAGAGTAGGTTGAGGTCTTTATTTCATTCAGTGTGCGTGAAATCACGTGACCCTTGCTTCCGGTCGATAAAGGCCAAAACCGGAAGTGGCTTATTATTTGAAAGTGGTAATAGATATGAACTTGCTTTAAACGGTGTTAGTCTCTTGGCTGATAGTATTCTTCAAATCATCTACCGATGACGTCATGCAATCTTCGAGCGCCCTCTAGCGACAGGTTGAAAATTTTCAAAAATGTATTTTGAATAGATGTCTGTGGCGAAGTTTGTCGGAATGGCCTAAATATTGGTGTATATGATGACCTTGACCCACTTAAGACGTGTGCGAAGTTTAAGGTGTATGACGTCATCAGACCGGAAGTCATGAATATTTAATGAGACACTCTTTACAGTCTTATAACTATGGAACTATTTGACCGATTGATCTCAAATTTAGTAGGTATACAGACAGGGATGTGTTATAGATGAAAATTGATATGTCAAGGTCATGTGACCTTCACTTCCGTTTTTACCGGAAGTGGTAATTTTAGACCCTTATATCATATTTCATGAATTATTACTCTGATTAGGTTGAAACTTCACATTAATACAAAGCTATATTGACAGATAATTTTCTTGCATTATTATTACTGTGCACTTAATTATTGTCATGTCATGACGTCATGAATATTTAATGAGACAATCTTTACAGTCCTATAACTATAGAACTATTTGACCGATTGATCTCAAACCTGGCAGGTATACAGACAGGGAAGTGTTATAGATAAAAATTGAAATGTCAAGGTCATGTGACCTTCACCTCCGGTTTTACCGGAAGTGGTTATTTTAGACCCTTATATCATATTTCATGAATTATTAATCAGATCAGGTTGAAATTTCACATTAATACAAAGCTATATTGACAGATAATTAAATTGAATTATTATTACTGTGCGCATAATTATTGTTATGCTATGACGTCATGAATATTTAAAAGGCTGTACCGGAAGTGGAATCTTTAAAAGTAATAATTTCAATTTATTACTTTCATTTTTTGTTAATCATTAAATCATTTTGTTTACGGTCCAATAGAGAATCAAAACTGGGAACAGCTCTGTGGTTGTTCACAACCACAACCTCTAGTTTTGTGTGATTTTATAAATAGAATACTGCAGGCGGAACCAAGAGGCGATTAAGATGACTAACCACCACCGACTGACCAACATTAATTATTTACATAATGGGATTTTTTCCCCCCCAAGTTCTTTGATTAACAATTGGTACTTTATAGTATAGTTTGAAGCAAGGCTAATTGTAAAGACCCAAAGTGGAATGTTTTAGTTTGACGACTTTTAATATTTTTTTTTTTGGGGGGGGGGGCTCATGGAACATTTACAGTATAGTCTACTGCCAGTACTTGTAGTTTTTTGTTCAATATTTTTATTTTATTTGAAGCAATCTTCCATCAATGGAACTTCCAGATACAATGTTGATAAGGGGCAGCCTAGGGACCGAGATATTATTATAACTTTAACAAAGGTACTTTCAAATTGTTTTAGGGTGAGGAAATGCTAAAGACACTTTTTTTAACCACCCTACTGCCATAGCACTCTCCAAACACTGCATCCTTGAAAAATAACATGCTGCCAAACTTATTTTGAAGTGTGCAAAAGTTATAGCCCAAAATGTCTGTAATGGAAGAAAAGGTCAAAGGAAGCTTTTCCCTTCAACTTTTGAAGAAGAGCCATTTTATACAAAACTACTAACAAGAAGAAAAAAATAATGAGCTACCTTATGTGTACAACATACACTTGCATGTTTTAGCAAAATAAAACGGCCTTTACAGCATGCTCTACTAAGTAAACAAAAAAATAGTTTGTTGTAAAAGCAAGTATAAAAATCTGAGTCCATAATATTTTTAATTTCTATATAACTTCGAAATTTTAAACAATCAAAGCATCATGGTTTTATCTTTTTCAACATAACTTGTCCCGTGAAAAAAAGTATTCAGGCTTTTCTTACTGAATGTCAGAGGTTCGTATCGTAAAAAATAAAAAAAATTAAAAAATTAACTTTGGTAAAAGAATAAATAAATGGTACGAATCAGACTACAGAAATGTACAAATCATACAGACTGGATGGACCATGCAAAGCAAGCAGCAAAGAATTTTGTAACTATTTCAAAACACAACTTCAATATTGCACTTATTTAACAAAAAAAAAAATTTAAAATAAGCATAAACTAAACGCACTGAGCCAAACAAATTAATTGTAGTTTTATTTTAGATGGTGATCAATGTGCTGAGTATGCTACGTCTGTAGGAATGATGCAGATTATTTTGGGGGCCGAAAAGCCTGTTGGTGTTGACCATGAAAAGAAGCTGGTAATTACTAGACTTGATTCAAGTCTGATTTTCATTTCCAATCAAAGCTTAAGTAATATTAATGCATACTCCATCCATGTGTATGCCAACCAAAGCATGAATGTACACGACACATGAGTGAATGAAGTCTATTAAAGTTTAGCTTGGCTGATGATCAACAGTTTGGGTAGTAAAATCCATATCAGCTATAACCAGGGAATGCAGGGAATGTTTCAATTATGTACATTTAAATTCTGCTCTAAAATAAAAATCTTAAGGGGATAAAATGGCAGAAAATGCAACACTGTAAAGTAACCAAGTTATTTGTCTGGAAAGTCCAATAATTGTAGTATACTTCAATTACAAAAAAATTGATCATAAAAATAGATTTTTTCCTGTAACCCCGACGGTTGAACAGCTCCTGAGTTCTTCATGAAATCAGGCTGAGTTCTCAACTTATCACATACAGTGACACTTATGCTAGTAAAAATGGGTGGTTTTTTCTTTCCTTTTTTTTTTAAACAAGTTCCGATAACTTTTGTTTTCTTTTAAAACTATCATTTAATACATGCATTTTCTGCTTACAAATAACATACTATTACAAAAAATGTTTTCAAATCAACGTTTGCATAATTAAGAATGTACAATTGTTATGCATAATTTGAACTTTTTTTATTATATACAGAAATCAGTGAGCTGATTCAAGTTATTCAAAATACAATCTTAATGGAAAAAGTTTTGGAAAGTGGTTTTCTTTGCTATTTCTATTAAAAACAGACCCACTTCAATGGTAACAGTGGTTAAAAAAAAAAGGACACCCACATTTGACAGCAATTTTCAACTATTTTAAAAAATTATTTTTAACTGCCGATTAAAAGCTGTTAAAGTACTGGCCTTTAAGCAAATGTGACGAAAAAATGGTTGCATTTGCACATTTTGTCGTTGAGCTATGCTAATTTGAACATTTCATGTGCGAAACCTGTTTGTCCACGGAGGTATACATTCCCTTCACTTGACTGAGCTCAGCAATTGGAGCTTTATTTGAAAGGGCATGACATTTGATTGTTATGTTATGTAATGTTATGCAACAATGAACTTAAGCTGACAGCTCATTGAGTAGATGATCTTAACACTGACATGAATAATTGAACAGCTTCAATCAAAGTTACCAGGGCAAAAAATATTTTGATGGGAAGGTTTTTTTAATTTTTATGAACTACGAAAACTTCCAATTTACATTGAATAACCCGTGGACAAGACTGAGTTTTGGTGACTTGTATTCATATTAGCATAATATCACTATTTTTGCGACTTTTACTAAGCTTTTTTCACCATACATGGTTAAAGGCCTATACTTTACCACTATGTGAAAAAAATATTTAAAATGAGTTCATTAAGTAGGTGAAAATCGCTGTCAAAAGTGGGTGTCTGTTTTTTTTAAAACCACCCTGTAGGCTTGGTTTCAAGACATCCTTAGTGGTGTTGTGTTTCAGCACGCACAGGATAGTTTTTTGGGTGTGGTTCGTAGACCGAGTTAGCTTTGCCGATGGGAACACACCGCCCTCTATCGGGACAATTATGTGACATGCATTCTGCTGCGCGGTACAAAGGCTGCACCGTCTATCGTGAATTACCCTGCTAAGAGTGTCTTCCATCAAGACTAACAGTTCACTTGAGTGAGTGTAGAGTAATGAGATGTACATGTATGTCTTCTGCATACATATATTAAACTATATTTCTGTGAGCCAACTTTTTTTCTGCTTAATATGACGGGCTCAGACTAAATTACATTCACACGTGACACACACAATACAAATGCTCTCATGAAAATTTATGCTCTCCTTAAATTTGGGCAATTGATAATTCCAATGCCTTCCGCTACAAAGCATAAATGCAACAGACACAGTATAAAAAAATCATTATTTTCAATTAAAAAAACAATATTTACCTTTTTTTCATACATTATATATTTCTCTTTGCCATTCTTCTGGGTTTTTTTCTCATGAAAACATCCATCTGTCACACATCCTGTTCCCAAAATTTACTTCCATCGAGCACACATATTTGAAACTGTAGACCAATGTACAACAAAATGTTCCACAAACATTTTCATTAAAAAAAGTATGTCGGAGGTTTTAAGGGAAGACAAAGTTGAGTTTGGCTTTTTGACAAGAGATACTTGCTATTTTTGAGAGCATGAACTGAGGCCTGAAATGTGTACATTAAGTTCAGTTCACTTAATAGAACACTATGTATAAGAACAATGTTGGATTTTTACCGTGGTGCCAGACCCAGTACATTTAAAAACAGGGGAGGGGAGGGGAGGAGCAGGGTTAGAGGGAAGGGGGAAGGGGACAAAAGAAAGTGATGGGCTGTGGGATGTGGGAGAAAGTATGAATTCAGAAGGCAAAATCATTACAAGCTGTCAAGTCAATCACAAATCATCCAGTCTTACAAGGGCTGTGCATTTGATCCGGGTACCGAGTACCCGACCGTTGATGTCAGGAACCGGTTCCAGATTCTAGGATCGGGTACCCGTAACCAACTTTACAAATTACTTAGTAACTTCTCAGACAATGAAAAAGAAAGCTTTTGAATGTAATTTGTTGGGAATTTTCAAATTTGACAAGCAGGCTACATGGGGATAACAAAATATATTTCATGTTTATGACGCTCATGAAAGTTGCAGTTTACACCTTAAAGCTACAAAGCTCACTGTACACACTTGCATCTTGCTGTATTGACACACCAATGTAGTATTATTATTGGCGAACCTTTATGAACAATCTGAACAGCAACTTTCGAGATTTGAATTTTGGGACTGGGTTTCTTCAACGGGTACCTGGATACCCGTGTTTATTTGTTTTTTCAATCGGGTACCCGGTTTCTGTACTACTCGTAAATGCACACCCTAAGTCTTACGACAAATGCCTATTTTCGCCTCTCTTATTTGAGACCCCACTTGTGATTAGACTTGTAACTTGATTGGTGATTGTAATACGGTTGACTTGTGTTTGCCTCGTGACTGACTGTATTATGATTCTTTCACTCGTCAAACCCTGGGCTCAATTTCATAGAGCTGCTTAACAGCCGACTTAGTGCTTACCGAGCCTCCATCTATTACATAGAGACCGTTAAGCAGTAAGCACAGCAAAAGCACGCTTAACCCCATACGTAACAATAGAAATCTATATCGCGCGTAACCACTAGCACGTCCACGCCATGAAATAGTGCTTAAGCAGCAGCGTGATTTTCTGCCATAATAAGCAAGTCTTTTCTGCTGACTGTTAGGCAGCGCTATGAAATTGGGCCCTGTGCTTGATTCACTTTATTGTAACTACACAGTCTTTATTTGTCTGATGTCGCTGGAGATTGGTTCAGCATGTGTTGTTGAGTCTGGAGTCGCCTTTCTCTTCATCTGTAGCCCTCTATGCATCTGGTGAGTTGACTAGCACAATAACGTCTTTGTTGGATTTACAATGTCTGAAATTAAAGGAAGAGTACCAGTATATGCCATTTCTTTCCAAGCTGCAAAGACAATATTGCTTTCATTTTCTGATAAATAAAAAAACAAATGACAAGATGTGACTAGACTGAAAACAAAAACTGCAACTGGAAAATAAATAAAGGATTTAAATAAAAAGATGATTTCCAAACATTTTATGAATGATTTGTGTCTTTCTCTTAAAAGTATGAGTAAAATTGAAACGATTTGAAAATAAACTAAAAATGAAATAAGTCTGAAATAAGTGTTAATAGTCTTGAAACAGCAATACATTTTATGTTGCAGCCATCTTGATTTTTCCCCAATCAAATCAGCGTTACCAAAGCACACAAAAAAAATTTCATTGAGCACTGTTATTGGATACAGGGAACATGACTGAAATGGTGGAAGCATTATAAAGGTCTATTGCAAACAAATAGAGTGGCACATTTACTTGGTTAGGAAAATGTATTTTGTTAATGTAATGCCATGTGAAATTCATAAAAAAACAGAGTTGTAATATTAGTAATCACAAAGTAAGTACATGTATGATGTAAAATTCTTAAACTGATTGGGTTAATTTGTTAAGTAATGATCGGCTGTAAGAATGCAATGATTTCTAGGACGGGCAAGTACTGCAACGTAAATTTGGAATGTAAATTTGGGATAAAAATGACTTCGTTAGTGCGATTCAAAAAGGAAATGTACTCAATCAAAATTTAAAGTATTATCATCAAAAAAACTTGTTAAATAAACAAAATGCCTGCCTAATTATCAAATGTTATTCATCCATGCCATGCGATTTAAAAAACCAATGCATGTTTACTAAAGAAATAAAAAATAGCTTTTTAGAGATTGAAATTGATTTTCATAATATATTTCCTTCAACAAATTCTGAGGTTCGGTTTAAAAACAAAGTGGACCTTTCCTGGCCGTACTTGTACCCTGGTTTATGTCTTACCAGAAATACTTTTAGAAAACCCGAAAACATATCCTGAAACATTTTCAGTTCAAGACAACATAAAGGAAACAAGAACATTTGGAAAATGAAATATAATTTCATTGGGGATTTGTATGCAAGCTTCAGAAATGCAATAAACATATTCCCTGCAATATGCATGCTTAAGTAAATCACACATTTAGCTAATTACCTTATACTCGTTAAGTTTGTTAATGGCGCTGCCTGTTTTTTGCCGTTTAGTAAGCTCTGGTGAAGTCAAGCTGAGAAAACGACGGAATACAACAGAGTAGAAAGAATGAAGATATCCATTATCATAAAGTGAAAAAAAGAGCAAAAATAGCTTGTCAATATGTTAGAGGGAGGGAGCACAGCAGTCGGGTGATCACACGGGGTGGGAGGGGAGGGGAGGGGTTTGACACACACTGAATGTGTGGGGATTCGTGGTGCCAGACATCTTGTACCTTACACTGACCTCGTGATGGTGTGTCACCTGTTTTACTACTAGACTGCCTCCTGTTGGTATCAAGGAGATGGCGGCGGGCAAAACAACAGTTAGATCTCACACAGCAACCTCTTGTCAAAGTTGTTTTTTAATTCCTCATTTAAAAGTCATAAACTAAGAGTCCAGCCTCAAGTCCAGCAACAAGTATTCATATAAGCTGAGACAAAGGCGTCTTTGCTTTCATTCACCCCGTTTCTGTGATCTGACTCGTGAGTTAGAGGCAAATAGGATCATTTACTTTTCATGCATTTTATTCGTTTCACCAAATATTAGTAACACCACTCAAATACAAAGAAGAATGTTCAAAATTAAACCTGTTAAACTTTCAGTTGATTTTACACTTTTTGAGAAAACAGTGAAAAACCATGCACACCCTTTTGATCTGGAAATAATGATAATGTGGTGTTTATAAAGTGCTTTATACCAAAGGTCTCAAAGCACTTCACAATTATTACCCCTGTTCATCAGGCCACGAGACCAGAGTTTGCAGCAGCTCGAGATCAGCGCATTCTAGTCTCTACCTTCACAGGTACCCATTTGTACTCCTGGGTAGAGAGAGGCAATTGTAGTAAAGTGTCTTGCCCAAGAACACCATGTTCCCCATTAGGGTTCGAACCCACGTACCACAGCATGTGAGTCAAACACTGTAACCGTTGGACCACAGTGCTCAAAACAATTTGGTCAATGGCACTCTTTATTCCAAAAATCAGTCAATTGACTGAACGTTGGAAATCACCTACATTTCTTGATTTCTTCTAAATGACAGCAAACCAGACGGAATAATTTCACAGGTGTTTAGTACCAGTATGATTTTCAATCCAAGAAAGCTTTTTGATGATAATTTGGTGGGTTTAATAAATGCAAATGATCCTATATGCCTTTAACTCATGGTTGGCTTGAGACTTGACTCTTGACAGAATTGCAATTTGACTTGTGACTGGCTCCTCAATGCTCCGTTTTGCACCTTGCTATAAGGGTACCAAAACTAACAGCATTAAATTGCTGGGGAATAAAAACTATAAATTCTACAATGTTAAGACTGCAAAATTTGTTAACAAACTAAGCAAGAACGCTACTGTTCACAGTTACTTGAGAATAGAGAAAGAGCTGTTATCGTCCCAGTCCCCAAAAGGAAAATTGCTCATTGATGCATCTGAAAACTACCACCGTCTTCTACATCTGATTTAGGACTCAATTTGAAAATCTTTACCTAAAGATGCCTATCAGGTTAGTACGTTAGACAAAAAAACTTGCCGGTCCTACTTACGTCGGCAAAGCCAATGGTGTCGCTGTCCATGTCTGTGGAGTTGTAAGCACGGCTGTGGTAAGTAGGATTGCGGAACGCAGTCTCTGAGTCATCATCTTCCTCCTCTTCTGGTATGATGTTGCTGCGACTGAACGTCACACTGCCGTCTTCTGTGCCACCATTCTGTTTATAATTTTTTTAAAATCAAAATTAGGTTGAACAGGGAACAAGACTGGGGTAGGGTTTGAACCTGCAATCTCCGGAAATATCGTGCCGATGCTCTACCAACTGAGCTATCCAGCCCTGTGTTGGAAATCTCCCGAATTGTCACTATCTTTGCCCATTGGGAGTTAAAGGAATATACATCATTTGCTTTTGCTGTAATTTTCAGAAATGGATGGAATTGGGGGGTTGGAAATATATAGCAAATATAGTTACACTGACTTTTTTGAGGTTTTGGGTTCGAAAATACTATAAAAACCAAGAAAACAATCATTTTCATGTAGTCTGGTTCCCTGACTCCATTTAAGAAGAAACAGAGCAGTTTACATACATTGGGGAATTGTAAGGTCACGGAACCAGTCTAGCTGGCTTGTAGCCGTTCATAGGTGTGTAATCGATTGCAAACAAGTGCGATGGTCAATTGGGGCCAGTATTTGAAAAAAAGCCAGTTTTTTCCAACGCTGATCGGCCGATCAGCGTTGGAAATTGATATAAAAATAGCACTTTTCTTGAAAATGACAGTATACCAGGTGCCATGATTTTACAGGATGCTTTACTCTGTCATTCACTAACAGTCCAGCAAGGTATTTCAAAATGATTTGGTAGTTTTATTTTTTGATGTTTGCAAATGTTGTATTTTCCCTTTAATGGCACAATGGGCTTTTATAAGTTAGCTGGCCGACATTTACAACTTCTTTTTAATACAAGTGTTACGAAAGTGACACATTATCAAATGATGAAAAGAGGTTGGACCTTCACACATATTGTTTTAGGTGGCCTATGTTGCAGCATGGATATTAAAGATGGATGCATTAACTCACAATGTGCGTCACTGTTAAGCCCACTGTTACTAAACCAACAAAGATTGATGCAAAGAATTTACAGATCTTTGCAGAGAAATTAAACACCTACCAACCCTTGAGAGAATTTTGACAGTTGGTGCCCATTTCCAAAGCAATGGGACGAAACTGTTTTCAGCTAATTCAGTGTTGGTTTTCAAGCAAAACAAAACAAAATCAGCCGTCATTAAAATTCTCAAGAATTTCAAATAAATGACACAAAATCAAAGGCCTGTACTCGCTTATAAACTTCAGCATTTTGTTTGGCAAAAAAACATCTCTACCAGATAAATTATATTCAATCCAGATACAATCTTAGCCCTTGGGCACCAGACTGAAATCTCACACAGACTTACCACACTGTAGCGTGAGATGACAGGGCGGGAACCAGACCGCCGTTTCCTCCTGACTTTGATGACGATTACGAATCCGATGACAACGATGAGTATGATGACAAAGACCGTGATGAGAATGCCGGCGAAGATCTTACTGATCGACACGCCTCCAGAGTTGTTGAACTGGGGGAGATTGGTAAAGCAGACAGAAAAATAACATTAAGTATATGTGCTCTAACCTTGCATACTTTTTGTGGACCTGTGAACAAAAGAGGTCCACAGGATACAGGAAGAGTGAACGCTCTGTGGACTTGCACACATCCACACTAGGTTCCCCCCTCTCTAGAAAACAGGTTTAGAGGCATTTTGGGGTTAGGGTTATCTGTCAAAAATTAAGAGAAACACTCAAGGGAATAATGTTTAAAATAGGGTTCACTGAGTGTTCACAGTGTAAATAAAATATTGTTTGTTCTCTGTAACTACACGAAGACAAAGGAATGTTCACACTAGGTATGTGAGGTAGGCCTTTGTGTTTGTGTGAGTATGTAAACACCGGCAATCTTGGACTAGGGACTAAATAATAATAATAATAATATCGGAGTCTTCTATAGCGCACGTATCTACCAACTATTAGGTACTCAAGGCGCTGGAGATATGTCTATTATTAAAGAAAGGTAAATAAAGTTTATGAGAAATACGAAACCCATTATGTATCACCTTATAAGGGTATACAAGGTGCTGCGGCGCATATTGCATCCACTGCCAGAAACACCCGGGCAAACCCCTTCTCTTAGCGATAAGTGTTACTGGGTTCTTTAACGTGCATTACACAACACACGGGACCTATGGCTTTACGTCCCATCCGAAGGACGAAGCAATAATGGTAAAGTGCCTTGCTCAAGAGCACAAGCACCATGTTCCCATGGTCAGGATTCCAACCCATGCACCACGGCACACGAGTCGAACACCGTAACCATTGGACCACAGCACCCCACTAAAGGGTTAGGGCACAAACAAAGGGTCCACGATTGACCGATAGTCCACAATTGAATTTCCTGTCCAAAACCAATGAGAGCTGTTGCTAAAAATTTGAAAACAAATGAAGGAATAAGGATTAAGGACAATAGGGGTCCTATCGCCGATGTTTACAAAGATACATGTATGTATGGGCGTGAGATTTAGGCACAATGGATTTTAGTTCCTGTAAATTAGAAAAATACACTTCATGTTTGGTGCATTTCTGTGCTCAATATCTCCACAACATCAGTCTATGACGTTGCTCTGTTTACATTTGACACGAACAAAAATCCAGGAATAAATTATTTTCTGTCATAACCCCCCCCCCCCCCCCCCCCCCACTGTCCGTTAATAAAACATGACTTTAAGAAATACTGACCTGGGACGAATACGATGGAAAATATAGAACTTACCGAGTCAAATTCATTGTAGGCAGCGCTAATGGGTTCAGAGATGATATGAAGCACACCGTTGGTGGTTGGAATATCAAACAACCTGACTGGAACATTGTTGATCATGGTGACTTTCTGCAAGATATGAAGCTAATCTTTGGCATGAAAATTGACAAATTTGTATTAAGATTTCTGTGAAATATATTTTAAGGCAATCATAATAGTTCCTCTATGGACACCATGCACGAACAGGAGATGATGCTTTGATCAGTCGTGAGAGTGTCATGGAAGGGACACAGTGCTTGTACGCACTGGTTCAAAAGCGTAAGGCACGTTCAATTCATTTTAATATTATGTACACAAGCCTGTATCATCCTTTGCGTGAAAACAAAATTCACTGTGTTTTCCTTGATATTTCCCTGAGAAATTTCCAAAATTCCGAAATATTTTCACTTTAACAAGGTTGCTGGGAAGTCAAGAGGTGGTTGCAGCAAAGCACCTAAGATACTGATAATATTCACACCGCATTAAGACTTTAAAAAAAAACCCAATATAGCCAGTCAGTCACTGAACACAACTTGGATACATGGCACAAGACGCACATACGCCAAACGGGCGAAAACCTTCCCCTTCTGGGTCACTGTCAAATTCCCTGAGTTTTCCCTGAGTTTGGGTATTTTTCCCCCAACTTCTCTGAATTTTTCCCTGTCTGGAATATGGAAACACATTTTTAAGGTTTTCCCTGATTTCCGGATTGGCTATGAACCCTGATTAAGGCTGCATCCATATCAGCTGTCTAGAGCTAGGTCTAGGTCTGCGCGCATTGAAAATGGACGCAGACAATAGACATAGCTCAGGAAGCCCGTTTTGGACCAACCTAAGAAGTTTCACAACGTTGGTCCGTGCTAGACTCACCCTATCACTGGACACTTTCACTGTCAGTTTTCCCTTGGACCAAGCTGTCATGGACATACCGGATACCAACTGGTCCCTGTGGTATGCCTGGCCAGTCACTATGTGGTTACCGATGGAGAAAGTCTGACAAAGAAAAAATTAAACAAAACATTTGATTACAACACTTTGTTTAAATGATAAAAATCCGTCAAATGTCTTCACATTCTTAATAAAAACATGTTTAATGTCCAGACACAACATGTTTAACATTAAAACTGCATGACCACTGTTGACAAAATGACCTTCTTTCAAGTAAACTATATTCAAAGGCATAGCAAAGAAAAAATTTTCAATAATGCTGCAGACACTTTAGCCAAAACTGACCAAATTTTGCTTTCAATTGCGTCAAAAAGGATATGGCTGTAGTCCTTTTCATATACAAATCGAATCATCAATCACAACACACGTCAATCACAAGTCCATGAAAGTAAGGAAAGTAATTTCAATTTGGGGGTTCATTGTCTTTACTTGCAGCAGAAGCTGAATAGCGAAGGACAAAGCTACAACGTGGTCAAGCTGAAGGCATGTAAAGGCACCTTAATAGGCAGCCACCATTCGACCCATGTCTTACGGAGCACAGCCAGATTGAAAAAGTTGATTTTTGCGGAGTGAAGAAAAATGGAGAGCCCAGGAAAAAAACCTTGTGGCACAGGAGAGAATCAACGAATAACTCTAGTCACACATGACCTGAGCCGGGAATCGAACCCGGGCCACAGCAGTGAGAGGCAAGCACTTGACGCACTGCGCCACCCAGTAACAGGAGACAAACAACAAAGGAATACCATCGTCACTGTTCATTTGGACTTGTGATAACTTCTCATTGACTTGTTATTGACTTGGGGTGCTGTGATCCAATGGTTATGGTGTTCGACTCGTGTGCCATGGTACAGGGGTTCGAACTGTACATTGGGACATGGTGCTCGTGTTCTTGGGCAAGACACTTTACTACAATTGCCCCTCTCCACCCAGGAGTATAAATGTGTACCTGTGAGGACCTGTGATGACGTGAATGCAACTCTGGTACAGGGCGGCTGCTCACTGCAAAAGCACAGAACTGCAAACACAATGAAGATGCTCTGCAAAGTATACTTACCGTGTTGGCTAATGCGGCTGTATTGATGGGAATGAAAAGTGTCAACAATGACGACTCGTTCTTTAATGTGTCAACAAGCTTGAGTCCTACTGGATACTGTCTTGCATAACGCAACAAAGCCTGGAAAACGGGAAAAAGTAAATAATTAAAAAGTGAGTTACAAAAACAAAAAAAAGTTAAGAACACAGATCATAAGATTTGCTTCCTTCGCAAAGTAAGTCCGAAGTTTAACATCTGAGGCCGCTTATTTGGCAAACTTACCGAGTCTGAAAGCCAGTGATGGGAATCTGTACGCGTTGTGAGAGTGTTTGTGAGAGTGTTTGTACTCTACGTACACCTCGAGGACAGACAGACAGAGGGAGAAAAACAGATTCTTTGTTGTCCTTGAACGTTCATGTTTTGTTGAAAACCGTTCTCCATCATGCGTTTATGTGCTTAGTCTATGGGAGAGTGTTATATTATAGGGACAAAGGGAAAGACAAAGCCTTGTCCTCCAGAGTTATGTAAAGCACAACTGTGTGCACGAGTGTGGTGTGGAGGTATGTGCAACTAATGGACATGTTGCTGTAATGTACACTAGCTGATCGCACTGGGACATATGCACCTGAGTATGGTGCTTAACTGCTTATGGTACTTCAATATCAGTGCTCTGTCATTTTGGAGGTAAACCTGGGGCCTTCAGGAGTTTTGCCCATCACTGACATAACTTTATCAGCTCTGTATACCAAGCACTATCCAAAATCGTCCAGGAAAAGAAAAATTATACCTTGAACGATATTGATTGCATCATCAACTGCAATTTCAAATTCAAACTAGCTAGTTAACCCCGGCAAGAGTGGTTACGATATCTCCACAAGAAAGTGGGAGGAGCACAAGGATCCCATACAGTGCTGTCCAAGAGCTTGCAAATAATAAGCATATGAAGGGCAAAACACAATGTTAACATCGTCGTGTCCATACAACAAGGTTGTATCTCCTAAAATGGGCCGTACGTGAAACGCGAGTTTCAGAATGTCAAAAGGTTGTATCTCACTTAAAATGACTGGGATGAACACACAAAGTCAAATAAGATACGACCTTGTTACACGGAGCGTATTCGCGCCAGATACGACTTCGTTGCAGAATGGAGTAATGACTTTGTTGTACTGATGTGACGACATGTGCACCTCCTCGACACTAAACTTCCACAGTGCAAAATATTCAGGGGGTACTTGTGCACAGAATCCCCGGCAACATTTGGTTCAGCAATCTTCAAGTCAGTTCGACATGAACCTTTAGTAAATAAATACTGCAAATGAGACATACTGAACAATACCACCAGAATGGTAGCGTTCACAGAAATACTCACGTGGTAGTAAATGGAGAGGTTTTTCAAGCTACCCAGGGTCTCGAAAGCGTTGCCGTTGCACAGCAGGCCCGTACCCACGTAGCCAGGCTTGCATTTACAGGTCACCGCGGGGGTTAACCCTCCCCTATCCAACTGGGTCCTTCCCACGGGGCGGGCTGGTGATGGCTGGGGCCGGTGGGGGTCGGGCCGGTCAGAGTCTGAAGGCGGCCCAACTGCAGCCACAGATAAAATAGAAAAGTATCAGATATATTGTTTGCTTAACAGTACAGTCGAGTCTCGTTTTAACAAACTCGTTGGGACCTAGCCAAATTGTTTGTTATATCAGAATTTTGTATTAAGAGGAACATCAGTCCCATTCATTGTGCACATAAATGCTCAGTCGGGACCAAGGCTTTATGTTTGTTATAACCAGAATTTTGTATTAACAGACTTTGTACTAACGAGAGTTTACTGTATGTGCTTACCCGAATTCACTAAAACTTTGGCACATTTTTGTTTTTTGGCCGTGCCAGACTGGATTAAATATTTCTTGAAGTGTTTATACACCACGTGAAGGGACTATCTACGACTGAAACTCGTTGTTTTGAGGTTAGTGTGATCTGACTTTTCAGAGCAAAGTGACCAGAAAAAAGTTCTGTTGCTTATTCAGACCCATTTTCTGCTTCCATCAAAGAAAATCACGTCACGTAGAAATGGGTACGGGTGAAGAAGGGATTCTACCCAGCAAAGTGGCAGTGAGAAAGACTGGTTCCTTGTCCCTCCATCATATTTTAAACATCAAAAGAAAGGGGCAGGAATCAGTCTGGAAGCAAAAAACTGCCACTTCATGACACTGCTTAACAGTAATCAAAAGAAAGGCTCTGCTATCTATAGTGAAATCCGGCGACCAGAATTAGCAGCGGTAACTGCAGGGGTACCGCACTGACGGGAATGCTGCATGCATTCTTTAAGACAAGGTGCACATGCATTTTGGTAACTCTAGCGGTCGGAGGAAACCAGAGTGTGTGCATTCTACCTCAGCGCAACTCGCACAAACCTGGTGCCACCACAGAAAAAGGCTGTCGCCGAATTAGTGTATACCAGACACATGGAGCTAACCTTAAGTGTATCTTTATTCTTTTCACGACAAGAACACAAAAACAATAAACACCTCCAAAAAATATTTTGGTGAACCTTACTGCCATGCAAAACAGCGCCCTCCTACTAGTGCATGGAGCAGATAAGGCCAGCCTTTTTCATGGAACAAAAAATCCAGAATTCTGCAACTAAGACAAGAATTCAAAACAGATTTGGTGCTGCTCTTACCAGGACTGTCCGAGTTGTCGAAGCACATTGCGTTCTCGTGACATCCCCCGTTGTCAATGGAACAGGCTGACCTGGGTCTATCCGCAGGCACTGTGCAGAAGGTGATACCATCGCCCACAAGAGGGGGGTTGCAGGTGCAGGATCGGGAATTCTGCAGGTGTCAAACAAGCATGATTTAAATCTTAGCAGCAAACAGGGTGAGAAAAAAAAAACGAAACCCAAATGTGATCCGTGGACAGATATTTTAAAACGGTGTTTGTGTTTAAAATTCCATAACTTCAGAAGTACATGAGTGATTTGATTGATTCTTGTACTACAAGATAGCTTAATGACTGGGCTTTCCTATCCTGGGCCCAATTTCATAGAGCTGCTTAAGCAGAAAATTTGCTTAAGCACAAAAAAAACATTGCTTAGTAAAATTAGGTTACCGGCCAAAACTCCATGTGATGTACATTGCTTGTGACTGGTATTTAGCTGTTGTTTATACTTAGCATAACAATCGCATGGAATTCTGGCCGTTAAACTGATTTTATTAAGCAAGACGTTTTTGTGCTTAAGCAAATTATGTGCTTAAGCAGCTCTATGAAATTGGCCCCTGGATTTTGAAAGTGCTACAGGTAAAACTTCACTTAAAAATTGGTTCTGCCAGTTGGGTTTTTTTTTTTCTCTAACCTTGTACAATTAGGGAAATATTGGTGATATTTATATTGTTTGCTTTTTTTATGATTCACTTGACAATGATGCCCGCCTGAGGCCTTTTCTGAAATCTCGGCTCCGGTTCCAGCATCAGTCCAATCTCTGGACCAGGAACCATTAAGCCTTAAGAGTTCAAAACCAAACAGACAGACTTTCAACAAGTTGGTACACCTATAGTAAGAAAAGGAATGTTTCCAAAATCAGGGATCTAAAATGAGAAAAGTGGAGCTTGAAGCCAAAGTTGTACATGTAGCCGAGGTTTCAAAAAATGACCAAAGGCAGGTCGTGTCATTAGTGTTCATCGAAGATAATGCAAATATGCTGTGTCCAGATGCCTGAATGACGTTAAGATATGTTTAGAAACAATGCAATACAAGTCGGCAAAAACAACACTATCGCACAACAAACTTCTGGCTCAGAAGTAGCTTCATTTGGTCGAGCAACCAACTTACCGGGCCAGTCAGCTTGCAGGTCGCATCAACATGGCAACCACCGTGATCCATCATGCAGGGATCCATGGGCTGGCATATGTAACCATCACCTTCGTAGTTGACATGGCAACGGCACGTGACCTCGGTGTTGACCTGAGTGCAGTCGGCGTACAAGCTGCAGCCGCCGTTGTCAAAACTACACTGGTTAATCACTGGGAGCAATGAAGGAAAGTGAAAAAGAAAAAATATGTTGTTGTTTTTTCCGAAATGAAAAAAAAATTCAAGTATCATAGAGATTCCAACTATAAGAGTGTTAAAGTGAATGTAGTCTCCCAAGGTGTTCTATGGGACAATTACCATGTGACTTGCTCTCAGCCAATCAAAAGACAGTATGTACTTGTAATGGCTGTTACTGAGTAAACATTAAGCTTCATAATTGTGTGGCCACAGACAAATCCGTGTACATACGTGATCACCGTACACACATGAGGCCCCTTCAATGGAGAAACCATTGTGCATGTTACTGAACAAAGCAACTGCCCCGTTATGGATTGTCTGAACAATAGCTAGCACAATGCTTTCACCATTGATGGGGGCCTTCGTGATAGAATGGACAGCATGACCGGATTGGTCTACAGCTGTGAACATTTCTAACATATTTCTTTTTCTGAAAGACAACTTTCCTTTGAATTGGTAAATTGCTCCTACATTTTTTTTGACTCCCCTGGAATTCTTGGTTGTGTACACAGCTGTGAAGCTGGGGATGAGTTAGACAGGAGACCTGGTCTTAGATATGAGGACAGGCTGCACCCTCCCTGCTTGATAAATTTGATTGATTGCTATGTGTATTTGACCCCGTGTCAAAGGTCATAAGAACAACGAGCCACTGGCCGTTTACTGACTCTATATCAGACAGATTGAGAAAGTTTCAGAAGCCGCAGGTATTACCTGTGCACGAGTAACCGTTGCCATAGTACTCTGGGCGACACTTGCACATGTTGCCGGGCCGACACAGAGCGTTGATGTGGCAAAACGGGTCGCACGTCGGCGTGACAGGCAGGCGCGTCTCACACGTGGTGCCCATGTAGTTCAAATCGCAGAAACAGCTGCCGGTGCCCGACAACCCATCGTCGCACTGACCGTGGCTGGAGCACTGGCATTCTGTCAACACGGAAAAGAAGTAGTCAATAAATTCAACATATTTTCTAAGTTAGTCAGAGTTATAATTAAATATAAGAGACAGAGAACGAACAAAGACAAAAGGTAAGCCTTTTTACAGTCAATTTTGAATCTGATTTCATTTTAATAATTATTTTGTTCAGAATTTTTTTCGCAAAGCTTAATCCCGAAGCCAATGGTAGTTGACAGAATACACAGAAAATATATTTCCAGCCATTTACAATATCTTTCTGACCAAAACAATGGTTGTGCTTCGTCACATTTTGTAATGATCAGTGTAATCCAAGTTGGTGAAATATTTGATACTCTCCATGTAACACCTCGAAATTTTGTGGGGTAAAAATATTTTGTCTGACAACATTTGCGTTTGTTTGTCTCGTTTTGTCCTCAGCGGTGCTTATCTAGCAAGTGTTGGACATTGATAGCAGTATTGTAGTTGAGTCTATTATAAGTCCTTACAAGTCCTTGAGTAAGGTGCTTTACCTCAATTACTCCTCTCAACCCAGGTGTTCAGGTGTTAAATGGGTACCGGCATTATTCAATGCTGGGAAGTCAACAGACTCGCTGTGGAGGAGGTCTGGCGATCCCCCCCCCCCCCCCCCCCACAGCAGCATTTCATGGACTCGAGTCTGGTCCAATCGCTTTGAAAGAGAGATGGGCACTCCATTCCTGTGAACACAGGTTCATCCCCTTACAAGTCCTAACAAGTCCCTTAAGAGTCATCCAGTCCCAAATCAAGTCACAAGCTATCCAAATAAACATTGACACAAGTTTCCCTGGTTTTTTGGGGTTCAACTAGAATGTAAATGTCAACCTTACAGTGAAACATCCATTTTAAGGTATGATTTTTTTGTGTGGAAATCCTGACCTTGGCAGTTGGGTCCGAATCGGCCCGGTAGGCACAGCTCACACGCCACTCCTGTGTAACCCTCATCACAGACACAATGTCCCGTGCCTGTTATGCCGTGTTCGCAGATGCCATGCCAGCTGCATGGGTTGCGTTTACCGCCGGGACACTCTGATGAGAAGGGGCAAGAACAAATGACTCAATATTCGGCAGGTTTGATTAGATTTTTTTTTTTCTCCAGACTCCTCAAGATAAAGTCATAGACTAAAGATTCTCTACGTTCCATGGTCATTTTTTTGTGATTAACAAGACTTAATTTTAAAGCTTGTCACACAGACTTTCATGATATTTTTCTCGACCTACATATCTGTCTTCAGAATTCCATTCCAAAAAGTTGACTATATTAAAGTCCCCCCCCCCATTCTGACTTCCAAACCTGCCCATACTTATACAACTCCGATGAATATCCCTACATCTTCCACAACTTTCACTGCACCTTCTAAAACTGTCCCCCAAAATGTCAAAGCAATTTCTGAAATTATCTCGCGTTATTTTTCCTCAGAAAAGTCATATCCTCTTTAAAATTCATATATTTAAAAAAAGCTCAGAAGTTTTTTTTTTTTCATATCTTGGTTTTTATTTCTTCTTCTTAGAATTTCTACTTAATATTACGATTAACATTCCCCTACCTAAGCAGTCAAGACCATAGTGGTAGTTACAGCAGTGTGGTTCCATCTCTTGCCGGACGCAGTGACGCAGGCAGCCCTGCTGGTAGTTATACCATCCCACGGAGTACACACAGTTGATGTTGCCGTCCTGTGAAAATAGGTCAGACGAAAATTTCAAACATTTGTTTCCGTATTCATAATGTCAGACTGTGCTTCCGCAATTTACATAAACAATCATTGTGACAATCATATCCAAATATCAGGCCAGTTCATAGCAGCTGGAAGCAGCGAATGCGAGCGCAAAATTTGTGACATCATGGTACTCACACTGCAATTTTGCAAGTCGGACACATTTCAACACTAGCGAATTGCACAGCGAATGTTTTTTGACATCGAATTCGCTTTGCATCCGCATTTGTGTAAACTATGAACCAGTCTTTAAAGGGAATATACATCATTTGCTTTTGCTGAAATTTTTAGAAATGGATGGAATTGGGGGGTTGGAAATTTATAGCAAATATAGTTACACTGACTTTTTTGAGGTTTTGGGTTCGAAAATGCTATAAAAACCAAGAAAAACAATCTTTTTCCTGTAGTCTGGTTCCCTGACTCCATATAAGAAGAAACAGAGCAGTTTACATACATTGGGGAATTGTAAGGTCAGGGAACCAGTCTAGCTGGCTCGTACCCGTTCATAGGTTTGTAATCGATTGCAAACAAGTGCGATGGTCAATTGGGACCAGTATTTGAAAAAAAGCCAGTTTTTTTCCAACGCTGATCGGCCGATCAGCGTTGGCAATTGATACAAAAATACCACTTTTCTTGAAAATGACAGTATACCAGGTGCCATGATTTTACAGGATGCTTTACACTGTCATTCACTAACAGTCCAGCAAGGTATTTCAAAATGATTTGGTAGTTTTATTTTTTGATGTTTGCAAATGTTGTATTTTCCCTTTAAGAAGATTCATGAAATAAATTTGTTTTAAAAAAAAATATTTTGTGCAAATATGGGATTTTTTACGGTCTGTTTCAATACTTACAATTGGCATAGATCCCAATGGGCATTGGATGGTCCTACTGCACGAATTACACTCTGTCTGCACATTTTTGAATAAGGTAAAAAAAAGAAAGAAATTGAGCGTCTGCAACATGACAACAAGTGATGGCAACTATACTTATATTTATGCATACAAGTTTGAATATTTGTTTTTGTACAACGCCTGAATAAATCCCTGTCATCTGATTGGTGGGTTGTTGATCATGTGTCATTGAATTATTCGTCCGAACCCACGGCCCGGCCGCACGGTACAAACAGAAGTTTCCTTCCATGGTAAACAGAACTTCCACTGCATAGTCACTCTACTACCAATCAGATGACAAGAATGTATTCAAGGCGTTGCATAAAACTAATAATGAATGTTTCACATTCGTGCAATGGAAAGAATAATTTCATTTGGTGACAGATGGAATGTTCCATTGCACTCGGCTTTGTCTCTTGGAATGGAACATTCCATCTGTCACCTTATACAATTATTCTTACCACTGCACTCATAAACATTCATTATTTGTATATCCTTATTGCTAGAGGTACCATGTGATACGAAGCAAACAGAGATAAAATTTGTTTTAATTATTTACAATTTGTACAAATATGGTAGAAAGAGCCGTGTATTTTGGCCCTGTACACAAGGCAAACTATCAAGTTGTATATACTATTGTGGCAATTTTCACACTATAAGTATTACTATTTATTTTTTTACTTCACTTTCACATTTCATGCAAATAAGGGCTGTTATAAATAAATAAATAAATAAATACTTCTCCTGTAATTATATTTCTGAAAAAAACAACAGATATTGTTAAAAACAAATTTGCTAGGATCGAGTTACCGAGAATGTGACGTTGTTTGTGATATCACAGCGGCCTCCGATGCTAGGGGGTTCCAGAACCATATCCAAGGCATAGAAAAGGCCACCTTGAAAGGGTGTCTCCGTGTCGATGATCTTGGAGTCTCGATTCACTGAAAAACCCTGAGAAAATAACACAATAAAAACGTTAAATAATTTTGGTTTCCAAAATTTATCATTAGCAATCATATTAATGATACTACCCTGAAGAGTAACAATACTAGAATTGACATAAATGATCTCTGTGTGGATAGAAATCTCCGTAGTTTTGTCTAGTGTTTGGAGTTACAAGTCATAATGGAAATTAAAAGAAAATGTCTACCTTTTCACCCACATATTGGCCATTCTATACATTTGGGGTCCACTTTCTTGCTGTCCCTGTAACATCGGACACCTACCGGCATGATTTGATAATTCTGATACACTCCTAAATGAAGTCATCATCCAAAAGTGATTATGAATAACAAACTAACTACCCAACCAAACAAGTATTTGAAGTCACTCTTAATGATACTTGAATGGCAAATTACAAAGTGCCAAGGTAACAGGGACAGGAAAAATGTCACACATTGGACCCTAAATTGATAGAATGACCCATATTTATCAATATGCAATATATATTACAATGAAGAGCTGTGAATGCTCTTTCTAATGCATGTGGAAAGTTCAAAAGTGACCAAAATAGTCTTTAAAATTCATTTTGTGCGATCTGATCACATTATGTCACGCGTAGTTGATGAGATTTACTGACCTGATTTTTCTGGCACTCAATGGTTATGTTGGAGCCTTGTAAGGTAGTGCCCTGGAGTCCGTGGTTAGCGATCTGCGTGGTGTGAATCTGTTCACAAATTGATCATTATAAGAGCAGTCAAAACATTTTCTGGAGTCGTGCTAAATTAAACTATTCCTAAATTTTAATTATATTTTGACGTTTGAAATCTATTGTGGTTCAGTGTTACTCTTGAATAATGATAATAATAGTGGGTAATTATAAAGGGCATGTATCCACCAGGACTGGTGCTCAAGGCGCTACATCATTATTACCCCTGCTCATTGGGCTCATGAAATATTCCAAATACCATCTCAGCTCCCTGGGGAGTGTACAGCTCCATGCAGCCTGTTAGGCGCAAGGAAGCTAATTCAATCACAATAACCATCTCTGCCCTCACAGGTACCCGTTTACTCCTGGGTGGAGAGAAGCAATGAGTGACAAAGTGCCTTGCCCAAGGGCACACGCACCATGATCCCAGGCTGGACTCGAACCCACAACCTGCAGCTTTACCCGCAGACCACGAATTCAATGCCCTTAACCATGAGCACAGCACTCCACAAGTCTGAAACAGGTGTTGGTCATCCTAAGAGCAAACTGTAAACAGAGTCTGCAGATTGTCAGCAGACAACACTAAAGTCCACCCAGAGTCAACAGACCAAAGCTGCAACACTCACCGTCCGACGAGGTATGATGTGATAGGCCAGGTACTCCCTCATCTTCTCCACGTTGCTGGGATCTCGCAGCTCGGCCAGCTTGCCTGGGTACAGCTCCAGGAAGGCCTCATCGGTAGGCATGAAGATGGTCACCGGCAGGGAGATGCGCGTGCTGAAGGCTTCCAGGAGGCCCGAGTGGCTCATCAGGCCCATGAAGATGCTGTAGGTGGTGTTGGGAGCTACCAGCTCCAAGGGTAGGTCCTGGAAGGGTGTTAGCGGGATAGTTGGGAAATCCTGTTGATTGTGCTAATGCACAAGCTCAAAGTGCGCCATTTATAATATTCACATGGTTGGAAAATTCTAAGTTGGTATCATGCCTGCTCTACTTGTATTCCAGACCAAACTGTAAAGCTTGTTTGAGAAACCGGGCCCCCACTTAAAATATAAACAATGGGATGTAAAATTAGTAAAGATTGCAAATGCAGACTACTTTCCGAGTCCATTCATATCACAAGAAAAGAGCTGGATAGCTCAATTGGTAGAGCACCGGAACGGCAATCCGGAGGTCGTAGGTTCAAACCCTGCTCCAGTCAATTTCTTCGTTCAAAATTACATGAAAAGAGCAATAGAGGTTGATATATGCAACAAGAATAAAGTTATTCTTTTAAAGCTGCACAATACTTGGCAAAATTGCTTGAAACACAGGCCCAGCTAATTAAGTATCTTGAAAGTAAAAAACTGAGACACAAGGGTAAGCTGCCTTTTACATATGCTTGTTTTTCAGTCTATTTGGGTCTGCTGACCAAACAGGGCGCTGGGAAGGGCTAATTTCTTCTGGATGTATGACGTAATTTCTTCCAGTCCTCACTAGATAGAATTCGTATGAACATTACCACATGTCCTCCTGCGCAGGACACATGCACAAAGAATGTACGTGCATAAGACAAGGAGGTTAGCTCTCCACAATGCTCTGCGTGCCTGTGCTTCCTTCACAAAATTTTGTGAAGGAGATCAGCCCTTCCCAGCACCCCGTTTAACGGTACAGTCCATCATTTGCAATTTGTGCATTATGTTCGTTCGAACCAACAAAAGTGCTCAAAATCTAAAGAAGGGTGCTAAACAACTAACCTCGTGCACTTTCAGCTCAGTGAATGCTATATACATGTGTATTCCAAGAAAAACGATATTCTAGAATCTCCATTTCAAATCAAAAGTTGCTGAGTCGCGTTCTGAATTGGGCCTGAATTCAGGGTCCGAGACACGTTCTCACTGAGCCAATGGCAGCTACGTGATGTCGCGCACTGAACCGATGAATTATTGAAACCGCGGGCGCATGTGCGTCGTGTCAACCCTTGTGCGCGCTTCGCCAAATAAAAAAACGAACTACTAACGGAAATTCCTTCTTTCTTTGATTTCTTCAAAATGACAGCTTGCCAAAAAGATAATTTCACAGGGAGTTTAGTCCCGTTGCTATCTTTAAACCGAGTATGCTTTTCAACAATAATTAGGTCAGTTACTTTTTGAATAGCTGCAAATTATGAGCGAATCAATTGAATAGTTAGGCTTGCAGTTTAGAATCGGCTTAATAATGCAACGAACACAAAATGGACTGAAAGCACACATATGGAAGGGCAGCATGAAACAAAACATATTGCATGGTGCTACCATCTTAACATTCAGACATTTCAGACCAAGACTTGTGCCTGATGAATCTTACCTCAAGATAATCAGGTCTAGGATCCAGCAAGCCAGGCACAAGAACTCGGTCGATGGTGTGTACGACTCCGTTGCTGGTCAGAAAGTTGGGCGCAGTCACGTGCGCTTCACTGTTCACAGTCAGGCCTTGCGTCTGTAAAAGGAAACATGAAACATGAACAAGATCGATTTGTGACTCCGGGCTCTGAAGAATCCGGTTCCCCGTAGTAGCCAATTCCAGACATTTCAAAATAAACTTCATGATGTTTATTTCCAGATCATGTTGAAAAGATTTTCTATTTTTTAGGTGCGTTTTAAAAGGAGTCACCGCACACTTCAAAACAAAATTCAGTATCACATCAAAATAACATTTCTTGGTCGGGAGACTCAAAAGATTTTTGAACGGGGATGTTTCAAATTTCTGAAATTCCTCTCCTGTGAAGTTTGGGGTAGACTTTTTGCTGCGAAACATGCTGACTTACTTGAGAGTACATGACATTAATTGGTTGGGCAGAGAGTGTGGTCAGTGACGTGGTTATGTCGTCAGTGGGTGCCAGGAAGGCAGTGCATCCAACAATGTGGTTCATGAGAACCCTGGACAGCTGGTTGTCTTCACGCCACTCTTCAATCTGTCAGGACAAATAGAAAAAAAACAGTTCTAATCAAGGTAATCACAAGTCAAATCACAGGGAAGGGCCCAAGGAAGAGCTACTAATATTGCTAATAGCAAACAAATGTGCTTAACAAAAATCAGCAGGGAACCAGGAGAAGCAATATACGATGAATGGTATTTTGGTTTCTAACCTGTTTTGGCTTAGCAAATATTATATTTCCTAAGCAGAGTTCTGTTTTTAAAATGAGCCTGAGTGAACAATGACATAGAACTGGCTGTGTCACAGTGCATTTGAATAACTCATCATTTGGTGGGAGATTTGGCAAATAATAGGTATTGTACAACATTTGCTTTTGCTGTAATTTTCAGAAATGTAAGTATTTGGGGGAAAAATTCAGTTTTCCAAGGAGCCAACCATCGTTGGAAATAGATACAAAAATTCCATTTTCTTGAAAATGACAGCACACCAGGTGACATGATTTCACAGGATGGTTGAGACTATTATTCACTTACAGTCAAATAAAGTATTTCATAATAATTTTGAACTATTTTTTTTATGTTTGCAAATGTTGTATATTACATTTAAAACTTGACTTGTGGTTGACAAGTGGTGAAATGATTTCAACGACAAAAACTAATTTCCAAAGGTGCTTCGGCAACATTGCTTCTACTTCAACATGAAAATACTATGGACTTGCACATTCACTACAAAATGTTCACGTACGTTGCAAACCCCGAACAAGTACCTTGACTTGGTTCTTGCGAGCATTCTATATAGCGCCCTCTTAAGTCTATGCGCAGCGTCTTTAAGGGTACTCTATAATTTAAGGGTACTGTAGAATTTCTCGATGTCTACTTCCACAGGACCAGAGACAATAGTTAAATATAATTTCTATTTTTAAAGACAGGAAAGTCGATCCGATAAGCAAGTTACCTGATCCTGGCTGATGTATTCAAATGCCTGGTTGTTGGGTACCAGCATAGTCAGGGGACCAACCGAGCCGAGAACCCTCATCACATCTCTCTGCCAATGGGAATAAGTTTAATCACATCAGCAGGTGATTGGCCTAACTTAAGAACCACACAAACTCATAAAAGAGATTTGCGGTCACATGATGTCACAGGAAACGACTGCTTATTGCAGACATCACCATGCAGATACGTGATAACACCGACTAAGTTTTTTTGTGTGGAAAAGGTAAAGTATATAAATTTCGAATCTATTGTATTTAAAAAATATGTCTTCAATGGGCACCGAAAATCCAATTAGCCAAAACTGTTAACAAGTTAATAAAAAATCTGTAATAAAATCCAAAATTGTATCATACATATTAACACATTCAAATATAATCCTGATGTCCCATGTAAAGAACTATGGAGAATTTCTTTGCCAAATGACTTTTACGCACTTAAAGTAAACAAAGATTTGCATAATTCAGTCAACAACACTTACGTATTCCTCTAGAAGCGAAAAGAATTGACTGACATTAGGATTCAACGCCATCTCCTGTGTTCACAAAAACAGGGGGGGAAATGAGAAATTGTGGTTTTGTTCTGTACTGCAAAGAAAGTTTAAAAGATAGTAGTAAGCACTTGATATGGACACTTGTTGGTAGCTGAAGTTAGCAATGATCTTTCAGCTGATCAAACCAAGAATTTGTAATTGACCAGCCGACCCAGTGATGAAGGGTAATATGCAACATTAAAATTTGCATCACAAAAATGAAAAATTTCAACATACAAGTCAAAAAATGAAGTTAGCATTAAAATCTGAAAATTCAAAAAGGAGAGATTTGAACCAGTCCAGCTCACCTCAGCAATATTGCCTGTGCATTCCAGCCCGTTCCCGATGTGCCTGTCAAAGCATGTGCAGTTGCGTTGGCCCGGCCCCGTTTGGGCACAGTGTGCCCTGGTGCTGCAGCCGCCGTTATTCTCTAGGCAGGGGTTGGTGGGACTGCAGCGGGTGCGACCGTTCCCCTCGTAACCTTCCTGACAGTGGCAGGTACTCTGCATTACAAAAACATGATTTATCAATGGTTACAGGGTTCAACCTTAACTTTTTTGTTCATTAGCCAGCCGGGCTACTGAAACGGACTCTTAACTAGCCTGCGGGCGTTTTCACTAGCCCAAATTTTTTCTTATCGCAAATACAAAATGGCGTATTTTCAGGCTCAATTCTGAGGCAATTTTGTCAGTGCTTTTAATGAACAGATCTAATAATTTAACCTTTTAAAACAGTTGATAAAATCATACACAAATTGATGGGGTTTTCTTTCTGAATTTAATGATTTATTTCTCCCTGTACGTTCATCTTTGCCGTATCCCAATAATTTTGCACTCGCCAGCCGGGCTACTTAAGGAATAGTTTGACTAGTCCGCCGCTGTTTTGACTAGCATTTGCTAGCGGGCTACTGCTAATTTCGAACCCTGATGGTTACCATCTCAAAAATTGTTAAGCAAAACATACAACTCCTTTTCAAAGGGAAAAAACGTATAATTCATCCACTTCTATTAAAGTTTACAACAGGGGAGTCGGTACTTTCCTCGCCTTCCACCACTGTGACCCGGGTTCGAATCCCGCCTGGGCCAACATGTGGATTGGGTTTTCAGTCCCTGCCTGATTCTGTGGGTTTTCCCAAGAATATTCTTCTTGGCTTTTCCTCCCACCTCTAAAACTGTAATTTCTTCTCATTGTCTTCCCTCCATAGGTTTCTTCAGGCTTGTGAGCTACAGTGCCTAGGGTGCTTTTGAGGAATCCTTGGTTTCATTACCAGAAACAAATAATAATAAAAATAATAATAATAATAACAGGGAGCCAGGACGGTGAGGTTTTGGAATAGCTTTTTGAGAAGTTCGAGTCAACGTTTAAACTTACTCATTGGTGTGAAAATGTACGGCGTCAAAAACCAAACTTTGCTTGGTTGATTTTAGGAATATGGTTGGAACATTAAACGATTCCAAATAATTTTTGAAACCGGACACAAAGCTTAGGATTAACCTCCTCAGTATACATAACCCCAGACATGGGCGTTGCCATAAGGGGGCAAGGGGGGAGCTTGCCCCCTCTGGAAAAGAAAAAAACAAAGAAAAAAAACAAAGAAAAAACAAAGACAGAAAGGGAAAAAAAAAGGTGCGAAGTCACATTGCTGTTAATTTAATGCAGATTTAACAACATGGGAATCCGCAGGGGCGTCAATGGGGGTGGGATGGGCAAATGTCCCCCGTCTACCTTCTAAAATGACAATATGATAGAAAAAGTTCAAGGATTTGGGGAAATAATGTGCTTTGCCCCCCTCTAGAAAATATCCTGGCGATGCCCATGATCCCAGACCACTATTCTCAAAAGTCTGCTTCTAATGGGAGTTGGGCAAAGACTCTCCTTGAACCAGCACTGAGAAAGCATGAATCAACACTCACCATAGCCGGCCCAGTGTGTATACACTCAGCGAGTTCATGGCAACCTCCATCATCCCCATCAAGGCATGGGTTGACCTCTATCAAGGAACACAAGAGGTAAGTTTGACCTTTAACGTAAACTCCGAGGTGCAAGATGAAGGGATGTCTTTAACTGAAAGAACAAGTCCTTCAGTACGATCTCTCTTTGACAATTTCTTTGGCGATTTAAAGGTGGCGGTGGTCCAGTACTCACTTTTCAATAAATAGCGCCCTTCAGAACTTCAGCCTGCATGCCCTGGTACATGTACATGTAGTTACTGAAAGACGACTTGGAACTCATGCCGACTATTGAATTATGTAATTACACAGTTTTTGAGCTTACTACCTACAGCAACAGATGGCTTTCCCCGTCTATTCCTTAGGGAAATAATAGCCACTTGGATATTTTTTTTCAACAACAATGTTCAGTACGTTTGGCACACAAAAATCGGGAGCCAAAGACGATGTTCGGTATAGCCGAATGTTCGGTGTAGCGGTGTTCAATATAGCGACGTTCCACTGTACTCACAACACTGTACATACATTCAAACAAGAGTCAATCGTTTTCAAGAACTTTTAGCCTACCCATCCAAACTGCAGTCCATAGGGACGGCACATTGTTTGGACACCTTTGAATCATTCCAAATGATTTTTTTTTTTTATTTCAGATCAGTGGTGCTCAGTTAACCATGACTTCTAAGGAGCAAGCATTTATTAACGGAAAGCTGGTGGAACATCCTTTAAGATGACGATTTTTCAAGTTCATAATACACATCGATCCATCTTCTTTTTCTACACCGTTTATGATATTTTTGAAAATATCATTGGAAGATTCGCATAACTGACAATGTAGCGCTCAGCGATCGCTATTTAACATAAAGATTGATGCCCATTGAACATTTTGATTAATTAAGTACAAATTCTGTGGCACTCGGTTCTGGCCAATTGGAGGATTTTGGCAGATTCTGGAAGATTTGGGGTTTTTAGCCAAATTAAACCGTCTCACCTTCACAGTACGTGCCATCTCCTTGGTACCCCTGCGAACACTCACATTGGAACTGCCCGCCAGAGGATGCATGGCAGGAAGCATGCTCTGAGCACACTCCATCTTCACTGCAGGGGTCATGGACTGATTGAGGGGGAGGGGCAGGAAAGAAAATACAAGCTTCAAAGCATTGGAAACAGTCAGCCTTTTGCCAACCTAGAGCTTGCGACTCAAATTCAAACTCTTTTCAGGTATTATTCACAAGCTGGCATATGATAACATTTTAGGGCAAATAGGGTTTGTCTAAATTGAAAATAAAATTTTGCAAAACTTCAACATTTTAATTTGACAATTACCACAACACAGACACAATGAGAAAAAAAGACCAAAATTGTCCTAAAATGAATGTCTTATCCAAAAAATACATCAGCTTGCAACCAACTTCATCATAAAAAAACCAAAATAATTACAAAGCATACAAATATTTTTGCTAACTAAAAGCTAAAACACACTGTGAACCACATGATCATGTTTGTATCCAGCTTCAGACTTATTCTCAATTGTAATTTTCTTTTTTTAATAAAAAATATGTAAACCTCTGATTTAATTCATGAAATTGGTTCCTAGCACATGAAATTTGAATATTCCATGGTCTCTACCTACCCTGGCAAAAAGTGCCGTTTCCCATGTAACCTTGGTAACATATACACTGCTGATCAAGGCAACTATGAACAAAATAAGAAACAGTCACATATATTAAATTTGAACCATTATTCAGTATCGTGCTAATTATCCATAACTTGAGCATTACAATCACAAGATGCTGATTGAAAACATAACTGGATTGATTCAAACAGACTCAAAGAAGGGACTCAATTTTATGGGGTTTCGCAAGACATTGCTGTGCTTAGTAATAGTCAGCAGAGAACCTATCACAAGCAACACATATGCCTATAGACCTTTATCATGCTGCCACCATTGCAGTCATGTTCCCTGTATCCAATAACAGTACTGAATACTAATGTTTTTTGTGCAAAAAGGAACCAGACTATGTTCCTTCCAGCCTCGCTTTAGTTACGTTGATTTGAATGGGAAAAAAATAAAGATGGCCGCAACACGATAATGGTCTATTGTATGACATGTTGGCCAGTAACCACTAGATAAGTATTTTCTGTGCAGGCCCAGGAAAGTGGGCCTCCCAAAGTTCAGGAATGGCAGACTTTAACCCTCCTATGCAAGCATACATTATGTGCCAAGTTGTCCTTTCAGCTAAAATCAATCGAGTGACTGTTTTCAATAGTTAAGAGCTCCCAGCCAACAAATAACAGGATTGACTGGCTGGTACTTTTTACGCAATTTGATAAAGCTATGCTCTGACTTTGGGTGATTGATAAGACAGCTGTGCCACCAGTTTCCTGCTTTTTGCCTGTTGACTGAATTTGACATGTCAGAGAGCTTACTTGAAATACAATCCGACTGTTTTGGACTAGCCTGTGTAAAAAGCATAACAGGGGAAATGGATGGAACAGATATGAGAGAATATCACAAGAACTTACTACGCATTGGGATCACACTGTGCAGTGCATGCAGGAGTGGACTCGATAGCTGAAAAATAATCAAGTATTTCACCCAAATTAAAACATTTAATTCCTTTACTAACACAACATATATTGAAAATCAGAACTTCATAGCAGTTTGATGACAGAAATGCATGTTGGTTTCAAACGGGGGTGCTGTGGTCCAATGGTTACGGCGTTCGACTCGTGTGCCGTGGCAAATGGGTTCGAACCCTGACGGGGAACACGGTGCTTGTGTTCTTGGGCAAGGCACTTTACTACAATTGCCTCTCTCCACCCATGAGCATTAATGGGTACCAGTGAAGCTAGAGACCATATTGCACAGATCTCGAGCTGCTGCAGGGTCTCATTCCTGATGAACAGGGATAATAATTGTGATGCGCATTTGATCATATCTTTATGGAATTTGTGCAATATAAATGTATAAATTATTATTATTTTTATTATTATTGTTCTTATCAAACGACCTTTAACAGTAGAAACAAAGAGCACTTACATGTATCACACTGTAGACCACTGAATCCGTTGCTGCAGATGCACCTCCCATCACCATGGATACCATCCCGGCAACGGCCACTCATACAGTCACAAACTAAAAAAAGAGTTCAATTATCCTTATGACCCAATTTCATGGCTCTGCTTACCGTTAGCAAAAACTCCATGCTTACTGTGGCAGAGAATTCCGTGCTAAGCATATTTCATGGGTTAGGGAGGAATTTCGGCTTTTGCGTACATCCAGTAAATAAGGATTCTGTGCTAATTGGATTAGCGCAGCTTTTCCTGCTACCGCTGTTAGCACAGAATGGTGATCGTAAGGGTGAAATTATGTGATTAGTAGAGCAAAGAAATTAGGTCTTGAGAGATATTCGATTCCAACCACATTTAACTGGATGCTTAAATTTTAGTTAGTCTACATTTTGTTTGCAATCGGTTACACATCTGTGAACGAATGCAAGCCAGCTAGTCTGATTCCCTGACCTGACAATTCCCGAACGACTATACATTTTTCTGTTTCGTCTGAAGTGGGGACAGGGAACTAGACTACAAGAACAGCACTTTTTTCTTGGCTTTTTTCTAGCATCTATGAACACAAAATTACAAACCAACTACTAATGGAAATGTCCATATATTCATCACTTAACACATCTTTGGTAATGACTTTCTTTTATTGTTTTCTTCAAAATGACAGCATGCCAGAAAGAATAATTTCACAGGGAGTTTAGTGCCATTACTATCTTTAAGCCAAGTAAGATTTCAACAAAAATTAATGGTCAGTTACTTTTTGGATCGCTGCAAATAATCTACTCTAAATTTAACCCATGACTTTTATCAGCCAGTTGGTTTTTACCTTGATTGCAGAGCGGTCCGTATTTCCCCGGTTCACACAGCTCACAAGCAGTACCAGTGAAGTTCGGGAAGCAGCTACAAGTACCGGTTCCGTTGGTACCGTCATTGCAGGCGCCATTGTTACTACAGGGGGACGACCACCCACCAGGGCACTCTGGGTACACATAGATATATTTTTCAAAATAATGGTCGATTGAGAGGCCTCGGATGTTTCTTCACTTAACTCAAAATTCAATTTCACAGCAAGGGCGGATCCAGGGGGGGGCCAAAGGGGGCCATGGCCCCCCCCCCCAAAACTAAACCAATTTTTTTTTTTTTGTGATGTGACATCGCAATAAAGGCAGGCAATGAGAACACCATCTTTTCCTCAAAAAACATTTGTTAAGGTGGTCAGAAATAGCCTCAGATCGCACCACAGAGCATCTAGAATCCAAAAATTTTTCGGGGCCCTTAAGCGGGCCCCGAACCCCACGCCGTAATTTTTGACCCACTTTTTGGGGGGACCAAAAAATTTTTTGGCCCCCCCCAAAATTGCGTTCTGGATCCGCCCTTGTTTCACAGTATGCAAAAAAAAAAACCCAGGTTGGCAATGACAAAATTAATTAGCCAGCCAGTTCCCTTGCAGATTCTTACAAGGCATATATACATGTAGGATCATTTACTTTTCATGCATTTTGTTTGTTTCCAATAATAACACAACTCAAAACCAAACTGGATGAGTTTTCAACTCAGTGGATATTACACTTTTCGAGAAAACAGTGAAAAACCATGCACAGCATTTTGATCATTGAAACACGATTTCGTTGACAGCACTCTTTGTTTCCAAAAATCAGTCAATTGACTGATCATTGGAAATCACCTGCATTTCTTGATTACTTCTAAATGACAGCATGCTAGACAATAATTTCACGGGATAAATAGTACCAATTCAATCTTTAATCTGAGTAAGCTTTTTGATAATAATTCGGTAGGCTACTTTTGGGATAAATGCAAATGATTCTTATGTCTTTAAAGACTTGACTCTTTAAACGCAGTTGTATGTAGCAAACAACATAAAAAGCACAATTGTTTAATGAGGATTGTAAGGGCGATAAAACTCATCATATAAAAAAAAAAAGGGAAAAACTAACTGAGTGCATGTACATAAAAGCCATATGGTTGAACAAAGAAATCGACTGGCCTAAGATTTTAACCGTACCATACCAGTATGGTGAGCCAGATATAGCAGTCTCAAATACTTTTCAAGTCAACTATTTTCATTCAAACTTACAAATATTAATGACAGTCAGTTTCAATTTTAATACATACCAGCACATTCTCTGCCGAAGAAACCACTGCAACATTGTGGGATCTAGAAAGATTGAGGAAAAAAGAAATAAGAATTGCCGATTTTAGTATTATTTTAATGCCAAAAACAAGTGTTTTATTGGTTTTTTTATGCCAGGTGCTTTTTCTTACCAGAGCTGGTCACATTATATTGAATAATTAATTAGGTAACATCTTAAAAATTGTTCAAAAATTTTGGAAAAATTGTTTTGCAATCCACGGAGTATCTGCTCAGGTACAATATTCATCTCCCACTTCATTATTTCGTAGAGTCTAAATTTGTCATTATTTATTAAATGAACTGTTTGGAAAAATTACATCTGATTACTTATAATCAAATCAACAAATTTAGTTGTGTAACAACTAAATAACAATAATAATTTAATAACAATAATAATTACAGTGAAATTTCGATAAGTCAAACCTGTTAACTTAAAATCCCTTCTACCTCAAAAGTAAAAACTTATTCCCGTCAATTGTTGTTGAATAGAAAATCCATTGGGTCACTCAAAAGTCTGCTTAACTCAAAATTTGAGACAATTTTCATGAGGTTTGACTGATTGAGATTCCACTGTTTAATATAAGTTCTGTTGCTTATATAACTCTTTAAACTAAAGGTCTCAAAGCACTTCATAATTATTAACCCTAGCTGTTCATCAGGTCGTGAGACAAGTTTTTGCAGCAGCTTTAGATCAGCACAATCTGGTCTGTACCCTCATAGGTACCCATTTTATACTCATGGGTGGAGAGAGGCAATTGTAGTAAAGTGTCTTGCCCAAGAACACAAGCACCATGTTCCCTGTTAGGGTTCGAACCCACGTACCACGGCACATGAATTGAACACCATAAGCACAGCGCTCTGACTGAATCTATAACTTGGGCGTTTTTGAGGTCAGTTTATGATCTTTTGGCCGGCTAAAACGTGATGAAAATGCAAAATAATATTGTGTTCACCATAGCAGGTAAAAGTTTACTATCCTGTTGCAATACTTACATATGTGATTCCACGACACAGCAGTCGGCAACCGGGGACCGTAACCACGCCAACGCCGGGAACAAACCTGTCATACTCGCAATTGGTCACACCTGAATTCAGCTACAAAAAGGAGAGAAAAAATACAAAAGTGAAATGCTTATCTATATTACAAAAAAGTCTAGAATGACTAATAAGAATTCTCAAATTAGAAATGTGAAAAATGTTTCGTACCATTTGCGTTGTCTCTGGCGGACACTCAGGAATGGCTGGGCAACTGCCGCAAGGAGTCTGGGGGGAAACAATTCAAAAATTTAACTAACAACGACTTTACATTCCATACTGTTAACAAACACCTCCCACCTCCAACAAAAACATTTTTGCAAAAAGAGCACAATTTGTTTTACCTGTGTTAATGTAGAGTGATTGACATCGCATCGGTTAGGTAGGGGAACTAAGACTTCGGAGACAACGTGTACGACACCCTGGGTTGAGATCAAGCTTGGACTGGCAACGGCAATGTTGTTAACAAACAGCTGTTGACAAACAAACAATTACATGAACAAAGAAATCCAGACATATTTAAGTTGGCTTTTTTTTTTTTAAAGGTAGGTTTAAAGCACAGATGTTTCATGCTTATTTGGGCTCCACTGCTCGACTCACAAACATTCAAGCGATAAGAGGTTTCCTTAAAGATGCATGCCCCGCAAATATTTTTTTTTTTTCATAACAATTTTTTTTTAAATTTCTTTTAACAAAATAACAACTTTATTCCAATTTTGGGCCTCCGCAACCTCCGAAAATTTTCATTTACTTCTTCATTAGTGCCATGCATCACCCCATTTTGTTATTGATCTCCGAAAAAAAAGGCTTTCCTTTTAAATATCATTAGGTGACAGATGGAATGTTCCATTCCACTTGGCTTTACCTCTTGGAATGGAACATTCCACCTCTTAAAATTATTCTTACCATTGCACTCATGAGCATTCAATATCAGTATACTAATATTAATGTTTACATTTTACAATCTTTAAGACGTAATTCTTTTTCTAAAATGTAACACACATTTTCCGCGCTTTTCCTGAATCGCAGTTGGTAGTTGTGTCCTAGGGAACTATCAAGGTGCATCCCATCGTAGATGTCTGCGACAGGCCAGGCCTGGCCGAGAACAATGTGATAGTGCAGGATGTCCCCGGTCTATGGAGACAACAAAATACAATACTTAAACCATGAGGGTATAATTTGGAAAGAAGAAGTTAAGGACATTTTGAAGAAAAAGAAATAATTCCGTACTGCTGTCAAGACTTGTAAGATTGTGAATAAGAACTTTTGGAAAACAAACAGAAAAGGAGAGTTTGGCAAACTCTACAAAGCTTATATAAGCTTAAATAAAACAATTGTTCATCAATAACAACAATGTAAACTCACAATTCGGGAGGCATTGAAGGCAGCAGTGGCTTCATTAGTTGGTAAGAAAACTGTGTATGCCGGGGCAGCATTGATAGCATCAACCAGGCCAGATTGCTGCAGTAAGGAGACAAGAATGAAATCATTATGTAAAAAGAAAAACATCTGAGAATGTAGAATGGGTGTTATGAATAGTTATTTTAAAAGTATACTTGCAGAGTTTCAGTCAAGTCATCACAGGTCATCATAGAGCTAGTTCGAGCGCGCACTATAGTTAACCATAGTTTGACTAACTTCGTTCGAATGAAGGATGGTTGGACTACTGTAGTCGACTATTTCGAATTGGAGCCTTGGGCATGGTTGCATCACTGGTAACCAACAGCCACGCACATCATAAAGCACAACGGGGAGCCAGGACTTTCGACCAGCGTTTGACTAGAGGTGTTCACGCATTGCTATTAGTGCGTAGGCGTAAGTTACAACACAAATCAACCATTAGGCGACTTATGGTTCTTCGCCCGAACTTGCTCAAAGTTTGACAAACATTTGTGATGCGATCAAGCTATGGAGTCGTTTGTCGACCCTGGTAAATTTTTTTTTTTACAGATTTGAAAAGAGCACAATCTCAGCATTACTGCTGTGAAAACCGCATTGCTGGTATCATCTTTAGTTCAAAAATTATGGAAGTCGGAACACCTAGAGATGTGATGAAGTGATGTGATGAAGTGGCCCTATTTGGCCTGAATCTCCAAATGAAAGTTCCCGACAAACGAATCATTTAGCTTGATCGCATCACATTGATTGAATACTAGCAAGTCTTCCTGGTCTGAGAATGGTGTAAATGATAATCAAAATTGCTCATCTTTTGGTTGTCCCTTACCTGGAGGAGAGCAAGGAATGTGGAGTTGGACTGCGTCTGCTCCACCAGCTGACTGAAGGAAACGGTGTTGGAAGGACGGAAGGCGCCCCCTGGTGGTGGGGAGTGGCTCGGACCGAATTGGTCTTGCGGGCTGAGGACCTGCGATTACATGGATTACAAGTATGGCATGAGGACAATGGGAGGAAACAGACTGGAGACGTGACCTCAAACATGTGTATGAGGACAGGCAGTAACCTCACAGCTTCTGTGTGTGTATGAGTTGACCCCACATCACAGTTCATAAGGACAATGATGCAATGGTCATTCTCTGACTCTTTATCTGAGTAAAGATATGTTGAGACAATGTTCAGACTATTGAAGGGAAAGAAAGAAGATGGCTTAAGTAATATTTCATAACTACTGCCCGCCCACCCAATATATTAAATAATGAAGAATAATTCCCTCTTCACCACTTTTTCTTAGGTCCATAGAGTTATATGGTACAAATATTTTCCCTTTCTTCTCAAACTGTTTCAAAATATTACGCACACAGAAAAAGAAAATATGGTTTACTGAATATACAATATTTGATTACTACTGCCTGCCAATCTAGTCAATATATTCTAAAATGAAAACAATTTCCCTCTGCATTACTTTTTCCCAAGGTCCATGGAGAAAAAATGGTGTTACTATTTTCCCTTTCGCCTCATCAACTCATTTAACTTATTCCCCCCGGAAATATATGGTTTACTGAATATACAATATTTGATTACTACTGCCTGCCAATCCAGTCATATATTCTGAAATGAAAACTATTTCCCTCTTCATTAATTTTTCCTAAGGTCCATGGAGAAAAAAAATGGCATTACTATTTTCACTTTCGCCTCATCAACTCATTTAACTTATTCTCCCCAAAAATATATAGTTTACTGAATATACAATATTTGATTACTACTGCCTTCCAATCCAGTCAATATAATATATTCTGAAATGAAAACTATTTCCCTTTTTACTACTTTTTTCCTTAGGTCCACAGAAAAAAAGAAATGTGTATAACTGTTTTCTCTATCGCCTCATCAACTCACTTAACTTATTCCCCCCAAAATATATGATTTACTGAATATACAATATTTGATTACTACTGCCTTCCAATTCAGTCAATATAATATATTCTGAAATGAAAACTATTTCCCTCTTTACTACTTTTTCCTTAGGTCCACAGAAAAAAGAAATTTGTATAACTGTATTCTCTATCACCTCATCAACTCACTTAACTTATTCCCCCCCCCCAAAAAAAAATATATGGTTTACTGAATATACAATATTTGATTACTACTGCCTGCCAATCCAGTAAATATATTCTGAAATGAAAACTATTTCCCTCTTAAATAGAAAACTATTTCCCTCTTATATGGTTTACTGAATATCCAATATGTGCTTGCTACTGCTTGCACCATCAGTCAAATGTATGAATCTAAAAACACTCCTCTCTTTACAGTTTTTTCCACATAGCCAAAGAGAAGTAATATTTTAAATATTTACCCTCCCTTCAAACTTGCCATCCAAATTTTTAAAAAGAAATTATCATTTGCTATAAATACATGTATACCTCTCCAAGGATGTGGATAAGTCCATTCGTTGCGGGAATGTCCGACAATAAAACTGGTATGTCGTTCACACACAGATGCTACGGGCATTAAAAAAAAGGAATCAGACACAATAAAAAATCACAGAATCCAACGAGCCATTTCCAAGTGGAAATGCAGAAAATACCTCTAGTTCTTTGTCTGTCCTGAAGGTTTTAGTATAGATATAGTGCCATCAACAACCTCAATTTAAAGGCATGTAGGATCATTTGCTTTTCATGCATTTTGTTCGTTTCTAAGAGTACCACAATTCAAAATCCAAAGAGGAATGTTCAATACCTAACCTGTTGAAGGTTAAATGCAAATGATCTTTTATGCCAAATGACCCTTTATGTGTATCTCTGGGTGCTTCTTTCCAGGTGCACCCGACCAGTTGGGCAAAAGTACGTACGTCACACATGCTTGGTAGCTAATTTTAATCCACTGATGCATTGGAACATCAACCAATAAAATGGAAGTATTTTTGAGGTGCGGTATTGTGAGAGATGTTCAAATCTAAATGCACAAGTGAAATGGAAGAAATACTTCAAGTTGTGCGATCCCCCTGGCATGGTGGCAGTGTTTATACAGTCAGTTAGTAAGCACACTTTTCAGTTGACCTAACCAAAATCAACAATGACCTCATTTGACCCCTACATGACCTTTGACCTCAAATGTCTCAAGTCATCTGAAGTCATTATTGTCACCAAGTTTGGTCGAGATTGAAGTCTGACTTTTCATATGACAGCACTAAACAGTTAACCTAACCACAATTGTAACACACAGACGGATGGACACACAGAAGGAATACACTATCCCAATATGCCCCTTTCTGGCTTAAAGGGAGTATACAACATTTGCAAACATCGAAAAATAAAACTACCAAGTTTTTACGAAATACCTTACTAGGATGTTGGTAAATGACAGTCTAAAGCATCCTGTAAAATAATGGCACCTGGTGTGAAGTCATTTTCAAGGAAATGGTATTTTTATATACATTTCCAACGGTGGTCGGCCGACCACCGTTGGAAAAACCTAACTATTTTTCAACTACTGCTCCAACTTTACACTTTTTTCGGTCCAAATTTTGTTTGCTATTGGTTACATGTTCATGAACGGGTGCAGGCCAGCTAGACTGGTTCCCTTACCTTACAATTTTCCGGCATCTCTAAATGGATCCATTTTATCTTTAGTGGAGTCAAGGAACCAGACTACTTGAACATTTTTGTTTTTCTTGCTTTTCCAGCATTTTCGAACACAAAACTTCAAACATGTCAGTGTAACAATATTTGGTCTATTATACTAACCCCTAAAATAGTTCATTTCTGAAAATTACAGCAAAAGCCAATGATGTACATTCCCTTTAAAAGCCAGGGGGTTAAAAACCTATTAAATCTCAAATTACAAGCAATAGAAGAAACATCTCATATTTGCAAAAAAAAAGCATCTCCAGTCTACTCACATGATCGCAGTCATGGACCTGTATATGATAGGTGGGCCATAATGAAGGGATATACTGGTCATCATCAAACGCAAGCCTGTACAAATCACGCTCACTCAATGTGCCGTTCACAATGTGCATTCTGGAACGGGAATCAACAAAAAAATTGAGAGAAAAGTATCTTGGTAGGATTTCAAATAAGCAGAAAAGCAGAATAGCAGCAACATAAGAATCAGTGATTTTTTTTTAAATCAATCCTTTCCACTTTATGTATTGTAAAAGTTTAAAGAACTAGAAATAAGACAATTTCTTTTTCTACAAATCTATAGACAAATCCGGCGGAATCCACGAGCGGTAGCGCCGGATTTGTCTATAGATTCGTGCTAAGCTAGTACCACGCACTCTGGGCTCCTTCAACCAATAGAATACCAAAATGCGCGTGCGCCTCGTCTTTAAGAACGCGAACAACACGCGTGTGAGCGTGACACCACCGCAGTTAAAGCTTCTAATTCCGGTCGCCGGATTCCACTATAAACTACAGTACTGCAAGCCAAATTCACCAAAACCAAGTCAAATTCTGCTCTCTTAAGTATTCACAAAGCGCCATTTACTGTCCATGCAGGGATCCCAAGTTAAGTTCATAACAAACCCGCTACAATTGACCCCTCTCATACCACGCCATCTTCATAGGAAAATTACAACTGCGTACTCAATGCCATCAGGTGCGTGTGCAAAATGTTCTAAACGTACGCATGTTGCTCGAAATTTCTTCGCAATACGGCGCGGCACAGCCGATGTGCATCACGAAAATGCCGATGCACATGACAATCTGTAGGCAGTGCCGTCATTTCAGAGAGACCTATAGTAGAGCTCGGGTCCCAAGCTAAAGAAACACAAATTCTGTGTGTGATTTGTGCATGTAAACAGAGCATATACAATTCTTGTACTTACTTGACAACTGATGCAGCCTGCGGCTGGGATACTGCGCCGTAGGACTGTTCATATTGTTGCACTGCGTCGTCAGTGGGAGGGAAGATGGTCAAGCCCGGGGCTGACACCAGAAAGCCTTCCAAGTCTGCCAACTGACAAATTACAAGCAATCTAATTGTATCATTGTTGCATTTAATCCCTCTGCCTTCTCATTATTTAGTACTTAATCACTTTTCGCCACTTTTGAAAGTTCACCAACAATCTCTAAATTAAATCTTATTCAAAACAATTGTGATGCGATCAAGCTAAATGAGTCGTTTGTGGGCCCTTATCAAATTTTGTATTTTTTACATTTTTGAACAGAGCTATCTTTCAGTTAACATCTGGTGAAAACCCCATGTGAATACGACCTTCCGTTCAGAAGTTATGGGACTTAGAACACAGGCAGATCAGAAAGAAGAAAACAGAGAAATCAAGCAGAGAAATCAACCATTCAAAATTGAAGTGTTTATTAAGTAACAATAAACATGCTTTATTTCAGGTTACTGAATATTGACTCCTTAGTAAAAATGTCACATTTTAACAACTTTATCGTGAGTTTTTCTCGGAAAAAAAGTTGACATGAAAGAGGACATATGTAGCCTTCCGATTTAAAAAAAAAAGTCAATTTTGAAACTGACCTATTTTGGGCGGTATTTTAAAATCAAAATTGCCGACAACGACATTTAGCTTGATCGCATCACAATTTTTGTTTTATGAATGACTGCAACCTTGTGGTTTGTGGTACAAACGTTTGGCCCCCAATCCTGACCATACAAATCCTCACCTGAATCAGCTCATAGAATCTTCTTAGGTTTGGTATGGTAGCAATTTCCTGATATGTAAAAAAAAAAACAGGAAAAAAAACCATATTGAAGACTTTGTTAAATTCAAAATTCAACTACAGTTAACTCTGGCTAAGTCGGCACTCTCAGGACCCGAGAATTTGTGATGGCTTACGCGAATGCCGACATGTGCTGTAAGTCGTCAGTTTGCCGACTTACATGAATGGTCTTTTGCACACATGATTCAATGCACTAATTGGCTTCAACTCATAGAATCTGCCAACTTACACAAACGATTTTGTAATGCTTTTTATGGAAAGGGGACCAAGAGAAACACGACGACTTGAGCGAAATGGCGACTTATAAAAGCCAACTTAGAAATAAAAAATCCAATGGAAATTCATTACGGACAATCGGGACTTTAGTCAGACGGCTGACTTCAGCGATTTGACGAGTTGTACGATGTCAGTTTAGCCGGGGTTTACTGTACATGTAAACTATAGGTGAGCGCAGACATCCGGGAGCTTCTTACATTGCCTTGTCTAGTTCCCAGACCTATTCACTAAAAGCTTAATGGTTCTTGAGTCTGGAGTGCTGAATGGTAACACATAGCAACCGGTGAAAACTGGTGAGCAAATGAATAGATTTTTTCACCAGCTGACGCAATCCCGCCCACACCTCTACTGGTTGGGCTCAGAAAATGATAACTCAAACACTGGTTCCCACACTACTACTGAATGAAAACGGATTAAAGTGAAGCAGGCATACCAGCGGAAGGCTCTGGTAACACAGCCAGCCATTCCCACCATAGCCATCTCTACACTGACAATCACTGGTACCCGGCCCTGTCTGTATGCAATCAGCCTGCAGGGAGAAAAAGAAGAAACACCAACACACAAAAATCAATGAAATAAGAATATAATATTCAATTCATTTTACTACTAACTGGATTTCTTTGGACACCCTCCCCTAAATTCTTTTCTTGCCCTGAATTTTTTTCAAATATGTGAAGCACACATTCTCGTATAATTTAATATTCCTAAATTCACAACATTGACAATGTTTTGTTTTCTTTTCAATAAAAACTCCTCGCTAATAAGACAAAGTCAGATTTTTCCTGAGCATTGAAATCAGGTATTTGTTTGTTTGATTGTTGGGGTTTTTTTGGGGGGGCGGGGGGGTGGGGGGGGGGGGGAAGGAGGGTTACCTCAAGACAATTTTAGTGTAGCATTGTGCTCCCCCCCCCCAAAAAAAACCCTGTCAAAACAAAATGTACAAGTGTACTTTATGAAGAAAAAAAACACACAAATTGTTACTGACTTGAAGATACGACTTCATCCCTTTACAGAAATAGCTAATGTAAATTTGATGTATAGAAATCGACGGGACAGTCCTTGACATTGTTGAACCGAGCATTACCTGTGCATGGCAACCACCATTGGTCATCAGAAGGCAGGGGTTGATTGGCTCGCACACTGTGCCGTTGCCATAGTAACCAAGGTTACAATAGCACTGATTCTGAAAAATAACACAAAAATGAAAACACTGAGTTTACTTGAAGGGGGGTTCACTTTACCTCACTCTCGGACCAAGGCTTTTGACACACTTTATCACTATAAAATGGGAATTTAAGCATGAAATTTAAGATATCTCACAATCAATTTCATAATGAGTTTAAAATTTATATTGTTTTATTTTTTTTTTTGGAAAACAGACCCATTGGTAATATTGCGCATGCCTAAATGAAGATTGTGAACTTTCAACCAATATAAGCATAAAAGGGACCAAACTTCATAGGAGTCCAAATTTCATGTGATGCTGGAAAAGTGTTTAAGACCAGACAGCCGATGTTTTATAAACCGTTTAAGACCGGCCACGTGACGGGCTTTCATCCAATAGGAATGGGTAAACTGTCTTAGGTATTTGTGAGTGTTTTTTTTTTACATTTTAAATGGTGTATCATTATTTCAAATGAATATTTCCTAAAAGATCATTTTAAACCAAGACAAAGTGTTCAGGAGTCAGGTTGGTGCAGTGATATTATCCGTGCCTTTCCACATCTGTCACTCCTCTAAAATATGTATTTATTGTTTTCTCTCAAACGTACCATTCCTGGCCTGATGTAAGCGCAGATGGCCCCCTGGGCACACCCTCCTCTATTAGGACCCTGGCACGGGTCGATGGCCTCACAATCGAATCCGTCGCCCGCCCAGCCATCGTTACAGGTACAGTCACTCATGCCTGGCCCGATGTAAGTGCAGAAGGCCTGGGCGACAAGGCGGTGGGAAATGAAAAAACATCTTAGAAGATTATGAACCACAGTACAATGTTGATTATAATGAGGTGCTTATTTAACTCTAACTGCCCTGAATCCTTCAAAATCCTCTTGTAAAGGTGGAGGAATTTGGAGGACTGAGGTTACATGGCAAAAGCGCGTTACTGATTTCGTAGGATGCACTCTGTCAAGGTCTTGGGCCGGACCTTGTGTTGTTTTTGCTCAGCCATGCATAAATGTAGGCCTGGATTATGCTTGAAATCCTCCGTACTGCTCCAGGATGTCACTGGCCAAGCCTCAACATATTTGACAGTCACTGCCGCAGGATTTTGCAGGATTCAGGCAGTGGTCACCCCCTCCATGGACCATATTCAAGAAACAATGGAAGAATTTGCAGGATTGAGGCTATATGCTATTTTCCATGCGGCCAACTGGAGGATTTTGCAGGATTGAGGCTACATCCCAGCAAAAAGGTCTAGGGAGCTAGGGTTAACGCTCTTTTGCAATGTTTCAATGTGTTCATATTCCTAACTCCTGTTCACTAGGTCATGAATCTAGTTTCCTACAGCAGCTCGAGATCAGCACAATCTGGTCTCTACCCTCAGAGGTACCCATTTGTACAGACAGCTGGAGAAGGGCAATTGAAGTAAAGTGTCTTGCCCAAGGACACACAAACACTGTTCCCCATCAGGGTTTAAAATACCATGTGAACATTTTTAGGAAGATAATAAATCTTCTTTTAGCTTGCTCATGTCTTGCTTGTTTGGCTTGCTTTTTGACACTTACCTGTCGATGGCAGCCTCCACGTTCAGCCAATCGGCATGGGTTCAGGGGCTCACAATGCAGGCCGGACCCACTGTAGCCTGCCTGGCAAATACACCTACATATCCACAAAACATACGACAGCAAACTTTAACAATAAAGTCTTTCCAACGTTTCCAGCAAAAAACCAATGTGCAAAATTGTTCACGTTTTGATCTCTTACATGTTACCTTTGGTTGTGAACATTAGCCAAACTTGGTTTTCTACGTGGTCCCCAAGTCAAATTATAAAGAACCTGTTTCTTTAAAAAAAGAGGGGCGAAAAACAACACACACAAAAAAGGCAACTGACTAGGTTCACATTTAATCGATGTTAGGCTGAACACAGAAATTGACGGGAGCGGAATTTGAACCTGCGCCCTCTAGAATGCCATATCGGTGCTCTAACAACCGAGCCCTCCAGTGTAATGTTTCGGGTTTTCCCAAATTTGTCAATGTCTTTGAAGTCAAAAGTCATCAACCCATTTCGGGAGACCGCCAACGCAGGGCTGGACAGCTCAGTTGGTAGAGCACTGGAGTGGTATCCCAGATGTCACGGGTTCAAATCCCGCTCCAGTCAATTTCATTTATCAATCACGTATCTTTTAAAGAGTGTTTGTAAGTATGAAATTACAATGAAGAAACAAGGTAAAGGTAAAGGTAAAGGGGTGAACCTGTGTTCACAGGAACAGAGTGCCCATCTCTCTTTCATTAGCGATTGGGCCAGACTCATATGCTGCTGTGGGGGGATTGCCACACCTCCTCCACAGCGAGTCTGTTACCTTCCCAGCATTGAATAATGCGGTACCCATTTAACACCTAGGTTGAGCGGAGTAATTGAGGTAAAGCACCTTACTCAAGGGCACAACACGCATGGCCACGGTGGGGCTCGAACTCACAACCTCTCGATCACGAATCCTGTGCTCCACCGCTAGACCACACGTGCCCGAAAAAGAAACAAGACCCAGTCACAACCCAGACCAAAAACAACAAGTCAATGTGACCCAGTGATAGGCTGTGTCCAAATTACTTGGCTACATCTTCAAATTACACACACGCTAATGGTAGCGGCTGCAGCCACTTTCCATAGACTTGTGTGTTATTTCTAGCCATAGCCGCGTCATTTGGATGCGGCTATATACCTGATTTCTGAGCCTGAGGTATCACAGACAGCATGCTCGTGACAGATGTGAACCTCCGGACCGCACCCTTCGGCAGGGATGTTACAGTCTGATCCAATGTAGCCAATATCACAACCTCCCTTGCAGTGACCCGTACCCAAAGGTCCGCTGTCGCAAACACCATGCAGGCATGTACAGGCTGTGATTAAATAACAATCAACAAAGTCCATTGGCTTCTTGGCATGAGAAATTACTGAGTGGGAATAAACAAAGTTTCAAATCTTGAGGTATGGCAACAGAAACTAGGTTTCTGGGGACTACTTATAACTTGTCAACATTCCGTTGAAAAGTTATGGCTATTTAAAGTTTGCATTTATTTACATGTCAAAAAAGTAAAATACTGAGGAAAAGGCCTTTTAAGGTCTTTTAGAGTTTTGTAGTCCTAAAAATGAAAGATGCCAATTGTTTTTCCTTAATTTAAACAAAAGTTTTATCCCACATTAACTTGTCAACATTTCGTTGACAAATTATGTCTGTTTAAAGTTTGCGTTTATTAACAGTCAAAAAAGTAAAATACTGAAAAAAGGCCTTTTAAGGTCTTTTCGAGTTTTGTAGTAAAAATGAAAGATGCCAATTGTTTTTTGTTAATTTAAAAAAAAAATTATCCCACAATTTGTTCACTATTTAATTTTTTTTTAAATGTCTAGTAGGCCTATACATATCAAAGCTTACAAATATCAATAAATCGGAAAATCGAGAAAAATCACTCCCATTTTTTTTTTTTTTTTTTTTTTTCTCCACTACCGCCTGTGCCCAGTTCCGTCTTATTTTGCCAAAATGCCTCATATATCATAGATTATTGAAATATTACATACATATTGAAAAAAAAAAACAGAAAAAGTTTACATGTTAGAACTACTCAACTGCCATATAATTGCAATGTATAGGAAATAGTTAATAAAGAAACTCAACTTGTAACCTTCATTCTTTATGAAAAACATGGCTTTTATGCATGATTTTATACATGGTTGATTTCTCGTTGATGTTTTTGTTTTTTAGCAGCTCTATAAGCTATTACCCCGCAAAGATTAGGGAGGTTGACTCACTCTGATTACAGCCGGTGCCAAATAGGTTTGGCATGCAGAGCTCACAGGCGGTACCGGTGAAATGCTCGTCGCAAGAACACAGGCCGCTTCCAAGTCTGGAGTCAGAACACTGCCGTGCAAACAACAAAAATATAGTAAGAAATTACTAAGATGAAAAAAAATCATAGAATCAAATCAACAAGCGTGGGGCTAATAGTTCAGGATATTTCATGTTGGAAAAAATCTACAGAATTTCATTTGAACAATTTCAAGAATCTAAATAATTCATTTGTTTGCAAATTTATCTCAGCATTAGCTACATTTAAACACCACACAACAACAACAAAAAACACTCATTGGAGGGGTCATAATTTTGAATCTGATCGTCTTATGATGACGTCATTGATATAGACCTTTGGGGAATGTTGTTAGCTACATTGTGATACCCCTGTTTGCTACCAAAGACTGTAAATCGGTTCATGAAAAATGATGCAGTTTGAAAAGTTTCAAATTTTAAGATTACGCTAGGAGAAATTGCTAAGCGCTACCACACATGCCGGTAATTGGCACAGTGCCCGAACAAAGCGTGGGTAATATAATTTCGTGTGCTCCCATGCGTACAAGCACTGTGCGATCGATATTACCTGCCGTTTCAAGCAGTGTAACATTGTCATGCAGCAATTTCCACTCGCATACTCTTTAAATTTGCAAGTTTTCAAACTGCATCATTTTACATAAACCGTTGTCAATGTTGGACGATTTACAGTCTTTGGTAGCAAACGGGGTATCCAACATGTAGCTAACAACATTCCCCAAAGGTCTATATAAATGCCATTATCATAAGACGATCAGATTCAAACTTATGACCCCCTCCAATGAATGTGGACTTTGGAGAAAAAAAATATTGGGAAAAAAAAACACAGATAATACAATTTTACAATAAGAACAATTCTCAACGGGCAATATATTTTAAAATTTGCGATTTTTGAGATTTTTTCTTAATTTGACAGGCGTGATTTGATTAAAAACTTACCCATCCATGTCCATAACAAGGAATAGCGAACCCACCCGGGCATGGGTGGCAATTCTGCCCATAAAAACCAGAACAGCACTCAGGCTCCTGTATATACACACCAAAAAATCTTTGTTTAGGCTATTAAGGAAATATTTAGAGACAAGATAACGAATCTCCATTTAAAGCTTTTGCAGTCGTCGGATTTTTTTGCCAACACCCTCCACATACACCGTTGTAATCAAGTCAATCACAACTCAATCACAAGTCAATCACAAGTCAATCACAAGTCAATTTACAAGTCAATCACACATCAATCACAAGTCAATCACACGTCAATTTACAAGTCAATCACACGTCAATCACAAGTTAATCACAAGTCAATCACAAGTCAATCACAAGTCAATCACAAGTCAATCACAAGTCAGTCACAAGTCAATCACAAGTCAATCACAAGTCAATCCCAAGTCAGTCACAAGTCAATCACAATGCAATCACAAGTCAGTCACAAGTCAATCACAAGTCAATCACAAGTCAATCACAATGCAATCACAAGTCAATCACAAGTCAATCACAAATCAATCACAAGTCAATCACAAGTCAATTACAAGTCAATCGCAAGTCAATCGCAAGTCAATCACAAGTCAATCACACGTCAATCACAAGTCAATCACAAGTCAATCACAAGTCAATCACAAAGAACAATGACAAAGGAATGCCTTTGTCACAGTTCAATTTGAATAGCTTGTGAGTAAACTAGGGACTGGAGGACTTGTGATGGACTTGTGATTGCCTTGTGATGACTTGTGATGACTTCTGACTGACTTGATTACAACTCTGTTGGAGGGATGCAGACCAAAATCAGCAAAGACTCCCAACAGGTGAGTTTGGAAGGTGCTCATTTGCTTATCAGAGGATAAGCTTGGCATTCCTTGGAGTGCGTGGCTGCTGACCCAAGTGGTAATGTCCATGCAGTAAAAATAAAGGGTCAGTTTCTTTTATAAGTGAATGTGGAAGTCGCTATAAGTGGGAGGAATGATAAACCAGTACTGAAAGTCACCACAATTCATCACCTACTGTGCCATCCTCCCCTAAGAACACTGCAGCGATTTGACAACAGGCCTTCGAAATTCGGGCAAAACAGGGTCCAATTCTTTTTAAAAGGAAACCCACAGAATAAGACAGGAACCGGAAAAACTCAAATCCACTTGTCGATGCAGGGTCGGATTCCAACCCAGGTCACGGAAGTTGAAAACGATAACATTAGCCATACATCTGCAATGTCTCAACTTACCCACGTGGTCCTGTTGCACATCAGCTGGCACCCTATGCTGACCACATTGCCACCTTGCCATGTGGTTTCAAGAAGGCACTGCTGAGTTGCTACCCCATCCACCTATACAACATGGTTTAAATAAGCTCACTGAAGCTCTTATCCTAATTTTTTTCAAACATTCAAAATGTAAAAACATCAATTTTTTGTGATATTAACCACTTCGAAATTTTCAAAAGACAAAATTTCCCTGCCACAAATACTGATTCGCAAGAGTGATTTCAACAGTATTTGTATGATAGTTCTTGCCGAAACCTCATTTGTTTCAATACTCCTGGGAGTGCACTTGAGCGTAAATTGTACAACAATAGGACATGCACAACGGCCCACACACTGGTCAGCACACGGTCCGCCTCTACAGACTTCACAGACTTTGTGTGTGTATAAAAGACACGAGGGATAAGAATGTTTAGACGTCACCCAGAGGCGAATCGAGGCAATCTTGACATCTTAATCAGTCAGCCTGAGTACAAAAACAGCCAGTGCGTGTTATCACGGCCTCCAGTGCGAACTAGTTAATAAAGGGGAGGAGAATATACCTCCTTGAAAATCTGTAGAAGGAAGATGGTGTTTATGGATACCTTCCATGGTTACAAAGAAAGACTAACGTAAGACTCTTGAATTCATTGCTCCTGCTTGTCTAGCAAACATGCAAGGATGCTATGGGTTTGCGCACACTCAGAATGAACTTTATCGAATCAGTGCGCACACCAAGTGTGCCCCGCACACAGAGAACGCACCAATTGTATTTCACGTGCTATCTACTGACCTTAGAATACCACTTCTAGAGTCAAAGACCTAATAACAAGCAAAAAAAGAAAACTTACTGGTGTACTACCAATAGGGCAGGATGACCTCAATGTTGAATCATTGCAATGGGAGCATGGTCCCTGAAAGAGATGACAATGCACAACATGAACCAAATTAGTGAAAAACAGAAGGAAAAGACATTGGCTAATTAATAATAGATGGAAAATCCTCTTATTCGTTTGATGCAGTGGTTACGCGTTCAGATACCTTTAACCGAAGATCTTGATGGTGTATCATTAATTGCTTCTTTTTGCATGAAAGTAGCTTGTGAGGATCGTGTCTAAGAATTCCAATTTCCCTTAATGACCCCTTTTTCCTCAAACGACTTAAGACTCTCACAAATGTTTTACAGGCTTGTTGAGCAGGGGTAATAATTAGTCACATACACTATGGCTATACAATTTAGTTCATGGACGTTTACTGAAATATCCTGAAAAGCAAATGTATTTCCATAACTAGATGTACATTTAATGAGATATTAAAGTTGTACCCTTATACCAGATTCTGCCCTGATATAACCCTTTTTACAAATTATGTACAATATCTTTGACCCAAAATTCCATCACAAGTCAGCATTTTATACCTGTTCCACTACATAGCTCTGTGTGTCGCACTGATGGGGTATGAGGGGCTCAATATCAGATGGAACGATCAGCCCGTCAATGCTGTGAATGTAACCGTCGTTGGCAACAATGTCGGAAAGCGTCAGATTTGCGCCCCCGTCCATGCTGATTAAACCCTGTTAAAGAAAAAAATGAAATCAAGAGGCAAAGAACAAGAATCGTAACTTGGATACTGCTAATGGTGTGTTCTAGGACAAAATGTTTTGTGAAAATACAAAAGTATTTGGGCAATTCGGGCGATTCACAATGCAGTGCGCTACCAAGAGTTTGCCACGGAGAGTTCATTTTTCCAAGCGCATTGTGGGAGATGGTCGACATATTCGCAGCGCGGGACGTTAGAAATTGTTAGTTTTTCTGGTCAGTGGTTTCGTAAGCATATGATTCAAGGCTTTGTTTGCCCATTTCTTTTCTTGTTATCAATATGGTGTTTTTGGTAAGGCGGCAGAACGCTATGCCCCAATCTATGACATATTGGCTCAAGTTGTCTACCGACACTCATTCAAATGGGTCATGTTTTGTCGACCGCAAACTTGAAACTGGACTCTCCGTGGCAAACTCTTGGTGGCGCACTGCATTGTGAATCGCCCGAATTCCAGTGTTATGTCATGTCCGTGACAGAGATTTTAAGAGCTCAGCGAATAAACCTGATTCTTTCTTTTTTTCAATCTTATACATCCATCATCTAGTAATAGTCAAAGAGATTACAGACTAGGAGTTTTGAACCATTTCTCCGAATCATTCATTAGATAATATGGTTGATTGGTTCTATCACGGCAATACACTTCCTATCATAACGTTGGAATTGCCAATTTTTGAAAATTTTCAATTTCTTCCTTATTTTTTCCAATACTTAAAATCTAATACTTAAAAGTTTTTCAGTACAAATATTTGTACATTTGGGCAAATCAATCAAAGAAAGTTATTTTTTAACTTTTCAAAACTTAGCCTAAATATCTGACTGGAACAGCACTATTGAAGCCTAAGACTTGACTGATGGGTATTTTTACTTTCTTGAAACACTTCTTGAGGGAATTTTGTTCTAAATGTTTGTAGGTGTTAGCTATTGTGGAGGTTCAAACCCCACCCAAATTCAATATATGTATCTGATTTCTCAATTAAACAACTAAGCAAGAGATTTTAAGTGTTTTGGTTTGAAGTTATTGGAGCAGTGCTATAAAAGAAAATCATAAACTTTGAAACAAAGTCACACGTTCCAGAACTCAGTACAAATGTTTCACAAGTTGTTTAAGGCAACCTCCATACTCACACTGCGGGAAATGTGGAAGTAAGTTGTTGCCCCGTGCACCGAGATCACACGCCCGGTTGAAATCAAGTCTTGCATCAAAAGCTGTAAATGAAAACAAAGAGAACAGATTTAGCCCAAACAATTAAGTCAGAAGGGAATGATAAGCTACATCAACTCTGAAAACGAGAGTCCCAAAACTAATGAGAAAGAAAAATAACATAAGAAAGGATGAACGGCACGATGAATGAAAAAGATAAATTTGCTTTCTTTCAGCTGTCGACACTTGATCATGTTGATCTCATGAATAACATGTAACCTTAGCAGTGTAAAGGACCAAATAAACCGGCCTAATGGCCAAATCTGAAAATGCGAGGGCCAATTAAACTGCCCCAAAGCGCCCTCTGTTGACCAAAAGGAAATGATTACGTCATCTGAAACTACTTTCACTTAAACATACTATAATTCATGACTGATCTAATACACCGTACCCTCTGGAGACGTGTGTACAATAGGGAACAAAAGATTGTATACACTGTACGTCTCCACAGGGTGAGGGCAATTTCTATAGATGAATACGTCTCCACAAGGTTTTCACGAAATAGATCTATGGATTTTACTCAAAAAGTAGGAATTTCCAAGGCTGGTTGATCTGTCGCAAATGGAAGATTTTTAGTAAAGGGATATTAAGTCCAAATTTCAGCCAAGGAAATCAATTTTGGTTAAAATAAGAGCATTTTTAAACTACACTTTCAAACTCGAAAACTTTAGTGCACAAGAACAAAGGAATGTCTCCACAAGAAAACAAATTCCAGTATGCATGTGCTTGTAATGCTTTACTTCCTAATATGTATTGAAAGTAATCTGTGACATTAAGCTAATGGCTGCTGACAGGCAAATCGGCCATCCAGGCATCATTCTTGTGTTATCTTACTATACTGTACGGTAGACATCAATTATTTAAAATAACTGTATTTTAAATGGGGTCCATGCAGTACACTAAAGAAACAATTGTGACTAATCTTCATCATGTGGGCAGACATCCAATTTTTTTTTAACAACTGCGACAATAAATACTTTAACAAAAATGGCAAAAATTCTTGTCAACTGAAAAAAAACAGTTTATTTAAAACCAAAAGTTGAAGGTACTCCACAATTAGAATCCGGCACGTGATCACTGTACACTCACGAGGACCCCTCCAATGGAGAAATATTATACAAAGCAACTGCCTTGGGACAGATTATCTGTACAATAGCTAGCACAATGCTTTTGCCATTGAAGGGGGCCTTCGTGATAGAAGTGATAGCATGCCCAGATTGGTCCATAAATGACAGACTTATAAGTGGGTTGAAGTTATGATTTTGCAGGAATTATCAAATCTCACTTACCATGGCGCCCTGTATAACATGATTCCTGAGCAGGGCCAGCAACTTAGGTCTTCCCTAAAGAAAGGGGGAAAAAATGTTCCAAATGAGACAAAATGTAGTAAGAGTTAAAACTCATTCATATCACATCATTAACCCATTAACCCTTCAAAAAGCAATGCAAAAGTTGATAAATAGGAGCCCTTTGGCAAAAAAATAACGATATTTTTATCTTTTATTGTAGATTCATATTAGCAGGTCTCCATCGGTAGCCAATTTCAGAATTCAAGTACATTGTGTATAACAGCACTAAAAACGAAGTGTTGAAAATCTGAGGTGATTAGGTAAAAAGGGGAGTAAACAGCTTTGTGCATAATTGGTATATTGCAGCAGTAACACAAAATAGTAACTTTGGAAGGTTGGAAAGTTTGGAAATTTGAGGACATACTTGTGGTGACATGAGGTGATCCATGGAGCCAGCGGGCAGTTGGTTGAAGGCTTTGTTCATTGGGGCTAGTATTGTGACGGGCTCACCTGGGGGAATGACATTGCTGACGCCCGCACTCTGCAAAGGGAAAATAATGAATATGTCAAGTTTTGGATAAAAAGATAGACATGTACAGTTGTCTGATAGACAAAAACACATGCAGCTGGGTGATGCTAGCATTATGAAAAGAAGTGTAACGTTCGTGACTGAGCCAATTAACCATGATGTCTAATTAAAGGGAATATACATCATTTGCTTTTGCTGTAATTTTCAGAAATAGATGGAATTGGGGGGTTGGAAATATATAGCAAATATAGTTACACTGACTTTTCTGAGGTTTTGGGTTCGAAAATGCTATAAAAACCAAGAAAAACAATCATTTTCCTGTAGTCTGGTTCCCTGACTCCATTTAAGAAGAAACAGAGCAGTTTACATACATTTGGGAATTGTAAGGTCAGGGAACCAGTTTAGCTGGCTTGTACCCGTTCATAGGTGTGTAATCGATTGCAAACAAGTGCGATGGCCAATGGGGGCCAGTATTTGAAAAAAGCCAGTTTTTTCCAATGCTGGTCGGCCGACCAGCATTGGAAATTGATACAAAAATACAACTTTTCTTGAAAATGACAGTATACCAGGTGCCATGATTTTACAGGATGCTTTACACTGTCATTCACTACCAGTCCAGCAAGGTATTTCAAAATGATTTGGTAGTTTTAATTTTTGATGTTTGCAAATGTTGTATTTTCCCTTTAACGATTCAGAGAAATGATCCCAAACTCCTAGTCTGTAATCTCCTTGGCCATTACTAGATGATGCATGTATAAGATTTGTAGAAAAAAAATACATGTTCAGTTTTACTCACAGAGCTCTTAAAAGCTTCATAACGGGCACTACATAATGCTGGAATTAGAGCTGTAATCATTTATTTATATTTTGAAAATTCCATTACAAATATGTTCAAATCTTGTGCATATTTCCAATCTTGTGCATATTTCCAATCTTGTGCATATTTCAAATCTTGTGCACATTTCAAATCTTGTGCACATTTCAAATCTTGCGCATATTTCAAATCTTGAGCATATTTCAAATCTTGTGCATATTTCAGCCACATGTATACTTTTGTGGCTGTGATTGGTCCAAATATCATGGAGTGGAGATTAACGGATCCATCTACTCTGACAAATTCACTCCCGCAAAGCACAGGAGGGGGATTTGAAACTTTGTTTCGTCGTCGGCTGCGGCCTGGCCTCCGAATTCTGAACCTCTGAGAGGCAAACCTAACAGAAATATTCTTAGCGGTGGCTTCGTATCAACCAGTTGAATGTTTCTGAAGCATAGCAGGCACCAAAATTCAGATGGAATATCCAAAGTTTCCTTAAGCCAAAATGAAGATGAAGCCGGAGTTGTGAAAAGGCCCATAAATGATACAAAAACCATCTTACCACTAGGAGTGTCTGCAGCCGGTTAAACCTCCCAGTCGAAGATAGGATAGTGGTAACCGACTCCTGTACAAACAGTAAAAAGACAGCCTTGAATCATAGAAATATATGCAGGCATGACTTTGATTTCATAAATACCTGAGACAGTTTACCTATTCCTGTCGGCCTAGAGCCCGTCATATAATAATAATAATAACTGTATTCATATAGCGCCTTTTGCCAGAGGATACAAAGCGCTGGGGGAGAATGCAACCAAAGCCAGGTATATGAAGTATATGAACATACCATGAGACCCATTATGAAGCACCTCTTTGCTAGGTGCTGCGGCGCAAATTGCTGCCACTGCCAGAAACACCGGGGCAAACCCCTTCTCTTAGCGACAAGTGTTACTGGGTTCTTTAACGTGCATTACACAACACACGGGACCTACGGCTTTACGTCCCATCTGAAGGACGAAGCAATAATTGTAAAGTGCCTTGCTCAAGAGCACAAGTACCATGTTCCCACGGTCAGGATTCGAACCCATGTACCACGGCACACAAGTCGAACACCGTAACTATTGGACCACAGCGCCCCAATAATGTGGGTGGTTTTAAACTGTTAAGACACCAGCGAGAAGTATTTAAAACCGGCCAGTAAAAAAGGTGGCTCCTGAACAATAAATTACTGCTTTTGTCTTTGTGTTTCATTTTTAACAAAAGAGCATAATTTAAAAATTAATCAGAAGAAAATCGTCTGGCCTGGGTCTTCTGAGATCATCCTTTTTGTCTAAGGTTTACCAGTTTCAAGCTTTGTTGTTTGTTTGAATTTTGACTTACCCCTGGGCTGTCCTCCACAGGTGTCGGCTCATACAGTACCCTGTCTATAACGTGGATGACTCCGTTTGCTGCTGGGATATCCTTGTACAACAGTCTAGCCCGTGTGTTACTGCCTTGAAGACGGTACCTCAGCATGTCAACATTCTTTGGGGTAAAAATGAAAAAATTACTGAAAACACTAACAGTTGTAGATAGTTTCTTGCATGTGAGTGCACCAGTGATGTGAATTGTTTTCAGCTTTTGGAATTTTTATTTATCAGGAAGCAATCCCCAGCAAGCTCAGTGGTTGAGTGATCGTGGTAGGTAAGTAGGAGGTCGTGGGTTTGAATCCCACCTGAGGAAGCTGATAGTTTTTTTCTTACAAGCTCTTATAGCACTGAGTACAGAATGCTTGTGTCAGAAAAAAAAGTTAATGTGTTCAACTTTTGCAAAAGTACAGCCTGAGAATTTTTCTGAGGGCAGACAAGAGTTGCTTCACATTCCAATTCCCAGTTGGTTTTGATCTTGCTTTTAGGCCAGCCTTTAGCATTTCGATTTTAGAGGAGAGGGAGGAGGTTGTGTTCAAATGCCAAAATGACAAAATAACTCCCTCGGTCTCCAGACAATAGGCAGAGCATACTGTCTGAAACATTGAGTTTCCCCCGGTTCGTTTCAGAACCTCACAAACTCACAAGAGATTGTCACATGGCGCTACCGCAAATCTTTATCTTACTGCTATCTTCACCACACAAACCTTCAACTCTTATCTAACTCCTTCCTTTTAAGGTTTACAGCAACAGAAATAGGAACAAATCTACAAATGGTCCTGAAAGAATATGTGTACATATGATACAACAATTTACTGTCTTTATATTTCATCTCAAGACTTGGGTCAGATAAAGTCTTTCCATGCTGCCCGCCCCCGACAAAAACACCCATTCCTGACTGTGATGTCACCTGCAAAACAACATATTGGCTGATCACCCTTACATGCATGTCTAAAACTATATACAAAACTTGTAGTGTCTGTGTCTGGTTAGGGCAGATAGGATATAGTATGTGTTATTTTAAGATGATGTCACAGGGAAAGCATTACCCCGTCTTTGTGAGTGACTTCTGCCATGATGCCAGCCAGGGTGTGAATGGATTGCGTGGAGTTCAGTGCGTGGGCGTCCATGTGGGTCGGCACAGTGTGCAGCTTCATCAGGTAACGGTTGAAATCTACGTCACGAAAAGCTCTGTCATTGAGCTGAAATGACAAAGGTTAGAACATGAACTGGCCGACAGATGCTTGAATTCAATTAAAATTACCTAAATGGTAAATGTACTTTGTAAAATACTGGAAATTGAAGTCCGTTTTTTTGTGAAAAAGCACTGAACGAGATATTTCTAATGGTGTTCAAAGTGCTAATAGAGGTCTATAAAATGTTAGACACATAACGACAAGAGTGTGTAGCTAGTATAAAATAGGTAAGTTCTGGGATGAAATTACTGTAGCATTTTGATTATTCAAGCACTTAAATATTTCCAGCTATATTCTCTGTGCAGAGAATGCTTCGGCAGTAAAGGAATTGTGGAATTTTGCAGTGCTTGTGTACTACTTTTTTCGGCCGAACTAGATGTAACTGAAACGTTTTGCAGCAACTTCTTCAACCAGGTTCTGGAATGGTTGGTCACAATATCACAAACAAGAAATGAAACATTTTAATTTACGCCACTTTTGCGAGGGCAAGAGAATTATCATTACCCCTGATAATCAGGTTTATAATTAATCATGTTATAATTATAAATGTTCAAAAGTCACTGAGCAAGACGCAAGCCACCTCACCAAAAAATCAAACTCTTGGAAGGCCTGTTCGGTGGGGACAAACACAGTGTAGAGTCCCTTGCCGCTCAGCAGGTATCCCATGGCGAGATCAAACATGCTGATGGCTGTATTCAATGAGCCTTGTAAGGTCCCAGTTGGGTCGCTGTTGACGTCACGAAGCACCTAGGTCCAGGAATAAGACTCAAGTACTTTTACCGGCACGGTGAAAAACCTGACCCATCTATATAGTTTTCAAAATTTACTATTTTCCAATCTACAGTGCATGCTGATTTCATTGATCAATCTGTAAACTACGATTCTTCCATTATTAAAGCAAATACATAGCCTTCAATTCTAACTTCCACATTTCTGCTAGGAACCTTACCGAAATTCTCTTAAAACCAACTCTGTGTCAAAACCTATCGACTCAAATCTTGATCCTACAATACTAATACAAAACTATTGTGAATTAAGAGAAAAAAAATTGTTTGAAATTGTTTAACCCAACTCTAGTGCATAGCAACAATATAAACAACGCACACACCTGGGCCCAATTTCATGGCACTGCTTAGCACACAAATTTGCTTAGCACAAAACAAGTCTGGCTTATAAAAGCAGGTTACCAGCCAAAACTCCATGGGATTTTCATGCTAAGCAAACAACAGCCAAATACTAATCCCGAGCAATATACATCACGTGGAGTTTTGGCTGGTAACCTACTTTTATAAGCCAGACTTTTTTTGTGCTAAGCAAATTTTTGTGCTTAGCAGCGCTGTGAAATTGGCCCCTGTATACATACATGCACACAGACCTCTGGTTGCTACATTGGTTGCCATGCGTTTAGTACTTTTTGAGAGCGAGGCTGTCATTGTACATTCTTTTTGGATGTGTATGGTCAAAAACAGAATTTGTGGTCGAAACGTTATAATATCAGAGAATTATTTTGTTTGTACTTTCCATACCTGCATGATACTGCCATAGCAAGCCTGCCCGTCGCCCTGGAAACCTTCCACGCATTCACATTTGGCATTGCCTTCGGCCGTCATGGTGCAGATGGAGTGGGGCGGGCACGCGGGGGCGTTGGGACCCCCGCACAGGTTGGTTCGGCTACAACCGAGAGGGAAGACGTAGTTCTCATAACCTTCCTCGCATTCACAGTGATACTGGAGAACAAGTTTGTAATAATAAACGAGAGCTTTATGACTGTGCTTAACTTTTACTGAAATAAGTCTTAACTTTAGTCTTGGTCACAACTGCCAAAAAAAACAAAAAACACAATAAAAGAAGACTGATTTACACTGCCCCTGTGGGCTTCGTGCACGATTACCCCCTCAATGGTAAGAAAGGGAGAGTTGGGGGAGACCGCATGAAAGAGACATTCGAACGCATTGCTGACAAAGCCTGACGCTTACGCAGAAACCCTATGGCTTTGTGCACATCCACAATAAAATAAGTCGTGCGTCCTTTGGGCTATTTGTGTGAACGAGTACTTTCATGCAGTGTGTCCAGTACACATGGTGCTCAAAAGTGGTAAAAAAGCGCCCTCTCTTGTTCCCACATGGTGCCCATTAGCCTTCAATCCACAATATTTTTGCTGAGAACCCCACTGTTTCCTGATAAATCCACTGCTGTTCAGGAAGCAAAAAAGCACATAGTTCAGTGTTCTTTCAGCAAAACGAAAACAAATCACATAGGGATATGTGTGAATTGTTTTCATTTTGCTGAAAGAACGCACACCTATTTTTGTGATCCGTGGACAGAACTTTAAAATGGTGGTTGTGTTTTAAATTCCGTAACTGGGAAGTACATGAGCGATTTGAATGATTCTTGTACTAAAAGAAAGCCAATGAATTGGGCTTTCATATGCTAGATTTTGAAAGTGCTACATGCAGAACTTCAATAAAACAATAGTCCCGACATTTGGGTTTCTGTTTTTTTTACTAACCCTGTATGTGAGTAGCACTACTCATTTTAGTGTTAAGTCATTGTTCCAGTGTGCACTTTTTCTTCAAAATAGAGGAATTTTCATATATTTTTTCAGCCAGCTACCCTAAGGTATGCGAAGTGAGACCACTGATTATCCACTTGAGCCTTTAATACTCCAACCACTATCAATGTTCCTTCGTTGCCTTCGTTTACCTGCCGCGGGCCATCAAAGATGCACTTGGTAGTCGGCGGCGGGCAGGGCGGTAACCGCTGCTGGCAATAGTTGATGGGATAGCACTCCATGCCGTCACCGTAGTAACCCTCCAGGCACTCGCAGGTGTGCCTCCCTGGTGGAGTTGGGGTGCAGCGGGCGTGCGGGCTGCAAGCTTGTGGATCCTGGCAAGGATCATTTTCTGTTAACAGAAGTAGTGATAACAGTCAAGTTGTATTCTCTGTGCTAATTTCAAGTTTCACCCCGAAAAATAATTGTAATACAAATGTTGTTCATATTTGATATAAGACATTAAAACGAAAAATCTGTCCACGTTGAGTTATGACATTTAATAATAATAATAAAAATAATGGCCTCTTGTATAGCGCACATGTCCGTCACAAAGTGATGCTCCTGGCACTCTTATTATTGCCCTGGCTTCAGCACGGCTGCCATTACGGCGCTCAAGCATTGAAGGAATTTCTTCCTACTAGGTACCCATTTACTACACCTGGTTGGAGAGAGGCAATCATAGTAAAGTGCCTTGCCCAAGCACCATGTTCCCTGTCAGGATTCGAACCCATGTACCAAGGCACACGTGCCAAACACCGTAACCACTGGACCACAGCACCCCACATACTTACTTTATAAATACAAATTATCATTTATGCAGGGACCCTGAACAAGTCTACTTATATTTGGAATCTGTCTTTTTGTAGATCAACCCAAAACTAAAGCCTTTTCTGAGGGTTGAAGACCCCAGAACAAAATCCCCCCCCCCCCAAACAACCTCCCACTAAAAAAGTATTAACCCTAACCTTCCCAAATCCTCAAAATTCCTCCTTGTAAAATGGATGATTTTGCAGGATTGAGGCTACATGGCAAAAGTGTGTTGCTGATTTCGGAGGATGCACTTGTGTCAATGTCTTGGGCCGGACCTTGTGTTGTTTATGCTCAGCCATGCATAAATTGAGGCCTTACATTATACTTGAAATCCTCTGCACTGCTCCAGGATGTCACTGGCTCTGCCTCAACATATTGACAGTGATTGCTGGAGGATTGTGCAGGATTGAGGCAGTGGTCACCCCTCCAAGGACCACAGTCAAGAAATAAGGTAGTATTTTACAGGGTTAAGGCTGTATGTTATTTTTACAGGGAGGCAGATTGAGGTAACATTGTACATCCTAGCAAAAATGCCAAGAAAGTAAGTGTTTATTGACCTATCACCAATGGCGAGTTAGCCGGTACCGGTATAATTGTCCGTTCAGTTCTGTTTGTCTCAGATTTTGTGCATTCCGCGTCCATTTGCAAATCATGTAATTGGACAATATTTCACAAGCTGCGTAGACGTGATTCTACCGCGATAGGTCAATTATCAGAAAGTCAAATACTTTCCAGAGGACTGATCTGAAGCTCACATACCTACACACGAAGTCCTTCCATCGCCAGAGTAGCCTGGACTACATACACACTGTGGAGGTTCTCCATCCGTGACTGGTGGTGAGCAGATGGCAAAGGGATGGCATGCAGGCTCACCGCAACTTATTTTGGCTGAACAAGGAGATAAAAACCCAAGGCTTTGTGTATAAAGGATACAGATGACAACAGTGAACAACTTGAATAATGCGTTGGAAGGCACCTGGACATACTTTTATGTACTTTTCACGTTTGCTGTCCAAAATCAGTTGAGAGTCGTGTGAAAACATGTCCACCATATTCAGCACAGTTTAGTATATTCAAATTCTCATCCAAGTAAGGTTTTTTTTTTTACTTGGCAAAATTATTTCATTTATTTTCATATTTTTTTTCATTCAAGTAATCAAATAACGGCTTCTTCTGATGTGCCCAAGAAAATGTAGCTCGGAAACTTGACGAAACCCTCAGAGAAAAAAAAACAATAATGAAGTGTTCAGTTTCCAGAAAGAAAAAATAAAGGAATAAGCCCAGATGGGTTCAAACCCAGGTCACATAGGTGGGAGGTGAGGAAAGCACATGTAACATTATACCAACCAGACTTCATTTCCAAGTTAGCAATAATCATCAATTTGTGTGCTACCAACATGAAATTGAAGTCGACTGCTTTCATACTTGTCTTTATACGGCACTCGACAAATAAAACACTCAATAACAAGTATAATGTTCAATTTACGGAGGGGTATCAACTGAAATAAGCAAAATCATTGTATTTCCAATGCATGCAAAAGTCTGAGTTTATCGATACATGTACATGTACATGTATGCTTAAAAAAAAAGTTTAGGCTATTCGAAATCCAAATACTTACATTGGTCACATCTGGGTCCCTGGTACCCTGCCTCACACAGACAGAAGCCGGTTCCCCTTGCTCCAGCATCGCAAACTCCATAGACACAATCACACACTGCCGGATAAAAAAAAAATTATTTTTGTAAATGAAAAAAAAAAAATTCAGATTCTATTTTCTGCTTATACTGTTTTAACACACAAACTTGGGTATGGAACTCACAGTGGAAATAGTATGGTGAATAATAATTTGTCAATTTAAATTTAAATAAAAATCTTATTGGTGATCTTGCGGATTATTGAGATTTTTTCAACAGTGCCACATTTATAGGAAACCCTTTCTTCAATTTTGTGCCCAATATCCGGACACCACCTTTTTTGACTTCCAGCCTTATTTTCCACAAAATAGAATTTTCACATGATTTACATAGCAAGTTCATTCTTAAGGTAACAGATTTATGGGCTCCGTGCACAAGTACCCCCTCAATGGTAGGAAAGGGAGAGTTGGGGGAGACGTCGACGCCTGTGCTCACACAAGACGCTATGGTTTTGTGCACATTAAGAGTAAAATTAGTCATGCGTACTTCCCACTATATCGAATCAGTGTGTCCTGTCCAATAGGCTCTCAAAAGTAATAAAAAGCACCATTTATTGTTCACGCACAGAGCCTATAGGTGAATGAGTTTGACTAAATAAGTGTGGCATCACTCCATGAGGAAAGTCGGATAAAAAAAACTTTGAAGACAAAATTCTCCAAGTCAGAAGACTGAACTATGTACTCTTGTATTGATGAAATTAGGTCAGGGATTGTCTTCAAAGCACAGTCAATGACCTATTATCTCACACTCCCCTACCTGGCCGCAGAAAAAAAAAGAGGAAACAATTACGAGAAAGAATGACAGGATATGGAGCATTATCACCCGTCACGTGTGTGTGTATGCAGCACAGTCAGAGGGGGAAAGCACTCTTATAGGCTCTGTGCAGGATACGTAGAGGGCAGTGTTACAAGGAATCACGACAGCCAAATAAAAGGCACTTCACACTTTGTACACTGCGTTGCATCAATGTGGCACATGGTAAACCTGACCAATTTTCAATTCGTCCTTTCTTTTCAAATAATTCAAGAAATACAAGCCATCAAGACCAGAACAGCAGACATCAAGTCACTTGCAAGTCAATCACAGGTCAATAGTAGTTTTAACCTTCACAGACGTACTGTATACTCAGTGTGTTACCTCCCGAGTGAAAGTTGGATCGGTTGGCTGGTTTGAATCTGCCAACCGATCCCGCAAGCTCAGTGGTCAGGTCGTAAGACGTCTGCACTGCAAAGCAGGAGGTCGTGGGTTTGAGTCCACCTGAGTGATTGTTTCCAACTTTCACTCGGGAGATAACACAATAAGTATGCAGTATTTATACGTCGGCGAAGGGCAAAACCTAATACTGATTTACACCACCCTGACGCAAATTCCATCGTACGAATACTTTATTTGCGGTACCCGCTGCTACATGTGATGACTTGTGATGACTTGTGACTGACTCAATTACAACTCTGTAGTTCCCTTGAAAAACAAATGCAAACTGAAAATTGTCTCTAGCCCCAAATATAGCATCAGCATCCTGCTAGTAAATCTAACAATGACACATAAATCACAAAAGAAAGGGGGAAGTATAAGTTCTACTGACAATAGCTTCTTGGCTATAAATTAGAAACATTCAGGAACTGCGATGTTTGGATTTGGTTTGGATGGTAGAACTTCCAGAAAGCTCTTTTGATTCTTTTAGTCCTTCAGCGGTTGGGCAGGATGGAGTTCTAAAACTGTTCCTTCCTTCCCCTGTTATCTGTCCTTTGTCTCTGCAATGACTTCCAGATGCAAGGTCTAACGCAAACGCTGTGTCAACAAATTTGCCTGATTTGTACGTGCGGCATGTTACAGCATTTTCCGTTTGTTGAGCCAGGAGGGGTTTCTTTACTTGTCTAGCCCACTTTCGTATTTCGTCATTTTCCCCAATGTCTCATATCAGGGGCCTCTAAAAGTTTGTCGAAAACTCTAGCCCCAACGTTTCAGTCCAGAATCATCCCTGTTCTCCTTGTAAATTGTGTGTAGCTACTATGTATGTTCTTGAATGGTCCAGGCAATTATTGAACTTTCATAAATGGGTTAAAAAAAATGCTTTATTTAATTCTTTAAATTATATAAATGTGTACAAAACTATTCATATCGCTTTTAAAAAATTGCTGGTGCATAATTTTCGCATTTCATGTTCATTTTTGCAATAGAAGTTTCCCTACTACAATCTGAATTTGTACACTGATAAAAAAAAAATTATGTTTACAGTTTTAAGTTGACATCTCTTAAAAGTAATGGATACCATTTGCAAACGTTCAAAAGTGAAACTCAAAAAATCTCCTAGGGATGGTGCATCCTGTAAGATTACTGCACCTAGTATGCTGTCATTTTCGAGAATTTAAAAAGGAATTACCCATCATTTCCTCATGATGGTCAGGACCAAACCCATGCTCAACAGAAACCTATGCTTTGCGTCGAGAAAAAGGAAAATGCATTTTCACAGTTTACTCAAAAAGTCTACTGAGCTGAAATTTCGACAGGATAGATTTTTAATAATCTGCTTCAGATTTATTGCATTGTCGTTCCTTGAAAATACACATTTTTGCTAAAGCCAAAAAAATAGTTCTGCTTCCGATTACATGGCATTTGAAAATAGTGTAGGTAGGTTGGGATTTTTTTTTTTTTTGGAGGGGGGCATTTTTTTGTGTAAGATCATATATGAAGGTGTCTGCGTGTAGTCAAGGCTAAAAGGTAGTCATTGTGGATTTTCAGGGGGTTTCCCTTATTTTTCCCAAAAAAAATTAGGGCAAGGGCTGTCAAAATAGGGTAGGTAGGGTAAGGGGAAGAAGACCTATTATTTTTTTTGGCCTGATGCTGTTTATTAGTACCTTTAAAGGTATTATATACAATATTTGCTTTAACTGTAATTTTCGGAAATGGATGGATTTGGGGGTTAGTTTTTATAGCAAATATAGTATGCACTGACCTGTTTAAAGTTTTGTGTTCATGGAAACTAAAAAAAAAGATGCTGTTCTTATGTCTGCTTACTTGACCCTACTTCAGACAAAATGGGCAATTTATGGCCGTCGGGAATTGTCAGGTCAAGGAACACTTGCTGGCTTGCACCCGTTTGCGGATGTGTAATCCCAAACAAAATGGGAACTAACTAAATTCGGTAAAGTGGGGGTAGTATTTGAAAAAAGTCAACTTTTTCCAACGATGGTCGGCTGACCATCATTGCAAATTGATACACAAATTCCACTTTTCTTGGAAATGACAGCACACCAGGTGCCATGATTTCACAGGATGGCTGAGGCGTTTGTTCACTTACAGTCAAGTAGGAAATTTCATAATAATTTTGTAGGTTTTTGTTACGTTTGCAAATGTTGTATATTGCCTTTAAGGCAAGCCTGTGCACAAAGCCCTACAGGACACGTCAACCACAACTCACTGTAATGGAGAGCTATTTCTTAATAAATGACTATATTCGGTGTAAAGGAAAATGAGTCACTTTCGCTGGTTCACGTGTAGGCCTACTGTGCTTGGCCTGCTGCACACGATCTCACTGGTTCGCGGTGGTGGCAAACCCGTACATTATGGCACATGTGCACCGTGTGATAAGAATAGATAGTACGATAACTTTCAGATTTTTTTTTGCAAAATGTTTTTACCAGAATTTTCAACATGAAGGTCCAAAAGCTGTGAATTCCAAAATTTCCTATCATTGCTCATGAAATTTTGGTGAAAGTTTAGTGTCCCTAACTTCCTCAACCCACTATTTTGAAGCGACCCATAAGTCACCATTGGCAGATCTGGAGGGGGGGGGGGTTTGGCCCCCCCCCCCCAACAAAATTCTTTTTTTAAAAATCAACATTTATTTTATTAAATTATCGGAGGAGTGAAAACATCTTTTTGTCCTAAATTTTCAGGAAATAAAAAATGTTGCGTATTTTCATCGCAAGCCATCAGCTACACATACCATTTACTTTAAATATCACAATGTGGAAATAGTGCAGGATACTATACATAATCCCCTTCCCCTTTTTGGAAACAAAAATACTCAAGCCCTCTTGGCCCCCCGAAAATTTGGTTCTGGATCCGCCCCTTGAAAGCAACAAATGAAACCAAGCCCTATGCCTACGTGCCAATTCTGCAAACTTATCCAAACTATGTACCCTGAATCCATGTTCACACAAATAAAAGCAATTGCCCCCTTAACAGTGACAAAGAAGAAAGAGGTCACGCACTTGGTCATGCATGGTAAGATAGTATACAAATATTGAATGCTTCGAGTGGTGTAGTAAAACTAGCCTCCCGAGGTGCTCCATGGACATACTATTTTCCCGAGGCGAAGCCGAGGGAAAATAGAGTGCTCCATGGATCATCGAGGGAGGCTAGTTTTACTTCACCACGAGATGAAGCATTCAATATTTGTTTTATAACACTTCACCCACAGATTCTGCTTGGTTTTCAATATTTTAAATTATTTAAATCTGAACACAGTTAAAATAAACTTTTGTTTCAATACAAAATTGGTGGGAAACGTTTAGTGAAGCACCCTTTCACAAAATGTTTGAACCCAACTCTGTTGCGCGCTCTCTTGGGAATAATACGCGCTACGCGCAGTGTTCAACACGCACAGCAGCATGCATTTGCACACAGATACCGAGCCATGGGTACATGTATAGTACTTTGGTTGCTAATGGTATAGTACTTTGGTTGCTACGGGTATAATACCTTTGGCCGTGCACTGAAAGACAGCAAAAATAGAAAGTAACATGTGACTCACTCTCGGCCAATCAAGACACAGAATATGTGGGTGAGGTGTTATAATAAAAAATAGTGAATGTCATGTGATGCACTCTCAGCCAATCAAGAAGCAGAATCTGAGGGTGAACATTACAACTCTGAGTAGCTAGATTACATGCATGAATCTTTACAGGATTCTGCCTCGTCCAAAGAGAAGTCTTCATACATTACCTCCATCACAGTTTGGGCCATAGACGTCATCCCCAGCACACAGCTCACAAGACACCCCTGTAAACGCAGGGTTGCACTGACATTGCTCCGCCTCCGAGTCCCCCTGACACCGCCCCCTGTGATTACATGGATTGCCAGCACCTCCTGGACACTCTGAATAACATTGAAAATCGTTCCAAAATAAATCAATAACCATTAATTGAAATATTACACAGCCAATTCCAAACTGCTACCATATTTGATCAATGATGATCAATTTATAATTATAAATTTTATATTTTATATCTCCCTAGAGCTCTGACTGGCAATTCTGCTACGCCATCACAGCAGTCAAAATCAAACAAGTGACTGTTTTTAAAAGTTGAGAATTCTTTTGTTAATTTGATATAGCCATGTTTTGACTGGAGGTGATTGATATGCCAGCTGTACCCACCAGTTACTTTGCTTGTCTGTTGATGGAATTTGACTAGTCACAGTGTTAAACTCAAATATGATCCGCCTGTTTTTGTTGACTAGCCTGGAAATGCCTGACAAGGGGAAGTCGAAGAACTTTTTTTGACTATCTGAGACAGACCAAACAATAGGAGGGTTTTTAATTTATACAGTAAGTTTAAATAATCACTGATCAATCAATAATGGAGCAATCAATCACTTCACCCATTGATCAATTTATCTCTCCAGTAAGCAATTTAGTCAATGAATCAATCAATCAACTGAATCCTCAAATTAACAAATTTTGAAAATTAATTCTTTTCTGTTGTTCCTGTTAAATACAAATGAATGAGACTGTTCACCAACATTACTTGATGTTAACCTTTTTTTTCCTTCAAATAAACACTTTTTATAAAGTACAACTGCAAATCTTTGTGTTTTTCATTTTGGCTCATATTTTGTTCTACGGGTAGTGAAAAGACAATTCTGATCAGGTAAAAACTTGAGCTACATATAGTCAGGTGGCTTAGATCTAATTTTCGTGAAGATCGTGACCGACTGGTCCAAAGCACAAAACTTGGCAGATAGATTCTTATAGACCTAGAGAAGATATTTAGAAGGGGTGACACCTGAAATTCTTTTGGGAAGGGTGCCTAATTTGCATAAATCGTTAATCCCTGACGTGTAATATATTTATTCCCATATTTGGGTATATTTCTATTTTTTTATTTTTTTGAAAAGTGTATTTTGGGGATTCTACTTACATATCTTTACTTAAATAACATTTTCCAAAGCATATAAGTGACTGAATAATTATGAGGACATAGTAACGATCCAAAATGGCTACTATTATGACCTAAAATTGCGCGCATTTACCTTGTCTCCAGATATCATCAATAAGTCTTGCCAAACATTAGCATTGATGAACTTCAAATTCACCAAGTAGCTTACTGGTACAGCTACCCTATTAAAACCTTATGCAAAATCATGTGAACTATGATAACATTGTGATAGCCCAGAAAACAAAAACTGGGGAAAAACGAGGTGTCCATAAATTAGGCTAACAAGTAGGTGAATGGTTGCCTAACATGGAACACTGGACCAAGTTCCAGGAAATTCCCCTAATTATTGTTGATAAAATGTTTTGACGTAGACAAAATTATTGTAAACAACAATAATCTCTTATTTAGGGGGATTTTGTTGAACTTGTTTAAGTTCCCACGTTACCCTTCCCGTACTAGCCCAATTTACGGACACCACATTTTCTCCCCTTTTTTTGGTCTTTTGGGCTAAGCATCAAGATGTTATCAATTTTCACTTAATTTCCCACTTATTTTTGTTAGGGTAACTATGCCAGTAAGTAACTTTGTTAATTTGAAGCTCATCAATACCCACGTTTGGCGAGACTAGTTGATGATATCTGGAGACAAGGTAAATGCGCGTAACTTTAGGGTAAAATAGTAGCAATTGTGGTTCTTTACTATGTCCTCCTAATTATTCAGTCATTCATATGTTTTACAAAATGTTATTGAAGTAAGAATATGCAAGTAGAATCACAAAATACACTTTTCAAAATAATTTAAAAAATAGAAATATACCGAAATATGGGAATAAATATATTACACGGCAGGGATTAACGATTTATGCAAATTAGGCACCCTTCCCAAAAGAATTTCAGGTGTCACCCCTGATAAAAATATCTTCTCTAGGGCTATAAGAATCTATCTGCCAAGTTTGGTGCTTTGGACCAGTCGGTCACGATTCCGACCATATGCCACCTGACTAATAGCCCTTGGATCATAAGGGCAGTACATGTAGGTACTAGTGAACCTAGACCCATAACTGGGTGCTAGAGCTCCTTTTTTTCCCACTTTGTCTTTGGTCGGTCTTACTAACTACCCCCCAGCCCCTGTAGCACAACCGACCAAAGACAAAATTTGAAGAAAAAAATGAGTACTAGTGCCCCAGTTACTGGCGCTATAGTGAACCTGACACTACCACTACCAGGCACCATCATTTCATTGTGCATTTGCATGAATGATCTTATGTGCTTTCAATACAAACATGATTTGATAGTTCAGTGCCTCTAAGCATTGTACAGAGGCAGCTATTCAGCCTGCAGTGAACAGTGTGAAAATACAACCGGCTTTTGTTGTGTTTTGGAGTGCGAAGAATATGAATGAAATAGCAAGGCCATAGGGTCGCTGTGCAAACTGGGTCATTCCGGTGGGAGTACGGGAGACCAAATAAGCTGGAATCTTTGGGTCATTGTTATACATCACTCCGATTCTTTCGTAATTTGAAGCAAACCAAAAGTGATATTAAAATACTATGAAGACAAAAAAAGATAATCATCATGTAATCCCAAACTGTAAACCTTACACATGGGCAGGATGAGACATTTTTTTGAAAAGTAAATTGATATCTGTATTTCATAATTGTTACAGATACAACTATGTACACTTGTTGTTGACATGTTGTTATCAGTACTCACTTCAAGGTTATCACAAAATACACACTGTATGAGTGTGTGTGTACACACCAATAATTTGTTAAAGTCCTTCTGGGAAACCTGTAGTATTCAGTCAAATGTGAAACCAAAACCTACAGTTACACACTGCGTAGGACTCTTTTGTTGTGCTAAAATACTGATAATATCTTTACTCTTTTAGAAAATTTGATATGAACATGTTTTGAACTCTAAAGATATTCAATCACTCATTGCCTTGCTTTAATTTTATTGTGGGGGGCCGCAGGAAAACAAAAAGTATGGTGCAGTATCATAAAAGATTTTATTTTCATGGTTTTTTTTACTACAAAATTTGCTAAATGAGCTCTTTGGGCCATCATTTTGCAAGTAAAGAAACTACAGGAAAACTGTTAGAGAGCCTTTTGTTTTGATGCAAGAGGATGTCAAGCTTTTTCTCCTAAAAGAAGAAAGATTCTGCTTGATAGGATCAAAATGTCAAATGTCTTATTTTATTTGCTTTGTATACTTCAAGTCATCAAGACAGTTAGCAATTTGCATCACAGCTGTCAGCTGTTTTAATTTCTTACTTTTATTTCTTATATGTACATAGCCCCATAAATGTGGCCTATTTACTGGACTGCCTCCGTAAACATAGGCCACACATCCACATGTACAAAAATCGTGTCGACTTTGCCAAATTTTGATTTTCACATTTAGGCTTACTTTGTAGGTTTTTTTTGCTTTAGAAGCATTCTCACCCTCTATATAGGCTAATCAGAAAGTGCTGCCTTTTTCAGATGTATATTTTTCGTGAAATTTCCAGATTCATTTTTACACGTTTGCGTATCAAAATTTCAACATGAAATTTCACAAAAATCCTACAAACTAAGCCTAAATGTGAAAATCAAAATTTGGCAAAGTCGACACGATTTTTGTACATGTGGATGTGTGGCCTATGTTTACGGAGGCAGTCCAGTAAATAGGCCACATTTATGGGGCTAATATGTACAGAGCTGGAAGTAAGATTTTTCTTTCTTTTTACACTGGTTATCTTTAATTTTGGGTGTTTTTTTTTAACAGAATCTTTCTCAGCCCATGATTCATGGACTTTTAAACATATTTGCAATGATTGTCCATCACTGAGGTTATATATGGTGAAAAAAGTGGCAATTCAGCATGATTGAGGATTCTCCATTCTATCTTCTTCTTTTTTTAATTTAAAAACTTACCCATGCACATTGGACCCCAGTGACCCGAACAACACGCGGTTCTGATTTCTGTCCACCGGCATCTTTGACTGCACCCGACGATATCCATGGCAATACCCGAAACTGACGGGACGACACACCCCCTGTCACCACGCCCCTCGGTAAGGGGCACCGTCCCTGCTGGACAGAGGGCGGGGCTACTCAGGGGGCACGGAACACAGTCCGTCGTCACAATTCTGTGCAAAGTTGAGCTCAGTCTGCATGATGTCTGGCCGAGTTCTTGGCTCGGCCTACTTCCATCACGGCCTGGGTCCACATTACGAAGATGAGGTGGCAAGCGTGATTCCCGTCTTGTGAGTGTGACCCTTTCTGAAGCGTCCCCAGAAACTAGATCTGGTCTCTGACAAAAACACTGGGTGACAAGATACAACATACAAATTAAAAGTAATCTTGGACGGCTGACCTGGTGCCTAAAACGGCCCGGTGTGCATTGTCTTGACGGCCGTGCGAGTACACCGACCTCCCGTCGAGTTTGTCCGGGCCCCATTATCATCGGGCAGCGTTGGCCGGTAGTGCCCCGCACGGCTCCCGGTGAACTCCGCCAACTTGTCATCGAGGAGTCGTCACTTGCACTGCTCACGACAAAACGATCGTTTTCTCTCTCGGACGGACGTCCTGAATCACTCCAGGCATGCATTTCGGACTGCCTGGTCATCTGGCTGTCACCTTCTCTTGAAGGTTTCTGACATTGTGGTTAGAAAACAAGTGCGGAAGATTGATAAAATAAGATAACCGTGATTGTATTTTCTTGCACTAGTTTCCGCGGCGTTGCATATATTACATGTATTATATCGCATGCCCGATACACAAGTACACAACGTACGTGTACGTATGTAAGAGTCTGGTGCTCTGCCAATGCCTGAAGTGTAAGGCATAAAGGGAGACGGGTTTGAGACCAGTTTGCTTGTATCAGTTGGTGACAGGTAGTGAAAGCAGCCAATCACGATAAGCGTTTCACTCGACTGTAAAGGATAGTGCGCGTGAAAATGGCAAGTGCATACAATGTGTATATAAGACGATTATGTAATCGTCATCCTTGCGCTAAGTATTATCAAACGCCGATCAGAATGACTTGCGGAAACCATTGGGTCCAATTTCCACCACAATTTCATAATCATTCGTAGAAACCTGGCTATCGTTGGACGGAAGTGCGATATGCCGTTGACAATTATAGATAGAGAGGCCTCAGTCATCTGTTCTTTTTTCGGGTAGTTTTTTTTTTCTACAGTATTTATTTGAAGCTTTCTCAAAAATTCGTTTCGTTGGTCAAATGCGTTTTTATGAACAGATGTTGAAGTATTTTTTGATAGACAAAGAATACCGGTGCCAGACCATTCTTTCTTTTAAAATGTACATTCCGGCCTGAATATTATATTCAATTCAAGAGGTTTCTAATATTATTTCGAGCGGGAAACAAATGTAGCTCTATAGTGCCAGAATTGTGTGAAATTTCATCTTTAGAAAAAGTAACCTTGAATAACCTCGAAATACCTTAACCCTAAAGGGGCCGGGTTATTTTGACCATCTCTCAGCCGGGGGGGCGGATTCCGCCCCCCCCCCCCTAAGATCTCGGCCATTGAGTGACGAAAAATTTTGAAACTCAGCACATGCATAGAGCAACTCTTCCTCAACATGCCCAAGAAATTTCATGACTATAGGTCAAAGGGTTTTGGAATTATGGCTAATTAATTATTCATATGTATGAATGGTAATTCTGCTCGGTGTACACGACGTATATGCGAAAATTCAGTTTTCACGGCGCGTAGCGCCAGAAAATTTTTCGCTACGGGCCAACCCGTGGTCCGATTTTTATGTTTTTGGTATCAAAAGATGCGCAAAGCTCGAGGCTAAAAAGTCATAACAGCTCGGGTCGCGAAAAAAATTTTTTTAGAAGCTATCGCGGAAAATGTTGAGGGGGGGGGGCGGATTCCGCCCCCCGGCCCCTTTAGGGTTAAGTTGGTCTATATATATTCACCAACTGTACTTGCGGACAGCGGCGTAATTAAGCCAGGGCCCTCACCGGGAGGGGGGGGGGTAAGTGGGGGGGGCTGTTTCAGTGGGGATTGTTGCCAAACACGTTAACTATGGTAACTTTAATAATTCTAGGACTAACAAATTTCCAGGGGGGCCGACTGGGGCCGATTTTGTTTTTGCCACCCCCCCCCCGGCTACGCCGCTGCTTGTGGATAATTTAAGAGAAGTGTATTAAGTAAAGGAGCTCTCCCTATACACTTTGCAATCCTTTCTTTTTTGTCTTAAAAAAAGGACCGTAAAAATGTTCTTTTTTTTTCTTTTTTTAACTACACGCAAAGATCGAAGTTGTTGGGATAAAGAGCTGGACGCTCCCCGTGTTCAAAATTTGTGGAACGTTACCGTCTTGGTATAATTCAGTTGGAAGATTTACTTCGGGGGTTGTTTCTCCTTTAAAAAAAAAAAAGGACACACATCGGCCAACCGATTTAAACACATCCACCCAAAGAAAATGGATATTTTTTCACACTTTCACAATATAGGCTATGTACGGAAAGGGCTCCGTTGGATAACGGGTGATTCTCAGACTAAGCCTGCAGTGGCCTTATAACTGTGTTGGGTTTCACTCTCCAAAATTGAATTTCCTTAAATTGGTAAGATTGGCATTTTCCCCGAGATTTCATGAATTTGCTTATAACTTTCTAGAAATTTCCTGATTTATTTCCTTTAATGAAGTCATCATAAAATGATTATTTCTTACCTTTTGGGGTTTTTCACCTTTTCAGAAAAGGCTCAACGATGCTTTGGCCTAGCTGCGTCGTTATCTGCACTCGCTTTCAATATGCAGACGTTGCGTCGGCTAAAAGGCTCCTTCGCGTGAGCTGGAGCCGTAGCCTCGACTCATGTTCCATATTCCCCCCCCCCACCCCCCCCACAAATATCCTAAGTTTTCATTTGGATATGATACAAATTTACCATCCTTCAATTGATTTGCTTGATTTTTTCCCTTGTATTTTAGAATTTGCTTTGAAATGTCCTTAAGACTTGGGATTTCCTTAAAATGTCTTTAAATTTGTCATTTCCTTACAAATTTCCTAACAATAAGGAAATCTCCTTAAAAGTGGAAGCACTCCCTGCACTGGGGTTTTTAGCACCCGCAGCGACGGCGTGCGCGTACGCACGCAACCAACCTGCATTGTCTCTATAGCTATCATGACTTACTGGACATTCACCCGTAAGCTGACCCGTGACAGGATGAAGGACCGCAGAACAAGAGGAAAACGGCAGGGAGGATGCAAAATGACAAACAAAATAACAGGATTATGAACGGTTCACTCTTCTCCTATGTCTGATACAGGAATCGTTTCCTCTATTTAAGTAGGTTAACGAGGGGTTCTGGCTGTAAAATACGGTCAAAACAATAAACCTGAAGATCATTGAATTGAAATATAGAGTTGGCCTTATAAGCAGATAGTTTCAAGGTTGCGGCATTAAGTTAAACAATAATTATTATTACATGAAAACTGTAATTGCCAGAACTAGAACAAGCCCAAATATAACCCAGAATACGACACTGTACTGGGGGAGTTGTAGGCAGGAAATTTGTATTTACACCATGCCGAACAGCCGAACTCCCCCCGGCACCCCCCCCCCCCCCAAAAAAAACCCCTCTGGCCCACATTAAACAGTCCTTCAAGTTCAACCACTGAAGGAAAAGAAATGAGACCGAAGATCACGTCCTGAATCCGGCTCGTTAGTAAAAACGTCATACACGGCGCACGCACCACTGATTACTAGCGCCCATTGGCTGCAAACGCTCGAACTGCGTTAACTTCCGGTTCCAAACGGTGCAGAAAGTGCTGGAGGTGACGTCACACTAACGAACCGGATATTCCTTCAACAAAATAATGCCAAAGGGGGTTACCGGGAGAAAAGATATCTTACAGGTTTCCAAGGTTTACTTCTGGCGTGCCTACATATTAGTGTCACTCAGGAAATCATAACTATTTAAAAATCATCTTCCTGTCTCATTTTGTGTGAGGGGGGGATGCTGGAAATTGTAAACCTAAAAAGGTGAGGAGATTGTAGAGGGCGCTATACCAAATTAACGGTGCGGGGATAATTGTCTGGCATCCAGTATCCTAAAACGCTGAGCGAAGGTAAAAGAAGAATCATTAACGAGGAACCAGGCGAGTTACAATAACTTGTACGTAATTTACATTTTTCCCAGAAAGCATTGCGCGCCATATTCCCGTCTTGTTTTGGTTATGGAAGAGGAGTGTCCAAACCAGAAAAGGGAAGATTAATCTCGATTTTCACCCGTTAAAAATCCTTCCTTGAACGGGGAGGTTGGAGATAAAGACTTCAGAATGACTATTCTACCTAAAAAGAAGGCCTCGCAGGAAAAGCGGGGCCCGGAATCGGGTGAAAATCATCAACATCACGGACACGGTCACCACTCGTCGTCTCACAGTCACGGCGCCCACGGGCACAGTGGGACTGGGGAGGCCAGGGGCGGAGCACGGCCCAAGTCTCGGAATTCTCCGCCTCGGTGGCCATCTTCAAATCCCCGAGACGACAGACTTGTCTCAGTGTCGTCGCATGATTGTAGGACTTCTTTTGATGGCCACGAAAGATTGGATGCCGGGGGTCATGGCCAGAATAAACGAGCGAGACACAGATCCTCCCCCCATCGGCTGGACCATCAGGCATCGGTGTCGTGGCTCCAGCACAGGGGGAAGGTTGACGATGATAGGAGGGAGGAAGGGGAACGAAATGAGGAGAGCGAAGAGGGGGGTTGTAATAGCGGGGACGAGTATGATACCCAACCATTTCATAGCGAAGAGGTGATTGGTTTAAACAAATAAATAAATGCTTACTCTTTCAGACAAGTTGAAACTTGAATGGTATTTTGTAATGAATGGGCAAAATCCAAAGAAACACGGGAGCTGATTTCACGAAACTCGTCCTATCTTGCGACTCATCTTAGATCTTAAGATGGGTCCCGCCACTAAGATTTGATTTTAGTTAACATGGCTAAGACACGTCCTAAGACCGATTTCACTAAACCCATCTTAAGCAAGATGCATCAAAACTACCCACTTGATAGCCCCATAAATGTGGCCTATTTACTGGACTGCCTCCGTAAACATAGGCCACACGTCCACATGTACAAAAATCGTGTCGACTTTGCCAAATTTTGATTTTCACATTTAGGCTTAGTTTGTAGGATTTTTTTGCTTTAGAAGCATACTCACCCACTTTAGGCGAAGTAAAAAAAAAAACATGTTTAGCGTCCCCGCCCGCTTCCTTTTTAGAGGCCGCCTCCTTTTTTTTTTTTTTTTTTTTTAAAGACAAAAATTGATAAGTTTTAACGATCTCTGACGAAAGAAATCGTATTTTTAGACTTTTATACTGTGTATAAAGCTGTGGAAATAGTCAATGAGTCCAAGTGGCGGCCATTTTGAAAAAAGCTGGTAACCATCTTGAAAAATAGCCCGGCCGCGTTGTCTTGAAAAATGTGTCGGGCGGCCATTTTGAAAAGAAAAAAAAAAAAAAAAGGGCCTCCTCCTTCCTTTTTGTCAAAGAGGCAGGACGCTAAACATGTTTTTTTTTTATTTTGCCTTATAGGCTAGTCAGAAAGTGCTGCCTTTTTCAGATGTCTAATTTTTGTGAAATTTCATGTTGAAATTTTGATACGCAAACATGTAAAAATGAATCTGGAAATTTCACAAAAAATATACATCTGAAAAAGGCAGCCCCTTCTGATTAGCCTATAAAGAGGGTGAGTATGCTTCTAAAGCAAAAAAACCCTACAAACTAAGCCTTAATGTGAAAATCAAAATTTGGCAAAGTCGACACGATTTTTGTACATGTGGACGTGTGGCCTATGTTTACGGAGGCAGTCTAGTAAATAGGCCACATTTATGGGGCTACCCACTTGATGGCTGTTTCGTGTGTTTTTTTAACAGTTGAAAAGAAATGCGCAAAACCAACTCATTGAACACAGAAATTGTATTTGTAAACACTGATTGTACATCTCTATTTGTTAAAGATTGTTTAAATTACACCATAAAGCATTAAAATTTAATGTGTTTTTTTTTGGACGCACACACTTAAAGTTGGCATAAGTAAGAAACACTCGGCATCTTCACGATAACACTGCAAATTCATTGATAAGATATATCGCTGTGACTCGGTCTGTGTTATGAGGGGGGAAAAAATGATGATGTTGCAGAAAAAGTTTGAATTTATATGGAAAAGTTCCAGTGATGATTTCTTTGCTGATTAGGGTCTGTCATTCAAGAGAACATGGTAATTCTTTCCAGAATGTGTCCAGGAGAGATCAAAATCCAATGGCCTAATTTGCATTTGTACAATCTCAAAGAAACTTCACATGGTTGCAAATGACTGGTTTCCATATTTGGATAAAGCAAATATGACATTCCAAGGAAATGGACAAATAAGATACAATTACACATGTTGCTTTTCCAGCATCAATATTGTCTTGTGCATAACTAGTTTTGTTTATTGAATAGTAAAAATGTAATCTGAACCCTAACCCCCTAGGCCCTTTTTGCTAGGAACCATCCTCAATCCTCAAAAATCCTCCATAACTGTCCGGAGGACTTTGGAGAATTGAGGAGGGTTAGGGGTTAAGCTTCAGGAATGTCTGATGCAATGAACGGAAAGCCAAAAATGTAATGAATTGCATATGCAATGTGTTGACTCTGCCTGGATTTCATTGGAACATTCCTAAATAAGCAGCCTAAAGAAAAACAAAAAATCTCTAAAAAAACAACTAGTTTTTGATCTTGGATTTCTTCAAAACCTACACACATTTCTGCTTGATGTTTGACTTAACATACATGTACCTTGTAAGTTGAATTTATGGTAATCCTTACTTTTAGGACACCTCTATTTTTTACAAGTTCTGTTCAAAACTGACTTTTGCAGATAACTGTCCAGTACCAAAGTGACTTTTGCAGGCTAAAGCAGTCTTTTTTCTTCATATAAACTCATGATAGTTGTAGTTTTGAAAGCACTTTCGAAGAAAATGTGACTTTCCTACCTTTTTTTGCAGTCAGACGTGCATGTTGTAGTTCTCACACGCGTGAAAGCCCTACATAATGAAAGCCCGATGCTGATTGGCTGCTAAAAAAATTAATTAGTCTGGTTCCCAGACCAAAAGATTCTGACTACTTCTGAATCTTTTGGTCTGGGAACCAGACTAAAAATAAATAAGTTAGTCTGGTTCTCAGACCAAAAGATTCTGACTATTCCTGAATCTTGTGGTCTGGGAACCAGACTAAAAATAAATAAGATTGTTTTTTAATCAGCCAATCAGCATCGAGCTTTCATTGCATCACGCTTTCACGTTTGCCATCTTGGTTTTTGAGTCTGTTTTCTGGTTGTCATCGTCGTCTTTTACCCCTGAATTTCCCTCATAAATCAAAGCCCTGCCCTCTTTCCACAATATTAAACCTGCTGATATTCAAGAAGGTGTCATTGCCAATTGTTCAGATGTGCCAAGAAGTATCAGAATGTCAATTTTGAGTGTCATTTAGTCAACTGTTCTGGTGAGTCTTTCCCTTCCTATATAGGAACGGGGTCCTGAAAGTAAGGATTACCGAATTTATATTATGATGGGTTGGCTCTATGCAAAAGCACTTCCTAGTTAAACTTGTGAAACAATTGCTGTAAATCCTGGTTAATTGCAATCATTCTGAAATGTTTGTTGCAGTCAAATAAGGAGCCTCTTGCCCGCTTGTTGGTCCCAACTTTGAAGATTTCTCTTCTTCTTTTTTGTTCAACCACACAGCATGAAAGAATGTTTGAGAAAGCCTTGAAAGAGAAGCGTAGTTTTATCATCAAGCAGATGTCGCCAGATGGAGCTTGTTTGTTCCGAGCTGTTGGTGAGTAGACAACTCCTTATTTTGTCTTCAGAAAATCACAGTATTTCATTTGTCCTTGGTTTAATTTTAATTGCATCTTGAGGGGACAATTCACAGGTGGGCCCAAGACATCAGCTTAGTCCGAAAATTTGGGACTCTGAATACTGTGTATGAGATTCCCAAACCTTAACATGCAATACAAGAAAATAGACTGGCATCTGAAACAACCAGTCCAACAACTCTTCAGTACTGCATCAATCAACTGTCAGCTGACTGTGCCAAAAGAAATATCTAGGATGTCGGGTACTAGGCAACTATTTCTGGTCATTTATCCATAGTCAGGCACCTGACTAATGACAATGAATGAAGAAGTCAGTCTTGTCAAACAGTTGGACCATGGATGGACATGTAGAAGTCTAGTCTTTAGCCTCATTTTGAAATCACTTGACTTCCCTCTCTTGTGCAAGCCATTGCCAAATATTGAAGAAAAGTCTCCTTTAAAAATTGAACTGAGTCTTCAAACTTGGTTGGTGAAATACTAAGAAACTTTTCTTTGCCCAGTGACAGTTTTGGAGAAATTAGCTGGCTAAAGCGTGAGTAAAGTTGGCCTGATCCTCTTGTATCGTTTTGAGCACTTAAGGTCCCAGTCTGACATCAGCTAGTTTATTGATTGATGCAGACAGATAAACCTTTTTTCCTCTTAGGATATTTTAACCTAACTCTTCCAAATCCTGCCAAAAGTTAATTTCGCTTTCCTAAATAGCCCTGGTGCTATTAATCCTAACTCACCTCAATCTTCCAAAAGCCTCCTGGCGGTTTTGGAGGCTTTTGGAGGCTTTTGTAAGATTAAGAATTAATGGTGTTTGAGTAACATGAGGATTTTGGAGGATTGAGGATGAATGGTGTTTGAAGAGGAGAAGGATTTTGGAGGATTGAGGATGAATGCATTTTGAGAGGCAGGACTGTTTGAAGATTTTGAAGGATTGAGGCGCTGGGTATCCTTCATTTGAACATAAGTGCTAAGTTTTGGAGGACTTTGGACGATTGAGGAAGGTTCCTAGCAAAAAGGGCCTGGGGGTTAGGGTTAATACAAAAATATTAACATTTTTGATAAAAAAAAATTGTTTATATTACTCGGAACATTTACCAGGTTGAAGAATGAAGACTTGTATTTGAAAAGAAAATTGAATTAAATTTATTTGTATAGAGAAAGCAAGGGAAATTGCTTTTTTGACATGTGTAATGATGTGTTTGCCTTATAATATAACTTAATAACTGATATTCTTCTCATTTTGTTAGTTTTGTTGTATGACTCCGGTTGGAATAGAACCCTAAACCACTTTGTTCTTTATGTTTCCTGCACAGCTGATCAAGTCTATGGAGACCAAGAATGGCATGGCATCGTGCGTGCTCACTGCATGGATTACATGGTGAGTGCAAGTTTTAAAAAATGGAGCTGTCAAAAATGTGCATTTAGAGAAAAAACTTAATAATTGTATAAATACAAGGGAAAAGTCTGGCACATGAAACAACCATCACTGCATCAGTTCTGTACAAGTTTACAAACATCTGATTTTGTTTTATTCTTTTGTGGAGAAGTTTTGATGTAATTTGCTTTCATTCATTAACAGACGAAGAATGCAGATTACTACTCCCAATACGTCACTGAGGACTTTGCGACGTACGTGGCGCGGAAACGCATGGACGATTGCCACGGCAACCACGTGGAGATGCAGGCCCTCTCGGAGATGTATAACCGCAACATTGAGGTCTTTGTCTACAGTACTGGTAAGGAAGAAGAACTTTGGCAAAATATGATCCTCAAATTATTTTCAAAATCCTCCCCCCTCCACCAACAAAAAAGAATAACCAAACAAACACACCCTCCCCCCCCCCCCTCACAAAAGTAAAATTAAAATAAAAAATCCCCATGCAGGAAAAAAACTATGGGAATATATCAATGCCTATTTATTTGCCCTAACCCCCTAGAACTTCCTCAGGACTACCCTGCTAAATCCAACAAGAGTCCTTCTGGAGTTTCCTGCTCAATCCACTGTGCCTTATTTTCAGTTGTCTGCTAGATCCAGCGGAGTCCAACTTGGCGTTATAATGCGGTTCAGTTGCCTGCTGAATCCAACATATTGCAATCAGGAATGTACACAAGGGGTTTACTGCTCAATCCAACAGGCTCCATCGGGTATATGATATATTTAGATCCTGTTGGATTCAGCAAGGTTAGGGTTAAATAAGTCTTTTGCAAGCCAGATTGTTATTACGAAAAATTAAGATCTTATCAAACAGGAAATTTGGTCTGAGAACCAGGACATCTGTTGTAAGAATTTCAATGGATGAGACAGGAAAAACATGTCTGTCAGATGTGTACATTTCTGATATGTCACCAAACTCCTCCATGGATATTTATAACTATGATATCAAAGGATTGGATATTTTAGTAAAATAGTAATCTTAAAAAAAGAGGAAGTAGGATGCCTATCAAAAGAAATGAATATACAGGAAAAGTATATAGGAAAACAGTCATCTGATGAACATGTTTTTCCGTCAGGCCTGTACTTTCATGATTTGTAAGAGAATTATTCCATTGATACATATCATTATGACATCTTTAGGCCAGGCAAAATGGATTGGACAGTCTTTCTTCCCACCTAGTATTCCTAGTTTTCCTATTTTTTTAAAACTTGCTCCTACTTTTTCTACTTTTTTTTTCTTGAAATTCTTACTTTTTCCTACTTGTTTGACCCACAACTCCGGGAAAAAAAAAAATCTGAAAGCCCGCAAAAGTCCTACTTTTATCCTGATTTTGTCCTCCAAATTCCTACTTTTGTCCATTTTTTTTTGGGGGGGGGGATGTTGATTCTTCTGTTGTACTTTTTCACCTGGGTCTGCTTGAAAGCCTACCACCTTTTTAACCAAACATTTCTTCAGTGTCTTCAGTCAACAACTTTCTACCTGTTTGTGAGCTACAGTGCCATGAATTCTTTTGAGGAATCCTTGGTTTAATTACTAAAAATAAATAATAACAATAACAATACTTTCTTGTTTAACTTCTGTTCACCAGAACCAATCAATACCTTTCACACCATCAACAAGACGGACAACGAGCCGATACGAGTCAGCTACCATCGCAGCATCCACTACAACTCGGTGGTCAACCCTCACAAAGCTACAATCGGCGTCGGTCTGGGAATGCCGTCGTTTGTGCCAGGGGTGAGTAAAAAAACGCAAGGAAACCAGTTTTGTTAAGGCGGTCTCAAGAGCTGTTGCAGTGGTACTGGGTGCGAATCCCATACTGATTGATGGGACAGGATTTTTTTCTGGCTGGCTTTGGGGAATGTTAAAGTAATTTATTTCTTTGCAAGAAAGTGGCATTCGTTTTCCTGTACAGTTGAATGCTTTGGATGATTCGGGAAAGTTTCCAGCAAAAATTATTCAGGAAATTAGAATTAAGGAAAGTTTTAGTTATGTATGCGGACCAGTCTTGATAGCTTTCGTTACGCAAATGAAAATAATTTGGGCTAAAAATAAGCGTTTATCAGCTCAAATGTTTTATATCTAACCCTATTATTGAAAGACATCTATAATGAAATACAAATTTTTTTGGCGTAACCAGTTGAAAGTTTAGCTGTACATGTTGAGAAAACAAAGAAATATTTGTGCAATTTTTGGGGTCTCTTAACTGGATTCCGTTGCTGAAGCATGTAAAAAGTGTGCCCGCTGGCCTGAGTTTTGAAACCACTTTTCAGTATTAGTTTTTTAAAATGATATCATTGTAGGCAGAATAATTTCACATGTCATTTGATACCAGTCCTATCTTTACTTCGAGCAAGCTTTCTGTCATTCAGTCGGTAGGTACTTTCATGGGTAGTTGCAAATGAACCTACGTGGCTAAACCCTAACCGCCCTGAATCCTTCAAAATCCTCTTTGCCTAAGTAGAAGAATTTGGAGGATTGAGGTTACATGGCAAAAGTGCATGACTGATTTCGTAGGATGCACTTTGTCAGGTCTTGGCCCGGACCTTGTGTTGTTTATGCTCAGCCATGCATAAATATAGGCCTTGATTATGCTTGAAATCCTCCGTACTGCTCCAGGATGTCACTGGCCAAGCCTCAACATATTGAGTCACTGCTGCATGATTTTGCAGGATTCAGGCAGTGGTCACCCCTCCACAGACCATATTCAAGAAATAATTGAGGAATTTGCAGGATTGAGGCTTTATGCTATTTTTCCATGAGGCCAATTGGATGATTTTGCAGGATTGAGGCTACATCCTAGCAAAAAGGCCTAGGGAGTAAGGGTTTTAAAGATTGTATCTCATTTTTTTTTGGGATCATTTTTCTTGTGTCTTGCTCAGCTTGCAGACAAATCTCTGCTCCGCGAGGCTCTCCGGCACTCGGAGAACACGGAGCTAGAGACGGCCATGTTGGAAGACAAGCTGCGGGCTACCGACTGGGAGGCTACCAATGATGCCATCGAGGAACAGATCGCCAGGGAATCTTACATGCAGTGGCTGCGGGATAACGAGGAAAGAGCTCGGAAAAAGATGGTGAGTGCGATTGCAGAGAAACGAGTCTCACAAAGTTAATAAATAAAACAACCAAAAGTAAAATGAAATACGTGATATAAAAGTGATTTAGGGTGTGATTTACTGTGTTCATGCATGAGATTTTTCAGACTTTGCCTTCAATCAGACCTTTTGAATTTGAGAGAAAGACAGTAGTATAGAAAGAAATGCATCTTTCAGACTTTTCATCCAAAATTTCAGACCTTTTTCAAATTGACAATCTCCTCCCTTAGGATTCTGTGTGCTAACCCTAACCCTCCAGGGTATTTTGGCTAGAAACCCTGCCAAACGCAGCAACATGCAACACTTGTCTAAGTGACAAGCCTGCTCAGTGTAGCAAGATCCATCAGGTCAAAAGACTCAAGGCCAAACTGCCTCAGAGTCTGTGGTCCCCCAACGCAGCAGGATACAACTCGGGCATTGTTCCATGGGACTAGCTCTCAGTGTCTCAGAAGTGGCCGGTTTCTGCACTGGTGTTGGTAGCATTTTCCATCAAAGTGCACCAGACTTTTCCACCTGATGCACTGTGCTGCGTCTGGCAGGGTTAGGGTTAATCCTCATTTTGCCAGAGTGAAATTCTTTGTGAAGTGTATAACAAGGTACAATTCATAACTTTGAATGGGACTTGAAATTCCTTTGAAGTACAAAGAATGTGTTATTGGCTTTCTACACAGTGGTAAATTTCGTTTGGGATTCAGGAAGATTCTTGGATAAAAAGAGCCTAGGGAGGTAGTTTATGTAGAAAAGCAAGGTTTTTAGCAAAAAGTGGCAAAGCAGAAGGAAGTCTCTGGAGGGACAGGACAGAAATTTTCGAGAAGAAACAAACAAGGTAAACTCATCAAATCAGGGAAGAACTGAAAAAAAAAATCCATCTACACGTCGGCCTTTGTGAGATTCGAACCCACGTCACAAAAGTGAAAGTTGAGGAAAGTATCAGAAAATGTCTTGTTTTTGTTATATACTTTTAACAAAAAATCTTTCTTTAGATCCAACCAGCATCCGCTACCTGTAGCTCGGCCCCTCCCGACTCCCCCAACTGGTGGGAGGTGCCCCCTACCAGCGGCTCTTCCAACAACTCCCACCGATCGCACCACGCAGCGGCCCATCATCACCACAACCTCCCGACCGGCCCAGGCCCAAACAGCCCAGACCGGGCTGAGGCTGGTACACGCAGGAGCCCACTGTCACCCCCGAGCCCTAAGCTAGCAGGCCCCTCACTGACCGGTAAGTGTTGTGTAACCCATAAGTAGATATGTACAGTGTTTTTTGGGGGGGGGGGGGTGTTTAGGGTGGTTTGGGGCAGTTTAGGGTGGTTTGGGGCAGTACAAGGAGTAACAAGCGGGGTGGTTTGGGGCAGTCCCTTGTGTGGGAAAAAATGCCATTTCGCACATCACAGCAATTGTCAGTGGACCATTCATGCCTGTAATTCAAATGGTAGGCATTGAATGATTAGAACATGACAAAGTTTTCGGTCAGGCGAAAACTCGGTCGTAGGCTTTGTGAGAAATGTACACTAACCAGAGGTGCGCGGGCTTATGACCAAATCCAGAACATTTGATGAGATGGAATTTGCGTCGGGGAGGGGAAAATTTGATGTTGGGTTTTGACCTCTGCAGACATATTTTATAAAATATTTTATAAGAAAAACCCACAAGCTTACTCGGGTGGGACTCGAACCCACGACCTCCTGCTTACTAGTGCAAGACGTCTTACCACTCAACCACCGAGCTTGCGAGAAGCAGGCCCTCGGACAACACTGGGTAAACAGTGTTTATGAAATACGAAGGGCAAAAAGCAATATACAAGTTAAAAATCCAGAACAGTCCGTTGTGAACTGTAGTGTGGGTAGCTAAACTTGAGCATAGAATGCCTAATAGCTGTCATTCCGTCAACACTCAGATCAAGAAGCAGGCAAGCTGGGATCCGCCAAGCAGAGGTCTGCGTCACCCCTTGTGGCCGCGGGTCGTAACACCCCTAGCCCCCCTGCTGGACCCTCTGGGATTTCCCCCTCCGCCTGCAATGTGCCGCTGCTTCAGGATATTCCACCTACGGAATACGGTAAGCAGTCAGTCAGTCAATCAATCAGTCGATCAATTACCGAAATGGTGGGGGAGTGTGGCCAAGTGGTTAGAGTTCATGACTCATGATCAGAGGGTCAGGGGTTCGAATCCAACTGCCGAGTGTATGTTGTATACTTGGGCAAGCCACGTCAACTCCAGTTGCCTCTCTCCACCCAGGAGCTGGGGAGTAACCTGCGATGGCCTGGCATCCCATCCAGGGGATTAGAAAAATTCTCTGTCTTTGCATGCCACTGAAACCGGAGATAAACACCAGACTGATAGGCCATTGGCTCGTGAAAGACTTTACTTTCTTTACTTTATAATTGGGCAGGCTTCAATAAAGAGTGTGCAGGCTGTTTGCGGACTTCCGCATGCAAGCTGCATCAACCCTAACTCACCAAGGCATTTTGGCTAGAAACCCTGCCCAACACATTAACATGCAACACTTGTCAAAGTGAGAAGCCTGCCCACTGTAACAGGATCCAGCAGGTCAAAAATCCCCAATGCTAACTTGCCTCGGGGTCTCAAATGCAACGGGATACAGCTGTGGCATATTTTAAAAAGTCAAGATCGGTATTTCAACTGCGCAGTTGCACAATACATTCCCTAAACACCATACATTTCTACGGGCCTGGGTTTGTGGAATGACTTGATCAGTCTATAAAATCACAGTCCTCTGTGGGCAGATTTAAAATCAGTTTCAAAAACTATCTTGTGTCCCATTATTTAGCATATTTTTTCCCGTCCCGACCAGCTATTTTGCTCATTTCCTCGTACTATGTAATTAATCTCCTTATTATGTCAATCTTTGAACCCAGTTGTCTGTTTGTTTGTCAGTTTGTCCTTGTTTGTGTTTCATTTGTGTTTTCAATTGGTTTGTCTGTTTTTCTTTAAGTTCTATTAAATATTATGTTTACAGTTTTGCATTTAAATATAGGCTTGCCCCTATAAGCTTTGTTTTTTTAACATCATGCTTCCATCTTTAAAGCTACTTATAGTTCTCATGATGCTTTTTCTTTGCTTTTGATGGAAATGTTATTGAAATTTAATGGAAAGATTTGACGATTTTCCTTTTGGGATAAAATGTTTGTTACATGCGTGCAAAATCCTAGCAGGTACCAGCAAAATTAAAGAAATTGTCTTGTACCAACTTAGTACCAACTTAGGTGTTTTGTTGTAAATTTTTCGTCGTCTATTGGATTGCATGAAAAATGGCAGAATGCAGATTCAGTTTCTATGTCACCCATAGACATGTGTGCATTTAAAGATATAGTCCATCATTTGTAATTTGTGCATTTTGTTTGTTTGAAGCAACAAAAGTGTTCAAAATCTAATGAAGGATACTGAAAAACTAACCTGATGAAGTTTTAGCTCAGCTTCAGCTGTATATTCCGAGAAAAAACAGCATTCTAGGATCTCAATTTCAAATCAAAAGTTGCTGAATCATGTTTTGAATTGTTTTGAATTGCAGCTATACGCGATGTCGCGCACTGATCCGACGAATTATAGCAACCGCGTGCGCCTGTGGGTCATGCCAATGCTTGCGCGCGCTGCGCCGAATAACAAAACGAACTACTAATTTAAATTTTCCTACGGTGCATCTTAAGACGCACCGTTGGAAAGGCCTTTTTTCGTTGATTACTTCAAAATGATAGCTTGCCAGAAAGATTAATTTCACAGGGAGTTTAGTCCACTTACTATCTTTCAACCAAGTATGTTTTTCAACAATAATACGCCAGTTACTTTTTCGGATGGCAGTTTTCGGATTGACAGTTCGTGCACCGGTATTGGTGACCCAATGCCATAAGATCCTACAGAACTTTACACCATAGTTCCACTGTGTGGCATCTGACAGGCCTACTTTTATCCCCAAAGATTCAGAAATCTTATTTTGTGTGTGATTTTCTTTCATTATGCAGGTCTGTCTGAGTGGGGTACCGAGGACGAGATCCTGGCCTCTGTCCTGGCCCAATCGCAGCAGGAATACTTGGACACTCTCAAACAACATCACTCCTCCGGCAACACCGACAGCTAATGTACATCCTGCGTGTAAATAATCATATCATCATATATATGGAACCCCCGGTTTGAATTTTTTTTCTTCTACCGATAGCAAATATATTCAATATTCAACCCTCTTTGCTGTACATTTGCAGATTAATTGTTGGGATGAGGAAAAAATTAGTATGTGGTCGTGGTCTAGGTGTTTGGGAATTTATTCATATGGGTGGTTGTAACGTTGAATATTAATAGTATATCTATGGTTGAATCTAAAACCAGGCGAATCAAGGAAATACTATTTGGTTTGTTTCAGTGGCGATTGCCAAATTATGCCATGCTAGGTTTCCTTTTGAAATTCCGAAAACGTTTCCTTTTTGAATTCCGGAAAAAAAATAACGGGGGAATACCGTAATTTTCCCGTTACTAACCTAATTAAATATGGCTGTGTTAAAACCAGGGAAATCATGGAAAATACAGATGTTGACCTATGTTTCAGTATATTGTGATACGACAGGGTTCCCGCGATAAAGATAAGTAGTATAACCAAATTATTATATTATATTTTAACAATTCCTGATTCAAATTTGTCTTAAGCAGCTTAAAAAAAATTTAAGTGGCCAAAAATGTGCAGGTTGTCAATTGTGTCCTGGTTTTACATAAACTCATTGTGTATTTCGTCGGGATATTCTGAAGACTGGCCACATTCTGCCATTAGCCGTCAGAGCCAGTTTTAAATAGTCTGAGTATGACCCGTTCTCCACGGAGCCATATCTCCGGTCGAACGTCTGATGTATCTAGGAATGCAAATTTATGCGATGCTACACACTAGCCAAACGGAGTTCGTGACATCATTTCATTCCCAAATCCGGATGAAAATTGTGATTTGTCGATTCAGATCCAGTGTTTTTGACGTCATTTCTTCAGTTCGTGACGTCATTTCATTTCAGTTGGTGACGTCAGTTCGTGATGTCATTTCATTCCCAAATCAGGATGAAAATTGTGATTTGTCGATTCGGATGCAGTGTTTTTTTAAATAAAACAATGGCCGGACGCGCATAGATCTACAAAACCTAGACACGACCGTGCTTGGCCGGCTCTATTATTGCTTGGCGTATCGCGTAATATATCGTTACTGAGCGTGTGACCGCAGCCAAAAGAATAATAGATGTTGTGTCTAGGTTTTATTTTATTTTTTTAGATGTCTATGAAGCGACGCCTGGTATAGAAAGCGTCCGCTGAATGGTCAGAATCTCGAGGCGAAGACGCAGGTTTTTTGCATAATTAATCGCCGAATCTGCCTACATATAGACTAGTTTTAAAAGGAGTTTGAAAAAAACTTGGGCATGTTTGAAATCCATCCAACATCGTAGCGGAAAAGCTACATAGGTAAAACTAAAAAACAGCACTCCAATAGTGTGAGAAAATACATTTGCGATACAAAATTGAACAAAGACGCATTAATTTAAGAAAAACATAGAATTATAGCCAAATATATGTGGTCTGTAAAATACACAGATATTTGTAGTATTTGATATTCAGATAAAACATTTTTGGGAGGGTTTTGTTGTGCACATGTAAAACAAACAGCTTGTAATTGCAATCTTTTTAAGCTAAAAAGCAGGAACAAATTTCAAATTTTTGTTTACAATAATGGCTGAAATGATGGTGTGGGGTTTTGATTAGGCTTGCTATTTTGTATGAATTCTGAAAGATTCTTTTACTGCCAAGTTGAAACCAGCATAATCGGACAGACAGGGGGCTTTAACCCTAATCCTGCTAAATGCAACAGAAAGCTACAAAGGTAAAATGTTGTTGCATGTGGCAACCAACTCAAGTACCGTGCTCTGTTGCATCTTGTTGCATTTAGCAGGGTAACTGCTCATAGTGCCAAGGCGATACAACAGAATCCACTGTTGCAGTTTGTTGCATTTAGCAGGGTAACTGCTCGGTGACAAGGTTGGTGCACACTGGGTTCACTGCACAGTGCAACAGAATCCACTGTTGCAGTTTGTTGCATTCAGCAGGGTTCTCATGTGAGTGGAGTTGGATATTGTTGCATTTAGCATGGTGCCTGAAGAATACCCAATGGGGATTAGGGTTAAAGCGAAACTTACTGAACAAAACAATTGTCCCTTGATAAATGTATTGTGTTGCTACTGTTTTTGACTAGTTCCTTTCCATGTTTTTTTTTTTTTAACTAAGCAACTACATTGCAAAGCACCATTTTCAGGCTAAGCAGTCCCGTGAAAATTTGTCCAACATTGGCTTGTGAACTAATTAAACTAAAAGCAAATATGCTAGGCATTCGGGCAAAATGAGACAGTACTGGGCCGAGATCAAAATCAAAATTTGCAGGTAATTTTATTCTCTTTCCTAATAGGAAAGAGAATAAAATTCTCCTTGCAATACTGTTTGTTGCACTTCAGTCGGACATTCCGTTGACAAGTTATGGCTGTGTAAAGTTCAGATTTATCGACATGTCAAAAAAGTAAAATACTGGGAAAAAGGCCTTTCAAGTTTCTAGTCGTGAAACTGAAAGATGCCAATTGTAGTTTTTTTCTTAAAAACACTTTCATTCCACGATTTTTATACTATTTCTTTAAAATACGTGTTGCAGACATATCAAACATTACAAATATCAATAAATCTGAAAATTGAAAAAAAATCACCCCCATTGTTTTTTTTTGCATTTTTCTCCACTTCGGCTTGTGCCCAGTTCCGTCTCATTTTGCCAGAATGCCTCATTTTGCAAGAACGCCTCACATTATAGTACTTGGCAAATTCATGTCAAAAAAAGGGTTAACTTTCAGTCTTGATTAATATATATGACATGATGGTTTGGCTGGTGACCCTTTTCCCCCCCCCCCTTAGTTTAACAAATTCTGAGCACAACCAGCTCAAAGACATTGATCCCTGCTATGAAAATTCAGCTGCAAAAATTGTGTGAGAAGTGCAACAACTAATAATGCCGATATAGTTTTCTTTGCCAATACAAGGGATGTGCGTTACTGCGTTTATATGCAAACAGTATTCCCTGAAATTTAAAGTCTCTAATCTGTCATTCTACAGAAAAATTGGTGAAAATGTATACAGGTTACCTTGGTTACCTGATGAATAATGTGACAGATATGTGACACTCAATGTTTCTTCATTCACTTTGTGAATCTGTGTATTTCATTATTCAAAACGTCGGTGGAGTCATCAATTTTGTCTTTTTGTGTAAAAAAAAAATGTTACAGATTATTTTTAAGTTTAGACACAATACAAAAATGTATGTTTTGTTGCCAATTGTCAATTTTTATTTGAATTTTATTTGAAAAGAGTTGCACATAATGCATCAGTCTATTTAATGCTTTAAACTGCTCACGTATTGGAAGAACAGTTCTAGATTTTTGTTTTTCTTTTGGACATATCTGAATGTTTATCATATTAACTCGAAAACAAAAATAAAATTTTGTCACTGAAGCGTCGTTTTCTGTTTTGTTCTTGATTTTTGTGTTTGACAAAGTAGGACTGCCAACAGGGAACTGGATCTACAGGGCGAGTAAAAAAAAAAAAACCCAAATGTTGGGACCATGTTTTAGTGAAGTTCTGCATGTAGCACTTTCAAAATCTAGGCTATGAAAGCCAAATTCATTGGCTTTCTTGTAGTACAAGAATCATTCAAATCACTCATGTACTTTTCAAGTTACATAATTTTAAACAACCACCGTTTTAAGGTTCTGTCCACAGATCACAAAAAAAGTTTGTGTTCTTTCAGCAAAACGAAAACAAATCACATAGGGATGTGTGAATTGTTTTCATTTTGCTGAAAGAACGCACACCTTTTTTGTGATTCGTGGACAGAACTTTAAAACGGTGGTTGTGTTTAAAATTCCGTAACTTGAAAAGTACACAAGTGATTTGAATGATTCTTGTACTAAAAGAAAGCTTATGAATTGGGCTTTCATGTCCTAGATTTTGAAAGTGCTACATGCAGAACTTCAATAAAACAATAGTCCTGACATTTGGGTTTCGTTTTTTTTAATCGCCCTGAATATACTCAGTTGGTAGAGCCTTAGAGCAGTGTTCAAGAGATCAAAGGTTCAAATCTAGCCCATTTTTGTTCTTTACCTGCAACTGTTAGGTTTTAAGTATTTGTTTTTTGCTTTTAAAAAACTGACAAATCTCACCCCCCCCAAAAAAAAATTATTTTGGCTTTTAATTGAATTGTGCTTCACATATGTGATGTGATCAAACTAAATGAGTCGTTCGTCGACCCTGGTCAATTTATTGAGAGCACAATCTCAGTATTACTGATGTGAAAACTGCATGCTGATACCATCTTTAGTTCAAAAAATTATGGAAGTCTGAACACCAAGAGATGTGATGAAGTGATGTGATGAAGTGGCCCTATTTTGGCCTGAATCTCCAAATGAAAGTTCCCGACAAACGACTCGGTTAGCTTGATTGCATCACACATGTCCATAAATTTCCTCGGGACACTTGTTTGTTTGGAAATTGGATCACAGAGAAGAATTTATTTATTTTCCTGTGTATACAGGGTGGATAAAAAAAAATGAAACCGAGATATTATTGCTAATTGGAACAGAAGTAGGGCACATGTGAATCAAAGGGAGATATCCTCTGTTAGGGTTGAATCTCCTCTTTAAAATGACACCCTGATCATGTCATTTCATTCACGGTTGACTGAGCAGTGACCAATTTTATGAAAGGGTCTATTTAGAGACTTGCACCACTTTTCATGGTGAAATCTCTTTTTTTCCCACCTGCCTTGATTGGCAACCATAGCCTTGCACTCTGTGACAATTGACACAACTAAAACCACAATTGAAAACTGGCGCAAGTCTCTAAATAGACCCTTTCATAAATTTGGTCACTGCTCAGTCAACCGTGAACGTAATGACATGATCAGGGTGTCATTTTAAAGAGGAGATTCAACCCTAACAGAGGATATCTCCCTTTGATTCACATGTGCCCTACTTCTGTTCCAATTTGCAATAATATCTCGGTTTCGGTTTTTTTGATCCACCCTGTATATTTCATGTTCTAAATCATTGAAACCAAAAGAAAAATAATGTAAACCAACAGGAAGATCAAGCCCAAAAGGAAATGTAAAATTGTTATTTTTACATGTACCGATTCCACTGAAAACCTACCGTAAAAGTAACATTACATATCGGCATGAACAGAACTGAACCGACTTCCAGGCCTACAGTGGGGAATGAAATCAAATTTAAATGTGGTTGGGCTGGTTGGATCTAGCATAGCTTGCTTGAAATCAACTTGAACGGGAATTAATACTGGACAGTTGCTGCCAATGTTTATAAAACAATTGGGGTTCAGGTTTTTGTTAACAGCGACACCAGAGATGTCACTGCAATGATTTGGTGTCAACAGGGATAAACAAAAGTGGTTGGAAAACACCAGGTTAAATTTAAAAAAATATATATATTACAAAAAAATATTGATAAACAAATTTTTTGTTAGTCAAGATAAGCTAACCAGATGGGGCTCACATCTGCTCATAAGATATTTCAAGCCCCCCCCCCCCAAAGAACAACCACAAACAAACAAAAATTGGAACAATGCTTTATTTTTTATTGGGTGGAGGAGGTTGCTCAGGTAAAAAAGATTAAAAAAATTGTTTTTAAAGAAAGTGGCCTGCAAGACCAAGTATCCCCCCAACAAAGTGAATTTCATAAAATGATACTGTTCCTCTCAAATCAAGGGAGGGTATGTGCAAGGGTGGATCCGGGGGGGGGGGGGGGGGGGGGGGGCAACAGGGGCCAAAAAATATAGAATAATTTTTTTTTTTTAACTGACGTCGCAATAAAGGCAGGCACTGCGTACACCACCATCTTTTCCTCAAAAAAAAATTGGTAAAAGTGGTCAGAAATTGCCTCAGATCGCATGCACAGAGCATCTAGAATCCAAAAAAATTCCGGGGCCCTTAAGCGGGCCCCAAACCCCTCGTCTTAATTTTTTGGACCCACTTTTTGGGGGACCAAAATTTTGTTTGGCCCCCCCAAAAAAATTGTGTTCTGGATCCGCCCTTGGGTATGTGCACATAACTACACCCGCAGACGATTAAACTGCAAGAAAGTTTAAGGTGACAGGGGTACACTTGGTCATGCGCTTTCCCAACGTTTGCCAATGTCTTGGTTTATTATGTTAACAGAAACATGCTACAAGATTGTGCAAACATGGAACGTAATGACACGGAACGTTATGCCACATGAACGTGCAGTCCAGTGCACGACTTGGCTCTCTGCACAGCACAGTACCATCCACAGCTTCTGAACGGAGTAAATCTTTTCTTTTTTTAACTCGATGTTCAGGCCAAGGCATGGGAGTTATTCTCCACGTACATGCACCAGTCCTGTTGAACCATACTTACTGGAGGCACTGTCCGTGAAATCATATCATCAAATTTAATTCAAATTAGAACCCAGTCATAAAGGCAGTAAAGCTTTTCATAATCTAACAGTAGGAAAAAGAGTAAGATTTCAAATTTGGTAACAAGCAGGCAAGCTGAACTAACAGGGAAGCGACCCACTAGCAAGATTAGGACTGCCTTTTTTTTGGGGGGGGGGGGGGAGGAGGGAGGGGGCTCATTTTTTGAGATATTTTAGAATTGGATTTCCTGTTGTTGCCAGTTTGATATTAGCTGCTTGCACTTCCAAGGAAAAAGCTGTTAATAATAATAAAAGAGCCATATAGAGCGTCGATATCCGCCCGAAAGCGTTTATGGTGCTAGCTCAAAACAACTTGCAGCTTCAACGGACCAGATGCAATGAACAATGTCAAATGTCTGTTGACAAAAAGGACACGCTTTTGTGGGTTTTTTATTCAGCTATCTTGCAGTTATCTAGCGACTACACGGATGGTCCCCTCCTGATAGAACCAAGATGAGCTTTACAGCTCCCAATCTTTTTCATTATCCCACTAAAGTCTAATGTGAACGGACCACTTCTAACTTTGGCATTACAGTTGACGTCCGTTACACGTCATTTAATACTTTAGACAAAGGACCCAGCAAACCCAAGATTCCGCACCAAAAAACCCTTCTAGTATTCTTTCTTATTTTCATCACAAAAACCACAAGTATTTGCTGCCACACCAACACAAGCTCAACAAGAACGTGAGCTTAAGGCTTGAACTCTGGGTGGATTTCCAGCTTAAACTGTATTCAAAAACAGCATATTGTAAACCTTCCCACTTATGTTACTCTAAAATGCCTGCCGGCCAGGGCGTCACCGCCAAAGATTTTTTGTTGTCAGAACTGCGGTTGGCCAACTTCGAATCAACTCCGCCCGACTTTTGCCTCAACTGCATGGACTTCTTCATTCGCTGTCCTATCACCTCCGGTGATTCGTAGCGTAGTTGATGTCGGTTTCACCACTTGCGATTGCCCGAGGAGTTGAAGATTTGGTCGGCGTCGGGGGCGCCCTTCGGATGGTGGAATCTGGGCTTGCGTTCCTTGGGCACTACGGGCGGCACGACAGTGGCTGGTTTCTGGAACTGTGCCAGCATTTCTGCGAGATAGGAGAACAATACAAAGGCTATGAAATAATTGGAATCAGTTCTTTTAAATTTCAACAGTGACACTGAATATCTGTATCTATACATTTTACTGGAGGCAAATTCCACGGAACTGTTTAACTTTTAAGTCCACTTTGTGGAGTGCCGTGGCCTAGTGGTCTGGAGCATTGACTTTGTGGTCTGCGGGTAATTCTGCAGGTTGTGGGTTCGAGTCCAGCCCAGGCTATGGTGCATGCACCCTTGAGCAAGGCGCTTTGTCACTCATTGCTTCCCACCCGGGAGTAAATGGGTACCTGTGAGGGCAGATTTGGTTACTGTGAGAGGTCGAGTACGGCCAAGAGTGCCGAAATGGCTGCCTACCGGCTGTGTATGCTCCCCAGGGAGTTGAGAAGGTTACAGGAGTGTTTGCCGGTTGAACAGGGGTAATAATAAATGTAAGCCCTTTGATACTCCGTTTAAAAGCGCTATATAAATGCCTGTTATTATTATTATTATTTAACAAAGAAGTTGTGCTTAGTTGCACAGGTACTATTGTACACGGTAAAATGAGGGCACATGCTGAGGTTAGGATTTGAAGAGGGATATGCTGAGGGGAGTGGTTCAAGGAAGGGCGGTGGGGGGGGGAGCAAAGGCTGCTGGGATACCAACCTTGATAGTCTTCCTCCTCCTGTCTGTCGTTGATGTTCAGTGTCAGTTCCTTCAGACGCTTTTTCTCTGCAAGCTCCAGCTGCAATCAAACATATTAAGGAAAAGTAATCATAGTTTAGGATTCACAGATGTGAAACTTTTCACCAACTGAATTGATATACATTGTGACATCCAAAAGGAATGCTCTTTAATTGTTGGTAAATGTTTTTAAAAGACAAATCTCTTTCGAAATCTCTCTCTAAAATCATGGCCGATGAAATACTATCACTACAATCTGATCGTCCAAAATGATCAGCAAAGGGACTCAAACCAACTTTAAAGAGGTTGTGGAATGCTCGAAGACATTTCCGTCATTTTTCGGGTATATGTAGCCTAAGGTGTGATGAAATAAAAACGACTATTGTTTCTGTCATAAAATGAGTACAAAAGGTACTTTTGAGAGCTGTTTTTCAAGTCCTGTCATGCCTGTTTCGACCCGAACGTGCAATTTGTGTAGCACAAACGAGTCCTGTTTACCGTAATTTCCTGCGGATAAGACGCGTCTTATCTGACTTTCTAGACCACAAAAACATCGCTGCGCCTTATCTACAGGTGCGCCTTATCTGGTGTCGCTTGAGTTCAAAGTGACGGTCTTTGTGTGAAGAATTCTTTCAATGCCGCAATCAATAATGCGGTCAACCAAGGCTCAACTCTCCAGACATTGTGACCGTATTTTCATTCCAACAATGCCGCGATGTGTTGATCCCCCATGATCGTGCTTTCATTCCAACAATGCCACAATGCATTGATCCCCCTTAGTGATCGTGCTTTCGTTCCAACAATGCAATACAAACGTTTTTCTTTGTGGCCGTTTTTTCATTCCGAAAATGCTGCAATCAGAATTACTGAAACGTTTGGAAATCGCATTCACTCAAGTTCCATTGTGTGAACGTTGAGGGTGTTTATTGTACAGGATATCTTCGAAGTCTGCTTTAGACTTAGGATAATATGAAGTACTAATGTCAACATGACAATCGGCATCATTTTGAAACCGAAGTCAACAAGGTTCCTCCATTCACCGCGTTTTGGTGTTGCTCAAAGGTGTGCGGTTGGTTTTTTCTGCAAGCCTGAAGATCAAGATGAAAACAGTGCGAGTCGGTAAAAGCGGCTCAAGAAAGCGTACTTCCGGCCCGAGCGCCATGTTATGCATACAGAGACCGCACGAACCTCAGTGCACGTGTGGCCGAACATTTTGTAGAAACACGCTGCGGTGTATCATCAAGTCCGAGCGGTAAAATCTCGTTAAAATATATATTTCAACGGACAAATACATACACAGAGAAGAGAGATCACGTTCTGAGAATTAATTTGCGGAAATTCTCTTTCTCCACCGATGTATGTTATTTTCTACGATCCAAATTCGTCCTGATACGCTACTGTAGTCATACACGGAACATCATGGTCCGGTACCGTACGTAGGCCGTAGTCACTGGTTCCTGGCCCACATCATAGCTTCGATTCTGTAAGCATGCGATGGGAACCAACGAATACTGATGGCACTGCTGCCGCACGGAACATCGTACAGCGGCATGGCTTCGACGACGTGCATCACAAATGCGTCAGAATTACAGGCCTTTTCGTCAAGATTTAGCGTGTCAAGATGAAATAATATCGTGTAAACGATTATGTTGTGCATGCAAATGGCGTGTGTAATATTACTGTGCGTATCGGCGGCTGATTTTCCCGTGTCGAAAGTCCAAGTGCGGACAGTGGTCACATTTGACCATTTCTCATTTTACTATCGTCTCGGTAAAACCTTCCAAAAAAAAAAGTCCAGTGCGGACACGGCTTAATTCATCCTCCGAATAGTGTGATCGTTCTAAGGCAACACAATGGCCCCTTTGTGGCGATGTACCGACACCGGGTGACGCCTGGTGTTCTTCTGTGTGCGGTCAAACATGCGTCTTATGCGGCGGTGCGCCTTATCTGTTGGCGTTTGAATTTTTTGGGGTGATTTTAGGGACCTGCGCTTTATCCGCCGCACGCCTTATCCGCAGGAAATTACGGTATTACGTCACGATTTACTGTGTTTTGTTTGCTGCCCGCAACGACGACTTTTACACAAATTGCACGTTCGGGTCGAAACAGGACCTGAAAAATAGCTCTCAAAAGTACCCTTTGTACTCATTTCATGACAGAAACAATAGTCGTTTTTATTTCATCACACCTTAGGCTACATATACCCAAAAAATGACGGAAATGTCTCAGAGCATTCCACAACCTCTTTAAATGTGGATGCAAAACTGATATATAAAAAGTTGTCCCTCTTTCTCAGAAAGGTTGTCAGAATCTGATAAAGCAGTTTCAGGAAACAAGTCTGTATTTGTTCAGGTATTAGGTACCCCAGTAGCTGTCCCAGACCTAGATAATTTGGTGTAAAAATGAATGAACGACAGACCTTCTCCCTGTTCCGGAGGTTGGCGGCCAGCTCGGAGGACTTGGGCACCTCAAACTCGTGGTAGTGCTGCTTGTTGCCGCGCCGCATCATCAGCACAAAGTTGACCGATTCTGCCTGCTCCTCCTCCTCGTTGTCATCCTCGTCGTCCGGGCTGAAGATGTCAAAGGTCATCTTCTTGGGGCGGGGCCGGGCTTGGGCAGGGATGGCTATATCCTGCTGGGGCACTTTGATAGTGTCCACGTTGCGTTGCTGCAAAAAGGGTAGTATTAAAAAGATTTGATGACGAACGCTATTTCATCCTAATATATTTCAATGATGTTCTCCTTTTATAAGAGACTAGCAAGTCAGTCCAGAAGCTTTTTATAGAGCGTGCAAGTTGACCTAAAAAACCTGCGAGATTCTCCAAAAATACAGCACATCCGGGCACCATGTATAGGATCTACAACTTGTGTAATGTCCTATATTTTGCATTTATTTTGTTTTCAAAAGAAAGCATTACAATTTACAAAGTATTGAAAATATTGCGAATTGATGACTATTATAGAATTATTCCGTTCAATCAGTCACGAAAATTACAATTGGGTAAAATTCAAACATGGGAGTGTGTGACCAGACTAGTCAGTGTTTGGTACCAAGACATTCACAGAAAAAGTGAACGTGGACTGGCGAGACGTACATGCTCTATTAGGTCATATTTTGAATTACAAATTCTCAGATCTAGTAACATTATTTTCATCTGAAAATGAATAGTGTAAAAATTTGTTAACAGTAGTAATGTTTAAATATAAGTCACTAATTGTGAATTTATGTTTTTTGTCAATCCCCCCCCCACCTCTCCACCCAAAAAAAGGCTGCATGACACCAACCTAATTCACATTTTAAGTTTTAAATGGCCTATAAATTTTTGACAACCAAAAAAAGAACTCCCACATGGCTTAGCTGCGAATAGAGACCTTTATGTTCATGAGTTGGTTGATCTTTGTTCTTTCTTCAGTGACGTCTTGAAAGACTGACCAATGAAATGAGTGAATCGGCTAATGAATATTCATAAGGTTTCAGTAGTGACTTCCTACCTGCACACTATCTGACAGCATTTTGTCAAACTCCGAGGTGAAATCATCGTCCTCGTCGCACTTGATGAGCTTGGGGCCTCCTGTCAAAACGGTCACCTGAAATAAAAATATAATAAAAATACTAATCAATATTCAGTATGTATAACTATGCCATCAGTGGTCAAAATGCAAACTTGTGTCTGTATGAACTCAGTAGATGGCCTTGATGACAAACTCATGAGGGCTTGTGAGAGGGACACACCGATTGATGCCCTGGTTTGTATGCGTGCGGCATGAAGTACGCACGATTAGTTCATTCGGAATAAACACTTACTGTGTCATCTTCTTCAGTTTCCCCAGCCGAGTCCAGGGCCATCTGATCATCCGTCCCCTGCAGTCCAAAAGAAAATCCATGTTGATCAGGCAATGCTGTGTGGTTTTATGGAGAATACCAAGTGTTAACATGACAGCTGTTCAAACTTTGTTTGGAGAAGGAAGGAAACATTTAATGATTATTTTGGTTTTCACTTCGGAAAGAAAACCTGTTTTTGTTATTAAGCAAATATTTTCTTTACTGAGCACAAATCTGTCCTAGTAGCTCAATTGATTTGGCCTTAATTTGAAGAAATGTCAGAGCTGTTAAATAATCAGAAACAATGACAGAGAGGAATGATTTTTGTATTAGTTCATTTGAAAAGCTGGAGACAAGGACTTGTGATTGAATTGTGATTTATTTGTGATAGACTTGTGATGGACTTGTGATTGACTTGTGATTGACTTGTGATTGACTTGTGATTGACTTGTAATTGACTTGTGATTGACTTGTGATTGACTTGTGATTGACTTGTGACTGACGTATGACTGACTTGTGATTGACTTGTGATTGACTTGCGATGGACTTGTATTTGACTTGTGATTGACTTGTGACTGACGTATGACTGACTTGCGATTGATTTGTGATTGACTTGTGAAAGACTTCTAATTGAATTGTGATTGACTTGCAATGGACTTGTGATTGACTTGTGACTGACGTATGACTGACTTGTGATTGATTTGTGATTGACTTATGACTGACTTGTTATGACTGTGACTGACTTGTTATTGACTTGTGATTGCCTTGTGATTAGCTTGTGACTGGCTTGCAATGTGACTTGTGATGACCTGTGCTGGCTTGATTACAACTCTGACGTAGTATTTTGTGCTTGTCATACATCACCTCTTCATCGCCAGTATTCTGGCTGTGCCCCTGGCTCTGACTGCTGGTGGTGTGTCCCTCCCTGCCCCCTCCACCTCCCCGACGACTCACGCCTTCTGATTCCGAGTCCGAGTCTGAAAACTCCTCGTCCTCTGTGATGCTGGTGAACTCAACTGCTGCACATGGCCAACAAACAAAATAACCAGGAACTTCTTTGAACCATGCTATGAAAAATGGATTGTGAGATTTCAAAACCCAGTTCTGCAATAATGTTCTATTTCACTAAAAACTGATCAAGTTTTAACAACACTTAATGCTCGATCATACTTCATGCTAATGCGAAGCCGATTTGTGATGTCAATGGCAAATATACACGTGGCTGATTTTTTCCACTATAGCAAATATTGTTGTTAAAGGTAGTACACAACATTTGCCAAAAACTACCAAATTATTACGAAATACCTTACTTGACAGAAAGTAAATAATAGTCTCAAGCATCCTGTGAAATCATGGCACCTGGTGTGCTGTCATTTTCAAGAAAAGTGGAATTTTTCTATCAACTGCCAACGATGGTCGGCCGACTATTGTTGGAAAAAATTGACCTTTTTTTCAAATACTGCCCTCAATTTGTATTATGTCGGAGACTTCCATGCTCTTATAGAGGACGAAGACCTTTCAACTACATTGATGTGATTGGCAGAGACACCCAATGTGAAATTGAAGACCTTCCGTACATAATGAGGGATGAAGACACCTGGCGTGGCGTTGTGAACGAGATCTCGGTTGTGACCGACAGATGATGACGATGCCCTCAATTTACCAAATTTAGTTACTTCACATTTTGTTTGCAATCGGTTACACATGTGTGAATGGGTGCAAGCCAGTTCCAGTGCTCTACCAACTGAGCTATCCAGGCCTATGTTGGTGGTTCCAATACCATTGTTCAAGTAGTGCTAGTCAGAAGCCATTTCATTTTTATTAAGCCTCAAGTGTTTGACTAATTCCATAGGTGCATGGGTTATTGCCAGCCGTAGCCATATAATTCAGATAAAACCTTAAAAGGGCTCATTTTCTAGTCTGGTACCTGCTGTGGTCCTGGTCTCATCGCCTTCGGTGATGGTGCCAAGCTGCTGGGAACCAGGCGGCTGGGGGTTGACTGATGCCAAAGCCATCTGAATGATGCCTCCTGTTGAACAAGACCAGTGCAAGAGGTTGATGGGGAAAAAGGAGGAAAAAAACAATCTGATAGTTGATAATTGAATATTTAAGCAAATAATAATATTTAAGCTGACCCAAAAGTCACTTGTCATACGGCCAATGATGCACTAGCCAATCTCAAACTTTAAATCCACTGAGATATTTTGAGGCTGCATTCAAAAAACACTGTAGCCTCCGTGCAGTATGGTGTCCTGACTCCCCCAATGGCCCTTACCATGCTTTTGGACCTGTTCCTTCTCCAGCTCCGCCACAGCCTCGTTAGCCTCCTCCAGAGTGGCGCAGATTTTCAGTTTAGGTCGCACCGTTTCCAAGGTGTCGGCCAGGGCGTTGTCATTGTCGAGGGGGAAGGGATGGACCAGCGGGTTCCATATCGGTAGGCTTCGCTTGTACATGATGTATTGCTGTGCAAGAAGAGAATGTACATTGAACCATCTGCCATTACAATCAATTAATTAAGGCAGTATCAAGTACTATCTTCTTATGAGCTCTAATCAAAGAGTCTTGCCAATTCTCTGAATTAAATTTGCAATTATTTTTATTTTTAAATTTTTTTTTTTGGGGGGGGGAGAAAAGTTACCAGGTGGCTGAGGTAAAGTCTTTCTTCTTGCTTCGTAAAATTTCAGATCTGGTGGTGAAGTATGAAGTGTAGAGGTTAAACCTCAAATCTTGGGAGGAAAATGTCTCAAGTCTAAGGGATAAAGTTCCAAATTCTGGGAGGTAAAGTCTCAATTTCAAGCGGTAATTCTCATATCGTGTGTGGTAAAGTCGTCAGCTCAGGAGATCAAATCAAAAATCTGTTTTGTAAAGACTTAAAAATAAGAATTAAGTCCAAAAACCTTGAAAGCTAAAGTCTCAAGTCAAAGATTAATGTTCTAAATAGACAGCCATTTAATTTCTTGTGAATTTTCAACGTTTTTTAGCATCACAGTTTCATCAGAGAGAACTGAGGTTACAGCAGGGAAAATTCACACAAAAATGATGCAATATGCTATTTGTTCAAAAAAAATTTGGGAGGGGGGGGGGGAGAGAAAACTGGTTTCCTACCTGGAAGTATACCAGAAAGCAGTCCAGTTTCTTCTTGCTGGTACCCCGATCAAAGAACTGGCCACAGGTGTCCAATAGGGTGCAGACCAGCCGCAGACGGAACAGGTGTTCTGGGGGGTCTAGGGGGTTCTCAGCACCTGGGGAGAGGGGCAATGAACATGGTCAATTATTAGAATTCAGCCCTGTAAGACAAGTCTTATTACTGTAGTGTGTCAATGACAAACAATGCCATAATCAAAACTACTCAAACTGGACATGGACTTGGGGGGGGGGGGGGGAGGGGGGGAGCGTTGCAACTTGTGAAGTTGTGTTGTGATCTGTCCATCACATGTCCATCACAAGTCTGGTTCCAAGTCCAGTCACAAGTGAATCACAAGTCCATTCGTAAGTCCAGTCAGAAGTAATGGGGTTACGAACAATAGCTAAGACACGTTTTTGTTACAGTTCATTTGAAGGACTTGACATCGGACTGGATGACTTGTGATGGACTTGTGATGGTGGACTCTTTCAGGTATTCAACCTTGACCATACTAAATCCAAATCCATGTTGATCATGGCAGGAAGAAAAGATCTTTCGTTAAAAAGTATTGGACTCATTTGGATTTAGGGCCCGTCTGAATTCATATCCGGGACGAATTCCGGACAAGTTGCGGGTAGAATCATTCACTGTGTCCGGAAAAAGCTCTGCATTAGTCAGGGACGTGTTCCGGGGAAATTGTCATCAGCAACTGCTTGACTCAGCAATACTGATAACTTCATTGCGGGAAGATTGCGGGGAAGTTGTTCAGAATCCTGCAACCTATACCCGATACAACGTCCGGCACCTATCCAGAATTGAGATGAGCCCGTAGCAGGACGACTGGAGAATCCTTAAGGGGAAGAGGGTTAAATATTTTTGTAGAATGGAAATCATACTCCTTTGTATACTAATACTGCCATCTTGGTGACGTTGATTCATCCTTCTTACCATCTAAAGTGATGCCAAACCGGATAATGGAGTACAACGTCTTGAAGATGACCGCAGACTCCACCATGCGGTAGTTGTACAGCTCCCCAAGGAACTTGACCACGGAGACGCGACGCTGGTTGAACTTGGCGTGGTTGATCTGGGGAGAAAAGGAGAACATGTTCATGGAAAGAGAGAGTTGGGCGGAACTTTTGAGTGCATCGCTGGCACACTGATGCTTAGGGGAGGAATATTTCTCACGGTCTGGACCCAGCCTCAAAATCTCTCAAGGTTGATTAATAGTCAGGGAATGGTAAGCCATTCATTGGCTTCATGACCTATGATGACAGGGTCAACTTTATCAAAGTATCCATGCAATTTTTTGTATTTTATTTATTTGGCAAATACGAACAAAAATACATAAAAAAAGTGAACTTATTACATGTAAAAACAAAGCCAAGGATAACCCCAAAAGCTGTTTATAAGACGGCTTATTACCATCGGGGTCCTTAAAAACACAACAACAAAAAACAAAGAAGTACATTAGAAAAAAGTTCAATAAAATTACACAGGAAATAGCAAAGAATGGTCATTAAAAACTCGGCTGTTTCAAAAATTGACTGAGAAGAGAGATGTTCCTTCACTGCCCTTTTAAATTGAGGATGTTTGTTGGAATGTTTGATGCTGTTGGGAAGTAAATTGCATTCATGAATTCCGGTATAAAAAATGTATTGCACTCTGGCCCCTTTATTCTTGGATCAACAAAATTGGTGGAACTACCCCTGGTGGAATAATTACGCATATCTGAAACCTTCCCAAATTTATGACAGAGGTAGTCTGGTGAAATTTCATGAAAAATTTCATGCAAAGGAACAGGACACTGCATTCTGTGTGACGCGTATGCATGCTGGAGAAGTAGAACAATCTTACTATAAGGAAGGCAGCATTGTCTTTGCGCATTATCAATACAATTTCAGAATCTTTGTTGGTGTGGCCTGTCCTCAAATACACGTCTGATATGAGGTTACGTTTTTCTGACTACTTCTCACTGACCTCCATGCCGATTCGGATGTCTTCCAACACAGCATCCACAACCTGTATGCCCACATCGTCATGGTAGGGTACCAGACCGGCCAGCAGACTGGCCACACAGTGGATGTTGTTGAACTTGACGTTCCAAACATTGCTCAGGCATTTGGTGATATAGGTCTTGATCTAAAAAGTGATAAAGAAAAAGAAAAATGTAGGACGTAACATTTACAATTACCAAATTAGGTTTGCCTTTCAACGACGTTTAAACACTGTATACTCAGTGTGTTACCTCCCAAGTGAAAGTTGGAAAAAATCACTCGGGTGGGACTCGAACCCATGACCTCCTGCTTTCTAGTGTGTCGGTGAAGGTGAAGGGCAAAACCTAATTTGATTTATATCACCCTGACGCAAAAATTCCATCTTATAATTATTTACAATTACGAACAAGAAATGTATAATTTGAAGCATCAAATTCAAGATCAGTGGGTTCAAGTTTAGCCTGGGGTTGTGTTTGCGTGTGTCCTTGGGCAAGGCACTTTGTCACAATCTGCTTCTTCACACCAAGGAGTACAATGTGAACCTGTGAGGTCAGAGATGGTTACGGTGCTTGAATCAGCTGTTTGGGGAAGGGGGGGGGTGTGTATTAAATTTATCAATGTAAAATCAATTACTCTTGGATACCTCTGTATTGTTCCAGTCCATTTTCCGGAGTTGTTTCAAGACTTTCTCCGTGGTGGTCTTGGACAGGTCTCGGTAGATCAGCTTGCGGATGTACTGGTGCATCACTGGTCGCTCCTTCTTCTCAGCCTGAGTAAAAAAGATGGGGGGGCGGAGAAACGAAAAGAAATTATTTATTTATTTATTTCTTATTTCAACTTATTCTCCCATGGGTCCCAGCATACATAAAAGACAATAAACATAACAATTTAACAAACAATCAACTTAAAAAAAAATACGCATTCACATCAAGTCACATTAATTTTAAAAGTCATCCAGCATGAGAAAATAAGACCGGCCCAACCCGGGGACCAACTAGTGGCCAGCCTGACCTGTTTGACGTCTGGAGGGTTGCAGTAGAAGAATGAGTTCTCCACCATGGTGCTGTGTCGTTCAATCAGGTGAAGTTTGCTCCGCTTACGCATCATCAGCTCCTACAAAAAAACCAGCAGTTAAGTTTTGAAATATGATAAATCATTGTATGACAAGGAAAAGGTCTTAAGCAGCCCAGGCACGCAAAAAAACACTTTTGGAGATAATTGACTTGAAAGGTTTTGTGCTGCCATTTCTGGATTAAAAATCACATAAGGTTGAAATTTTGACTGATGACATTCGTTAATAACTAAAATAATATTGTGCATTTTTATGTCAAAATATTACTTAATTGTGGAGTTATTTCACTTTTTATGCTAACGACCTTTTACCGGGAACTTCCCAAGCCTTAAACGTACGCTTAAACAGCATGTTAAAATTCTTACGACCTTTTGCCGGGAACAAAATTGGCTTTGTGTACCCACTTGAGTGGGACGTTAGCTCGCTTGGAACATTTTTTGTTACATTATAATTACATGCTTACGACCTTTTGCAGGGTGCAAATAATTATATAACTCTCCTTCCGTCTTTTGTTTACTGTTAATTAGATCAGAATGACGTAGCCCCTTGAGACAATATGTATATCAAATGAAGGATATTTCCAAGCTCTATCGATTACCCGAAAAATCCGAATTTGGACTTTTGACCCATTTTTCGCCCCTACGACCTTCTTCAAGGCGCCCGACGAAATATTGGAATGTGGTCGACAGAGCGAGTAGCAACACCACATTTTGAGGTTATCTCTTTTGCCAGGGGAGGGTAAGGAATACTTGATTTCTTGCATTGCAATTGACGTAGCTATGGTTCTAGAAGTGATCATCCTCTTTGAACGTAAAATGGATCGCAGCTGGGTTTCTTGCTCAGCAATATTTTTGCAGAGCGGCTCCCTGACGTTGGGCCCAGGTGGGAAACGGCATGACACGACTTTTCGCTGGAAATTACCAATCAAAGCTTTTTCGCTTGGCAAATGTAAAAGTTTAGAAATTCAAACCGATCCAGGGTTCTCAGCTTAGTTATCTTTGGTGCTGAACACCGTTTGGAAGCTTTCTAGTCACCTTAACTCTAGGAATGGCCAAAAGGGCAGCCTCCCCCTTCCACCTCCCAATCCCATGAAGGTTCCTAGGGGTAACACACCAAGGAGTTACATCTTGAGAGGGCACTCGCTATACTACATGCACTAATGCAGATGTGCCAACATAAATGCGCAGCGGCCATTTTCTATGTAGGCATGCAACTTTTCCTTGGATCCGCTGATTTCCTGGTTTTTTACTTCTCATAAATACCATTACAAATTGAAAAACACTGCACAAAGTCTTGTGTGGTTTGGGGTTTCCTCGTTTGTTGCTAAATTCCAAGTTGCATGCCTGTCTATGTGGGCAAAACGCGAGGAGTTTGTGAAAGAAATACCCAGACGTGCCCACTTTCATTGCGTAAACAGTGTCAAAAACCACTCTGTGTAGTAACGCAAATTTATTTTTAGAAAGAATTAAAAAGTTGACCACTTGGAAATTGGCCAACTCGCGTCTTTGTTGACGTGGGTCACGCAACAGGCGCGCTCTCTAGTTGATCAAATAGAACTCTATGGAACACACTCACCAGAAGTGCCTTGGTCAGCAGATGTGAATCCGATGATCGGTACAGGAACCGTCCACAGCTATCCAGCAGGTTACACACCATGTCAATGTTGTGATGCCGGAAATCTTGCAGCAACACCTGCAGAAAAACACATCAATTTTTTAAGAAATTTGAAGTTGAACAAAACAAACTGACTGGAGAGGGACTTGAACCTGCGACTTCCGGATCACCATTCCGGTGCTCTACCAACTGAGCTATCCGGCCTTACATTGGAGCTTCCCCATTTTGTCATTGTCTTTGTTCGTGGGGTGCTAGTCAGAAGCCATATACCTGTATATGCCCGCATAATTTTTTAACTTTCAAAAGCCTATGCCTGTTTCGTCTAGATCTACAACAGCCAGTTAACAATGTGTGACCTGTTCTGTCAAAATCAGACTTTTCTGGGCATAAGGTCAAAAATGATAAACATATGTTCTTTTTCCTTTTAATAGGTGGTTTAATTTTTGAAACCGGTCATTCCTGGGCAGAGTTATGCTATTTTGAAGTTCATTGAGTCGAAAAGTAGAAAAGGGAGAAAATGGCCACTAACGTCACAAAACAGTTATTTCTTTAACTGATATAACTTATCAAAATCATCAAAAATAGTATATGTAGAGTTCAAATTAGGGTTTCAAACTTTTATAATATATTTTAGACATGTTCAGGATTACAAATATGCAAAAATTTGAAAATCGATAAAAATCACCCCCACAGCGTTTTTTGGCCCTATCTCAATTTCAACCTCTGCCCAGAAGCGTCTGCTTTTGACAGAACAGGTCACATATTAGTCCTAACAAGTATGGTTACTGTTTATGGTTTCAAGTTTGAACCCTCCGAGATGCTTACAAATCAACCGGGAGGTTTTGAGGAGTTTGCACATTTTACAGAAATGTAAAGCATATGGGGCTTCATGGGAAGTGCTTGATGTTGGATTTTGGATACAGGAAGATTTTTTAGCAAAAATGAAGAAACCTAATCTGAAAAAGTAAATGTTCTGTTTGTGGTGGTGGATACTAGGAACCAGACTCACCTTCACACACTGCAGTGTGTCCGATTTGGGGCACATCCTGAATTTAGTCAGCTCCCCTAATGACAACAGAAAAAAATATACATACATGATACTGGAAGTTAAATACAATGCCAGATGCCATTTTGAGGGAAGTTTACGTTTGTGCCTCAAATCAATTAGTGGAAACAGTTGACTCGTGTTATTTGACCATAAGATTTAAACTGCATTGTAAAAAAAAATGCATATTATTATCAAACAGAGTCATTTGAAGAGTTTGTGGAAGGATGAACAAAAAGCTTGACGGAAGCAGGATTTTACCCTGGGATGTAGTCGAGTCTATCACAAGTCCCTGCAAGTCCATCACAAGTCCTCCAATCCCAACTCAAACCACAAGCTATTGAAATGAGCTTCGACAAAGGCATTCCTTGCTTACTGTTCATTCACCGTTTCTGGCGACTGGACTTGTGATGTGTAACGAAAGTGTGCATTCATGATTTAACCGTGTCACTTATAATTATGCATAGCGCCCTCTTTTGTCCATTCTTTTAAATTCGTATGCAAAAATCTAAGCAGAGATTGATGTGTTAAAATTTTAAAAACAATTTGTATTTTTTTTTTTTTCTTTCAGGCAAAATTTTTTGTTTCATAATCTCATTTCAATTTCCATAATTGCTTAAAATGAAAAAAAGAAGAAAAAAAGAGAGAGACAACAATTAACAGTTAAAAAAAAAAACCTGTTCTAAAACAAACAAAAAGTGGACAGTTGGAAGTTTAGTTAAAATGTTGAGGAATAAGAACTTGTTTTTAAAGTTGTACTCTAAACCAGCTTTAGTTGATCTCCTTTATAAGCGTTTGGCTTAAAAGGGGAGATGTAATGAATGTGTGCATTCATGATTAACCGTGCCACTTATAATTATACATAGCGCCCTCTATTGTCTAGAGCACATAACCATGTGAGTTTGTAGTCCATGTAGGACTTAGCCAGCTGAAACATCTCAAGTGTGCTTTTTATTCAATCCGATTCATCCGATCATTACATGATGGACTTGTGATGGACTTGTGATGGACTTGTGATGGATTTGTGATTGGACTTGTGATGGACTTGTGACTGGACTTGTGATGGACTTGTGATGGACTTGTGATGGATTTGTGATTGGACTTGTGATGGACTTGTGATGGATTTGTGACTGGACTTCTGATGGATTTATGACTGACTAATGACTACATCCCTGCTACAATCCTCAGGAAAACGCACTGCTCTCTACCGAGTTATCCATATCTTACTGGGGGTGTCAAGATTTGTCAATATCTTTGCTCTTGGGGTGCTCTTTGAAGAGATATTTTTGAGGAAAAATGAAATGAACATAATATAAATATAGGAAATACTGTAACCACCGGACCAAGGCCATATTTCATGAAGTTGGCAAGCGTGGAAGTTTAACTGAGAACCAGAACTATTTGATTAGCAGAAACAGGTCACCAGCCAAACACCTTGGGATTTGTATCCCTTGTGACTGGTTCTCAGCAGATTTCTGCTAAGCATAGAAATATTTTGAAGCGACACGTTCTGCCCAACCGATTGGTTCAATCGGCGCCAGTAATGGGGGAAAAAGCCTTGCATTTTCTCTTACCGATGAACCTCACACTTTTGATTTTTGATTCAATCATCATTTGGTCTTTTTTCCTCACCTAAGAAAACAATGAAAAGTATGTTTCAACATTTATGTTTAAAAATCAATTAAAAACAGTTAAATGTCATTTTTTTAAAGATGCATTTTAGAAGTAAATTGTTAAAAAAAAAGTACACTGGTTTTACACAGTGGCGGGCAGCTGTGTTAGTCAGGCAAAATCAAATGGAAAAGTAAGGTAGCACCATGAATGACTAACTAGAGTAAAAGTGTACATAAGCTTTCATAGCTACAACTACTTCATCGGATGCAATAAAGAGAGGCATCATCATACAAGGTTTATTTTATCAATGATGTAGTGTGACAAAAAGCCACAAAACCCTATTAAAGGGAAGATACAACATTTGCAAACTTCACAAAATGAAATGATCATATTATCTCGAAATACCTTACTGGATTGTAAGGGAATGACAGTCTAAAGCATCCTGTAAAATCGTGGCCCCTGTTGTGCTGACATTTTCAAGAAAAATTCTACTTTTCCAACGCTGATCGGCCGACCAGCGTTGAAGAAAACTGACTTTTTTTTAAAAACTGTTCCAAATTTTCATAATTAGTTATTCCGCATTTTCTTTGCAGTTGATTACACACATGGAAAGGGGTACAGGTCTGCTAGACTGATTCTCTGACCTTACAATTCCCAAAGTCTATAAATTGCTCTGTTTCATCTTAAGTGGGGTCAGGGAACCAGACTGCAAGAACATGATTGGTTTTCTTGGTTTTTCCAGCATCTACAAGCCCAAAATGTGAAAAAAATCTTTTTAACAATACTTGCAATAACATACTAATCTTCCAAATCCATTTATTTCTGAAAATTGCAGCAAAAACAAATGTTGTACATTCCCTTTAAGGCCTAGTTAAATATGGTCTAGTCTATGAATAATCTTTTGTTCTGCTGTATCCCTGTCCAACCTCGATTTGAATCCCATCTGTTGGAGTAAAGTTTCCCTGAACTAGCTTAGTGTGTGCCCTGGTAGTGAATTGAAATGTTCAGCAACAGGTTTCTGTATATCCTTGTTTCTGATATCAAACTTGGTTACACAGTGGGAACCATTGAAGTACACTGTTTCTTGGTAGATTTCTTTTTCTTTTTTTGGTGGGGGGGGGGGGGACCAGGGATGGGGGATGGGGGATGGGGGTGTCAAATTTGAAGACTTACATGCCATCGGAAGTCAGCCTTGAGTTTCTCCACGAGCTCCATGCCAATGTCAGGCATGCAGGGGTACAGTGTGGCCACTAGTCGGGAGTAGAACGGTAGTAGGTCCAGTCTGAGAAAGTCAGAAATGATAATAAACATTGCAAAATGCAAAGAAAAAGGAATGTAACATGCACCCGAAGAAAAAGATAAATAATAATTAATCTAATTATTTTTTTAATTCCAATTTTAAAACTATAGACCATGTGACGTCATGCCGACAACCCAAACATTAAATCATATTTTGCTTGTTATTTGGCACACATTAAAGGGAATGTACATCATTGGCTTTTGCTGTAATTTTCAGAAATGAACTATATGAGGGGTTAGTATAATAGATCAAATATTGTTTAACTGACATGTTAGAAGTTTTGTGTTCGAAAATGCTTGAAAAACCAAGAAAACAAAAACGTTTAAGTAGTCTGGTTCCCTGACTCCACTAAAGATAAAATGGATCAATTCATAGATGTTGGAAAATTGTAAGGCAAGGGAACCAGTCTAGCTGGCCTACACCCGTTCATGAACATGTAACCAATAGCAAACATAATTTGTACTGGAAACAAAAATTGTAAATTTGGAGCAGTAGTTGAAAAATAGTTAGGTTTACCGATGGAAATGTATACAAAAATACCATTTTCTTGAAAATGACTTGACACCAGGTGCCATAATTTTACAGGATGCTTTAGACTGTCATTTACCAACATCCTAGTAAGGTATTTTGTAAAAACTTGGTAGTTTTATTTTTGGATGTTTGCAAATGTTGTACATTCCCTTTAAACAGTATATGTCAACTTTTTAAAAACTACTCATATTTCAAGAGATATACATGCAGTACAGAAGGGATCAGTTTGCTGAAAGTTGGCACCATGTGACCACTACATCCAATTTGTAAACATGATTCACATGGCCTACGGATGCATGCTTTTCAAATTAACACCAGATGAGATCAGATCATTCCTCTGTTAATGTTGCTTTTTTGGGGGTCGTCTTTCATGAACATGAGTGTCTTATTCCAGACAGCCAGGGAAGATGTTCACATCAGATGCACTCTAAGCAGAGAATGTAAGGACTGATATACAACTAGATATGAGGAATAATAATAATAATAGTAATTTGGGAGGCTAATCATCCTTACTCGCAGCTGGTATGCTGAATTGCGAAGGACGCGGCTACAACGTGGTTGGGCCGCTGGCACGTGAAGGCGCCTATGGCTGCCGGTCACATCGACCCATATATGACCACGAAGCACAGCCTGAGATCGAAAGTGTTTGATTTTTCCGGAGGGAGGAAAACCGCACAACTCTACTCACATGCCATCCGCGGCCAGGATTCGAACCGTGGTCACCTTGGTGAGAGGCGAGCGCTTTACGCACAAGCCACCCAAGCCACCCAGCATGCATCCGGGTGTGAGCACACAACAGAACTAGTGCTGAAATGAGTGTCGATGACGCCAGTATTTTGTGTTTGAAACGCTAATAAGATTGTTTAGTTGATTTCAACTAATTCAGCGAACTAAATTCAATGCCATTTTTTTGGGGTAGAACCAGGCTCACACTCTATAGGCACTTCAAGCTCCTTAGGCCATTAGGGTTAAAAAAATGCGTGCACGCCTCGTCTTTAAGAACGCGTTCGGCATGTGCGCTCATGTGGTTACACCTCAAAAATGGTTTCTAATTTTGTTCGCTGAATTAGTCTGTACATACTACGGTTGGAGTGAGGGCAGAAATTGCAATGGTAATGCATTGTTTCAAAAGTTCTTACCTGGTTCTGGGTACGCTGAACAATGCCTTGATGAGTTTGCGTCGGTTGATCTTTGTGTTCAGATCCATGCAGAACTCCACTGCAGCCTGCCACAGTAAGAAAAACAAAATCCTGATGATAAAGATCTCATTTTCATGATGAACATCGGGGAAAATTGAAATTCCGGTGGATTTCTATATTTTGGGGGGATAAAATAGTAATTTGGGAGTGTTTGAAATTTTTTTTGAAATGGGACTATTTGCTTCAACACTAAATTCTAAGAAAACATCACTTCATAAAAATTTTTTGTATTTGTTTGTTTTGGGGGTTTTCTTTTTTTTTGGGGGGGGGGGAGAGGGGTTGGGGTAGGGAGGGGGCTATATAGATTTTTGAGACAGCTAAAATCCCATTGAGACCTCCACAATCCCCACTAGCCTATGCCTACTTTGCCAACTGAAGACCAGTCTATCACATCAGCAAACTTTACAAACAGGTTTTGTTGCAAACAGGGTGGGTAAAAAAAAAAAAAAAACCCAAATGCTGGGACTATTGTTTTATTGAAGTTCTACATGTAGCACTTTCTAAATCTAGGACATGAAAGCCCAATTCATAAGCTTTCTTTCAGTACAAGAATCATTCAAATCACTCATGTACTTTTCAAGTTACGGAATTTTAAACACAACCACCGTTTTAAGGTTCTGTCCACGGATCACAAAAAAAGGTGTGCGTTCTTTCAGCAAAACAAAAACAATTCACACACATCCTTAGGTTATTTGTTTTCGTTTTGCTGAAAGAACACTGAACTTTTTTGTGATCCGTGGACAGAACCTTAAAACGGTGGTTGTGTTTAAAATTCTGTAACTTGAAAAGTACATGAGTGATTTGAATGATTCTTGTACTAAAAGAAAGCTTATGAATTGGGCTTTCATATCCTAGATTTTGAAAATGCTACATGCAGAACTTCCCTAAAACAATGGCCCCAACATTTGGGTTTCGGGTTTTTTTACTCACCCTGTGTTGGGGTTAGATGTTTATGAGGTATGGTACAGACCTTATCAATGAAGTCTCTGTTGACGCACTGCGGGAGACGTTGTAAGTAGGCATCTAGGAGCATCTTCTTACTCATGTTGGTTACTTGTTCCGTCTCTTCCTCCTCTTCTTCAGTGTCTGTGTGCAAGACATCAAGGTAAGACATAGAAAACAATAAAGTCCAATCACTTTGAACAAAATCTGGGCCCAAATTATATGAGGCTGCTATTACAAAATTTTAAAGATACTTAGCAAATTGATTATCTGAGCAACTATCAGCTGAGAACAAGGCCTAATTTCATGGCTCAGCTTACTGTTACGAAAAATCCCTGCTTACTGTAGCAGAAAATTCTATGCTTACAGTAAGCGTATTTCATGGGTAAGCGGGGAATTTGGTTTCTGTGCATGCGTACTTCCCGTAACTAAGGATTCTGTGCTTACAGGGTTAGCACAAATTTTTTGTGTGCTAGCGCTGTTAGCACGGAATGGTGATTGTAAGCACAGAATTCTGTGGTTAGCTATGCCATAAAATTGCGCCCAAGACACAAGCACTATATATAGAGAATGAATTTTTTGCTAGTCGCCTGAATTTTGATTTGGCATTGTGCCTAAATGTATCAATTAATTACAAATCTCCAATAACAATTGAAAAATTGGTTAGCCGTCAACATTTCAGAACCATTTTTTTCATTCCACATTTGCTATCATTCCTATTTCTAAAAAAGTTCACTTTATTGTCACTGCACACCATTCATAAGGACAGGAACATTCACAGTGGTGGGATTGGGCGGAAACAAAAAATCCACGAAATCATAGGCAGAGGGCTTGAGGGTTGCCAAGGTTCTTGTGGGATCTAAGGTATATGTTTGTATTTGCACAACGGCACCTAGTAAAATATCGATTTCAAGATTTTACGAGCCAAATTCAAGATTTCAAAAAAGGTGTTCTTTCAAAATCCTGAAAATGTAAAACAAAAAATCCTGCAATCGGCTAAAATCCTGACAAAAATCCTGAAATAAGGAAAAATCCTTACCAAAAAATGTGAAACCAGGACAAATCCTAGCAAATCTCAGCCCCAACATTGACATATTTTCCTCCCAGTACTAAAAGTCAATATTTCTTTGTTCTCTTTTTCTTTTGAGGTTCCGTTCTAGCTTCTTTAAAAAAAAAAAAAAATGAAATCAAATTTAAAACCTACCTTCTTGTTCCGTTTCGGATGATACCGAGGTGGTCTCAATATCCTCCACTGTCATGTCTTCCTCTGTGGCGCCCTCTATCTCCCCCTCAGGGGCCATCTCAGCTGCTTCCGCCTCCTCTTCAGTTACAAGCTCCGCCCCCTCGGTGTCCTCCAGAGCTACAATATCTACACAGGAGTTGCAATTTTGATGTGCTTAATTTTTGTGTGAATAAACCCTTCTTCTTTCAGTATCACTAGCACTAAGCGAATTGATGAGCTTGGTTGTTTAGAGACCTGCACTGGCATTTAAGAGGTTTTTGGTTCAAATCCCACCAAGCAAGCCAGCAATCTGGGTTTTTTTTTATGTATCATGAGCTGTTGGAAAGCACTGAGCATACCATTGTTGGAAGGGCACACTAATAAAAATCAACATCACTGCAAAAACCATTTTGTCGTCATCACTTTCTAGTCTGATATTCTAGGTTTGATTCGGAGACAAATCATCCTTTTTTTTTTAGTCTGAAGAGTACTTTGGGTGGAAATTAGTAAAAAAAAACACACCAAAAACAGCATTTTTACAGGTTTTTTTCATAAGACGCCCAAGGCTCCTCGCATGATATCACTACCCCAATATGACTGAAGCAAGAAAACACAGCAACTAAAACACAGTTGCAATGCAAGCACCGAGGTAAAAAAATTCAGGTTCTGTTTTTACCTTCACCCAGTTTGTCCAGATCCTCTTGTTTTTCATCAGGGGACCCTTTCTTCTCACTATCTTTAAACAAAATCTGTAAATAGGCCACACACAAAAACAAATATTGAACATTGTTAAGTTAAACAAGGATTGCACAGAATTGATTTATTGAAACATATTAATGTTCATGAAGAGACCACCGTATTGTTTATTATAATGTTTGTCTTTTGAACAATCTCAACTCTCTGAAAACATTAAATTATTTGCCTGTCATTCTGAAAAAGATGTCTAAGCTTACATCTTGACCATGTTTCATTCACAAAGTCTCTGAAGGTGTGCTATCCGACACGTTTTTGGAGATAATCAAAAACAAATCCTGATTTCCTTCTAGGTGACATAATGCTTGACGAATGAACTTCACAAGTTGCTTTTACATAAGTCGGCATATGAATGATCAGTTTACTTTAATATAATCTACATTCCCTGAGTATAAATGTCATTCTATGACAGTGTCTCTGCTAGTGTTTGAGTTTTGATATTGATCATCAATAAGCCTCTGTACTGATGACGTCACACTTTGTTCACATGTGCACTTCCCTATGGAGCCAGTGGGGGCCACAGTCCACTGAGCACCATAGGAAAGCATACACGTAAACAAAGTGTGACGTCATCAGTACAGAGGCTTATTAAAAAAAAGGTTTTAAAATTGTTTCAAGATTTCTGCTGACTCACGCCAGGCACCATGGTCCGTAGATCAATTAGGTTCTCATGGAAGGTCCTCGTGTCTTCATCCTCCCACAGTGAGGTGTCAAAGTCAAACTCCGCCCCTGATTTATCACTGCCGAGGTAATCCAGGGCCATCATCTCACGCTCCTCTGGGGTAATTTCTAAGAAATAAAAAAAAATATTGAACAGAAACCAAATTTATTCATTTTTTTCATTGTATGGATTATTCCATGTCGGACATTACTTGGATGGTTTACAACAATACTACGAGGATCTATCAAAGCCCACTTGAAGCTCATCCATTCACCTTCAATGGTGCGTCAAGAACTTGATGATGCTTGAATCAAACATCAGTGGGGCACAATAGCAGAGAGGCACCCAAGTCATTTGGGGAAAAAAAGGCATTCAAATAGCTCAACTTGGCTTAGTCTACAGGGTGAGTAAAAAAAAATGAAACCCAAATGTTGGGACCATTGTTTTAGTGAAGTTCTGCATGTAGCACTTTCAAAATATAGGATATGAAAGCCCAATTCATAAGCTTTTTTTTAGTACAAGAATCATTCAAATCACTTCCTACTTTTCAAGTTACAGAATTTTAAACACATCACACATAGGGATGTGTGATGTGTGTGAATTGTTTTCGTTTTGCTAAAAGAACGCACACCTTTTTTTAATGATCCGTGGACAGAACTTTAAAACGGTGGTTGTGTTTAAAATTCCGTAACTTGAAAAGTACATGAGTGATTTGAAAGATTCTTGTACTAAAAAGAAACCTTATGAATTGGGCTTTCATGTCCTAGATTTTGAAAGTGCTACATGCAGAACTTCAATAAAACAATAGTCCCGACATTTGGTGGGTTTCTTTTTTGACTCACCCTGTATAACAACAAACAAAACATTCAATGACTAAGATTGGACAATAGACAGTACATCCAATAACAGTGGAGCTGTATCACACACTGGGCTCTGTTCAAGAACTGTAGAATCGCACGCAGTTCGGCCTACTCATGAAAACCAGTGAAGGATGTGTCACAAGCGCAGACTTGTTCAAAAGCACAAACGGCACTCAACCAATAATTATTTTCATCTAAATGAGCTCACTCTTACCAGCTTCTGGTAGATCTGGTACAACCTCATCTATAAGGTCCTAGGTTAAAAAAAAAACATGTCAGATGCACATTAATGACTCGCATCTCCAAACAAATTGAGACAAGAGACGATATACTTCTTTCTGTGAACTCTTAGAATTCCAAAAAGGCTTCTTATTTACAAAATTGAAATTTCTGAACTACTCACTATGAAATGGTCAAATCTAAGTTCAGGGCTGACCATTCTTTTGGTTTTGCACCTGGTTTATCTTCCAATGAAACTTTTTTTCAGGGTTTAAAAACGTGCCTTTTACGCGACTTTTAATACTGAGCGATAAACTAATGAACTCACACGAATTGCCTGCTCAGTTTGCAAGAGTTCTGTGACAGCAATGTTTTTGGTTGATTTCATAATGGCGACCCTTTTTATTTCTATGGTTCTCATATTTGTTTTTTCCTCTGAAGTAGGGTCGGTCGATCGGAAAAAAGAAAAAGATCTGAAAAAAATTGCAGCTGCACCCGTCTAGGTGGCTAAATTAAATGATGCCAAGTGCGTGTTGTCTCCTGTTTTGTTTATTGCAATGAGCTTTATCATAAGCTGATGTCACTGAATAAAACAATAAAACCATATTTGGCAAGATGTAGTCGACTTACATTATATCTGCAGTTTCTGCACCATGACTGTAGTGGCAGGTATACTATAGACACCTAGTATAATGAGAGGCAACATCCTCATATCTTCTGGGACTCCACTCGTTGTTCGAATCTGGCATTCCTTTTCAACAGCTTTTCAAATAACACAGAGCTTGATTGCCTGAATTTTGCATTCATTATTGGGTTTTTTTGTTCATTTGTTATTTGGGGGGTTAATGGGGTTCCACACAGGGTCGGCGGTAATAAACTTTTATTCCTGGGTTGGGAGCCGAAAATAAGATCGGTCGGAAATGAGAACCAAAGAAATAAAAAAGGATGCCCTAATAATGCCATGGGCAAAACTTGTGATTTGTCAGCGTTACTCACTGCATAGGTGGAGGTGTTGACTAGCAGTTTCTGGTAGGAGGACTGCCTCTCCCCGTGTCGTCTCCTCCTGTCTTCACTAAGCTCTCCTTTGGTCTGAAGAGGGAGAAACAGTCAATCATAAGAAATCACAAGTCATCATAACTCAAAACAAGTTATCACCAGTAAATCACAAGTCAATCACATGTCAATCATAAGTCAGTCATTCGCAAATCATCATTAGACCTCAAACTCCAAACAAATCAATCACAAGTAATCACAAGTCAATCACAAGTCCATCACAAATTCATGACAAGTCATCAAGTCTAAAACCTATTCAACTGAACTGTGCTGAGGGCACTCATTTGTCACTACTCATCCCCTGTTACTTGTGGTCTGACTTAAGATTGACTTGATTAAAAGTCAGCAAGACTGCTTCTATGTGAGAGACAAATTGGGACAATTGGCCTTGGGGAAAAATTCAAAAGCAATACAAATCTTTCTGATTATACTCTTGGGAATCATTCTCTATCCGTGTAGATGAAGGTATGCATTCTGCGGGTCCCTGCGTTCCTTCAGCAGTTGCGTGGCCAGGGATATTTAGTGGTTCTTCACGAGGGACTTGTACGCCCTTTAAGCCTGCACTCCCAATCCAACCCCTCCCCCACCTACCCCTCCCCCACCTCCCCCCCCCCCCCCCTCACCTGTAGTGTACGTCGGTTGCGTTTCTCCATATGCTGCAGGTCCCTGTGTTCCCTCAGCAGGTTTTAAGCAGTAACGGGAAGCGATCCTAAGGGAGGGACTTGTAGACCATTTAACCCCACCATCCCAACCCAGCCCACCATCCCAACCCAGCCCCCCCCCCCATGTGCAACCCCCTCACCTGCAGTGTACGTCGGTTGTGTTTCTCCATATTCTGCAGGTCCCTGTGTTCCTTCAGCAGGTGTTTGGTCAGGGACAGGTAGTGGTCCTTTAGGAGGGCCTTGTAGGCGCTCTTGCGCTGGGCGGGGAAAATCTCGCTGGAGGGGAGAGTCAGGTTGAACTTCTCCGCCAAGAGCCTGGGTTAGAAATGATTCATGATGAGTTGAGCACAATGGCAAACCATTCAATTCTAATTGATTGCATTATTAAGGGAATATACAACATTTGCTTTTGCTGTAACTTTCAGAAATTTATGGATTTGGGGGGTTATTATCTTATAGCAAATATTGTTATTCTGACTTGTTTGACATTTTGGGTTCATAGATGCTGGAAAAATCAAGAAAAACAAACATTTTTTTGTAGTATGGTTCTCTGACCCCACTTAAGTTGAAACGGAGTAATTTCTAGATGTCGGGGAATTGTAAGGTCAGGGAATCAGTCTAGCTGAAAATGTGGACTATTATTGGGAGCAGTTTTTGAAACAAAAAGCTTGTTTTTTTTTCCAATGCTGGTCGGCCGACCAGCGTTGAAAATTGATACAAAATACCACTTTTCTTGAAAATGACAGCACACCAGGTGCCATGATTTTACAGGATGCTTTAGACTGTCATTCCCCAACAGGCCAGTAAGGTATTTCGTGATAATGGGGTAGTTGCAAATGTTGTATATTCCCTTAAACCATATTGTCCTTGGAATTTTAACCAGGAAACTTCCTTGGTCCACCAAAATCCACCACTGTGCAATAAGCCATTTGCGAGTAACCTATACCCTTTGGGATTTACATTTGTAAAACGTCTGGTACAATGACTTGCTCAGAATGCTTGGCACATTTTAACTGTGAATTCTCCAGACCAAAGACACAACAGGCAACAATTGCTTTGTTATAGACCAGTAATAGATTACTAACGTCTGAAACTGTGGGTCTCTTCCTGTTGCGGTACAGAATTGGCAAACTTTTCGCACAGAATTTTCCATATTTTTCTTCGTGCTGATGCTTTCCTGTTCAAAAATCTAATTTCTGATCTCGTCTCTGAAACAAGAGAGAAACCTCTTCTTTGGAGGCGACCTATTGTCATCTGCCGACAATATTACGGTGAAATTACGGTGAAATTTGCACAGTTCAAAAAAGCAGACGAACAGTGACGAATGATGTAAACAACAATGGCAGTCATAGCAGAAATATTGCTTCACTGTCCCCCATGGCACATCTCATAAAAACATACATAGATTTACATAGTACCAAACATACATAGATTTACATAGTACCAGCGTAGCTACAACCTCGTACCCGAGGTCACACAACTATAACACAACACGGTGGAAACAACAGTTTCAACAGCGAGAAAAAAATTGTAATGTACCCCGTGGCGGAACATGGGAACATCACTCATGTGATACATCGCTGAACATGCGTGTTTGTGGCATGACACGTGATCGATGATAGACCAATAAAAATTCGCAATCTATTACCATGGTATAACCAAATTAATTGGTACATATGCAAATGGCTCATATGCCATGTGCTGCAACTGGCATTACTTATACAAGAGGACATAAACATTATTTTTAAACATAGAACTTTGTTTCTACCGCGCGCAAATGTTGTCCATTCAAAAGCTTTACATGTGAGATAGCCACCGGACCCAAAATTTGGTGGGAGCAGGAACTCACCTATTTCTACGGGGCACCAGTCCGGCAAAGTCCTCCCCACAATGCTTCAAGAAACTGATGATGATGGAGATGTGGGTGTGGTTGTCTTTATCCGCCTTCAGGACCGATGACAGCAGGGTGTTCAAGGCTGGCAGGCCTTCCTTCTCAGTGAAAACACCCGCCACAATCAACTGGCAAAATCATTCAAGAAAATAACAACAGTTTCATCTATATGCATGCAATACTACTAATGCAGTACTTGTATGGCACTTTATGCGGAAAGAATGTAGTATCCAGACGCCACTTCAGTGGTTGTGTACAAAGTCTATGAAGAGTCAAGAAAATTTTCTAAGTATTTCCTAACAAAATTGGAAATGTTTTTCAGTCCAAGATTCATGTCTTTTCATTATTTTTGCAATGACTGATCTTCAGTGAGATGATATATCAAGAAAAAAGTGGCATCAGGTTGCAACATTGTTTCCCTTTAGGCCAATGTCTCAAAGTGTTCACAATTATTACCCCTGTTCATCAGGCCATGAAACAACTCTTCTGCAGCAGCTCAAGATCAGCACAATCTGGTCTCTACCCTCACAGGTACCCATTTATACTCCTGGGTAGAGAGAGGCAGTTGTAGTAAAGTTTCTTGACCAAGACCACAAGCACCATGTTCCCTGTTGTGGTTCGAACCCACATACTATTGAACATGAGTTGGACACGGTAATCATTGGACCACCGCACTCCACAATTTTGAGTACAGGTTAAATTAGTCAGTGACAACCAAACACTGAATGCAATTCACCGATCCATTTAGCCCTGCCCCCAATGGTATATTGACCAATCACAGCATTGATTAACCCTAACCTTTCCAAATCCTCCAAAATCCTCTTTGCAAAATGGAGGATTTTGCAGGATTGAGGCTACATGGCAAAATTGTGTGGCTGATTTTGGAGGATGCACTTTGTCAAGATCGTAAGCCAGACCTTGTGTTATTTATGCTTAGCCATGCATAAATTTAGGCCTAGATTTAACTTGAAAATCCTCCTCACTGCTCCAGGATGTCACTGGCTCTGCTTCATGACAGTCATTGCTGGAGGATTTTGCAGGATTGAGGCAGTGGCTAACCCTCCAAGGATCCCATTCAAGAAATAACAGATGATTTTGGAGGATAGAGGCTGTATGCATTTCTTACATTGAGGCAGTTGGAGGATTTTGCAAGATTGAGGTTGCATCCTAGCAAAAAAAGCCTAGGGAGTTAGGTTTAATGTCTGACATGTGTGCACGCACGTAGGAAGTGCAAAGCTGGAACATCCAGTGTGGCATTGGTGAGGCGCACATGAAGTTGTTGACGTGCGTAGTGGGCTGGGTCTAATGCATCTTTCTATTACTTTTTTTTAGTGACATACCTCTGCAAGGAATCTCAACTCCACTCTGATTCTGCTGTCAAACACAACCTGGAAACAGAAGCCACATAAATGAACACATTTTGAGGATTTGCAGCACATTTGCAATCACTATTTTATAATAATAATAATGTGTAATTATAAATGCAAGTATCCACCAGTATTGGTGTTCAAGGCTCTACATCATTATTACCCTGCTCATTGGGCCAATGAAACATTCCAAATACCATCTCAGCTCCCTGGGGAGTATACAGCTCGATGCAGCCTGTTAGGCGCAAGGAAGCTAATTCAATCACAATAACCATCTCTGCCCTCACAGGTACCCATTTACTCCTGGGTGGAGAGAAGCAATGAGAGACAAAGTGCCTTGCCCAAGGGCACACGCACCATGACCCCGGGCTAGACTCAAATCCACAACCAGTTCAGTGCTCCAGACAACGAGGCCACACTCTTCATACAATATCAAGTCAATAACAGGAAAGAAAGTTTCAAAGACAGCTTCAAACTCCAGCTTTAACATTCAAAACAATTCTCTGGCCAAATTTAAGTGCAACTTTACCTTCTCTAATGCCTCATTACTTGTTGGCAAAACTTATTTCATCCGTATCTCCATGAAGATTCGCATCAGAATTAAACCTTCCTTTTTTTTAATCCCAAAAGTCAATGGTTGAAATTCACTTTAAGGTCCTGCAAGTTGTATGTGATTATCTGATCTCTAATCCTTGAAGGTATCATTTAAAGGGAATATACATCATTTGCTTTTGCTGTAATTTTCAGAAATGGATGGAATTGGGGGGTTGGAAATATATAGCAAATATAGTTACACTGACTTTTTTGAGGTTTTGGGTTCGAAAATGCTATAAAAACCAAGAAAAACAATCATTTTCCTGTAGTCTGGTTCCCTGACTCCATATAAGAAGAAACAGAGCAGTTTACATACATTGGGGAATTGTAATGTCAGGGAGCCAGTCTAGCTGGCTTGTACCCGTTCATAGGTGTGTAATCGATTGCAAACAAGTGCGATGGTCAATTGGGGCCAGTATTTGAAAAAAAGCCAGTTTTTTTCCAACGCTGGTCGGCCGACCAGCGTTGGAAATTGATACAAAAATACCACTTTTCTTGAAAATGACAGTATACCAGGTGCCATGATTTTACAGGATGCTTTACACTGTCATTCACTAACAGTCCAGCAAGGTATTTCAAAATGATTTGGTAGTTTTATTTTTTGATGTTTGCAAATGTTGTATTTTCCCTTTCATAATGTGTGAAGAAAACAGGTGCATTGATGTGTGCCACAAGAAATGGTGGTGTATCGTATTGTGACTCACTCCTATTTCCATGCGGATTAAACTCACCGATTCTTTCTTGGTCTCCTTCTGTTCATCTTTCTTGGCCTGGGCCGGATGGCATTTCTGTATGACCTGCTGCAGCTGGGACGAGAACTCCGCATAACGCTGGTGCATGAGAGAGCAGACGTGCACGGCACAGCCAATGTCGACCATCTTGAATTTGGACTCCACGATCGTCGTGGCAACCTCGCCGACGTACTTGGTCAGGTTCAGACCGTTGAACTCAGCGGTCAGGGAGTCGCGCTGCTGCTCGGTCATCGTTTTCTGATTAAAGGTGTCATTATTGCTCATTAATTTAAAAATATTGAACACTTCAAACTACTTTTGCTGGGTTGGTTTAACAGTTATCACTAAAATGCTCACTTTGCGGAAAAAAATAGTTACAGTCAACAAAATCATCAAGGTTTCCAATATGGCAAGCTGTCATTCTCAAGAAAAACAGTGAAAGTTTGAAAATTTTTATTTCAAACAGCTTGGAGTCTGACATATATTTGCAAAATTGGTGAAAATACAATGCTATACAATACAATTAACATTATCAACAAAACACATTTTCAAAGAGACTAATAAGATTTTTAAATTACTTTAGCGGATGAATGAAACATAACTTACCAACTTTCGGACAAACGCTGTGTTCTTTTTCATGCTGGAGTCCAGTTTGACAAAGAAATCCTCATCGGGGCGTTCAGCTGTGGAGTGACCGTCATGAAGTTTAGGAATAAACAGTTACTAATATTTTTCCACTTTTTCTTGTCTAATTTTTTATGTGAGACATTTTTCTCATTTGCGATCAGCAAAAAATGCCAGCAGAATTCAACAAAATTAAACGAAAGCTGCAGTCAAGTCATAATATATATTACAAGTCAGGCTCAAGTCAGTCACAAGTCAGTCACAAGTCAGTCACAAGTCAGTCACAAGTCAGTCACCAGTCAGTCACAAGTCAATCACAAGTCAGTCACAAGTCAGTCACAAGTCAGTCACAAGTCAGTCACAAGTCAGTCACAAGTCAGTCACAAGTCAGTCACAAGTCAGTCACAAGTCAGTCACAAGTCAGTCACAAGTCAGTCACAAGTCAGTCACAAGTCAGTCACCAGTCAGTCACAAGTCAGTCACCAGTCAGTCACAAGTCAGTCACAAGTCAGTCACCAGTCAGTCACCAGTCAGTCACCAGTCAGTCACAAGTCAGTCACAAGTCAGTCTCAAGTCAGTCACAAGTCAGTCTCAAGTCAGTCACAAGTCAGTCACCAGTCAGTCACAAGTCAGTCACAAGTCAGTCACCAGTCAGTCACAAGTCAGTCACAAGTCAGTCTCAAGTCAGTCACAAGTCAGTCACCAGTCAGTCACAAGTCAATCACAAGTCAGTCACAAGTCAGTCACAAGTCAGTCACCAGTCAGTCACAAGTCAGTCACCAGTCAGTCACAAGTCAGTCACAAGTCAGTCACAAGTCAGTCACAAGTCAGTCACAAGTCAGTCTCAAGTCAGTCACAAGTCAGTCACCAGTCAGTCACCAGTCAGTCACAAGTCAGTCACCAGTCAGTCACAAGTCAGTCACAAGTCAGTCTCAAGTCAGTCACAAGTCAGTCACCAGTCAGTCACCAGTCAATCACAAGTCAGTCACAAGTCAGTCACAAGTCAGTCACAAGTCAGTCACAAGTCAGTCTCAAGTCAGTCACAAGTCAGTCACCAGTCAGTCACCAGTCAGTCACAAGTCAGTCACAAGTCAGTCACAAGTCAGTCACAAGTCAGTCACAAGTCAGTCACAAGTCAGTCACAAGTCAGTCACAAGTCCGTCACAGGTCAGTCACAAGTCAGTCACAAGTCAATCACAAGTCAGGGTCACTGGTCATTCGGGATAATTGAAGGCTCAACAACCTTTGACCTTTGACCTTCGACCTGGACAAACTTCCCCTATTTTGAGGGACAACTAATGTAAAAAGTGAAGATACATAATTATTTACCTGCGGCAGCGAGGTTCTTGGCACGAAGCTCCATCTTGGCCTGCTTGCGTTCATTGGCCTCAGTCCATGTCTCCATCGCATGCTTCTGCATAGACACACACATTGAGGAGGAGTGACAGTTTGGGAAAGAGTGTCTTAAGCCACTTCTGCATAACATGGCTATGGCTAGCAGTAACACACATGCCTATGGGAAGTGGTTGCAGCGGCTTCCATAGGTGCATGTGAAATTGAAAGCCATATCCATGTAGGCAGCGTTAATCTAAGGACATTTCTCCGACAACGGCTCCAGCTTCAGACACCAAATTCACAAGTTATGGCTTCAGCTGTCATTCATTTCTTGGGGGAGTGGGTGCTTAAATAAAGAGCTTTGTAAGCTTTAACATTGAAGTAAACCTAACATCAAAGCTGTGTACAAGTGCATTATTTATAAAACTGACTTTATGCTACATGCATCCCTTTTGGACATTTATAGTGTTTTTACTTCAAATCTGAATTGTATTTAAAAGGGTGGAATTCCATTAATCATTTCCAATTTTCTGCGGAAGACAGAAGTCGATGCTTCTTACAGAATTTACGCAGTGTTTTGAAAACTTCAAGGTACCACCTTAGTCATAGTAGCATTGATGCGAGTCTGTACAGCAAAGCCTGAAATGAAGAGTACTGAGTGAAGTCGTTGTCTGGACTCATGACAAATGAAATGATCAAGTGATTGCGTAAGGTCTGCCAAAACCGGTCTTTGGCACATCAATGGGATCACACCAATGCAAACATGGCCACCACTCACTACAGACTCAGGCATTTTCTGAGCATTTTCGTTTTGTTTCGTTAGGACATTGGAGAAGAATCTACAGGTGTGACTTTTATTTGTATGATCACAGTCCGCAGCGAAACAGTTGACCATCGTGAGGTAGCATTTATTGACCAATTTTCCTAATGACTTTACTTCGCTTCGAACACGAGTGCGGTACCAACGGCTGGATCAGTTGCCAAGTGTGTGGCATGATCCATCACTAGTATAAATCCAGTGACCTCGCTCGCTATTACGTAACACTTCGATGGTAAATTGAAACCAAAATGGAAGCCACAGTCATAGCCACAGCCACTGTCAAATGGTGCAACCCAAGGAACTGAAGTCAGTCCAGTCTAGGAATGGCTAAGTGACTGAAATATCAACATTTACAAATTGTGTCGATGGCTTACGCATGATACATAAAAAATAAAAAAATTGAAAGAAAAAGAAAAAAAACACTCACTTGTTCTTCCTCTGCAAGTCTTTTGTTCTCTTCCTCTAAAAGACGCTAAAAAGAATCGAAAATCAGAAGAAAAAAAATAGATTACAGACCGAAGGCTGTATAAAACTGAAATCAGCATATGTGCTAAATTCAAACTTCTGGGTAAAGTTTTTTTAATGCCATGTGAAGGTTTTACTTTTTGAATAGCAAAACAGGGCAGCAAGGTTTAGCTGCATTGCGTTTTTCCTTCAAATATAAATAATCATCCCTCACCAAAAAGAAATCTTAAACCCAACCTTTGACCCAAACCCTGCAAGATGCATTACAATTGACGATATACAGGCTGACCTAACTAACTGATACCTTACAAGTTTTCAAATCGGTATTAACCCCAACTACACCGAGTCCACTAAAATCCATACCCGTGTTTTGGAGTATTTCGGCGGATTCAGGATACCTCCATGTTGAAAACAGGGGGATTTTGATGGATTCAGGATTCAGCGGTACTGCAGGATTTTGATGGATTCAGGATACCGCCATACTGAGCAGTCACCAACACCAACATTTTTGTGCATGACACAATAGTTGGATTTTGGCGGATTCGGGATACTTTCTAGTAAAAGTGCTAAAGCGGTTACTATGTTAAAGAATGGATTAATGCACAATGATGACAATTTACAGCCTGCTTGACCAGCATGTACCCACCTGTTCTTCCTCTTCCTGTTTCTTCATCTCAGCGGCTTTCCTCTCTTCCTCCGCCTTTCTTAACTCCTCCTCCTTCTTCTTAAGTGCCGCCTCCTCCCTTTCAATCTCCTCTTTGGTCTTGGCTGGCTTCTTGGTCGCCGCGGTTGCCTCCCCTGACCTCTTGCTGCCATCTCTCCCGGCATCCCTGTCCTTCGCTGCATCTCTGCCTCTCGCTGAATCCCTGTCTCTCACTGAATCCCTGTCTCTCGCTGAATCCTTGTCTCTCCCTGCATCTCTGCCTCTCACTGCATCTCTGTCTCTCGCTGCATCTCTGTCTCTCGCTGCATCTCTGTCTCTCGCTGCATCTCTGTCTCTCGCTGCATCTCTGCCTCTGGCTGCATCCCTGTCTCTCCTTGCATCCCTGTCTCTCGCTGAATCCTTGTCTCTCCCTGCATCCCTGTCTCTCGCTGCATCTCTGCCTCTCGCTGAATCCTTGTCTCTCCCTGCGACCCTGTCTCTCCCCGCATCCCTGTCTTTCGCTGCATCCCTGTCCCTCCGTCGATCACTAGATTTCTTCTCGCCCTCTCTGTATCCTGGTCTGTCTTGGTCTTTGTCCTTAGGTCTGTTTCCCCCACTGGATGTCTTCTCCCTGCCTTGGTCGGAGGCCTGCCTTCCCTTGGCTTTCTGAGCCTCCTCCTGCTTGTTTCTCCCCCTGGAGTCTGCCCTGGGATCTCCCTCAGTCTGTTTCGATGTGCTCTGCTTGTCCTGGGGTTTGGGATCTGGCATTCCACCCTTCCGGCTGCTGCGGTTGGCGGATCTCTGTGCGGAGTAGGACTTCCCCGCCCGCTCCCTTGTGTCAGGCGGGGATGCATCCGATTTGGAGCTGCTCTTACTGACACTCTTCGCATCAGACGTGGAAGAACGCTTGTTTTCTACCAGTTTTTTGTCATCGCCCTTTGAACCCGAGCTCTGACCCTTTGCGTTGTTGTTGGCATTCGCCGTATCAAACTGATTTGATGCCCTCTTTGGTGTGGTCACCACTTGAGCTGTCTCGGTCGCATTCGCTTCAGGGTTAGGGAAAACTATAACAGGTTTGGATGTTTCGGTCGCTCCTACTTTGTTTTTGTTTGGTTTGTCTTTTGGTGCTTCAAGATCTCCACCGTCACCTTTGGCTGTTTCTTTTGTACTATCCATCTCTGACTGGTCAATGTTTGGGCAGTTTTGTTTTGAGACATCTTCTCCATCATCTGCCTTTGGCTCCTTGATTGTGACTGTTTCAGTTTTTCCTGCTTCAACTGGTAACTCAGGTATGTTGCCTTTTCCGGCAACTGTTTGGGATGATTCTAAAATTGTTCCAGAGTCACCAACCAAATCCTCTTCCTTCCCCGAGTCCACCTTTTCTCCCCTATGATCAGAAGCTGATTTGGTTTCAATGTCTCCAGAAGAAGTGTTGGAGGTACCATCCTCTTGATCGATATTAAGTACATCTGGAGCGCATCCTTCCATCTCGTTTCCCGCATCATCGATTGGTGTTACTTCTGTTACCATGGAAGCGTCTCCTCCTGCCTCATTCCCTGCATCCTTCTCTGACATGCATCCTCCATCCTCCGCAACACTGGCTGACAAATCCTCTTGTGACTTTGGTGAACTGATCTCCTCTTGTAAGGGGGAACTTTTAACTGAACAGGAACTATCAGCTTTTGCCTCCAAAGATTCACCGACTGCATCATTGCCTTCATATTGAGGATGTTCACCTTGCAATACTTCTTCTTTTGCATCTTGGGTGGCATCACCTGAAGATTTACTTTCAAACTCGGAGGATGCACTGTCTTTGGTTCCTTCTTCCGTGGATGATGCATTGTCTCCACCTTCATCCATGACATTTTTGTCGGGAGGAATGCCAGTGCTTTCATCCTCCATCATTGCATCTTTGGTGGAGGCACTGTCTTTGTCGTCTATTTTATCTGCCATTGCTGGTCATGTTATACTTCTTCAAACTATCACATTTCAAGCTTGTTCGCAACAACCTTCAAAGACTGAGGGAGAAAAATAAGATTCTGAAATTACTTTAAATTCTTCACACAGCCAGCATTCAGAAACTCTGTGTCAAATTTCGGCTTTACAAGTGAAAGCTGGTGGCAAAATGATGCCAAGGGAAAAATGTATATAAGCATGACATCAGACCCCTGATATTTGATAAAACAAATCTGAACAGTGGGCGGCTTCACACACAAATTTGACAAAATCTAAAGTAACACTAACACTGTAACAGTAACACTTAACAGCCATGACAGCCTAAACAAACTTACTACTTAGTTGTTACAGAAATTATGCATTTCACCCATATACAACAGGATGAACAGTACTTAGTAAAGGTCATTCATGTACTTTTCAGACGACAGTTTATCAACAATTATAAACTAAACTAATCAGAGAAGGCTTGTTGAAAAACGAAAGTTCACAGATTTGCACTTTTTGCAGTCTAGCCTAACTAAACATGACTCAAGGAAATATAATTTAACCGAGTATTGAGCAGCCTACGTGATCATGGTGATGAGCTTTGGTTAAGCTCTGCACTACTTTCCCCGTTTCAGAATACCTCTAAAATGTAACACAAATCTATATAAATCTACAGTTGTAGTTTGAACACATTTTAAAGCTGTATTTGCCTGAAAAATACCTTCATAATTCAGTTGACAATTTTTCCCCTGATTTCGTGGCGATAAAGTTGTTACCAATTGAGGGCGCTATGCAGGTTTGTTTTGTTGCCATTTCCCAAAACTACCAATTGGTGGCGCTATAGCATAAATAATTTGGCGCGCCAGCGGGAAGTTTGAGCCTCAGGATCGTCTTGGGCCGGGGTTTAACAAATTTCTAACGATCTTCAAAATACAATCTGCAGGTAGGTATTAAAATTCAAGACTGCAGTTTTATGAGTGTTGATTGTGTATTTAATTTATATTAGTATTGATACGCAAAATTAATCCTGATCTAACCAGTTGATTCCACTTGAGACTAGTCGACAGCGCGCGACCAGGTCCAGCATTGTGTCCAGCAGGTGACATGACAGTCTCCGCCGCGCCCGACAAACAATGCCCGACGACGGACGGTATTACAACTTTTGACTTTAAATTGTGTGTTGCCGTTTAGACTGTTTCGTAACCATGATCATTGACCATTATTGCCATATTGGGAAAAAATGTTGCAACCTGACGCCACTTTTTTTCTTCATATATCATCTCAATCATTATCATTGCAAAAATGATGATAAGACATGAATCTGGTACTGAGAAACATTTCCAATTTTGTTAGGAAATACAGACTTAAACAATTGTCTTGACTCTCCATAGACTTTGTACACAACCGCTGAAGTGGCGTCAGGTTGCAACATTTTTTCCATCACTTTGCTGCAGCTTATTATGAAAAGTTGATTTGCGAAAACAACATTGGTTGCAAGTGAGTCATGTGAGTGCTAACGTTTAACATGTTTAATTTAAACGTTAGCACTTGCCTAGACCAGTAAATGTGGCTACATGTATATACATAGCCACGCTCCTTTCATATCTCTGGACTTTCAAAATTTCTACAGTACACGTTCATGTTGGGCTCTATGTTTTTTAACACTTTTTTTAACACTTTTTCCACAACGTGATTTTATTTAAAATATAATTTCAAAAAAAAGTCAATGAAAAAGTACATGAAAACGGCACCTAAAAATTATCGCGAGCGTAGTTTCAATCTCTTTCACATATATAAGAAGTGAGCTCCATTGTTAATGAGTCCGTTACTCTAACCGTATAATTCAGGCTTTTCAATTTTTATGAAAACACAATATATTTTTTTCGTAAAATGTACAGGAGGCAGTGTTTCGAAATTGGGCATAAAGTGTATTGTACATATATGTGCGTACATGTTCATGTGTAACTGCAGTGCGGCCCAGATTTAGGACACGTATTTCTGCTCCGACTATTTTCCGATTTTTTCCCCCATATGCCAGTTTGATCTTGTGGAAGGTCTCCCAACCGGGATTTCGAACACGTCGAAAGTCCAGAGATTATGAGCGGAGCGTGGCTATGTATACAGCCACGGTTACGGGTCTAGCAATTGCGACGTTCGTAACCAGTAAAGTTTTATAGATCATTAGTGTTATCATAGGTGTTAGAATTTCGCAAATCAACTTCGCTGCAGCAGAGTTGCATCTTCAGATAATGTAACTTATTAAAATTAGCTTTTGTGTATTGGTCAAACTAGCGATGGAAGTCTTGTAATTATCATTCCGCAGCCTAATTACTGAGTTTGATTTCAAAGAGATTTCAAAAAGATTTTCAGAGAAAGTATCCCTGATTCGCCATTTGTAAGAATAACTTAAGAATGAAACAAGAAATAATCAAGAACTAGGTACGAATTGGAAGCTGAATCAGACCGAATCAAGCCAAATGATTGCGATTCAGTGCAGAATAAAATGGAATTGTAGCGATTTTGTGAAGATTTATATACGAATAACTCAAGAATCATCCAGAATGACCCAGAATTATGCCGATTTAGTGTATTCGTAAGCTATTCTTATAATATTTGTACATTTCTTGATACATTCTTTAATGATTCGGCATGATTCTGGATTGTTAACACCAAAAACAACTCTATGAAACTTGTAAGAATGTTGTAAGAATATCAAGAATGCTGTAAGAATATCCAGAATTGGTTACGAGTAACAAGAATAAACCAAGAACATGTCCAAAGTTGTCGAGGCGCTCCCCGATCTTTAACAATCTTTCACCGAACTAACAGAATCATCCCGAGGCAGCCAAGAACCATTTCACAATTAACTCAAGAAGTGCTTTTCACGGCGATTCAGCTTAAAAATCGGGAATGTGTGAACCTGGCATGTGTGAACCTAACTATGTTTGAAGTTCCAAGGAGTATTAAGTTACAAGGAAAATATGAGATTTAAAAAACAATACAGCTCTTTTTGTATATTTATAATATTGTCATGATTGTAATGTTTTCAACCATTGTTTTCATAACTGTTTACACCTTTCACAGTTTCCGGAGAGGACATCATTCGTCACCATGTCTGATGATGAGTATGCATACGATGACTTGGACAGCTTGACTGCTCTCCTTGATGAGGACCAAGACTCAAATCCTTACAATGAGGATGCGTCAATGTGTTCAGGATCGTCCACAGTCAGAAAGTTTACTGTGACAAAACAATCCTCATCTCAAAGTAGATTGGGTCAAAGTTCACTTCAGGGTCAGGGGTCATCAGCACGGGATCCGGAGCCAACGCAGGATGTTGGGGCATCTGAAGGCCAAAGCGAGGATGAAGAAACAGATAAAACAAAGACTAAGGAGGAATTGATAGGTAAAATTTTTTGCTTTTAAAAATTTACCAAATAAAAAAAATAACGTAGAGGCTATCAATTGTTTTTACAGCCATAATGCAATGTTCATCTGCTATTTTACAGTATTGCAAAAACACTGTCACGAATCTATACAATATACCTTCCAACCAGAATGCTTCGGTAGATAGTTGGTTAAAAAGCTGGACTACCATGCTGAAGGTCCCTGAATCAAATCTGTGCTATGCCAAACTTTTTTCCCTTTTATTTTGTTCTAATATTTTCATTTACTTTAATGTTTTTCATCAAATCCTACTTTTTATTGAAGTTAATTTCATTTTCTTCGTAATCCATGGCTTTGGAGGATCTTTTAAGGGAAATAAAGTCCAAGTACCATTCGGTTCATAGTCTGGTTCCAAGAGCCAAAGATCCTGACGTTGAATACTACTAGGCCGGGGAACCAGATGGTCGACTGCCATAACAATAGCCACTGAGAAAAAATTAACCAGTTTCTCATCACTGCCTGCTTCCTTTTTTTGCCTACCTCTTTTTTTTTTTTTTTTAATACAATATATTGTCTTATTATTGTTTTTAACAAAATTGTAGCTTTGTAGAAAGGGTTACGGGTCCTTTGAACACAATTTTGTATGGCAAAAAAGTTGAGAAAATGGAAGAATCAATCCACGATCTTAGAAAATCTGCTATCTTGGTGGAAAAAAAAGGGGGAAGAAAGCACCCGCCTCCATTTTTCCAAAAAGTTAGGATGAGAAACATATTTTTTTTAATTCAGCCGTCTTGCTTGAAGTCAGTCTGTAGTTCATTTATCAAATTGAGATGAGAAAAAAATTAAGACAGCAAATTTATAACAAGTATTGCTACAAAGGTGCTTAAGGTCATTATTTTTCTACATGCAAAAACGTGTCAAGTAATTTGGAAGTGGTGCGAAAAAATGGTGTGGAAAAAGAAAAGAAGTTATTTTTTATTTTACTTTTCTCCAGCTTGAAAGTTAATAGACCTTGTATATATTCATTGCTACTCAATTAAGACAACAAAAATGCCCTCTATTGGAGAGATGTGCCTTTTCTCAAACTCACAAGCTTGTGAAGTTGGATTTTTATGTTATTTCATTAGATGAATTGAAGCGGATGAAAGAAAAGATGAAACTCTTGGAATCGCAGCAGAGCTCTGGAGGCGTCAGCCAGACGAAGCAACCGAGGGAAACCTTCTCGGACGCCATCTCAGTTCACGTCGAGGTCAAGAGAGTCACAAAGAAGAGGAAACCATCGGCCGACCGCAAATCTCCTGGAGAGAAGAGACCGTACAGCGCAGAGGAGATAGGGTCCATGGCAGGTACAAAACTAGTCCGGAAATTGAAGAATGTTAAAATATCCATTACATTAAAATTAACTCGAGTGTGGGTGTGAGTTTGTTTATGGTGTGAATTGAGGACACACACATGCAACATCGTCAGTGAATCGAGGACAGGAACCAAATCGAGGACGACTTCGATTAGAAATTGTGTACAAAACCAATGAGAGCTGTTGCAAAAAAGTTTTAAGTACAAACAAAGAAAAAAGGAAGAGAAACAAAGGAAAATCCTTGATTTACACCATAAACAAACATGCTAGTGTGTGTGTGTGAGAGAGGAGTTGTGTTGGTGCAGTGGTACTTACTTGAACAGCCATCTATGTTGCCTGGGTTCGAATCCCATCCAGGGTTTCAGTCCCTGCCAGATTCTTTATGTGTTTTTTTTTTGTCTGTGGAATATCATTCTTGGACTTTAAAGGTAATATATTACATTTGCAAACATCGAAAAATAAAAATTAAAAACTATAAAATTTATTATAAAATACCTTACTTAACTGTAAGTGAATAATAGTCTCAAACATTCTGTGAAATCATGGAACCTGGTGTGCTGTCATTTTTAAGAAAATTTGAATTTTTGTAGCAATTTCCATCTTTGGAAAAAAACTGATTTTTTTTTCAAATACTGCCCCAATTTAGCCAGCTAGTCTGGTTCCCTGACCTGACAAGTCCCCAAAGTCTATAAATTGTTCCATTTCGTCTGAAGCAGGGTGAGGGAACCAGGCTACAAGAACATCATTTTTGTCTTGATTTTGCCAGCATCTATGAACACAAAACTTTAAACAGGTCAATGTAATATTCGCTATAAAATACTAACCGCAAATATATCAATTTTTGAAAACTGCAGCAAAAGCAAATGTTGTATATCACCTTTAATTTATCAACATTTCTTCATTGCCCCCTCTCTTGAGGTTTTCTTCTGGCTTTTGAGCTAAGGTGCCTGTTCATCTATGGGGAACCCTTGGTTTTGTTACCAGAAAGAATGACATGCATAATAAACCACCCAGTCCAAGACTTCTGCAGTACTTCACAAGTAAATGTTATCAACAGAACCGTCTGGTACCAAGTCCTCTTTCTGTACATTCTGTCCCTAGCCATGCACCAGACTACTACAAAAATAATTGCCCGTTTCTTTCAAAAAGTTTGACGCATGACAGTCCTGGCTTGTACTTCAAAAAAATCTCAACGCCAACAACTTTCTCGAACAATTTGTTCTACTTTTTATTTGCTTCCAGATTTTATGGAAACGCCGACACTGACCAACCCTGAGGACTGGGGCGATTCAGATGAAGAGGAGATGACACAGGAGGAACCAAAGAGCGCCCTCTTTGGCAAGAATAGCAAGAGAGTAGCCCACACTCCCAAGAACGTCACCAGGAAGCCAGACAAAGGTAGGGCGGTTCCTTGTAAGTCTTTTATGAGTTGAACAATAGGAGAGAAGCTGTTTTCTGAGAGATTAAATTTTGGGGAACTTTCTTGTTGTAGTATTGCACAAAAATCTTCTGAGTAGCGCCCCTAGACATTGACAAATTCAGGCGATTTCACAATACAGTGCGCCACCAAGAGTTTGCCATGGAGAGTTTATCTTTCCCAGTGCATTGTGGGAGATGGTCCACAAAGTTGCAGTGCGGGACATTTGAAATTGTTTTTCTGGTCAGTATAGTTTTGTAAGCATATAATTTGAGTATCTGTTTGCCCATTTCTTTTCCGTTTATCAATTTGGTGTGTTTTTGTAAGGCGGCAGAACGCTATTCCCCAATCTATAACAAATTAGCTAAAGTTGTCTGCTGACGCTCATTCAAATGGGTCGTGTTATGTCGACCGTAAACTTGAAAAATTGACTCTCCATGGCAAACTCTTGGTGGCTCACTGCATTGTGAATCGCCGAAATGGGGAACCCTCAACATAGGGCTGGATAGCTCAGTTGGTAGAGCACTGGAACGGCAATCTGGAGGTCGCGGGTTCAAACTCCACTCCAGTCAATTTCTTTGTCCAACTTTTCAAATAGTCACATAGAAAAATGGCGAGAAAAGAATTGCGCCTTAGACTAAACGATTTCCTTCAAGAATCAGGACTGTGGTGATATTCTAAAGTGATTTTTGAGTTCCTGAACATGTGTTCAAGAATTTTTAATCTAAAAATAAATGTCAGAATTAAACATTTTTAGTTCATATGTTTTAACCATCTTCAAGATAATGCCTGTCTTTTCATTGCCTGAACAGCTTGCAACACCTCCCCACCACAGACACTTAATTTTCCGTATTAAATGTTAAATAATGTATCTGAAATGTTCCAAAAGCTTATTTATGTTTCTATAAGTTATTGATAATGTGCTCCCTCGTTTTGGAATTTGTTTTAAAGTGAGTCCCTATAAATGCGAGCTGTGCAAGGAGCTTCTTGACACCAAGGAGGCGTTGGACGTGCACATGTTCAAGCATCGCAAGGAGTCGCCCCAGGATTGCCGAGTCTGCGGGATGTCCTTCAACAGCAAGCTGAAACTGGAGGCCCACGCTCGCATCCACAGGAACACCGCCAAGCCCGGCGTGTCGTCGACGGTTCCAAGTGCCAAGAAGGCTTTCTCGGGGAAGCCGACCGGTTCGTTCCAAGACAGAAGGAAGGACGATGTTGCTGGCAGGGGGCCAACCACGACAGCTGGGAAGAAAGAGAAGCCTGAGCACGTTGAGACCAACAAACACTCGCACATCCGAATTCTGTAAGTTGTTGGCGTGCTTTGTATAAATGTGGTTTTCTAATTTAATCCAGAGTTTGATGAAGATCTAAGTCAACTTCTATCATCTTTTTTTTTCCTTCAAGGAATCCCCTTGTTTCTTCCTCCAAGCTAGAATCCATGATGGAAGGGCGGAAGATGCTACGTCTTTCTGTCCTCCAGAAGTATCTTGACACTGGGCCCATCAGCGGGGACTGGGTCACTATGGGGGTCATTGTGTCCAAACTGCCCCCTAAAACGAGCAGCAAGGTAGGCCCCGTGGTATTTCCTTTAGGGCATTACAGGGAACTTAGGGTAAATTTTGTCCAAGTTTGAGCGGGAAATTTGGTTATTAGTAGTAACTAACTTTTCTCTAGTTTGACTAAAGTGGAAATAGTTGAATATTTGATACCTTTCCACTGCGGTCGGACGCAACTGGTTTACCAATAGTGGAGTGCCGTGGCCTCGTAGTCTGTTTGTGATTTTTCGGCAATTGGCCAGGATAGCCCACGAAAGTCTCTCGATTTATTTCCATTTGGGTCCCTTGTTAGAAGATGTGGAAGGAAATTACAGGTTAAGTGGTGGGAGGACAACCCCAGAATGATATTCCGGGGAAAACCCACGGAAGGGACTGAAAACCCAATCCACATATTGGCCCAGGCAGGATTCGAACCCGGGTCTGGAGCATTGAATTCAAGGTCTGCGGGTAATTCTGCAGGTTGTGGGTTCGATTCCAGCCTGGGGTTATGGTGCGTGTGCCTTTGGGCAAGGCGCTTTGTCACTAATTGCTTCTCTCCACCCAGGAGTAAATGGGTACCTGTGAAGGCAGAGATGGTTATTCCGATTGAGTTTAGCTGCTTTGCGCCGAAATGGCAGCATTGAGCTGTATACTCCCCAGGGAGCTGAGATTGTCTTTGAAAGTTTCACTGTCCCAATGAACAGGGTAATAATGATGTAGTGCCTTGAGCACCAATACTGGTGGATACGTGCCCTTTATAAATAAGGGAATAAATGTGTGTTCGGGAGGTATTATAACACTCTGTTTAAAACCGGTGTGAGTCTGGATGGGTGATAATTACCCGAGGCGAACCCATTCAAAAATACCTTTTTAGTCAAAAAAACAAATCTTTTCGGTCGAAAAAATCAAAACAGTTAAAAAAGTAGACGTTGTTAACCATTTTGTTCAACAATTTTACTTAATGTTTTACGAAACACCCCTCTGACTATAATATGGAATGACCCTCCACAATTGCGTGCGTGTTGCGCATTCCACCTCCATGGTCGTGCGTACTGCGCGATGTCGCGCAAAACGCAGCTGGGCTGGTGTAATGTGAATTTCGGACCATGAAATACTGATTCACTGGTAGTATTGCGCATGCATACGTGAGGAATGTGAACGTTCAACCAATGAAACGTTAAAAGGCACCGGATTTCATGGGAGTCCAAATTTCATGTGACACTGGAAAAGTGTTTAGGACCAGCTAGCCATGTCTTTATCATCCATTTAAGACCGGCCACGTGACGGGCTCTCGACCAATAGGAATGCGTAAACTGTCTTAGGTATTTATGAATACACATTACATGTTACAGAATAAACAACAGGGAGTCGGGGTAGCATTTGTTTCATAATAGCGCTTGACTGTAGTTGGTCTTGGAGAGCTTCCCAATGTACTGCGCAGGAATTAGTTAGGATCAACCACCATTCAACCAGTGCTAAGTACAGTTAGTCATACCAATAGCTGGCATTTTGTTTTACCAGGGCAAGGCCTTCAGTATATGGAAGTTGTCGGACCTCAGCATTTGCGATCAGCCAGTCACCCTCTTCCTGTTTGGTAAATCCCACGACGATCACTGGAAGACAGTCCAGGGCTCGGTCGTCGGCCTACTCAATGCCTCGGTCATGCCTCCTAAGGATAACGCACAGGTAATATTGCTTTTCTTCTTTTTTTTTGTATCCATTTTAGACAGATGTTCTAATGTTGTGCCTGAGCAACCCAGGGGAACCCAAAAGATTGTTGGTTTCAGACGGCAAATATTATGTATTGTTTTTCCATTGGCTAGACTCTTTGAGTTGTTCGAAATGACTGCAAGAGTCGATCTTCCAACTTGGTAGCTCCTAAACTGTTTTAATAAATGTTGAAACTTAATTCTAATCTTCTGAATAATTTGGTGCGGCGCACTTCTGCAGCACATGTCTGACCATGAATGGGAACCGTTTACTGCGTTACAAAAAGAAGGTCAAAATAGCGCCCTCAATTAAGAGTCCGCTTTCCGATTGTGAAAGAGAATGATTGCCGTACGATGTGAAAAAAAATTTCCAATCGTTTTTATGAAATTCTGCTTGAATGAGCCCAACAGAAATATCAGCACAACATGAATTGCGCATTGTTGAAATGATTGTTGAAGTGTTGTGTAATAGACCATTATCATGTTGCGGCCGTCACGATTTTTTCCCCATTCAAATCAACGTAACCAAAGCGAGGCTGGAAGGAAAAATAGTCTGGTTCCTTTTTGCACAAAAACTTTATCATTCAGTTCTGTTATTGGATACAGGAAACATGACTGAAATGGTGGCAGCATGATAAAGGTCTATAAGGCAATAAAGTCCATAGTCTGAGACTACATAGAAACCCGAAAGTTCCAGTTTTGAAACCTTGTAATATTCCTAATAAAATATTATATTTTGCTCTGATTTTTTTTTTAAGTCGTGCCTGTGACCACAGATTTAGCTAAAAAGTCTTCATTCTTGAGCACTCTATGTCATTGTTATTAGTCAGTTAAATAGTATACCTTACTTTAGTTAATCGTAATAAACACGATTTGAGTTTAAAGACTTTTTCCCTTCGTTAAAAACAAAACCTGTTTCTCTTTTTGCAAAAGGATGATGGCGTGTCGTTGAGTATCGACCACCCTGACAAACTGCTACTGCTGGGGACATCCAAGGATTTTGGTCACTGTCGCGGTCGAAGAAAGGACGGCAAGGCGTGCTCCATGGTGGTCAATATGTAAGTCCAAATCATATTCTCTTTGTCATTGACAATGGAAGTAAAAGATTTTAAAACTTGCACCACAGAAACGGGCACTTTCCAACTTCATGATGTGGCCCTGATGTTTTTGTTTTTTACGTTCAGGGCTGTGAGTGAGTTTTGCCAGTATCACGTCCAGAGTGAATACAAGAAGCACAGTGCTAAGAGAAGTGATCTGCAATCGTCGTAAGTACTTTTTGATCTGAACAGATTTCAAACGAGCTTTTAAAATCTGGTCTAAGTGCCTTACACCCACTGCTTACTGTGATTATGTGCGAAAAATACTTCAAAATTTCTTGGGTACGACTGAAAATTTCTGCTAAAAAATGTAATATCGTTCAATACAAATACATGAATCAGTCAAAATTTATTAAAAGATACGTCATAATTGTGCTAAGAGAGTGCACAGGAATTGCAAAAAATTGTGTTCCTATTAAATCATTTTGAGTTGTCAAATTATATTTTTTTATTCAGAAAAAGATAATTTAATGAAAATGAATTTAAGCAAACCTGAGTAAACTTCAAACGTGTGTTTTCATCATTCTTTATATTCCTTCATTAAAAGGGCTTCTATACATTCTATACCAGTTCTTGCTTCTTGGCTAGACTAATGTATCATAAAGAATTAGCATCATATTTTTCATTCCTAAAGAATTTTTAAAAATTATTTTTCTTCAATTTCATTGGTCTTTCAGATATGGTGGGGTGCATCCAAAAGCCTTCAAGAAGAAACTAGGTACGAACATCATCTATGGCGGCCAGACTTACAATCCTGTTAGGTAAGCCTCTAATTTTATTTTAACTTAATACCGAACACATCATCTTCATCAAAAATATCTTGTCTGTGTTTTAAACTACAAAACGTGACTGTCAGTGTTGGGCACCTTCCCGGTATGCCGTGATTGTTAATGTGTGATAATAGTGGATTGGGACCAGTGAATTACCGACTCTCACATCAAGACTGGTTCCGGCCCTCCTTGCAAAATCTAGCAACGTAACACCGGTAGCAGTAAAACACCGGGAACCAGGTTAATTGGTACTCTTGTCCATGCAAGCCCTGCCTCACTGGTACGCACACAGTGAACCAGTGAAATGTACATGTAAGTGTCCTTCTCGTAGCCACGGAATACCCATGGATTCATTAACCACAAATCTCTATTTTCTCCGAAAATACAGTGCCTCCGTCGTCGGGTCTGGTTCGACGTCCGGAGCCAAGAGCAAGAAGAAGGAGACCAAGGTGGCTCTGCAGAGCTTGGGAGTCAAGGGAGCCAAGGAGATAGAACAAGAGGCACGGGATAGCGTCCTGACGCTACACGGACGGCAAAACAACGAGGATACGATGATCAAAGTGTCGGGAGCCAACCAACAGTTGTAAGTCTCTGACTAGGTTTTGGCTCGGAAATATTCTCTTTGTGAACGAATTGATCAAACTGTTCGTTATTTGGTTATTATTTTGGTTTGATTCATCCCAAAACTTATTTCAAAATGCGAAAGAGCATGTGCCAAAAGTTCTTATGTCAAAAACTCTTTAAAAAGTCCAATTTATATTTTTTTTTAAAAAGAGGGAGAACACACAAATTGGGGTACAGAGTGAAAATAATGACAAGACTGATAATTTGAAAAGGTGATTGAGTGATTCGTTGTTGACAATTTTGTTGTCGGCATCGTTGATACAGTATTTACCAAATAACACGGAAAATAATTTACCTATTTGAAAGTAACTGGAGAATGAATGATTATTAAAACCTGTCAGCAACTTATCTTATAAGTTGTTCATGCACTTGTATAAAATCATGCTGTGGACAACATTCACGGATTTAAGTTTCTTTTTTGTCGTTTTACAGCAAGGAAATGCTGAGTACGCCCTGCTTGGGATCTCAGAATCTCATTCGCCACATGGTCAAAGTTGAAGAAGGTAATTTGACGTCATTATTTTTCAAAGTTTGTATAGCAGATAAAATTGTATTAACCAGTTTACGTCGGATGACGTGTATACGCACAAATGTTTTGCGGTATTTTGAAAGGATGACGGATAAACACGCAGCGAGCGAGGCTGGAAATATCTGTCTGCGACCCGCTCCCAGCGAGCGAGGCCGGAAATATCAGGGTGTGCTACCCGCAGATGATGGCCTGAAACCGTCTGGCATCGAGGTTCGTGAATAAAAATCCCACTCCTGGGATCGGTCAAAATAACTTGGCGCGAACTGGTTTTAAGTTTGTTTCCCAGGGTGGTAAGAAAATGTTGGTTTGACACATGGGTACTTCTCATTACTAAAGATGATGACGTAAACAGGGTTAGCGCAGAATTTCAATTGCTTGCGCTGTAAGCGAAGAATGGTGACTTCAAGCGCAGAATTTCATGGCCAACGAGGCCACAATATTGAGACAAGGACTAATGGTAAAAATTAAAGGAGCATTTTTGGGGTTTTTTCTTTGTGTGTGTGGTCAAAGTGAGCAAGCCAATTAGCACCATCTCTGCCAAAGCTCTCCTGAAGCAACATCAGGTCGACATGCGGGCAAGACAAGCGTCCAGATTGGCTGGAAACAAAAGATGGTCATCCACCTCATCGTCAACTTCCGCCAAATCGTGTCTGGGAGAAAGTAACAAAGGAGCCAGCATCAATAACAGCAGCTCTAAACCCCGCCCAGAGCAGAGGGGAATGCCCTCCCAAAGTGATGTAGAAAACCGGACTCCTGTCCTCGGACGTGGCTTCGGCGAGGATGACGACATCATCTTTGAGGATGCTGAGAGTCCTCAGAAACCCACCGTTCCCTGGAGGAGCGTACCTCCAAAGAAGCGCAGTTCGGGAAGGAATCCGAGTAAGGATGAGGCCAAGAGACAGGCTATCGCCCATGTCCGAACCAAGGGGCAGATCATGAAGGCAGACCCCAACCAAGTCGGTGGGAAGATCAAGGGCGTAGTGTCGCCACGGAAACGGGATGCGGTCAAGAGGAGGGTGGAGGAGGATCTCAATAGATCATTAGAGGGTTTGTAGTTTTCTGAATAAATTTAGAAAGCAACTTGCAACACTTTGTTTAAAGTTGAATTCTCTTAGTCAGAGCTGAAACTTTAATTGACTATGCTGTGGATCACATAAGCTTACTGTGTTAAATCAGAACCATTTTTCACTAGTATTAACCTCTCATGAGAAAATTTGATACAATCACAATAGGTTGCTTCTTAAAGAAATTTCTGCCATTGTCCAAAAAGGTTATCGATCTTGCTGTTTTAAAAACATTTTAGTCTTCAAAATATGTAAATTTTTATTTCCCAGAAATAGAAATGCTTTAGAAATTCATTTGAAGGTTTTAATAAATGTGCATTTCCATTTCAGAACCAACGTGACAAGTTGCCTCATATTTTTTTTATTAATCAGCGCTGATATACATTTCTTTGCTGCATTTTTTCATTATCATCTTTCTTGTAACAGAGGACAATGATTCCGAGTCGGTCGGGCAACCAGCCAAGAAACAGAAGAGGTCGTTTTTGGGTCAAGACATGGACATGAGCCAGGAGGAATTGAAGGCGATTGTGAATGCCAAATCTAAACACTCGGGACTTCTGGCTGAGGTGAGTATTTAAGTCCTTCAGTCTCAAGTCTAGGCACGAGCTAGTCAAAGGAAACGTAACAAAAGCAAAATCCTTCACCCGTGTTGCTTGTGGCAGCACTTGTCATAGGACTTGTGATTATCTTTTGACTGGACTTGTGATTGAAATACAAAAACTGTTTAGTAGGACTGGAACAGATACCCGATACCCGACTTAAAGGTAGAGTCCATCATTTGTAATTTGTGCATTTTGTTCGTTTGAAGCAACAAAAGAGTTCAAAATCTAATGAAGGATACTGAGCAACTAACCTGATGAAGTTTCAGCTAAGCTTCAGCTGTACATTCCGAGAAAAACAGCATTCTAAGATCTCAATTTCAAATCAAAAGTTGCTGAATCATGTTTTGAATTGTTTTGAATTGCAACTATACGCGACGTCGCGCACTGATCCGACGAATTATAACAACCGCGCGCGCGTGTGCGTCGTTCGAATACTTGTGCGCGCTGCGCTGAATAACAAAACGAACTACTAATTTAAATTTTCCTACGGTGCTTCTTAAGAATCACCGTTGGAAATGCCTTCTTTCGTTGATTACTTCAAAATGACAGCTTCCCAGAAAGAATAATTTCACAGGGAGTTTAGTCTCCTTACTATCTTTCAACCAAGTTAGTTTTTCAACAATAATTACGCCAGTTACTTTGCGGATGGCTGCAAATGATGGACTCTACCTTTAATGGAAAGGCAAACAAATACATAGTTGTGCTTCTGATTACATGGCATTTGAAAATACGGTAGGTAGGTAGGGAATTTTTTTGGGGGGGGCAATTTTTTGTGTACGATCATATGGAGGTGTCTGCGTGTAGTCAAGGGTAAAAGGTAAAAATTGATGGTTTTCTGGTTTTTTTCCCCTCATTTTTTTTCCATAAAGAATTAGGGTAGGGGCTGTCAAAATAGGGTCGGTAGGGTAACCGGAAGCAGAACCATTATTTTTTTGGCCTAATATACGACAATTGCAAACTGAACAGCGAAAAACAAAACTACCAAATTATCATGAAATACCTTACTTGACTTTCAGTGAATAATAGTCTCAAGCATCCGGTGAAATCATGGCACCTGGTGTAATATCATTTTCAAGAAAAGTGCAATTTTTGTACCAATTTCCAACGATGGTCGGCTGACCATCGTTGGAAAAAAACTGACTTTTGTCAAATACTGCTTCCAATATACCAAATTTAGTTAGTCCACTTTTTGTTTTGCAATTGTTTACACATCCGGGAACGGGTGCAAGGCAGCTAGTCTGGTTCCCTGACCTGACAATTCCCAGACGTCTATAAATTGCTCCGTTTTGTCTGAAGTAGGGTCAGGGAACAAGACTGCAACAACAATTTTTTAAATATTGTTTTTGGTTTTTCCAGCTTATATGAACACAAAACTTTTTAAACAGGTCAGTGTAAAACAATATTTGCTATAAAATACTAACCCCCCAAATCCATCGATTTCTGAAAATAACAGCAAAAGCAAGTGTTGTATATTACCTTTAAAATGGCCAAAACTCGGTTATTTTTTCTTCGGTTTCATATCCCACAACGTTTTCAGTGTCTGACACAATCTTTTTGAAAGGGGACCCCCACTCCTTATTGACCGATTACAGAGATGCCATTTAGTCATCGCAAGTTAATCCAAACTTGTCCAGTCTCAAATAAAATGAAAAGCTATTCGAATGAAATTTTGGCAAAGGCAATCCATTGTCATCGTTTTCCCCTCCTGTGACCTGATGATGTAAGTCGATATTGACAAGTAATTTAATAAGTGATTGGACTTCCAAACGGCTCGTGACGGATTTCATTACAACTTGATGAGATTGACTCGTAGACTCAAATCGGCAGCTGCGTCGGGATTGATTATTGAACTGTGAGTTGGTTTTTATGTTCTTGTGTCTGTAGGTACAAGCTGAAATGGAAGAGCAGTATTTCCAGCAACTTGAGAAGAAGGAACGTCTGGAGAATCAGATGGATTCAATTAAGGAGAAGAAATGCAGAGTGGTGTCTTGTAAGACGGTAGGAGACCTAGAAATAGATTTGTTTTTCCTGAAGATGCTATTATTCATCCTACAGGGTGGTGCAAAAAGAAAGAAACCCACTTTTGCAGGAATTTTAACCTTCTTACTTAACTTATTTGAACAGGTTTTTTTTTTTATAATCTAGTGAAGTATAGCTCTTCAACCATACGTGGTGAAAAAATCTTTTAAAAATGGCAAGAAAGTATTATTGTGCTAATTTGAAGTCACCAAAATCACTGTTGTCCACGTGTAAGTCTAGTGTAGTGTTTTTTTGTCTTCAAATCAAGCTCCGGAGCTCAGTCAAGTGGATGGAATAAAGCCGTCCGTGGACAAACAGGTTTGGCACATGAAATGTTTTAAAACTGCCGTATCTCAGAGACAAAATTTGCATTTGCAATCATTTTTTCGTCTCTTATGTTTAAAGATCAATATTTCAATACCATTAAATTGAATTTTTGAAAATACTCAACCAGTAGGTGAAAATTGCTGTCAAAAGTGGGTTTCCTTCTTTTTGCAGCCACCCTGTATATCAAAAAAATCTCTGCTAACGCTATCCTCATAAAAAGCTTGTATTCCAAGCTTTGTAGAAACTTTGTGTAATTATATAAGACACATATCCACATATGCTTACATACATTATTATTACCCCTGCTCATCAGGCCTATGAAAAAAACATCTTGGCCGGTAGCCATAGACCTCTCTGCTCAAATCAATTAGTTGATTCTGAACAGTCTCTACAAAGCACTGTGAGAAGAAAAAAAGGGCAACATCTGTGCCTTTTCCCTTCCCTTTACACTTATTGGTCATCATGCATTATTTTTGGTTGTTTCGTGGGGGGGGGGGCATTGTTTGCCAGAATAGTCTTGATATTTTATAACTGTGCGAAATATGAGGGGGAAAAAGTAAACACTAGCTGGTACTGTAATTGTGAAAACTGGTATTGTAAAAACTTCAACTTAATTAAAGGAAATATACAACATTTGCAAACATCAAAAAACAAAACTACCAAATTATCACGAAATACCTTACTGGACTGTTCGTGAATGAGAGTCTAAAGCATCCTGTATAAAAATCATGGCACCTGGTGTGCTGTCATTTCAAGAAAAGTGGTAATTTTGTATCAATTTCCAACTCTTGTCGGCTGACAAGCGTTGGAAAAAACTGGCTCTTCTCAAATACTGCTCCCAATTTATCATATTTAGTTAGTCTGCATTTTCTTTGCAATCGATTACACACATGGGAACGGGTACAAGCCTGCTAGACTGATTCACTGACCTTACAATTCCCCAAAGTCTATAAATTGCTTCATTTCAATTTAAGTGGGGTCTGGGAACCAGAGTACAAGAACGTGATTGTTTTTCTTGGTTTTTCCAGCATCTACGAACCCAAAACGCCAAACAAGTCAGTGTAACAATATTTGCTATATAATACTAACCCCCCTTATTCATCTATTTCTGAAAATTACAGCAAAAGCAAATGTTGTATATTCCCTTTAATTAGCCAGCCCATTTCTGGTAGTTTCTAGAAATAAATAAGTTGCACTCGAAACAGAAACGGTCAGTAATGCCGCACCAAACGAATTTTATTCAGCACTGCTCGTTCAAGTTTAGTTTGTTAATGTGTGCATCATTTTTTCACATCTTCCTACAGTAAAAACTGATGGTTATTAATTTTCTTTCATTCCTGTGATCATTTAGTGCGACTACACATGGTTCGCCCCATCCAAATTCTGCGCTTCGGAAAACCATCACTTGGCGAGACACGAGGCAACTTTGCGATACTTCAAGTGCAAAGATTGCAGCAGTAGGTCCATCACATTCAACCGAATACCCAACAAATCTTGCAGGTAAGACCAGATATAAACCAGGACTATATCATATCACTTTGATTGTGATGGAATTTTTGCGTTAGGCAGGTGAAAATAAGCGTAGTATTTGTTGACCACATTGTTAGCCAGTATTAGCCAACTCCGAACAAACTCTTTCAAAATCATTCATTTTTGGCGATGTATGACAACTGCGCCTGCGTATTACCATGGTGCTATCCACAAAGCAATGCAAGCTCTTTCTTCTAGCATTAGTGAGCACGGATCTCTATTATATAGGGATTAACGTAGTGAACAACTGAGCAAGCTGGCCGCCAGCTGCTTTCTATTGATGCTTTCGAGCGCGGCGATGATCCTACAACACTTTGAAGTACTGGAGTTCTGACTCCTTCCGTTCATATCTCCGTGGTTCTACACAATTCAGCTTCTCAGCTGCGAGTAAGGATGCCTAGCCCCCAATTTTATTTTTTTTTAATTCGGTATTTGGTTTTGCCCTTCATCCACTTAATTTCATGAGCATGGTATATCCAGTGATTTTCAATCCAAGAAAGCTTTTGAAATTTCTTCTTGCAAGCACTCGGAACGCACTTAGTATACAGTTCTCATAAATTTACATTGACGGAGCCCAATGTTGAATTTATAGTGTTACATCATAAATTTGTCTTGAGTTAATAATATTAGGTTTTGCCCTTCACTTATGTATAAACACTATACTCAGTGTGTTACCTCTCAAGTGAAAGTTTGAAAAAATCACTTGGGTGGGACTCGAACCCACGACCTAATTCCGAGAGCAGACATCTTACTGCTCGACCACCGAGCTTGCGGGATCGGTTGGCTGGTTCGAATCTGATGTACATGTAGCAGCGGGTATCGCAATTAAACTATTTATAAGACGAATTTGCGTCGGGGTGATGTAAATCAATATTCTGTTTTGCCTTTCTCCGACTTTGTCTTGAATTGTCAATAAGCAAGATTTATAATTGCTTGATTAGACTGAATATTTAGGAACTGGATAGATGAATAATTTAAGATTTCAGAAAAAAAAACAATTCATAAAATTTTTTGAATGAAGACCATTTTATAAAAGGTTCACATGATTTGTTTTTTTTCTAAACTTCTGGAAGTCAGTGTCTAGTGAGTAAAGTTTTGTTCTGTAGATAAGGTCACCGCTAGAAATGAGATATTTTTGTGGGCAGGAAGAAAAGCGATTCTATTACAGATTCTTGGTAAATTGCTGAAACACAGATATTTCGAAATATAAGTAAATAAGGTATATTTCTTATGTATTCACCATTGTTTCAGAAAAATTTAACAGTATTTTTCCCTAAAAATCATAAAATTGAACAAGAAATTGATCGGAGCAGGTTTGAACCTGCGACCTTCAGATTGCCATTCGGCACGCTACCAACTGAGCTAGCCGGTACTTTTTTCTCTGTGTGAACCTTTAAATTTCCAGTGTGCGTCGAAACTCCGACCCTCGAAAAAATAAATGAAGACAGACAGAAATGGTGACATTTTCCCCCGGAGTGTTTAGACGATCTGCCACAGTAACGCTTACCTAATGTACCTGTCTGTTGACACATCCCACCGTCTGATATTTCTCACTGTTTACTTCAGCAGATTCCTTGTACCGTTAATTTTGTGGGCATCATTCGTCAATTTCATTCCCGTTTGTTTATGTTCGTCCCAGCCTCTGATAGATTGGAAATCCTAGCGCCGGCAAGTTCAGCGAGAGCTTGCACGCTAGGATTGTTATATCAAGAGGGATTAAAGTGTGGATTTCGGTTCAGAAAATTAAAATTTTGTCAGCATTTTTTGTAGGGGCAGTATTTATTTTTAAGCTTGGTTTTTGGAGCAGGCTAGTCAGAAGACAAGGTGTGAAATATCAGAAATTTGCTGGCCAAAATCTTTGAACTATTCTATAAATTTTGGGTCCACTTTTTTTTTTCCTGTCTCTGTTACATTCGACATCTATGATTTTATAATTCTGATGCACTCCTTAATGCAGTCGTCCTCCAAGAGTGATTATGAATAGCAAACTACCCAACAAATAAAAAAAATCATTTGAAGGCATTCTCATTTGAAGTCATTCTCAAATGGCAAATTACAAAGTACCAAGGTAACGAGATGGGAAAATGTCACACTTTGGAAACTGAATTTTTATAGAAAGACCCGTATACAGGCATGCAACTGAGAAGCTGACATAACAGCCGAAATTCCAAGCTGAACATGTTGAACGAGACTTTGTACGTGTTTGTTTTTCAGTTGGAAATGGCAAGCTTTGATCCGAGGAAAAGCTACATGCCTGTGCTAGCTTGTTGTAGTGTCCCAGCTGATGTTAATTGCTTCGGAATATCTTCTTAGCAGTTCACTACGGTGAAATTGGATCAAGGACATTCCACTAATGCTCTTTAACTTTGGAGCAAAAATTAAAATTTTATGTTAGAAAACATTTTTTTATCAGTAGGTCCCAAAAAAGAAGAAGAAAACTGTACAGGGTGAGTCAAACAAACGAAACCCAAATGTCGGGACCATTGTTTTAGGAAAGTTTTGCATGTAGCACTTTCAAAATCTAGGATATGAAAGCCCAATTCATAGGCTTTCTTTCAGTACAAAAATCATTCAAATCACTCATGTACTTTTCAAGTTACGGAGTTTTAAACACAGCCACCGTTTTAATGTTCTGTCCACGAATCACAAAAAAAAAGGTATGCATTCTTTCACCAAAACGAAAACAATTCACACACATCCCTATGTGATTTGTTTTTGTTTTGCTGAAAGAATACTGAACTTTGTTGTGATCTGCGGACAGAGCCTTAAAACGGTGGTTGTGTTTAAAAGTCTGTAACTTGAAAAGTACATGAGTGATTTGATTTGTACTAAAAGAAAGCATACGAATTAGGCTTTCATATCCTAGATTTTGAAAATGCTACATGCAGAACTTTAATAAAACAATAGTCCCGACATTTGGGTTGTTTTTTTTTACTCACCCTGTATGTTTTATTTCCATGAACATTGGTGTTTGACAGACCCCCCCCCCCCCAAAAAAAAAAATTGGGACTTTTCCTAGCAAATCTTGTCTTCTGTGTAAAGAAACTATTCTTGTGATTGCTGCTTCACTGTTCTTTTTTTTTTCCTATACCGAATGTTATCAGACAATTCATGCGTTGGCAATGTCAGCGTCAGGTATTCATAGTGGTATTTTAATGTACAAGTAATGTTTTCCTTCAAAGCAAATGACTTGATGTAACACCTTAGATTTCCATTGATTTTTGTGTGTGTGTACTCACTCTAAGTGCAGCCTTCAAGAAAAAAAAATCAATTACAAAAACATCTGTTCTTGTTGTCAAGTTGGCACTAAAAGGTTCTGTACATTCCTTGAAAGGAGTCCATGTTGATGAAATTGACGGGGGTGTGAAATCTCAGCTTTAAAGCTGATTTCAGCTTTTTTCCCTCACTTGCTGTGTACAAAAGTATAGGAGATTTCCAAAGTTCAGCTTTTTAAAAACCTTTTTCAGCAGTTTTCGGCTATTTTTATCAGTGGTCACTCACACCCCTGAATTGACTTTTACCAAACTAATAAAAAAGATCTGGACAAACTCCGAGAAAAACACATCATTACCAAAATAACTAAAGGATTCTTCATTATGTAAGTCGATTTAACCGTAACCACCCCAACTCTATCAAAAATCCATCCCCCCTTTTTGGTGGATTTTAGGGGACCTGGTCCAGAAGGGCCTGGCGTGATTAAATATTGATGGAGTATGATGGACTTGGGCCTAATGGCCTGAAGCAGTGCTAGGGGTATCCAATTGATTTTGCCCTGCTTCCTGTACTGCTATTGTGATAAAAGCCATGTGTAGCAAGTCCATGAATGTCAACCAGTGCGTCAGTGGTGGATTCCATTATGTCATGTACAGTTTTGTATGGATTTTGATAGACTTGGTCCAGTTCCTTAAGACCCTAGGGAGTTAGGGTTAAACAAGAAATTGATTTTTTTTCTGAATTGGTGAGTTTGTCATAAATCACCTCAATTGTGAAATGTAAGGTGAATAAAGTCTTTCAGTTATCAGTAACAATTTAAGAAGAATCAGTACTTATTCATGCTACATGTACTTTCCGTGTTTGTGTCCATTTTGTACTCCAGGGTTTGTGGCGGTACAAGCTACGAGAGAGCCTCCATGCTTAAGGTGAGATTTTACATCAAATATTGAATTTAGATCCAACATTTATAAGGACAGCTGCCAGACCCAGACATGCAACTGGGAAGTCACAAAAAAAGAGGAAATTCAAATCTTTCCAAGATTTTGTACAGTTTTTTCTATTTTCAATGGCACACATTGGAAGTGAAAAAAGAGGAAATCAGCTGATCCGAGGAAAAGTTGCATGCCTGCAGACCAGAGATATGCGATGGAGGAATGTGTTGTGCTGCATTTGTGTGATAGTGTGCAACCATATTCTTTCATGACATTCTTCCAATTTATCCGCAAAAAGGTCTAGGATTCATGTAGCTATTCCACCAACATTCTTTCAATACTCTTTTGCCACTCTATATTACAAATACAGGCCGAGTAAAAAAGAAAGCGACCTTGATTATTGATTTTTGTTTCTTAAAGGAAATATACAACATTTGCAAACATCGAAAAAACAAAATACCAAATTTTTACGAAATACCTTACTAGGATGTTGGTAAATGACGGTCTTAAGCATCTTGTAAAATTATGGCACCTGGTGTGAAGTCATTTTCAAGAAAAGTGGTATTTATTGTAAATTTCCAACGGTGGTCGGCCGACCACCGTTGGAAAAACCTAACTATTTTTCAACTACTGCTCAAAATTTACCTTTTTTTTTCAGTCCAAATTTTGTTTGCTATTGGTTACGTGTTCATGAATGGGTGCAGGCCAGCTAGACTGGTTCCCTTACCTTACAGTTTTCCGGCATCTATAAATTGATCCATATCATCTTTAGTGGAGTCAGGGAATCAGACTACTTGAACATTTTAGTTTTTCTTGGTTTTTCCAGCATTTTTGAACACAAAACTTCAAACATGTCAGTATAACAATATTTGATCTATTATACTAACCCCTCAAATAGTTCATTACTGAAAATAACAGCAAAAGCCAATGATGAACATTCCCTTTAAAAAGCAATCACATTTGATACACCAATGAAGTATATGTCTTAAAAGAGCATGTTCTTCCACTCATCTGATAAAATGAATTACTGAAATTGATCCATGCTATCAGAAGTTATGCGTGTTTTAATTTGAAAAAACCCTGTTTTTATAGCTTTCCATGGAATGCCATTTGAAGCTGTTGAGTTGAGTGAGAATTACAGATTACACACAGGCATTCAAATACAAATGAGATTTTAATCATTTGAGTCAAGACTGAAAAATGATTTGTTCTGTCAGATTTTTGTGTTTTGAATATGAGGAAAAAGTCAACTCACTTTTTTTCTGAAATACAGATGATGATTTTTGTCTCTTTTCTATTGCAAGTTTTCGTTCACTCGTGGAGGTGGGGAAATGTCCATGTTTCATTGTAAAATAGACTTAAATTGGAAATAGAGCGGGTTACACAAATTGGGTGAAATTTTCACAGTTACTAGTCAATAACATGTACTTATCCCTATAGTTTTTGTGATTCGAGCGAGCCACTTATTTTTACTAAGTATCTTTTCCTAATTCGGTCCTTTTCTTTTTGACAAAACAAACTGATTGAATCACGTTAGATTTGCTACAAACAGCGATAAAACACTTTTGTTTATTTTTTTCCATCAATCTTTTCCAGGAGCGAAAAGGTCCCGTCCTCGACAGCGAGAGACTACTCATCAGAGGAGAGGAACGAAAATGGGTCATGTGATCACAAGAGGTACCCAGGACTCCCCTCTCCCACACCCCCTCCCCCCACCCCCTCCCCCACCCCCTCCCCCACTCCCTCCCCCACTCCCGAACATTCCAATAAGAGTTAAGTTCTAAATATCAGTATTATTTGAGGAATCAAAGAGATGCAGAATTGTATTCGGGGCACATTTATTCAAACAATCAGTAATAGTTTCCAGTAAATTTTAATTATGCAAATTTCAGTCTGAGAGTACTTTGAAAAATGTCAAAAGGTTGAAAGTGTTTCAAAATGTTTTCTCAACAAATGTTTTTCTTCCCCAGTTGGGACTAATTTATGGGGAAAAAAAACAATTTAAAGCAGATGTATTTTCACAGTATTCTGTGCGATCTCTTTGTCAATTTTGGTTGCCGAGCAATATTTCGAGCAATACGTCCTCAAATATCTGTGAGGTAATACGTACAATAGTTGTTTGTTAGATGTTGGCTCTGACAGTTTCAATTACCTTTAACTTTCAAGAGAAGTTCTAATTTATTAATCATAGTGAGAGTTAAGACCAAAAAGTGATATGATGCTAGGGTACAACTTGCACTTAAATAATTTTTGTTCAGTGCAGCAAAATTTCATCCTTTATTTTTTTTTTTTTGATTTAACTTTTTTTTAATTTTGATCTGTCTTTTGTAAATTTTAGCCCACAAATGGTGAGAGATAAAAAGAAAATGTAGTGCATTTGCTACAGCGGTAATTCTTTAAAATCAATTTTAATTATTAAAACGAGTCATTGCATTTACATGTCTCCAAGGTAACTCCAAGTGAAGAAAATAATCAAAAGCATTTCCAGATAATGTATTTATGGCCTTAGGTCTCTGGTTTCTCAGGGTTTTTTTTTATGTACTTCCCAGGATTGTGTCCCGGGAAAAAGGAAATAAACAAAATCTGATCCCGATATCGCTTCTCTGCGTAAGTGATTTTCAGCACATAAAGGTGCTCTTAGCAAGGCCTCCACACTTCTAGAAACGTGATTTATTTCAAAGGTCGATCTTGTAGCTCCGCTGGTCCTTAGAACACTAGTCTCGAGGGGGGGGGGGAGACAAAAATTAATATCAGAGCATTTATAACCCTGTGCCTGTGTCTGTTTGGCCATTATTGATAAGCAACCAAACTGCACGTCCGTGGGGAGCCGTGCTTCAATGCGCGGCACGCTTTATGAAAATGAGCATTGTGAATTTTGGTTATTGATCGTAGAAAGGAAAAATTGTAGAGGACAAAACAAACTGTCAATTAGCATGCTGCACATCAATATTGGCTTGTTACACTAAGGCCAGACATTTGTTCATGGTAAAAGAAAAAAGTTATTAATTATGCTTCAGTGTACATAGCCACCCCACCCAAGGCATTGTACTAATACATTTGATGTATTCCCTAAAGAATGCATAAAACCATAGAATGCTCCGGTAGTTTCAAACTGTACAGCTCAGGGAGAAATGAAAGGATAAACAATATTACAAATTTGTTTTAAAAAAAATTGTAAAGGCAGTTCTTTGTTAATTTTTGATTAAATTACATACATGAACACATTGTTTATGGGTATCATTGTTAATTTAGTGAATGATGTAATCAGTGATCCTGGTAATTAAAATGTATTATTTATTTTAACTGGACAGAGCTAAACAAAATAAAGGTTTTTTGAAGAAGTTTGACATGAGAAATTCCCCAGTGCGTATTCTTCTGTTGTATCCAAATTGTATCCCCAACTTTTCCGGCAAAAAAAAAATTTATGATGAAGCTGATGGTGCATTTACAAAGGTCACAACAGTTGGAAATGCGACGCTTACACTGTTGGGACAAAAATGACCTAGCACATCAATTATGAGCTGTCACATGCACTGAGAATCCACTTACAAGTGTGAAATTTATTTGGACAAAAATTGTAAATGGACATTAATGGTTTCATCTGACCTACTGTAATTTTTCAATCGACCTTTGTCTTCTTTTGCCTGGCTTCCATAAAAGGTGCTCTACAGCTAACAACACAGGCAGTAGACATTCTTGAATTTTTCCCGAAGATATTTTAATGAGGACCCTGTATTATAGTATATGAAGCTATTTTTAAAATCCTAATCCCCTACAGCGATTTACTAGGAACCTTCCTCACTCTTACAAAATCCAACACCATATGGTAATGTTGGACTCTGATTATGGTGGTATGCCTGACACCATGTAAAGCATAATCAGTTTACGAGTGTAGTCCTCACTCCAACAGATTCCAACAAAAAATGCAGTTGGATTTTGAAGGGTTTGGGTGGTTAGGGTTAAATTAAGGATAAATAAGATTCTGACAAATGGTTTTCCTTTCCCTTAAACTTGCAGTAGACATTCTTGAATTTTCCTGAAGATATTTTAATGAGGACCCTGTATTATAGTATATGAAGCTATTTTTAAAATCCTAATCCCCTACAGCGATTTACTAGGAACCTTCCTCACTCTTACAAAATCCAACACCATATGGTAACGTTGGACTCTGATTATGGTGGTATGCCTGACACCATGTAAAGCATAATCAGTTTACGAGTGTAGTCCTCACTCCAACAGATTCCAACAAAAAATGCAGTTGGATTTTGAAGGGTTTGGGTGGTTAGGGTTAAATTAAGGATAAATAAGATTCTGACAAATGGTTTTCCTTTCCCTTAAACTTGCAGTAGACATTCTTGAATTTTCCTGAAGATATTTTAATGAGGACCCTGTATTATATGAAGCTATTTTCAAAACCCTGATCCTCTTGAGTGATTTACTAGGAACCTTCCTCACTCTTACAAAATCCAACACCATATGGTAATGTTGGACTCTAATTATGGTGGTATGCCTGACCCCATGTAAATCATAATCAGTTTACTAGTGCAGTACTCACTCCAACAGATTCCAACAAAACATGCAGTTGGATTTTAAAGGGTTTGGGTGGTTGGGGTTAATTAAGGATAAATAAGATTCTGACACATGATTTTCCTTTCCCTTAAACTTGCATAAAAATGTCAGAGAAAAAATTTCAACGCGAGGAATATTTCATCATAGCCAAAAACAAATTGAAAATATACTGACAAACATCCCACCTTTGCATCTCATAATTTTACGGTCGGGTGACAGTGATCAAAAGAGCAATTCAATTTGTCCACTACGGTTTGCACAAAAGGGACGTTTCTTTTACTTTAATGGAAGTGACCTGCATTGCCTACAATGGACTTAATTGCATTTGAAGACCGACGACACAAACGTGCCTTAAAATTAGTCTGGTACCTATCACGCATCAACTGATGTCGCTGCTGGCATTGATAAGGTTATTGCTGTGCCAAGAAGGAACCAGACAAGCATGGCGGCAGTGTGGCGATTCCATTACTTGGTGCCATAGCAACAACAGAATTTGCTTTTCAACGTCTTCAACACAAAGACCTTTGGTATTAATAATACTTTCCCACTGGGGTTTAGCAGCAGATACCTCGGCTGCAAATCAAAATTGTCCGGCTTGGTAATATTCAACTAAATTCCTAGTCGCTAGGGAAATGCAATCGACGCAAAAGCACTCAGAAAATTTGTTTAATTGCTGAAAAAGATTTGTGTAGTTGAGAGGTTTTTCTGTCGTTTCTAGCGAATAAAAATCTTCTTTTATGTGTGTGTGTGTTGCCTTGGGGAAATTTAAGATATCAATTTCCGTAAATTCACTATTTTCTCTCCACAATTTTTAAAACTATGAATCAAATAAAAATATGATACAGAGGACAATAAATTTACAATCAAAACTGCTGAACTCAAAGATCAACGATTCATCATGTTTTTCATCCATTTCTGCAATATCTTTATTTTTTACTTTTATTTAAATCCTCTTAAGGCAACCCTTTTCTTTCTTTTCCCCCTGCCTTTCCTCCCCCCCCCCCCCAACGCCTCATATAGCACAGCTTCAGCCCTGGTTTCCGGATACCAATCGACCTGAAGCATAATGATGTCACACCATGTATACCATCTTGCGTGAAAGCATGGCTGAGAGAACAAAGACTGTTTGTTCACAACATTATACTTCGGATGAAATAGACCATTATCATGTTGCAGCCATCTTGGTTTTTCCCCCAATCAAATCTAAGAAACCAAAGCGAGGCTGGAAGGAAAAATAGTCTGGTTCCTTTTTGCATTAAAAACATTATCATTCAGTACTGTTATTGGACACAGGGAACATGACTGAAATGGTAGCAGCATGATAAAGGTCCATTGCGGACTGTGCTTACACCTGAATATTTTGGCTTCTTCAGTGCCAGCCTAATTTCTAACAAAATAAAACCACGGTCATCGCAATGTTCAGAAATTTGAAAAATGCGGTTCAGAGCTTTCTTGGTGTTCTGAGTAGCGTACCAAATTAACCCTCCTGCTATTTAAACAGTCAGAGACAGTCAAACTTTACATCCACTCCCCCTGCTATACTTTTAACACAGACTGGTCACCAGCAGTCAGATCATATGTCAAGCAAGCACTGTGACTAGTCAAACTCAGTCAACAGACCATGAACAGACAAAGCAGTTAAGTTGGGCACAGCTGGCTTATCAATTACCCACAGCCTGAGCCAAAGCAAAGCTGTATTGAGTTACATAAACAGTCACGGCCAGTCAATCTTGCTTTCTGTAGGCTGGGAATTCTTAACTGTAGAAAACAGTTACTAAATTGATTTTGACTGAAAGGACTACTTGGCACAGAACGTATGTTTGCATAGGTGGGTTCATGTGCTAAGCAAAAATTAGCTGGGACCAGTCACAATCAATACACACCGCATGGCATTTTGGCTGGTACCCAGTTGTTTCTTAAGCAAATATCTACTGCGCGCTTAGCAGATTGTGCAATTTGCCTCCTAGTGTTTGTGTCCTGCCTGACATCAGCACCAAGAATAAACCCGAACCATAAACTGAAGAAAAAATACTCCCATCACAAAAATACGGCCCCCAACCTGGCTTCCATAATGCAATGGGCAGATCACAGTGTGACATCATTATGACTCACGGCAACATCACTGATAAATAAATAGCTTCACAAAATTGAATAATTTTATAGAAAATCTCA